CCCCCCCCTCCCGCTTCAACGAAACCCACCCCGACTTCCACCCCTCCCCCTATCCCCGCAGCTTCTCCTCCTCCTCCATGCCCAGCACCCCGACCTCCACCCGCTCCCGCTCCCCCTCCATATCCTCCCTCGAAACCATCCCCGACATGCCCGACGTCGAAGCCGCCGCCGTGGAGGAGGAGATGCGCCGCCTGGAGCTGCTACGCGTGCGGTCCGAGGAGCGCGCGGAAGAGGAGGTCGAGGGGGAGCCGGCGCGGGGACGGGGGTGTAGGAGGGGGAGCGTGGATGTCGGGGGGCAGGCGAGGGGGCAGGGGTTTGGGTTTGGGAGCGCGAGGGAGAAGAGGAAGAGGTGGAGTGTGTGTGGAGCGGAGAGGAGGCAGGATTTGGACTTGGAGACGATCTGGGAGGATTGAGCGTGAGGATGGTCGATGTGATGGAAACCTGCGTTGGCGTTTCATGATGCGGTGGGCTGGATTGCGTTCAGCGCACTTGATAAGGAGGAGCGGAGGTGCACGATGACATGTGGCATTTGCTTGCATTGGACGGCGTTACACGGCTCAACCCACGGCCGGGTTGACTTTTTCTCTCATGGTTTCGGCGTCGATGGTTTCCCTGTGGGAACACTGAAGGTCTGGGACGGCGTTCGCTCTGACGCGCCATCCACTGGAATTGAATGAGGCATGTCAGACAGTACGGCGCATGTCTCATTGGTCTAGCATGACGATAGGCTAGAGAAAGACGATTAGGAGAAATGATCAATTCAAAACTCAAATGCATCTGGACCTTGCTGCGTGCCGTGTTTATCTACCATCAACTAGCCGAACTCAATACCTCGACATGCGGGCGTATACCGCTCGCATTCCCAATTCATCCTCCCCACAATCAAAGATCCGTCCAACGCGATGATGAAACCCGACTTGAATAGCAGCTACCTTACTTCGCCCAAGCTTTTCTACCGCCCCGCAAAGTTTGCTCGTGCCTCATGTGTACGATCCCCGATCCTCCCGAAAAAAACTCCGAATGCATGTCGGGGGAATCGATTCGTGCCCACCACCACCTGATCACCCCTTTTCGAGAAAAAAAAGTCCATGTATTTGCTCCGTACCCAGCATTTCCCCCGTTCAAATATTACGTTGCGCGGATGTCGAAAAATCCTCAACCACACTGCACGTGCCGTCCCCGGTCGTATCGATGATGGCGGGGGTGCAGTTACTTTAGTTTCTCCTCGGTGAAATCCCAGAGGCTCTTCACGAGGAGGTCGGGGAGGGTGTACAGGTCGACGTGGAACTCGCCGGCCTCGACGTCGTTCTTGGTGTACGTGTCGGGGGACTTGCCGTCGTGGACCATCTGCACGACATTGAGAAGGTCGTCTTCCGAGAGGCGTTGCAGGTTCTCTGCGAGGCGCTCCATGTCGATCTGGTTTATTTATTAGTTGCTGGGATAGGTGGGGGGAGATGGATGGATGGATGGATGGATGGATGGAGGGATGGGTGGGACTCACGTTGCCGCCCTTCTTGCTCTTCCGCCGCTCCGCGCCCTCTTTCTTGCCGCGGACCCCGTTCTCCTCGCCCACCGGGCCCGATTCCTTCAGTAACGCCACCAGTTCCGGCTTGGGGTTCTTGAAGACCTGTGATATCCCCATCAGCAACCAGCAACCACATCCCTTTCACCAAGGACTGGCGTAGGGAAGATCGCGCCAACATACCACCACGTGCTTCGACTCATATCTCTCGCTCTGGAAGTTCAGATCATGTGTGATATCCGACTCCCCGCCCTTATGCGAATGATACAACTTAATCAACATATCGAACTCCCCCCATCCATTCTCCTGGATCTTGAACGGCGGTTTCTTGAACGCTGCGCGACGCGTTAGCAATCCCTTTCTTTAAACCCCTACTAACCCCTTGCACTCTATCCTGTTTCGGGGAGAAAAAGGGCGATGGGTGGGTGGGAGCTTAACGTACTCTGCTTCGCCCGCTTCTCGAACGACGGGTGCAGGTTGTATTCCACCTTGTCGAACACCACCGCCGGCATCTCCTCGCCGCTCCCCTCGTGCAGCACGTACAGTTCGACCGACCATGATCGAAGGGGGAGCTCGTCGGGGGTGGCGCCGGGTTGACTGCATGTCGATCAGTCAGTCCATCAGTCCGTCGCGTGGGATTGCGGTTCTGTCAGAGGAACGCAAAAGGGAGGGGGGACGTTGGGGGTCGGGATGCCGTGGTTAGACGGAATGGGGGGAACGCGAAGTCGCGACGTACCTGATTCTTTGATGCGTGACCAGTTTGATGGTCCTTTTGATCTGCGTCGCGACGAGGTTAGCTATTGCGCCTATGGTATATCGCGATCGTCGTGATGCGATTGTATGTAGAGGGACTCACCTCCGTTGTGGGCATTTTGGCGGAATCCGGTTTTTACTGATCCTGATGTTCGGATTCGATTGAGGATCCGGAAAAATCGGTAAATCGTTAGACGTTATTCGATCCGGTTGTGGCAGACTGGGCGATTTCAATGACCTGCACCTCACTCTGCCGCGTCGTCTGTCTTGATGCTTTGGTGGGAGGATCGGAGTCTGGTTGCCCTGAGGAGCCAAGAGCGCAATTTTTGAGCTGGTGCGAAATGTTGCCTTGATGCCTTGAAGCCACGGCTGCAGCTGCAGTAGCAGCTCGCAACTGATCAAGATAAATTGATGACGGAGAGAGCGACAGGTTGTTGGGCAATTATAGCTAGGAGTTATTTGGTGTTACCAAGTGCATTGGAGGTACCGATGATGCGACTACACGCTGAGAAAACGGTGCTTTTTGGGAATTTCTCACGGCGTCAGTGGCCTGATGCTCCCGCACAGTCCGAGCCGAAACTCTCGGATGTCAGTTCACCATTTGATATAGCCCGATATGCACGACGCTGGAGATCTAAGATCCCCAAGAAACCTTGAACGTATCTGAATCTGCTGAATGGGGGAGGGTGTGTGTCTTATTTTTATAATAACTCATAGGGGTGGAGGTGTTCATCAATGCTGTGCTGTCTACATGCTGTGCTTCGCGGGGGAATCCATCCTTCTAACCCATCCAACCTTCGTCGTTAGGATGTCCGTGATGATATGTGTGTGTGCAACGTCGCTCCCAACTCGAGGACCACGTCCTCCAGACCATTATCGCCTATCTACGATGTCGCGCCGGCGGAGAATAGCTTCTCGTTCTCCTGCTGCGCCTTGATGAATGCGTCGCGGAACAAGTTCGCATCTGTCAATCGTCAGCAACCACCCTACACCTTCTCCCGTCTTGGGGTTTAATATAAATAAACTCACTCTCGCTATTCGCAAACCGAATCGCCAATGTCTGAGCCTCTGGCTCCCCCTCACTCACATCCGCCGCCGCGTTCCACACCCAGCTGCGATCGCTCCCGACGTTCGGGCTCAGCTTCATGTCCGGCACGAGATAGTGGTTCGCGCAGACCTTGAGTGTCTTGTCGCGGCGCATCACCAGGCGGGTCTTCCCATTCTCCTTGTGTTTGAGCAGGCGGACGTCGCCCGTGCCCCGCTCCTTCCACTCGCGCGTGTCGCGGTCGAACTTGAACAGCTTGGCCCGCATCTTGAACACCTGCGCTTCGGATTCTTCGTTGGTCTTGACGTCGACTTTCTCCGTGAGGCGGATCACCGGCTCGAATTCGACATTGGCTTCTTCTTCAGGGGCTTTGTCGTCGTCCTATGTCAGCGCTGTTAGCCCCCGCACCGAAAATTACACTCTCCAAACAAACGCAGTCGTCAGTCATAGATAGAAATTGGGCATATCCGTACCTCCGCCGCTTTCGTTGCCTTGCTACTCCCCGACCGCTCGTTCTCTGCGTCCTCCTCCTCCGCCTTCTTCTCCTTCTTCGGCCCCCCACCAAACATCGAGAACACCTCGCTCTTCATCGTCTCCGTCGCCGACGATGCCGCCTCCGCCGCCTGCGCCGTCACGCTCTTCCCGGCCTCCGGCTCCGTCTTCGGCTCGTCAGTGACGGCTTGGGTCACCTTCTCGGTCTCGCCCTTTACGAGCTGTGGGGAGGCATCGGAAGTGTGTTCCTCTGCGGGGTTGAGCTTAGTGGGTGCGGGTTCGGCCATGATTTCTTTGAATTGGGGGAAAAAGATGGGGTTTACGTGGGAGATGGGATGGGTGATGATGGGTGGGTAGGTTTTTGGGAAGCTGGATGGATGGGATATTATCAGAGGAACCCTTGAGGAGTGTGACGTGAACCAGACCAGGCAAATATGAAAAAGTGGGTGTGGGATGTTGTCAGGGACACTTCACTTGCTTGGCTTGTGCTGCTGGTGTGTGTGCTCAGTGCTGTGCTGTGCTGTAGACTGTGCTGTGCATGTCAGTGGCTGCTGGCTGCAGCCTGCAGGCTGGCACGTGATCCCATCTGACTAAACACCAAATCCCGAATTTTCGCCTCCGTTGCCTTGCCAGAGCCCAGTTGGTGCCTCGCTGATCTTTCCATTGTTTGGCTTCGCAGGGGAATATGATCATCATGCTCAACACTGGTCACTGCAAGAAAAACGATCAAGTCTATGGAACGGGTCTCAATTCGATATTATACCAATTGCATCGAAACGGATCAAAAAGGATGCCATCGCCGCCTCGAACACCGTTCATCCAGTGCCAGGGACTGATTCACACTCTGACCGACTGATCATTACCTGTCTTCGTTGCAAGTCGGAACAGTAGATCCTTTGACAATCCATCACGACCGCCCCTCTAACCAGACGCCCCTTCTCCGATAAGTACCAAATCCATAAACGCCCTAGCCTATTCACCAATCCCCAATGAACCCACCCATCCTCAGGTGCCGACACTTACTACACGTCCTCCCCTCCTCTTCCGGTGCCATCGCCTCCTTCACGCTCCGAAATAGCTTCTTCGCATTCCGACTCGCCTTCACCTTCGCCTCCTTCGCCACCTTCCACTCATGCTTCACCAGCTCCCGTTGCATCTCCCCGATGTCCTCCGCTGCCAGGTTCAGCCGCTGCTGGAACAACCCCCACGACTTGCTCAGTCCCGTCACGATCTCCGTGCTGACCGCGGTCACCTGCTCGTGGAACTGCTGCGCGTACGCATGCGTTTCGAGGTGTCGTCGGACGGCGACTTCGGTGTCTTGCATGCGGACAGCGACTTCCTGGCTGGCGGCTACGAGGATGTGGCCCAGCTCCTTGCTCACCTCGCGGAACCGCTGTTCGAATTCGCCGGCCGCGCCGTGTAGTGCGTCCGAGAGCCGCTCGGAAGTTTGCTTGGCGGCGCGTTCCGCTTCCTCTTGATGCTGATCGAGGTTTGCGAAGTATGCCTGCGGACGGCGAACCAGTTTCTTGAACGATCGGATCCAACCGGCCACGGACCTCTCCACGACCTCTACGGTCTGGATGTGCACGATGGTCTTCTTTGCTGTGAAAGACGGAGCCTTCCACACTATGACTTCCAGGATCCCGTACGCCTCCCGGGGATCGACCGCGGGCACACATTTTCCGTCGACTTGCGTCATGACGAAGGGAATTGATCGGGAAATCGGGTCTTCTTGGGTGACGACGCGGGAAATCTCGATTTTACGATTGGGCAACACACATGCGTTCTCGCGGTTGGGTCGCTCGAACACAAAAATCTCCCCCTGACGCGTGCCAGCCTGTTCCTGAGTCTCCTGAGGTGCAGGCGGTGGAGACACTTCAACTTGTGGGGCATCCGGCTCGATGTCCGCCGAATGGATTCGGTTGTAGAAGTCCTGCATTGCGGATCGCCAAAGCTCCGAGGAGTCCATCTGTCCGGTCACCGCTTGCTCGACCGGGAGAGGTAGGTTGGGGGCGACCTGAGCGGACGGGATCGGTGTATTTGCGTGCGTCATCGTGAACATGGTGATGAACATGATAATTGGAATTGCGGTCGCGATGATCATGAACCGATCGCGTGGATGTTGCGCGGACCAGGCCGTCTTCCATCGTCGCGCGGTGTCGCAGACGCTCCGCACCATCATGGTGGGGAGGTGGCCGGCTTTCTCGAATGGAGTGCGTTCGGTGGGAGGGCGGTCCGTGAAGAATTTCGGCGGCCGGGCCGACTTTCCCTGTGCTTCGAACTGTCCTCGTTCCACCTGGTTGCTCCAGGCCTGCCAGTCGGCTTGATCTAGTCGGTCCCTTTCATCTTTGCTGATCTCTTCCTCCTCATAGTAGCCTTCCTCTCCATAGTACTCCTCCCTGTACTCCCCTTCTTCCCCTTCTTCCTCGTAATACTCATCCCCATCGTACTCATCCCCCTCGTAATGCTCTTCGTCCCCGTAACCTTCTTCTTCCCCGTTATGTCCCCAACCCCATTCCTGCTCTTGTGGCTGCTCACCCCATTCCCGCACTTTCGGCTCGTCCTTCCCGGCCTCCGACCCATCCGTCACAGCGACGCTGGCCGATTCATCCTGCCCGTCCTCCGTGAACCCATCAAGCGACAACGACGCGAGAGACTCAGCGTCCGACGGCAAGGGGGAGACGACCTCATAGGCAGAGTCCTCCAGCGAACTAGCAGCTTCGTGTGCACTCATTTCGGCATCGACGAGGGAGCTCAACCACTGGTCGACGCGGAGGGTGGGGAGCTGGAGGGTATGGGATGAATCAGCGCGGTGGGTGACGTCGGTGTTGGTCTCGTCGCGTTCCCGATCGCCCGACTGGATGGTACTGCGAGGGGCTATCATGGGCTCAGTCAGCGCATGGTGTTCGGGGGAAGATGGGAGGAGCGGATGCGAGGGGTTTAATAGTCAGCTCGCGGCGTGGTAGGAGTTCGGTAGCGACAGCGAGCTGATGCCGGACCTGTGAGGCAGAGCTGAAACGAATCCATGCGGGCTGATGATTGATCCGTTGCAGAGAGGATGTAATGTCCGGATCTGGGTAAAGGGAAGAAAGCGTACCGCGTACCGCGTACCGCGTACCGTCCCGGACTCTACAACACACCACTTTCCCGCCGCGGCGATTGGTGTTGGGGGGGAGGGGAATGTTGGAGGGGTAACACCGGAACGCAGGACCAGGCAGCCACGTTCCTGACGTTCCTGGGGTCGGCGAATCGGTCAACACACTAAGATAGCGTAACAACGGCGGATCATTTGGATGCAAACACAAGAGGTCGACGTCGACGATGGCTAGAGTTAGTAAGTTACTATGTAATGCGTGGGAGGGAATGGGGATATCACGGCTGGAGCGACGAGGTTAAGGCAGTAATGGTCGTTGCACAAGACCAGGCGGCGACATGCTGCAGGGTGGGGTTGCGGCCAATCAGCGCTTAGATCGGGGGGTATCCTGGTCGGTCCACGTCAATCGGTACCAACGTCATTGGATGCCAAGAGGTCACGTGGTTCAGCTAGGTACGGGTTGGGTTTAGCGGATACTATCGCGATGATAACCACCATAGCCTCTGCTCCCTTTATCTGATAATGATACACTTCTCGGTTTCAGTCCAGCTCACAGCATCTTGGAAACGGTGGGGTAGAACTGCTTTTGGTCCGGAGGAAATCGACTTGCATACAGGACAGGCAGCTGTGTCGTTCGAAAGGCCGCCATACATAAATCTTTGAAGCCATGAAGTGAGGCTTCCAAACGCATCGCATGATATTCCGGATGCAGCAGGGGCGTAGTATACTACAGTGTTGGGAGGGAGTAAAACACCAAATGCAGGGTCGATTTGATTCAAGTGGGAATAGAAACGTTCTCCCTCAGGCACCATGTCCGGGAAAGTATCAGAAGATAAGTACAATACTGACGATGCCTCATGAATGATGAGATTCTTGTCGGCTCTATTATACATAAATCTAATTAGTCCCTAGTAGTAGTTTCCCTAACAATGCCCGTGCGCCATCCGGTCCATGCAAACCCCGTCCCCATCCATCGATCCCTCTATTGTACCAGAGACCAACGCATTGCCAACTCCAGTCCCTAAATCCGAATCGAACCATCTTCTTCGCCAGGAATGCCCAAGGAACCCATGACCCCTGACCTCGCTGATGATAATGCAGGCACGTCGACAAATGAAACCGCGACGGTGGCTAAGTATGTAAATCTCCCTCTCACGGACTCGCCCACCCCCCGGCTACCTCCACCCACTCCGGCAAACAACTCCCCTCCTTATCCTCCACCTCCACGATATCCGTATCGCAGCGACACCGACATCCGACGCCGTTCTCCTTCTCGCGGTCGTACATCTCCCAGTAGTGGTCTTCCTCGATGCGCAGGCGGGTGTTTTGAGTCATGGGGTCGAGGTAGCGGGGACGTGGGAGTTGCCGGGAGGGCGCGTTGGCCGGGCAGTGTTGGATGGTGGTGTGGCGGTAGCCGAAGTCGCGGAAGTAGTGGATGGCGGAGACAGGGAGGAGGACGCCGGCGGCGAGGGAGTGGATGGGGGCGTCGCCCCACTGGGATGGTTAGTATTATATAGTAGAGAGATGGGATGGAAAGATGGAGAAATCTCACCCGCTCGGTCCAGAAGCCACCGCTGTGATCCATCATGTCGAAGAAGTCGGTGTACTCCTTACTCCGGAACCAATCCAGCCGCGCGATCTCGAAGTTACTCCAAAAATGGCACATGTTATAATCCTCTCCCTCCATCGTCTCCGTATTGCCCTCGGGCTCCTCCTCCGCCTTCGGGTCCGGCTTCATGATGTTCTCCGGGACCCACGGCCTGGGCTTCGGCTCCGCCGCGACGCCGAACTCGTCCGTCGCCGGCTTCTGCACGAACATCTCCCACAGGCCCTGCGAGGTGATGTTGTTCAACCGCTTGTAGGCGGAGGCGTAGCGGAAGATGTTCGGGACAGTTTCGCGGAGCTCTTTGACGGCGATGGTGAAGCCGTAGATTTTGTTGGCTTCTTCCATCTTGATGAACGGGTCGCTGGACGGTGTTAGTGGATGGCTGCCAGCGGCAGGAACGGACGTACTAGGTGATATCGCAGAAATACTTGATGTCTGGCTCTAGTCGCCAGTACCATTTGTATTTTTGGAGGAGCTCGTGTTTATAGAACATCCTAGACTGGTCAGTCGGTGTCTAATGAATGGTTGATCAAACATACCCTGAGTAGAATCGACACATGTGGTGGTAGCTCTCCATGCCACCATACATAATCGCCTGGTCCCCTTGCTTCGCGATCGACTCCCTCGCCGCACTCTTATCCACCCAGTCCGGATACCCCCAGTCCTCGGGCTTGATCTTCCCAAACTCGACCGGCGCGCTTGTGTAGTTCTGCACGGTCTCCTTGAACGTACTATTAAACTCACCGTCGTTCAGAAACACATATGGATAATGGAACCAGCGGTTGAAGTGGCGCTCGATGGACTTGATCGACTGCACGACGCCGTCGAGTTCCTTGTTGCGCGCGAGGACGACGAAGACGGCGTTGGCGCGGGGTTTCTCCACGGCAGGCTCGACGCAGCCGGTGACGAAGACTTTGTCGTGTCTCTCGCTGATTTTCCTGGAGGGGTGTTAGCTGGGGGTCGAGGAGGACCGAATGGCACCTAACACGTACCGTATGGAAGGTGGGGAGCCTGGAGGCATGAGCATGCGGCCGGCCGGGGCGGGATAGCGGAGGAAGAGGAGGAGGATGACTATGAGGATGAGGATGGGGAAGCCGAGCACGACGACGAGGGGGACGGAGATGGAGGAGGTGTTCTTTAATCGTACACGGCGTTGGAATATGGAAAATTGGGATGGTCTTCTGTCGTTGTTCATGTTGGTCGTAGCATGTTTGGAGGTCGAAATAGGGAGGGTGGGTTTCATTCTTTGAAAAACGGTGTCGGGCTTCTCCAACGAGCCGTTGAAGGTCGCCATGTGATGTTGATGTCTATGCCAGCGCGGCGGAAGTTGTGGTCAACTACCGGTATAATGCACGATTCCACGCGAGTTCCTTGTCGACTCGAGTGCTTTGGTTTGCGCCGTCGGAAGGGGGAAGTCGTGAGTCGCGCGGCACCGAGAGTAACGAACGGCTGGAGTCACGCCCTCCAATTTCGATGAGGGATGGTGATGCGAGGAGTCTGGTGGTCGGTTCGTTGCACTGATGGTTCGTCCGGACCCGTGAATGTTGTTTGCTCGTCTGGACACGCACTTCGAACTTTCTTCCCAGGTACGATCCCATCGGAATCCCAATGTTGTGATGTCCACGATGCAGCAATGTCAGCCTCGCGCAGCCAATCCAGCGTCCGCAACAGGATCAATGCCATCAAATCTCGTGAACCGGGGGAGATAGGAGGAGGAGCAAATGGAGATCGGACATTGCGAAACAAAGAAGACGGGCGGTGGGTCACAATGGCACGGATGGGAGGGATTTCGTGGAATTCCTGTGCCATCATCGACCCGATGAGGTTCCATGGTACATTTTTTACAAGACAGCTAACAACACAACTAATTAGACAACTAGACAAGGAAGCGGAACGCCACCCGGACAGGGACCGTTTGTTTAGAGGATATTATTGGAGATTTATTCCTCCATAATTACCCATTTGATACCCAATTTATCGAGATATCCCAAGCAATTGACTGGGTCTAGACGCGTCAACAGACCTGTGAAGTCACTCAGTGTCAACTATCAACTGTCCACTGTCAAGGACCCCCTATTAATCTATCCCCCACGACCGCACAATAGCACGAGCTATCCATGGTTCGCGAATTAAATCCTAAATTGCTATTGAGCGCCCTGGTTTCACAACAGGGACAACACGCAGGATCTCCACCCAGGAAGTTAAGCGGCTCGGCGGCAGACCCCGAAGGCGGGCCGAAGTGCGTGCTGAACTGCTGATCGTCGATGCGAACCATTTTGAGTGTTTGACAATTGACACCTGCATGATAAATTTGATAATTAATCCCCGAGACGACGGTTTTGGCACCGGGCCCAGGCTTCTCGATCGACACCGTGGTGGATGTCGTCACTGCTCAGTGCTAAAACTACTAATCAAGAGTTACGGGGATCAGGTCCCTTCAACGATCAGCGTTGAAGCTAACGGTTAACGGTTAATGTACGTGCCTCAATCTTCGAAATAGAGGCCCAACTTCAGTTCAACCGCACAGCTTACACGCCTTCCGCTCAAGCAATTCGACACCCCAACGCCACCATGTCCTTCAAAGCCAAGAATCTAACTTACGGTGTGCACACCTTCCACTCTCCCCCAACCAAAACTAACCCACCCAACAGAGTCCGAAGACCCCGCCTTCCTCCGCCGCCTCAAAGGCCAGCTCGCCCGCGGCGACACCGACCGCCACGAGCGCCCCCTCGCCCGCCCCAAGAAAGCTGCGCAGGCCGACGAGGAGGACGAGCCGACGTACGTGGATGAGGAGACGGGCGATACGGTGTCGAAAGCGGAGTATGAGGCGTTGTTGACGGGGAAGGACGTGGATGTGAAGGAGGATGGGGAGGGTCAAACTGGGGAGATGGATACCGGGGACAAAGCGAAGGGTGGGGGCAAGGAGGAGGTGAGGGCGGAGCAGAATCGAACGGAGATAGGGGTGCAGAAGAAGCGGAAGGCGGGGAGGATTATTGGGGATGAGGGGGCGGGAAAGGAAGACGAGGTGAAGTCCGCCACGACGAAGAAGCCCAAGACCAAAGCGAAGAAGAAAGCCAAGACGAAGTTGTCTTTCGAAGAAGTCTGATACATCATAAACCTAACGGCATCATGTCACGAACGGAACCTTGAAAAGCTGCGATTCTCCAACTACGGATCTACGTTACAGCGGCGGCAACGTCTCCCGGCAGATCGGACACTGCAGCCGATATTTCATCCACCCCTCCAAGCACTCCGTGTGGAAAATATGCCGACACGGCGTCACCATATACGCTCTCCGCGCCAGCAACCCCGCCGGTCCCGACGCCGCCGCTTCGGCCGATTTGGCGCTCCCGCTCGCATCCTTCGTCACCACCATAACCGCCAGATTATGCATGCAGATCGCGCAATCGAACACCCTCTGCCCCCTCCGATCCGCGTCCCGATCCCTATCCTTCGACTCCGCCGCATTCGAACCCGTCGGGCTCGGCGGCCTAGACGCGCCACCCCCGTCGCCCGCACCGACCGGAATGTTTCCCCCCTCCTCATCCTCCCGCAACACCGGATGATAATCATACACCGGCGGCAACCACTTCCCCACGCGCCCACCACACACCACGACCCGCGGCCCGAACAGCTCCTGCACGCCCAGCACCCACACCTGCACCCATACCCACCCGCACAACACCATCAACGTGCGCAGACTCCCCGCATCCACGTCTAGAAACGCTAGATTTCCGGGATACCCCCACAGATACGCGACCGGCACGACACGGAGCACGCTCTGCCCGACGATGAACCGCCACCCAAGTGCCTTGCGCGCGTTGCGCACGACGTTGCGCGCGATCTGCGGCGTCCAGAAGCTGAGGTAGGTAAAGGCGAGGAGGTTGGCGTATGCGGAGCGGAGGGGGCGCGGCCAGCTGGAGGCGTGTAGGGAGAGGAGGGCGAGGCCAATGAGAAGGAAGTAGAAGCGGGAGTAGAGGCTGCCAAGTTCGCGGCGGGGGGCGGTGGGGTCGGCGGTAGGGGGTGGGTCGGGTTGGGTTAGGTCTTGGTCGGGGGGGAGGATGATGGGGATGGTGCCGGAGGGGCTGATGGGACGGGGGGTGGTGGCGGGGAGGGGGAGGGTGTCGTTCGTGGATGGGGGTGGTTGGGCGGGTGTTTGGGGTTGTTCGGATGGGGTGGGTGTTGGCGTCAGCGGAGGTGTAGATACAGTCGCATTAGCCGAACGATCCTGTCGCTGGCGCTCTTGCATCTGCACGGTCCAAATATCCATCAGGAACCGCAGATCGAAGAACGTGACGGCGACGAACGCCATGAACCCGGTCGTGAGCAGCGGGAGGAACGCCGACTCCACGAACATGCTTACGGGGACGAACACCACGAAGCCGAACCCATCACCTAGCGACATCATCGCGATTGTGTAGAAGCTCACCCGACTCAGCGTCGACGGCGTGCTCGCGTCCTTCATCTGCCGCACCATCAGCAGCACCTGCCCCGCGATCACCGCCGCGTACAGCAGCGCGTGCCGCCGCGTGGCGTTCAAGATCACCTCGATCTTCGACCCTTGGAGGTGCCGGCCCTCCTTCGGCGCGAAGTCCGGCGGTCCCTTGGATTCGAGCACGACGCCGCAGTCCGGGGAGAACAGGACCATCGACATGGACATGGGGGTCGCGCGCGCGCCGTGGTAGCCGGTGGGGAAGCGGAGCTCGCGCTCTAGGAGGTCGATGGGGGTTTGGGAAGAGGGGGAGAGGTGGTCGGAGGGAGGCTGGAGGGGGTGCTGTTGGAGGTAGAGGAGGTATTCGCAGTGCGGCGCGGCGAAGGGACCGTCGGAGGCGCCGTCGATGGTCGAGGACCAAGGGTTCATCCAGCCGCGGTGGTTGTTCTGCTGCTTCTCGACAGTTTCGGAGAGGGTGCGGTTGAGATAGGTTTTGGAGAGGGCGAACGCCGGCTCCGAAAAGGTGAAGTACGGTAGGGCGAAGATGCCGGGGAACCTGCCGGTCAGTCAGCGCTGTTGTCCCAAAATATAAAACATCTTCCACTCACTTCTCACTCGTCGTCGAAAACACCATCCCCCCCGACTTGACGAAATGCACCCCATGTAACTTCGCCTGCCACCTCCCCCCGGATCCTTCCTCATCACTCACCTCCACCTCCGCCGTAATACTCTTCACCTCTCCCGCCTCCCCCGCCGGCAGCATCCAAAACCGCCCCTTCTCCATCGGCCCGCTCTCCCGCAACCGGATCTTCACCCCCCCGTCCGCGCCGGTGACGTTCCGTAGATACAGGCCTACGTACCGCCGCTCCGGGACTAATTGAGTCAGGTTCACCGCCGGGTGGTCCGTTTTATCTGGGCCGGCGATCCTCGAGCGCACCCAGGAACCTTTTATGTACCCCGACACGTTGCGGTACATCGGCGCCAACATGTCGTCGCCGGCCCTGGTCTCCTGCTCGCGCTCCTGGCCCCCTTCCGCCGTCTCCTCCGCTCGCTTCTCCCCCCCTTCCCCCACCAACCCCCCCACCCGCTCCCCCAAGGCCCTCACCATCTGTGCCCGCACCTGTCCCCTCACCCCCGCCCACAAATCCCAGCGCATCCCATCCCCCTCGCGGAACGCGGTGAGGTTCATCCATTTCCCCTCGGGCGGGTCGAAGGCGGGGAAGGAAGCGTTGGCGAGGAGGGAGAGGGCATGGTGTTCGGTGGCGAGGAAGGAGGATTGGGCAAGGCGGTCGCCGGCGGAGGTGGGGGGGGTGTCGGGGGTGAGGAGGAGGAAGAGGAGGAGGAGGGTGAGGATGGTGGCGCGGGGGTTGGCCATGGTTATGGGTGGTAGTTATTGGGGAGGCATATTAGTCATTGTTTGGACTGGGCTTCGGAAAGAGTACGAAGCGGGAATTTTTGGGATGAGTACGGATGGTAGCTGTGGGGTGTATTATGTGAAGTTGGCAAACGAGAGATGGAGGATGCTCTATGATGGTGATGGTGATGGTTATGGTCAGAATACCGCGTGGTTCCTTGTCGGGGTGAGTACCAGACCGAAGGACGGCCAATCAGAGCGCTGATGGACGATTTAACTGTCTTCGAGTGATATTTATTAGAATGAATATGAAAGGGCATATTCTAAGCAGTTTAGTAATGGTTGATTCGATATTATTTAATCCGTGGTATGTCCTCTTGGTCTATATTACGGTCCGCTCGAGGCCTTATCGAAATAACAGATACGAAGGACCGGGTGAAGGTGACTTGAGGTCGGAACCACGTCGCGATGCTATTGTGATATCTATAGCTACCAGTTCCATCGAACAATCGCGTATTCCATACGAAGTTCGGAAGAACGCCATCGCCATGCCCATATACATATACACATAAACGCTCGAAAAGATGCTCATTAATCGTCGAACCCACCCCCTCCATCATCATCCCCCTCCCCCTCATCATCCTCCTTCCAGTACTGCAGCGCGTTATAATCATTGTCACCCTCTAGATCATCCTCGTCGTCGTCGAACGCATCGTCCAGCTCTTCCTCCGGCGCGTCCGCGTCCTCGTCGCTGTCCGCCGCATCCTCGTCGTCGTCCACCCCCGCTTTCTTCCCCTTGCCCTCCACCTCCTCGTCCTCCTCGTCGCCGATCCGCTCGAGCCGGTCTTTCGCCATCTTGCGCTTCTTCACCGCCTGCTCCTCCTCGGTGAGCTCCCGCTTCTCCGGATCAAGGAGCGTCCAGAGTTGCTCAGGGAAGAACCGCAACTCTGTCAGAGGTGGTTAGCGACGCCAACGCCCAAGGGAAAACCCGCGCTCACCATAAGATCTCGTATCCAGCTTCGGGATCTTCCGCTTCACTCGCTTGTATGAATGTGCGTAGGTCGGCATGTCCTCGAAGGGATTGGACATTGTATTCACAGATTGCGGGATATACTCGTTCACCCCTTGTGTAGTTTCGCCGAGGATCGCATAATGCGGCCCATCGCGGATGCGATCGCGGATGTCGCGATAATGGGCGATCTGCGTGCGTTCGCGCGCGGACGGCGGGATCGGTCGCTGGACGATGTATTTCTGTTGCGGATTTAGCTCCGGTCGGGAAGGGGTGACGAGGGACATTGGAGGGCTGGATCCGACTTGGAGCGCGCTTGCGGAGATGAGGATATAATATGTGCATGATGCGGGGAGTAAAGATGGAAAGCTTGGTGTTGTGGTTTGGGGTGCGACGATATGAGGCGGCAGCTGCTCAACTCGTGATGCCTCCGCCTCCCACACATGACTAGAAGCTGCGGAGCATCTCCTGGACGTTTCCAAGGAAATCTGAGACTTACAGGATATGTTCCGATGGGCTTGTTCACCTGATCGAAATATTTGGCGATCTCACTATCCAACTCGAACGACAACTCCACCCCTCCAATCTTCGCCCTCTTTCCCGACGACTCGGCGGAGTCGGGTTTCCGCTTGGGACCAGCCATGACGGGTGGACAGATGCAGGGCGAGCTGTGGGTGGCACTGGCACAGACAGATGTGTTCGGCTACCTCCAACCAAGAACCCGATGTCACCAGCAAATGGATATTAGAAGTGGGAGCATGACGGAGCCATGCAAGAAGGGTGGGTCAAGAGAGGAAGAAGCACCGGAAGAAGATTGAATTGTCAAGATGAATTATCAAGATTGACTATTAAGAAAACGGACGTGGGAAGAAATCATCGGGAAAATTCGTCGGTGGGGGACCGGAAAGTCTCCATTGATGATGGAACACCGAAGTCACAGAGAGGGAGCCATTGAGAACGATTGATGGGAATGATTCCACTTTCGATTCGAGCGGGATGCGAACAATAGAGTCGGTGTTGAGAATCAGTCAGTCACCATTGAGTCATCACAATACGAAGCGGATTCCCAAGAATTATTCTTGTCAATTTAATTTCTGGTATTTCGTCACGCAGCAAGTGAGGTTTGTTTGGAGATAAGGCTATAAGGCTGAAAGATGTCCAAGCCATAAGGCTTTAAGGCCATAACATAAAGCTGCAAGGCAACAAGGCTATCAGGCAGAGAGCTAAGAGTTGCCCCGCGTTTGGCACGTGCTAGCTAAGATATCACGTGCACTGCCCCGCATTCCACGAAGTGTTCCTTTTATGCCTCAGGCAGTCAGGCTCACCAGTCTTCTACAAACATCCATCGTGACCATCGGGATGTTGTGACACTTGATATATCCACGCCTCTTCTGACTACCTAATCCAATGACATTCCAGAATTTCCCTCGCTTGCCGCAATCCACACCCCCATACTCAACCTTTCTATCCCACCTGTAGCCTCTATCTCTCGCGACCACCAACCCAAAGCCATGGCCACCAGTCAACCCTCCCCCCTCCTCGTCGACCTCCTCGACCACATCAACTCCATCTCCACCGACACCACCCCTCTCGACCCTCGCCTCTTCGAAGATTGCGCCCGCATCCTCCCCTCCCATATAACCCCCACCCAATCCCAATCCCTCATCCTCGCCCTCTACCGCCTCTCCTTCGCCAACCCCCCCCACGACCTCTTTCCCGTCACCACCCTCCTCGAAGCCCTCATCCACCCGGTCGCCTTCGACGACATCCTCGCCATCGACCCCCCCGTCGACTTCATCTCCGGCCTCGCCCTCGCCGCCCGCCCCTTCCACAGCCTCTGCCTCTCCATCCTCGAGAAAGCCGCCCAAGATGCCTCGCTCGCCCGCCGCCTGGCCACCACCCACCCGCAGGCATTCGTCGCTCTCGTCGGGTTCTGGCTGATCAGCGACGACGAGCAGCTGTCGCGGCGCGCGGGGAACCTGTTACAGGACTTGCTGCGCGTGGACGTCGAGACGGGGGCCGGGGATGAGGACCCGAGCGGGACGCCGGGGTCGGGGATCGTGTCGAGCGCGGGGTGGCGGGGGACGGTGTGGCGGCGGGTGTTCCGGGATCGGGACACGTACGAGGCGATCATTCGGGTGTGCGACACGGAGTGTCATCCGGAGTTTGAGGGAGTGGAGATCGGGGAGCGGACGGTGCGGCAGGTGAGGAGCACGGCGAGGGCGAGGTTGCTGGAGTGGATTCCGGAGGTGGCGAGGATGGATTGGGATGCGGTGACGAGGGACCATCTGGCGTCGGAGACGTCGTGCGCGCATTTAAAATCATTCAGGTATGGGTTGTTGGAGCTTGCCGTCGATCATGGGTATGACAAGATGGACGTGGTGGTGTATCGGATTGCTTGCAATGCCATCTCCGAGTTGATCACCATCCAAGAGAGTTGGGAAGACAGGTATGGCCTATACAGAGACCGTCATATCGCTTCGCTAACGGTTCGTAGTGCCTCTTCGCGCTCCCTCGAAGCCATCAAATCCCTAGGATTCCATGACCGGTTCACCTCAATGTACTTGCATCCGCAGGGGGACCACGGCTATGATGAATTGGACATGAACCTTCTCGGCCCGGCAGTCGTGGAATATGTCATGGTGTATGTCTCCTCATACCCCGACCTCTTCGGCCAATCCCCGTTCTGCAAACAGGTCCTCGACAAGTTCGAAACCACTTTCGACCAACCCCCCCGACTATGGGGCGACGACGGAGCCGGCGATTTGGCCGTGTTACGCTTCTTCCCCAAACGCTACCTCCTGCAATCGCCCACGCCCCATCAAGGCATCAACGTGCTCGGCTTCCTCGACCCGAAGCTCGGCGACGATGCCCTCCTCCGCACCTTCGCAGCCGTCTTCGCGTGTCAAACCCGCGGTTTCGGCACCGTCCCGTCCGCCGCCCGCTCCGCCGACGCGCACATCACGGACGACGACCGCTCCGCTGCCCGCCTCCTGTACTACCAGTTCCTGGAGAAGTATTCCAACATGTGGTACTTCATCGGCTTCCACGCGGACGCTGGCCCCGCGCGGAAAGACGTCGTCCTCGCCGCCCTTGATCTGATCGACGCAATGATCGACGTCAAATGGTCCACCTCCACCGCCTGGATCACCGCGGAGGAGCTGCGGTCGATCGCCGAGCGCTACGAGTCGCGGCCGCCGACCGGGATCCTGGCGCTCATCAGCGGCGAGGCCATGAGCAACGTCGTGACAAACCTGATGTCGATCCCCAAGTCCATGTCGCTGGCGCGCGACGACGACCACGCGATGCACGAGATCGCGACGCGGCGGTTCGACGTGTTGGCGAAGCTGTTTAAGAGCCTTAGTCGGGAGGCGGCGGAGCGGAACAATAAGGACGAGCAAACGACGCTGAATAGTTTGGCGGAGCAGATACAGCGACGGTTAGGGGCGGGGGTGTGGCCGCGAGCGGCGACGCGGGCGACCAGTATCGCCACCCAATCGCGGTGATGTGGCTATATAGGGCATTGGAAATTCGGAATCATGGTTATGGGCGTACGGTAGGATATCCCGAGGATCATTACAAAAAGGAGAACGACTTCAAAAGCAACGACTTACGGGTCGAAACCTGAATAGGTCGACCAAAGGTCGACGACAGAACAGACAGATGGACACCAAGCTTCAAATGCAATCTATAATGAAAACCTCCACTTACCATTTGCAACTTGTTCATGCCATTCACCCAAGATAGCCGTCGCCCAACAGCTGAATGCTTCCGCACACCATATCTGTAGGGCGGATGATCTTCCACCATCGGGGCCGCGCGCAACCACAGATGGTCATCGTGTTCGTCGGGACATCGAACAACTCCACCAATCCAGACGTCTGCAATGAGACAATGACATTAGCCCAACCCTCCTAAGTTCTTCGACACCCAAGAACCCCTCCGTCCGATCTCCAAAAACTCGCGAGATGCGCCCGTCCCCACAGCTCTACATACCTGACACTCCCAAAACTCCCTTCCTCTTCCCTCCGGATTTATATCCCGCAATAGCGCCGCCACCGCTGCCTCTGCGAACGCCGGCGGCAGGCAGTAGATCAGAACCGCGGACGAGAGGAGGCCGAGGCCGAGGCCGAGGACGAAGCCGGCGAGGAGGGCGCAGAGGACTTTTTGCCAGTGGGGGCGGTGGGTGAACCAGTTGGGGTCCATGGTGGGATGGGATTAGAGGGGGGATAGGGGTAGAAACTAGGGAGGGAGGAGGGGAGGGAAGGTGGTGAGAGAAGCTGAAGTTATGGTTGATGGGGATATTTCTGGGCTGATGGGAGACACGTGCGGAGATAGCGGAGTTGATATGTGACGCGTTTCTTCCTTAACATATACAAAAGCAACCCTTCGTACGGTTTCACAAATTTACGATCAGAACATCAATTTTATTTTAGATGGAGTAATAGGACGTATTTCTTGCCATTCACAGATCCATCTCAAAAACCTATACAAACAACCTACAACTTAGCCTTCCCCCCCACCACCCTCACCAACGCCCTCCCATTACTCAACGCCACCTTCCCTCCCACCACCTTCGTCACGAACCTCAACTCTTCAAACCCCTTCCCATCCACACTCCCCGTCCGCCAAATCTCCGTCACCAACTTATCACCGGGCTTCACGGGGCTCGCGAACCGCGCCTGGAACTCCCGCATGTTCGCGGGGTCCGACCCGCCGAACAGCTTCAACACCCCGTGCGCCGCCGCGTTCCACGAGAACAGCCCGTGCATGATCGTGCCGCCGAAGCCCATCTGCACGCCGGGGACCGGGTCCGCGTGCAGGGGGTTATAGTCGCCGTTGAGGCGGTAGAGATGCGCGGTTTCCGGGGTGGTTTGGACGGTGTAGGTAGCGTCGGGCTTCTTGTCGGCGGGGGGGTTGAAGGTGGGGTTTTTGGGGCCTGGAGAACAATGTTAGCGTGACAAGACCGGATTGCGTGGGTGAGGGGAAGTGGTTAACGGCATGTCGCTATGAACGCGTCTAGAAGGAGATCGAGGCTAGGAAATGTCGAACTCACCCTTCGGTCCGCCCCATCCGCCCTGCCCAACGTAGAACCCGCTCCCAATCACCGTCGTATACACCTCCCCACTCAGCTTATCCACCAAGCTGCTCTCGGTCTCGACGACGGTGCCGGGCTTCCCCTTGTCGTAGACGCCGATGACTTTGGAGCGCACCTCGAACTGGCGGCCCTCGCTGGTGGTCGGGATCGGCTTGAGGAAGGTCATCTTCCGCTCACCATCCACGGTGCGCTTGCTGTCGAGCTTCGGGACGCCGGGGATCGGCGTGGCGGACGCACGGGCATAGAAGTCGATGACTTCTTGGTTGGTGTGCTTGAAGGGGAGGATGATGGGATAGGTGGGAAAGACGGCGAACTCTGGGTGGAGTTCCTGGGTGGGTTAGCTGGGAGGGTTTCGACTTTCGAGATAGATGGGACGGGATGGCGATGGAGAGGAACATACGTAGAGGAAGTGAAGCTCATCGACCGTAGCGCCGATGCTGTTCGCAAACAGCAACGCATCCCGCTTCAACCACGAGACATCGAAGGAGGGGAACTCAAAGCCGGCGCCTGGGGAGCTCATGTTGTCGATTGGGGTATTCCACGGGTACTAATTGTCTCGTCGAATGAAAGGAGGATTGAATATTTGGAAGTATCAGACGGCTTCTCTCAACTTGCAATGGATGTCGAAATAAAAGAATCGATGGACGGGGAAGCTCGCGGATTTTCTCCCACGCGGAGAAGCTGGCGATGGGGGACCCAGCCATGGCCGGTTGCCGAGGTTGCCGGTGCCGGAGCTTGACAGCGGTGACGCGATTAGTAGACGCCATTGGGGAATCGTGAGGAGAAGTCGTGTTGGAAATGAGAGTTGGGTTTTGAATTAATGGGGGAATTGCGTTCCCTAAATACTGTGGTGGCACGAAGCGGAACGCTGTAAAATGCGGGTGGAAGTGCAGGTACGTACCATGGTAGGTGGTGATAGTGGCTTGGGACGAAGATCCGTACTACCACAACTCCTACGAGACATCAACTACAGTCACGAAGATCACATCAAGTCCAAGCACCATGAAAGAATTATCAACTTTTTGACTACCGAGCCCTCTTCGTCTCGTCACCAAGATCGGGCATCCGACTAAGTATATCAAGGTCCCGCTCCGCACCACCGTTCGCCAGTCGAAACAGAAGCACGATATGTCCACGCTGCTGAGAACCTGTCATCGGCAAACTGTATCCATCATCCTGGTGATAGAGCACTGGCTAGACCGTGCTGTTCTGCCTTCTCCGCCTATGTACGAGCTTCTATTCTCCAAGAAGCTCATCAGGTGATGACTGACCGTATGTCGAAGCCAACCCAGCCCTTTCTCCTCTCTCCATGCCGCGCTCCACCGCTATGTAGATAGTCACCGATCCATCGTAAACAGCACACCGCGCATCCGACCGCCCCGAAAACGAAGGGGGTGAGGGAAGAGAAGGTGATGACCATGAGAAATTATGGAACGCACGGCCCAAACAAAAAGAAAGACGGGCCGGAAGATGCAGAGCGAAAATGATGCACGCATGCGGGGATCCCCGATTCAAGCGAATCCGAAAATCGGGACCATGTAGAATCAACGCTCCGTGGGAATGCTAATCAACCGTGCCCAGCCACACCGAATTGATGAAGTTCGAGAAAGAGAGAGAGAAAAGGGGGTTTGCCACACTCCCGGTTGCAGATATGCAATGGGTGTGGACGGGCAACGTGAAAGTGATGATGATGATGTCCATGGGGGAAAAAAAACCGCAAAAACTCCGAAAATGACGCCGCCTGTGTGCGTGGGAATCGTGGGTACGTCGTGCTCGCCGATGGATGGATATGTACGTATAAGTAAACTCTCATTGTGCTCATTGTAGAATGGTTCCGTTGGTATCCCTTGCTCCCTTTCTCGGATACCCTCGATGCTGAGAAAATGAGGGGTGGTCGATTCGGAATTACGGATCGAACCCGCCCTGGAAGAGATGATCGTCGTGCTCCACCCCGCTCATCCGGTCGCCGCGCTTCGGGTCGGGGAAGTCCTTATCCCAATCCCCGTCCTCGTCTCCCTCGTCCATCTGGTCGTAGTCGTGCGCGTCCGGTTGGAACCGCCCGTCGAAATGCTTGTCGATCGAGCTCTCGTCCACGAACGTGAAGCCCTTGAAGTTCGCCTGCAGCGTCGGACTCAGCGGTGTGGACGCGGTGTTGACGCCCGAGGCGAGGGCCGCGGCGCGCGCGTTGAGCGAGCCTACGCCGCTACTCAGCGCGTTGGTGAATTCCGGGTCGAAGTTGGAGACGTCGAGCTCGGACTTGAGCTTCGGCTTGAAAGGCGGGACGACGTTCTTCTTCATCAGCGCGTCCCAGTCGACGTCTTCGAAGAACGGGTGCGCTTTCAGCTCCTCAGCGTCGCCGGTGAAGCCGAGGCGGTGCTTCGGATTGCGGTTCAGCAGGCCCTTGACGAAGTTGCGGCCTTCGGTGCTGAGCGCGTCGCGCGGGAAGCGGACTTTGCCGAACGCGATGTTCTTGTACATCTGCTGGGTGTCCTCCGCGTAGAAGGGCGACCAACCGCAGCACATTTCGAAGACGAGAACGCCGAGGGACCAAAAATCTACCATCTTGCCATATCCTTGTTCGTCCAGAAGAACCTCGGGTGCGAGGTATTCAGTCGTGCCGCAGAACGTGTTGGTGGTGGCGTTGCCGGTCAGGTTCGCTTTCGAGAGACCGAAATCGCAAAGCGCGATATGTCCGTTCGCGTCGAGGAGGATGTTCTCGGGTTTGAGATCACGGTATACGATATCGTGGTCGTGCAAATGCTGAAGAGCGAGGATGAGTTCAGCGATGTAAAACTTCGCGCGGGCTTCGGAGAAGCGGCCTTCTTTCTGGAGATGCCAGAAAAGCTCGCCGCCGGACATGTAGTCGGTGACCAGGTAGAGGTCGGTGGGGGTTTGGAAGGAGAATTTGAGGGCGACGATGAAGGGAGAGTCGGCCATGGCCGTCCGCACCAGGATATTCCTCTCGCCTAGCGTATGCGCCACCTCCTTCTTCTGCACGATGACTTTCTTCGAGAGGACCTTCATGGCGTAGATCCTTCCGGTATCCTTCTTGCGCACCTGGAAGACCTGTCCGAACGTGCCTTTTCCGATTAGCTTCAGGATCTGGAAATCCTCCGGCCCATAGTGCCTTTTTGACACCTTGTGGAACGCGATTCGCAGATGGATCTCTCCCGTGACTTTCTCGACATCTTCTCCTTCCCGAGCTTCCAGCGTGAACCAGCCGTCATGTGCCGTTTCGTATTCGATGAGGGTCGGACAGAATCGGATATGCCCAAGGAACGCATCCTGATTGGAGCGATCGTACACGGAGATGTCGATCTCCGAATGCCCGCCTACAACGTCGCTACACGTTCCGTCAGTTACTTCTCGATGCGAGTACTTATAAAAGGCGTACAAGGTTCCCTCATGATCCCACTTCGGATCCGTAACTTTCGTGGTTTTCGGCAGCTCCCTCGCATCCATCCCCGTACTGCTACTCTGTCTGCTTTTCATCGGAATGGCCTTCGGCCTCGTCGAGTCGCTGCTATCCGACCGTTGAATCGCGACGGCATCTCCCCGCATCCGCGCTTGTGGATCCTTTCTCGGGCCTGATGAGATGTATTCCGACCACTGAAACTGGCAGACGACGTATGGATCGAGGCTGGGCCGTAGGCCTCGGCCTTCGGTGATGCATACGGCGAGTTTGCCGGTCGGGTTGCGGACTGGGGGAACGGGTTCGCTGGCGGAGGAACGGATGGAGGGGGTGTGGGAGGGGGTGTGGGCCGGTTTCGGTTTGGGGTCTTGCGAGCGGGATCTAGGGGTGTGTGGTGGCGTGCTCTGTCGTGATGGCGACAAGGCGCCTTCAGTTAGCACTTTCTGATCGGGCTTGGGAATCTGAGTGGATGTGGATGTGGATGAGGAAGTTCGAGGGGGTGCGATGCTGTTGAGAAGGGATGTGGAAGCTCTGTTCGGAGGGGGACCTGAAGCCGGCGACGAGAACTCAGAGGCGCTGGCGGTGTGGGTGGACAGCACGCTGTTCAGAGGACTCGTGTTGACAAGAGTGTATCTGCGCAGGTGAGAACTGGGAGAGGAGGGCTTGATGTCGGTGTCCGAGAGACTTCGAGGTCCCAACGACAACGCATGGCTACCTCGATGTGACCTCTCGTCTCGGCTGCCTCGGGTCGACGACGATGACGAGGTCGGTGGGGTAGGGTACGAAATCGGGGACACGGAGATCCGCTCATGGGGAAGCAGTGGGGGGGAATCGTCACTGGTCATGGGCGTCTCTGAGGGAGAGCATGGAGCGGTTGGTAATCCGCACGCTGGATGCTTCTCGGTCGAGTCTGGTGCGATATCGGCTTCAGGTGCAGGTGTAGGTGAGGGAGTGGTGCAGTGGTTGAGCTTCGCGCTGCGGTCCATAACGAGGGAATTGGGCTTTCTGGGCTGGGATAAAGGTTGGCTTGGAAGGGAATCACAAACCTGGCCAAAGTAGCTATGTACGATGCCGGGAAGTCGTTTGTCGGTGAAATCCGGGCGTGGGGTGGCAGCGCCGGGTGGGGTCGAGCTGTTCGACCCGATGCCATCGTGGTCGTCGTCGCCTAATAATCTGGTGGGAGACGCTAGCGTGTTAGCGTGCGGCATATTGTCGGTGATGGAAAATTGTTGCTGAGTGAGAAAAAAAATGCGAGGGATCAAGAAGAAATAGAAAAACGAAAGGGCAGAGAAAGAGTCGGCCGGTGCGGAGAGAGTCCGTGAGGATGTGTGTGGAAAAGATGGATGGAGAAGAGAAGACCAGACGAGCGGATGATGGACGATGATGATGGCAAGACGCGGTTCCAGGTCAAGGTTCCAGGCCGGTTGTGTGTAACAAGGGACGACCGAGTGGCTTGGAGTGATTCAGTGATGCAGTCAGGGCCTTCGAGTCTTGACCGTTCAGTGATTCGACTGTTCAACAGAAACCTCCAAATGCGGACCGATGGGTCCAGCGACTTAGTGACGGCAAATTTCCCAAAAATGCCACTAGAACCGAGCGGCTATGATTGCCTTTTCCGGCCTTTTCATTGGTTATCACTTGCGCAGTCGAGTTGCTGACCCTGTCCGTTGGTATTTGGTAGCAGTGTCGCTGCGTCAGTGTTTGGTGGTGGAAAATCGAGGGGTAGAGGATGCACTATGCAGCTGGAAGGCCTGTAATCATGTACAAATTTTCACATCCTTCCAGCCCAAGTCTCTCCTGCGCACATAACAGGGAATTCGGTTATGGCCGTAAATAGGAGGCGGATTGGTAATGATGGGGCGGTGCCGAAAAATCGCGATTTCGTGGTCTTTCGAGCTGACTCTTGCACTGCCGGTACTCTGTAACTTGTTGCAAAGTCCGCAGCGTTACACTCAAATATCATCTCCCACGTCACTATCGAGTGACAAAATATGGCGGCATGTGACATCGCAGTCGAGTTCCTGGGAACACCCTGGCACCAGCTGCGGAAATGCCAGATTTGTCTCCATGTCATCTCCGGAATATCAGATGGTGTCCCCGCTCATCGGATCTCGACCACCCCCATGAACCGCATCCGATCCATATCTCCATAGGGCCTTTTCCACAATCGCGCGGAAGAAACACCCTTGCACTGTTGCACTGTTACACCGTTGTAAGCTTGCACGACTTTGTTCATGTTGCCTTGCAATCTTGCGGTTGCATCGTGGAGGGGCGTCGTAGATCGATCCCGCAGTGCGTCCGGGTGATGGCGCCGGATTGTTGGTGTCGCGCTTGTCCTGTCGACGTCGTTGTCCTTGTCTCCCACCATGTCACGGATCGATATGACCTCATTTTCATCTAAAGGTGCGACGCGGCGAATATCGCCAGTCAACTGCTCAAAGATGCGGGGAGTCATGATGTCGTTCCGGTCCGTCATCGTGCTCTGGTCCGGAATAGCCCGTCCGGAATGTCCATCCAATGGAGGGGAAGTGGTCGGGATAAATCCAGATGCTCGTGCTTCGTGCTGCTCTCTCTCCTCTCTCATGACTCTCTCACCATCGGGCTGCTGCCAACTGACGTTTGCGCATCGTGGGAAAATTGGGCATCACTTCGGGTAAAAACCGCATGGACATTGCACTTACCTCGGAGGATTACTCTGCATCATCGCCTGGCGCAACAGGTCGGTCGCGGTCTCCTGGCCGGCCATGGTTGCGGACAGTCGCTTCAATCCCGAAACCGAGCGGGAATCCGGTGGAAAGCTGGTGGTGGATAAAGTAGGGACGACGCTGGCAGATTTGTAGGTTGCGGTTTGACGAAGCGGTGGGCGGGACGAGGTGGCTTTGCTGGAGGAATTAGTTCGTGGTATGGCGGGGTCTTTCGGTCGGCCGGGTTTCGCGCTGGATCGCGTCGCTTGTGATGACTCTTCTTCCCGGCGGGCAGAGATGCTCCCTTGGCGGGAACAGGATCGATGGTGGTCACGATTCTGGTCACAGTTCTGGCCACAGTTCTGGCCACAGTTCTGGCCACAGTTCTGGTCACAGTTCGTGTCCGACTGGTTCGCGATCTTGTCGCCGAAATGGGTGGTCTGGAAGCTTTTGTTCCGCTGCAGAGTCAGGCCTCGAAGCGCCTGAGCCGCGTTGGACAGGGTCGATATTAACCCGTTGGACGCTGTCTTGGCCGCCGGTTCATTCTTCTCGGATTCCGGCACATTTGCAAGCGGCTGAGGACGATCCTGCGGTTCTCGCGGAGTGGATGTGGTCGCGGAAATATTCGATGGATTTTCGTTTTCGCCTTGCTGCTGGTCGCAGGCGGGTTTTGAAGTAGAAAGTGACCGCGCGGGGGCTGACTCGACTGGCTGGGGAGCCGCCATTTTGTCGTCCACCGCCTTGGGCCAGGCGGTTCTACTGTTGGCTGTCGTGTTCCGAACTCTCTTTTTCGTTCCGTCGCTGGTCCTTGCAGCCTCCCGGCTCCCCTGGTCCCTTGGGTTTCTGCAGACGGGTTCCTTTCCGGGTGGGCCAGAAGGATTTGTGTCACTTTCGCAAGGTGTGGAAGATGAAGTCCAATAAGTTTGATAGGGTGGTTCTGGAAGATTTCTCCGGTGCAGGCTGCGTCCGAAGGTGAGAGGTGTAGAAGCTGTTTCCAATGCGATGCGCAGTAGTGAAGAGCCGTCAAAGACCTATGATGTAAGGAGAATTAAGTCGAGATCAAGGATGAAGAAATTTTGGAAGAGGGAAATGTGAAAACCGTGTCGAATGGGTTAGTTGAGGAAGTGAAATGGGCATGTTCACGCTGAAGCAAGACAGTGGGACATTATTGGGACTGCCAGCGGAATCGCGGACCAGCAACAGAATGTGAACACTGAACTGTGAAGTGAGGCGGGCGTCGTCCACGGAGATGATAGCGAGAGGCGAGATCATCCACTCGGCGGATCTGGACTTCTGGAGGCGGGAATCCCTGTTCTGGCTCATATGCATTGGATGATTTACGAGATGATGATTATTCGCATGCTTATCGGTCTTCTATTCTCCGTTCAAATGTTACACTGGGATCGACTCCGGGAGCGTCGTCACTTCTCTCGGCCATCTCAGCCATCACAGCCATCGACACCGCCAACTTTGGTTCAACCAAACTTTGGCGATTGCTTTGTGGACATCAATCAATGCATCAATCAAGGTATAGGACGTTGAGCACGCCTTCACCGCGTCTTCACCGCGCCTTCACCTTCACCGCTTTCCTTCCCATTGTCACGATTACCACGATTATCATGTTCATGGCGGATAGAAACCCTTTCACCCTTTCATCCTTTCATCCTTTCACGCTTTCACGTTGCCTCATGCCAAATGCGACCTGGATGACGTCTATTAAAAGGACTGATATTCAGTGTAACATTGGATCGCTGTGTGCCCTGCATTCGCTGCCAGATTCCAGGTCTTAGATGGGCCCAGGTCAAGCCAGACCCCTTTGACATGTACGACGACTTTGACGAGTCGATCCAGCGGCCAATCAGTATTCCAACACTTCACCTTCTCGATCAATGCTCATTATCGATACATGTGTGCAGCAAGGTTGTACCGCACATTGCATCAGATTTGACTCTTTACTCTTGCTGCTATTAGTGTGGGAAGTGAAGTGAACACCTCCTTTATTCCATTTAGCATCATCTCCTGGCTTGATCGCCTCTTAACTCTTAACTCCCCGAACAAAGTCTTACCGATCCAAAAATGGATCGAAAAAAAGCTTGATGCGGATCACACCAATCAGATCCTCCCTGATTGCCCCACTGATCCACTTCAAGTAGTTGATTGGTGGGACCCGATCTTCTGAACATCAGGGAGATATCTGAGCCCTCGGCAATGGGAGAGTGCTGCATGGCGGCGGCGTGGCGGCGGCGCAGCCCGGTGCGCATCTGCCATGGAAAATGGATGGAGGGGCGGCGGGCCGGAGGGATGAGCCAGGGGAGGGAGGGCGAGGTACGGAGTACAAACTGCACAGATTAGCCAGGGCACAGGGAGGGGTACAGGCAGGCCAGGAACCCACGTTGCCGGCTTCACTCCCCGATGTCCTCGGCTCTGTCTGGCGGCGCTTGGGCTATGCCGCGGGCGCTGTGGTGCGACGATGGGATATCAACCGACGAGCTGCACTGCATAACGTTATTGGGGTTCTCTCACACTGCCTATTAGGTCGATTTTCCCGGATAGGTTCCTTTGAGAGAATTTGAAGGTATCCAGAAACGATTATGATATGATTGCATGAGAGCGCGACAAGATACCCTCCCCGTGGATTGACATTTCCGCCTATCCCTTGCGAATAGATCGAATAGACTTCCCCTACTTTCCCCCATTATTAATAATTCCTCCTCCCTGTCCTCCCAATGGGTTCCGCATTCCGCACATTGTCCCCGACGGCTCTCTCCCACTTCGACACCATCCCGTGGTGCGCTGCCCTCATCTCCTCCCCCAACTACCACCCCACCTCCCTCCCCTCTCCCCCCGAACCTGGACGCGACTCCTTCTTCACCACCACCCTCCGCGGCCCAGAGACCATCCGCGCCGTCTACCCCCTCCACACGCGCCCGGACCCCTCCCTCGCCGTCCCCATCCGCGAAACCCGCATCCTGCTCGCCGTCGGCAACCAGCTCAATGGCCACACGCACACCGCCCACGGCGGGTTCAGCGCCGCAGTGCTGGACGAGGCTATGGGCGCGTGGATGACGATTAATCGGGAGTGGAACGAGCGAAGGGGGAGGGAGAGCGTGCCGAAGATCGGGATGACGTTAACGATGACCACCACCTATTTGCGGCCCGTCTTGACTCCGGGCGTCGTGCTGGTGACGGTGAGGTGCGAAAAGGTTGAGGGGCGGAAGTGGTGGTTGTCGAGTACGCTGGAGGATGGGAGTGGCGCCGTGTTGGTGAAGGCGGAGGGGCTGTTTATCAATCCGCGCGCGTTGATATAGAGTGGACGACGGTCTCACTACCGGCCTCATCGCGACTTCATGCAGGAGGGTCAATGGGGGATTACACTTCCCGAGCTCTTTTGTTACCACGATACATCTGCAGCCTGCGTATCCGATTGCCCAAAGGTACAGGGGTTCTTGTTCAGACGCATCTGCAGTTCCACACCTACCACCCGATCATCAGATGGTATCAGAAGAAACATAGTACGGAAATGTCATCGGCGAATAAGTCCCTCCATCCGACAAGTCGAACGGCTGTCAATACCTATTTGTATGCTATTTGTAATATGGCCAGCATATGTCAATAGGGTCAGGATGATCGTTCAGATGTAGTACGTAGTTACAGCAGTAGCCCCACGGAGATCGGGGGCGAGACAGGCCGAGGTTCCACCCTTGTGCCTGGGTGTCGCAGAGGTGGCATCTCGACGGACGACGGTGGAGGTCATTGACCTTTGATAAAACTTTAATCACCTTCGTCGTTGGATATATGGGACATCTCGCCCCTCAATTCCTCATTCCTTTTGCTCATTTCGCCCTTTCTCGACGCGTTCAGCCGATTGCCAATTGATTGAAGTATTCAGAGCATCGCATCACCACCCCATACCCCCACGAGACGTCGATCTTCTACTCCATTTACGCCACCGTATACTTACATCATACACCATGGACGCCTCCCCCGGCGCGATGCTCCGGATGCTGGTGCCGAAAGTGCCATTAATCCTCAAGACCACTGTCGCCCATTCCGTCGGCCTATCCGAAACCGCCTCGAAATGGGACCTGAAAACCGAGCTCACCATTAAGGTGATCCGCTCGTTCCTCAACACGAAGCACCCCACCCCGATCTCCAAAGCGCAGAAGGGCTCCCTCCGCGACCCTGGCGTCAAGGGTCGCATGTGGGTGAGCCGCGTCGAGCTACCCGCGCCTGCCGAGGACGACATCCGCGAGGTACTGTTCAAGGCGATCGACGACCTGAATGTCGGGGGCGAGGCGTATTACCAGCGACCCGATGCCCGGTCCGTCACCGCTGAATGGACGGGATACCGCGCCAATGTCGGCAAGGAGGAGCCGGAGCCGGAGATCTCGGAGCCGGAGAAGTACGCGAACCTCATGAAGGAGAACGGCAGCACGCCCACCATTCTCTATTTCCACGGCGGCGCGTACTACCTCATGGATCCCGCGACCCACCGGCCCTCCACCTCCCAACTCGCCCACCTCAGCGGCGGCCGTGTCCTCTCCGTCCGCTACCGCCTCGCGCCGAAGCACCCGTTCCCCGCCGCGCTCCTCGACGCGCTCCTCGCCTACCTCTCCCTCCTCTACCCGCCCCCCGACGCCCTCCACGCTCCCGTCCCCGCCTCTTCCATTATCTTCGCCGGCGACTCCGCCGGCGGAAACCTCTCTTTCGCGCTCCTCGGCCTCCTCCTGCACCTCAACCGCAGCGGCGCCGCCACGCTAAATTTCCACGGGCAGCAAGTCTCCCTCCCCCTCCCCGCCGGCGTCGCCACCAACTCTCCCTGGCTCGACGTCACCCGCAGCATGCCCTCCATCGCCACGAACCTTAAATATGACTACCTCCCCCCACGCGTCCCCGTCGCGAACATGGCGCCCATCCCCCCCTGCGATTTGTGGCCTGCCACGCCGCCCCGCGCCGACCTGTTCTGCCACGCCGCCATGCTCTCCCACCCGCTCGTGTCCCCGCTCGCCGCCCCCTCGGAATTCTGGACCGGAGCGCCCCCGCTGTTCTTCACCCTCGGTGAGGAGATGCTGGAGGATGAGGGTCGGGTGGTGGCGCGCCGCGCAGCGAAAGCCGGGGTGACGGTGGTGTGGGTGGAGTTCGAGGCGATGCCGCACTGCTTCGGAATGCTGTTCGCGGGGACGCCGGGGTCGCGGCGGTGTTTCGAGGAGTGGGGGCGGTTCTGCAAGGCGGTGGGGAACGGGGAGGCGGTGGTGACGAAAGGGACGTTTCTGCGGGCGAAGACGTTGGCGGCGGAGGAAGTGGAGGTGGCGACGATGCGGGCTGTCGAGGATGCGGAGGTGGCGCGGTTGATGGAGGAAGTGAGGCAGGAGCAGGTTAGACATGAGGCCACGCAGATGAAGGAAGTTGCGAAGCTATAGGTGTCAATAATCGAGCGAATGTAATAACTTTTGGAGCAACACCGATCAAATGCTTGTGTGTGGGGTGGAGGAATCGTAAATTAGATGCTCTCCGCACCCGTCAACCGTGTATACGCCTCCATATACCCCTGATACGTCCGCTCCGCCACCTCCGCCGGCATCGTCACCCCCTCTTTCCCCTTAAGTCCGTTCGCGATCAGCCAGTCCCTCAGGAACTGCTTATCGAGGCTCTCCTGCGGCCGGCCGACCGTGTACTTCGTCGCGTCCCAGAAGCGGCTGCTGTCCGGCGTCAGCACCTCGTCCACCAGCACAACGCTCGGCGGCTGCGTCGACTCGTCGAGCGCAAACTCGAACTTGGTGTCCGCGATGATGATGCCGTGCGCTTGGGCGTAGTCGCGCGCGGCGGAGTAGATCTGGACGGAGAGTGAGGCGATTTTGTTGGCGTACTCGCTACCGATGATCTTGGCGGCTGGGTAGTCGTCAGTCTGGGATGCGAAGTACCGAGAGGGGAGACAGACCTTGCTCGGGAGTGATGTTCTCGTCGTGTTGGCCGGCTTCGGCTTTTGTACTGGGCGTCCAGAGCGGAGTGGGAAATTGTTGGCTCTCTTGGAGTCCTTCGCCGACGTTGATACCGTGCACCGTCCCAGATTTCTTGTACTCGGACCAGGCACTACCCGTGATGTAGCCACGGACGATCGACTCGATCGGAAACACTTTGAGTCGTTTGACCTGCATGCTCCGGTCCTGATACAACTCTCCCTCTTTCGTGCCGGCCAGCGCCTTCGGCAGGTCCAGAGAAATGAAATGAGTCTCCAACGACGCCGACGGGAGCAGCTTGGGGATTTGCGTGAACCAGAACCGGGACATCAGAGTCAAGATCTTGCCCTTATTGGGGATGCCATTCTCCAAGACGACATCGAACGCACTGATGCGATCGGTCGCTACGAAGAGTAACGTCTTCGCATCGATCTCGTATACATCTCGGACTATATTCCGTTAGACCTAAAATGACGCTCGATCCTCCAGATCCTTCAATTGCACTGACCTTTGCCTTGGCCTAGCAGCTTGTAATAGCGCCCTAGGTCCGTGGAAGTAAGCACCATCTCTCCGGTCAAGGGATAAAGCTATGACTGCAAATGTATATAAGAATCAACTCCAATTGAATCTGTTCTCTTTCGTTCTCTTTCGACGACGGAATCCGATGACTCTAAATTTTTATATTGGATTGGGCCAATGGCGACAGGATGGTGTTGATGTTGGGGTGAGACCGGGGGAGCCTGTCGGGCGTCGGCTTAATTAGTTGCATCATCATCTACCAGCGCCATCCTGCGTCACCATCAGTTACCATCCCATCCGTACACCCTGTCCCTTCATTCACTTATATCCCTCGCAAGTCACAAGTTCACATCGTCCACCGTCAACGCTCTGTACAGCTATAACCATCCGTTCCTTCATTACCACACATCCGACAATTCCACTCAATGAAATCCTCCACAACCAACTCCTAAACTCCATCCCCCCACTGTCGGCAACCGAGCCCCATCCATCACCAGACCCCAACACATCATGGCGCCTTACCCATTAGATACCGAAACTAACCCCTCCCGCGACAAGCCCGACGACAACGACAACGACAACGACAACCACCACGACGGCATCCCCGGCTGGGCCATCTTCCTCATCATCGTCATCCTAGTCGCCATCCTCGCCTCCGCCGCCTGGTTCCTCTGGGTACGCCTCCGCGCTCGCCGCAACGCCTCCTCCCTCCCCGCGCCTGCCCGCGGCGGGATCCTCGGCTGGCTCCGCTCGCGCCTCAATTCTGCGAAGAACCGGCGGTCGGCGCCCGGCGCCTACGAGCCGTCGGGGTATGGCGGACGGAGCGGGCATGCGATGGATCACGACGAAGCGTGGGATGCGCGGGTGGGGCACGAGGCGGATGCGTATGGGCCGGCGGGGTATTATGAGGAGCAGGAATTGGGGTTGCATCCGTACCGGGGGCGGACGGAGTATGAAGGAGGGGGAGGGGCGCCGGCGGCGGGGTTGACGGTGGGGGTCGATCGGGGGAGGAGTACGAGTCGGCAGCGGGATGCGGAGGATGGGTATGATGAGGGCGTGACGAGGGGGGGCGTGGCGCCGTTGGATCGGGATCCGTTCAGCGATGAGGCAGAGCAGAGTAGTTTGCGGGGGGTCAGTCCGAAGCCGATTGATACGGACAAAGCGCAGAAGAGCAAAGCGGACGGAGGGGCGAGTACGGATAACAGTCCGACGGAGAGAAGGAGCATGTTCCGTGAAAATATGTAGGCTGGGAGCATCTGGGTTTCGGCCATCTGTACGACAGCAAGCGGGCTTGTGGTGCTTATGACTTTCCGGTCTATTGTATGGACTTATGTTTACAGCTCGGTAAAAGGCTTAAGGCTAGCCGATGATACGGATATATGACTGCTTGGCTTCAAAAGTATCATGATGCACTTTGTGCGGCCAATCTCCTTGACATGTTACCAGTATGATTGGGGATGCGTAGTCTCTAGTTGCACAAAAGAAAGGGTTGTACATGATTCTACGTTGATAACATCGTTTAGTATGACGCCAACGTCTAACTAGTACTATGGAATCCTATATATATAATTGCTCTAGCTACAATAAAGCACCTCTGTTGGCTATGGAGACTCGGGATCGCAATCACTACTAACACGGGAATGGCGCAATCTAGACCCTGTCCTTCAAACACTCTAAGAGAGAGACTCGTCAGACCGGACGAAAAGCAAGCGGGAGCGATTACCGATCAACCTCTAAAGGAAAGAACCGAAGTTTCGAATCGGTCGACGACGGACTCTAGGGCTTACGGATTTATATAACGCGAGGTGTTTCGCATTTCATGTTCAACATGAATTTACAATACCAACATCCGAACACGCACATCGATTTCTTTTCATCTGCTCTTCATGTCCCTGGCTACCGGTGAAACCGAGCATGTACACAGCCAGCATGTCTATACACTCGCCGGACAAGTGAAAGATGGGGAGGCATATCGGCTAGTGCCTGAGAATGGAACTACCCCGGAATTGTTGCTTGAGCCATCTAGGATCGTGGTAGCGAATGAAGACGAGATCATTTTTGTGAAGCCCCGAGACCTCGGGGATAAGAACGCCCTTCCGCAGCTGGATTCCGTTCGATGCCACCAATTACCGGAAAGCTTCAAGAAACTCTGGTCATCCCAATGGCTCAATCCGGATCCGAAGAGTAGGCTTCCGAAAGAACGACTTCGAGTGATCGTGTCGACCCTCTCTGGCCTTGGTCAGTCTCAAAGATTTTACGAGGAAACGATCCTACCACTCCTGAAACGCTTGGAGATCGACTTTGACCCTCATTTCACCGAATCCCCATGGTCCGTATCGGAAATCACGGAACGTGAAATCCTACCGAAGGCACTAAAAGGGGAGAAGCAATCGGTCCTGTTGCTTTCCGGCGATGGTGGCATTGTGGACATGGTCAACACCCTCCGCGGCGCGATGGATCGATCACAAGAGCATGGAGCGCAGTCCCGGTACCGCAACCCTTCCATCTTCCTCATCCCAATGGGGACCGGCAACGCCCTCGCCAACTCCACCGGCATCCTAAACGACGAGACCACCGGCCTGTCTACCTTCCTCCGCGGCATCCCGCACCCCCTCCCCCTCATGCGCGTCTCCTTCTCTCCCGATGCGAAACTCCTCGCCAACGAAGCCACCGAGGAGGAAGATCTCCCTCGCGACGCAGCCACCGGCCAGCATCTCCTCTACGGCGCGGTGGTCTGCAGCTGGGGCGTTCACGCCAGCCTCGTCGCCGACAGCGACTCACAGGAATACCGCAAGTTCGGCATCGCCCGGTTCCAGATGGCGGCGCGCGAGGCGCTGTTTCCCGGCGACGGAAGCCCGCCACATACGTACCGCGGGGTGGTCAGCGTGCTCACCGAGGAAGGTCGATGGGCGCCGATGGAGCGCAGGGAGCACATGTACGTGCTGACGACGCTGGTGTCTGCATTGGAGAAGGGGTTTAGCATTTCTCCGGCGTCGATGCCCATGGATGGGAAGCTGCGGGTGGTGCATTTTGGGCCGGTGGGGGGGAAGGAGTGTATGCGGATTCTGACGGAGGCGTATCATGGAGGGGCGCATGTTAAGGACCCGAGTGTGGGATATGAGGAGATTCAGGGGCTGCGGGTGGACTTTGCGGACTTGGAGTCGGATAGTCGCTGGCGGAGGGTCTGTGTTGATGGGAAGATCATTCGCGTTGGCGGGAATGGGTATTATGAAGTGAGGCGAGATCCTCTGGTATGTATGGAGGTGGCACGGATGATCTAAATGCTAGACGGAATTCTCAATTCATCCATATGATAGATGCTATTCAAAACGATGCGAATTCCATACCTGTACTCCGTATCATGTACGGAATATGTCTGTGGTACCAAAGTGGATCACATGTAATTTCATATTTCACAGCAAGCTTTCCAAGGATTTAGACTAGCACCAAACCAGCCTAGCGTTCAATCTTACCCGCCCATCAGCTTGTGACGTCGAACTTCCTCAACACAAAGATGAATGATGAAAGGATCTGATCATGGAACACTGAGAAGCCGACTCCCGGACGCATCCACCCCGTCTCGCTGCACGCTTCCATCATCCGCGTCTCTCTCCATCTGGTCTGGGCCTAAACGTGGGTCGATTACCCCTAACTCCCCCCCGCCGTCCCTTGTCATCGGCACTGCTCAGGTCATGTTCGGCTCCCTCCACGCCGTGCCGCCACCAACCGGTACCTCCACAGAAATCACCCCCTCCCACCACGATATGAATGCTTCTCAACGCGCGTGCCTACGAAATCTCGCAGTGGGTGGGAAACGACAACCCGCAAGGATCGAATACTCCGTTCTATCAGCTGCACCCGGCCTGGCGTCAACGGGTTTCGGAGACGCAACAGGCTAGGAGGATGCTGCTATTGCACCAGGTGGGGAGTGTAAAGGTTGGAGAAGTGGTCCGGTTCGTTAATCCCCTTTTCGGCCTCGTTAAATTCGCGTGTTGACGAGACTGCAGCTATCATCTCACCTATACACCGGCAGCCGATCGCATCCTCCCTAGTCCGGAGAAGTTGTATGTTAGGATTCGCAATACCGCCGCCCTCCCCCTCCGTGCTGCATATCTTCACGGTCCCTACAATCTCTACGTTGCAACCTATCCTGCAACCTTCGATCCGAATTCAAAACTCGAAGACCCGAAACAACATGGAGTCCCAGAGTATGAGCCCTTCCTCAAAGCAGGAGGTTCGTGGATGTCAAAGTTGGTGGTCCCCGAAGACATCCGCATTAGTGGCCATAGACCAGATGATGATACACGCGGGAGCGTGGATTATGACAACCCAAGGAGCGTGACGTGGATTATTGAGATCGCGTCCCAGATCATCTTCTCCGCGACCGCGTCGGTGAACTTCGAGTTGCTCGTGGGCCGGGACGAGCGGTCGCTCGAGCTAGGTTACGCTCCGGTCGCAAATGGTGGGAAGGCCGATCCGGGAAAGATTCCGGACTATTTGTTACGCCATCACCACCATCCGGTAGCCGGGCACCACGTTCATGCGACGCATCAAAAGCCGAGCCGGAACGGCATCTTCTCAAAGGCGGTGGATCTGCGCGTGGAGGACACAGCAGCTCTTTGGTCGAAACCGTCGTTGCCGGTGTGGGACCATGAGTGTACGGACGATGGTCACCATGGCTGTTGCTATCTCAAGGAGAAGGTCAAGAAACAAAAGAAGATTCATTTAGTCATCTTGACGCATGGCCTGCATAGTAACTTGGGTGCGGATATGCTTTTTATGAAGGAGAGAATCGAAGCCGCGGCTCGAGAAGCTAAGAAAGCAAGGAAGAGGAAGAATGAAAGCACAGGGACAGGTCCTGAAAGTCGCGATGGTCCAGCTTTGCACCGCTCAGCGACCGACGACTCCACTGCTTCAAACCGCACAGTCCGGCCTGAAGGCGATACCCTGATCCAGACGGGCGAAGACGAAGACGAGGATGTCATGGTCCGTGGCTTTCATGGCAACGCAGCGAGAACCGAACGAGGCATTCAGTACCTTGGGAAGAGGCTTGCGAAGTATATTTTGGAGCTCACCTACCCGCATCAGCCGTATCTACCAATGAAGAGGTCCATGTCACAACGAATATCCGGGAACTTCCAGAGCGATAAAGCAGGGGAACCCGAGGCTCACGCCGGCAGCTCGATCCGTCAAAGTGACCCAAAATCCGACGAACTTGCTGAGAAGTTGCCATATCGGTATACAAGCATCAGCTTCGTCGGACATTCATTGGGAGGCGTCATTCAGATGTATGCAATCGCATACATCCAAAAGCACTCTCCCAAATTCTTCGAGCGGATCCAGCCGGTCAACTTCATCTCCCTCTCTTCGCCCTTGCTCGGTCTGAGCAACGAGAACCCCATGTACGTGAAGTTCGCCTTGGACTTTGGACTCGTCGGCCGAACTGGCCAAGATCTCGGTTTAACCTGGCGAGCCCCGACCCTCGCGCGCAATGGTTGGGCAGCCATGGTCGGAGGCCTGGGTTCCGCCGCACAGAAAGATCAGCGCGAGGAAGATCCGGGCGCGAAGCCTCTGCTACGAATCCTCCCAACCGGGCCAGCGCATCAGGTCTTGAAGTTGTTTCGGAATAGGACCCTGTACTCGAACGTTGTTAACGATGGCATCGTCCCGCTTCGAACCAGTTGTTTGCTCTTCCTTGACTGGAGAGGACTCGACAAAGTGGAGAAAGCTAGGAGAGAAAACGGGTTCGTTGGCACGATGGCCGGCTGGGGATGGGCTGAGATTACGGGTCAAAATGCGTCACATTCACCACTGTCACCCAAACCAGCTCCAGCCAAGGACTCGGAAAGTCAAGAAAGTGAAGGGTCGGAAAGCCTAAGACCTGACCGGGACAGCTCGACGGTGCCTCAACCCGGTGAGGATGTTACTAATATGGACGATGAATCGCAAACCATTACGCGAGGAAAGAGCATAGTCGGCGAGAATTTTCCGGTCCGACAATCAGCCTTGGACCAAAAACCTACTCCGAACCCCCCTAGTATTACTGCCTTTGGCAGCTTTCTGAATTTCTTTCGACCGAGCGGAGAGTTGACCAAGAAGGATCATAAGATGTTCACCAGAAGTCAAACCGTGAAGATGGACGGTACTGATGAGAATTCGCCGCGCAATGAACCAGAACGTGCAAGAGACGATCAAGACCTCGAACGGCAATCGAAGCGTCCAACCGTTTCGATGGGCGATTCAGTACTGGACGATCCGCAAAACGTCAATGCACCCCCGAAGACCACCATATTTGAATCAGCTGGAGATATCCTGAGCCCACCGCTTCCTCCCCTTGAGTTTATCCTCGACCCTTCTGCTCGTCCCCGAACCATCTTCCATGACCGAATCTACCGTCCCGATGACATCCCACCCCCACCCCTACGCCGAGTAAATCGTGGGACGAGATCGTTTTCCGGGGACTGGAGCGGCTTAAAATCCCCGACCCAAGGATCTCAAGAGTCGGCCAAGAGCGGGAGCTCGGGCATGAAAGTGGAAGAGAAGATTGCCCGGGCGTATCACAAAAATCTGACGTGGCGAAAGGTTCTGGTCCGGCTGGAACCGGATGCTCATAACAACATCGCCGTCCGTCGCATGTTCTCCAATGCGTATGGGTGGCCGGTGGTCAAGCATCTTTGCGATACCCATTTCGGCGATACATATACTGCCGTCACCCGTGATGAGGATGAACCTGTCGTCGACCGTGCAGGCACGAGCCCTCATCTCAATGAGCATGGTAATGAAGTTTCCGGGCAAACCGCATCCACAGCCCCCAAGGTCAAAGACGGCGAACTTCAAGAACAAGATGACGAGGTCACGCATCTCCCCCTGCGGCCGGTGACCAGCGACACAACGCGGACCGCCGAATCCAGCTTCAGCGATACCGACACGAGCATCTGGGACGACCGCTATTTCGGCGAGACCAGCGAGGATGAAGATGCCGTTGCTGGACCGTTGCGGTTCTTGAATGCCGCACCGCAGAGGCGAGGGAAGGGAAAGGAGAAAATCCGGCCCCTGGACGCGGGAGCTCTACGACAGCCTGGAACAGCTGTTCTGGGAACCAGCGGCCCGGGCTCACCGCTTGCTCATGAACAGATTACGGATACATTGACTGCGTCTCCGCGGCCGATGGAAGGGCATCGGGGGCTAGCTCCATTTTCCAAGGCGCCGGAACCGCCGCGGGGTAATCCGGTGAAGGGGGAAGAATCAGAGCCGACGACTCCGGTCGTCGGGGTCGCTGCGGTCTCGTCGCCGACTGAGTCTTCTCAAGCGGCATCTCCGCCAGCTGCTGTTGGTCAAGTCGGTCTACGGAACTCTAGGGAGGTAATGAAAGCCGAAGAGGTGGACGGCGTGAGCAAGAAAGTCACGCGTCTGAGTATGTCGGAAGGGGATTCACCAAATGGACATGTATAAATGGGCAATTCGACCGTAATTGGGCGTACTGGGTTGCATTTGTTGGCGGTCGCTTGCGACTTTTGAATGGCTTTGCATGATTCGGATACCCCTCATTTGTCGAAAAGGTCATGGTCAATGGAAAGGTGGTCGGTTTGATGTCAATGATACCTTACAATAATATATATTGGCGCTTAGCTGCAGCTTCAGCCGGATGCTTATATCGTGATGTGCGTTGAATCCATTTCTTAGGACGGACTTCCTTAACTAATAATCAGCAATCGGAATTGTCGCTGGGCCATATACGAGAAACTCCTTCCGATTATATGTTCGGGTGGCGTACCCGGGGTAGCTTTCCACCGCAATAGGATTCTGCTCCTTGCATTGCATAGATGCATGCGGTGATGAACGCTGTCGCAAGTTGACCCCTAGTTGTCTCAAGATACTCCTAGGGCCGACTCTCATGGGCTGCCGTACTTGACACGAACCGCCTTCAATTGCCCTAAAAGTCTTTAGAAATCTTAGGTACCGCTCTATGGACCTTCCCAAGGTATCGACATGTAGCCTCATCACATCCATTTGAACGAGCCGTCTTGTCAACTTTCTGCCAAACCCTCGACAATGATACGGTTCTAGACCGGCACTGTACATAAGGGCCAAAGACGTCCAGTACCCCTTCGTCCCGATTCAGATACGATTCTATATTCTTCACGGGATTATGATACCACGCGGAGGCGTTCTTCGAGACCGAACCAGACGACTTGTTCAATGCTCGAGACCTATCCACGACGACCCTACAGTCAAGCAAGGCCCTGCGTCCGCAAACAACCATGTCGGAATCATCGAGTCCAGCTTCAGTCCAATCGGCCTCGCCATCCATCGAGACGCTGGTGCGGGGACGACTTAGCATGAACCACCGCGCCTGCCCGTACAAACCCCTCTCCGCCTCCCACTTCGACTCGCTCAAGCAGCACACCGTCATCGAGAAAACAGGAGAGCGGGGTCAATGGTGCGAACGGCACGGGTTTCTGGTCCTGCCGGATGAAAGTGCGAAGGAGAGAATTGCGGTGCCGGAGGAGCGACGTGGGATTGAGTTGGTGTCGACGCCTTCAGTAGCGGTCAGGTCCGAACACAGGTTTCGGGTGTCGAAGAGGAGGAAACCGAAACGAATGAAGGTGAGGGTATGGATTGATTGCGACCATTGCGTGCAGATGCTCGGCCGTAAAGAGTGGGTGTATGAGGCGGACGTATGTCAGCGAAGTACTTGTGCAGGAGAGGTCAATCCAGTCCAGTGGTGGTGTATAAAAGTCCAAGGACGATTTGCTGGCTGCTGTGCAGCTGGCTGTGGTTTGAAGTTAAACAAATTTCGAACCGAACCCGACTATTCGGACAGCGTTTCCTAAATCTTTCTCTTCAGCAACCCTTTGAAGAAGTCGAAACTGTTGCTGTCGCTTTGTAACTGCCACTTCTTGCCGGTAGGGATGTCATTGTAACCCAGCTCTTCCGCCACTAAAAGGCCCCAATCTCGCGTGATGCCTTTCACTCGTGCTCTGAGACCTCCTTCGCTTTCTATGGTCACGATTTGGTCGCTGTGTAGACCGAGTTAGCTGGGAAGTCAGACAAAGGATAGACGACTTACGTATGGAGCCATTTCTTGTAGTAATCCTCCTCCATATTTGCGTCCCATCCGGTCCGACAAAATTTCTGATAGATGTTCTCAAATTTCGCCAAAATGCTCGCGAGGAGACTTTCGGAACTAAATGGGCGGAGTCCGGCAGCTTTGGCGAGCAGATTGAGGGCAGTAGTCGGTAAGGCATTCGCAACATTGACGCCAATACCAACAACCAATGTGAAGTCTCCTCCCGCGTAGGAGGAATTGACAAGAATGCCAGCGATCTTAGCATATGAGTTTCTATCCTCGGTCTTTCCACTCGAAGCGAACTCAGGTCGAAGTGCATATACATCGTTGGGCCACTTGAGTTTGATTGGCAACTTGGAATAACCCGGACCATAGGATTTAATGCCGTCGACAATTGCCAGTGCCGCAAGGTACTGAATAAATACCACAGGGGAAGTGTTGAGCGATTTCAGTGGATGTCTAATAACGGTACTAAACATCAGTGCACCTGGTGGTGTTACCCATACATTTGACCCTCGCCCGCGTCCTGCAACTTGTGTCGTTGCGGTGGCAGTGAACCCGTGTGGTAGGTGATTCAACAGCTTCACATTCCTAGATAATGGATCAGTCTTCTATACACTAGTTTTGGGCATGACACTTACTTCTCCAGCAAAGTGCTCGTGCTTGTTACAACCTCGCCATAAAGAAGGCATTTGCCAAAGTTGCCTTCGACGCGAGATTGCGATGCATACTGGCGCAGAGCAGAGAAGAAGCCGTGGTGGCTGAAGTACGGGGTCTCTTTATTCGACGGTAGGTCGGACTCGTGGATAGCAATACGTTTGACGAGCTTCTCATAATCGAGAATCCTATCATCCGATGCGAGGGGCTCGTCAGTACGGTCCTCTGAATCGCCAACAATCGACTTGACTGAAGATGTAATGGCAGATAGATCCCAGGTCCCGCTATATTCAAGACGGAACGTGTCCATCTCGCAGCGGATCGTATCTACCTTGCCCTCCTTTGAAATAATCCCGGACCACTCCGAGAGGAGCGTAGAGACAGTGGAAGGGTCAAAGCTAGAGAGGTGAAGTCTGGAAAGGGACGGTACCGAATGGTTCTCGCTGTTGACTTCAAGACCCAACTTTCTTAAACATGCCCGGAGGAACGCGACTCGAGGAGCGTCATCAGCTGTGATGGCATCGATGGCCTTGGAATATTCGGGAAGGTCGTCTCGCTTGCTCAAATTGATTCCAGCAAACCTAGCATCGGTTAGACCAATGTCACCGACCGTGGAAGTTTCTTACTCAGGGTGTGGTCCGGTGAGGATTATTCGTCCGCTCCCAGACTTGCAGAATATCACCGCAGCGGCCCCTTCACCGGAATCGACCTTTAGGGGCTCAGTATATGAGGCGAGGACCTCAACACCCTTTCCCACAAGTTCTTGTGCGTCCACAAAGACTCCGCCCCCATTGTAATATGATCTGAAAGTTTTTGAGAGTCCCGAGTCGGATCCAAGTGCTTCAGAGTTTACGGAAAGCTCGACAGCTCTTGCTCCAGCCTCGCTGTTGTAGACAAACCCGGGGAAAGCCAATCCTCTGCAGATGCCAGGGAAAAAGGCCAGCTCCCGGTCACCAATCACCTCCATGCGCTTCGAACCCACTTCAAACTCGCATCTCTTGCTTCCGTAGTATCCGCCAGCGCAGAAACCAAGATAGGCTCCCCCGCCTTGAACGTATCGCTTGATCCGCCGGTTCCCCTCCCCATCCAGGGTTCGACAATAGGCAGCGTCTGCTCCGCCCGGAATGACAAGCAGAGCACAGGAGCTCATCCATGGTTCTTTAACCAGCACATCTCCGGTGACGGGAATGACGGCATAGTGAGGCGATAGCAGGCGTCGGAGGGAATAGACGCAGTGCCGAACACTTTCCACGGTGCTTCCGTTGCCTATGGTCGGGTTAAATATGCCTAGAAATGACGAGACAGGTAGACGTACCAGAATAGACAAGGACGTCAATTTTCTTGTTCGACATGTCTATAACGTCAAAAATGCGGCGTATTGGCTCTTAGGATCTTGGTGGTCTTATATCGGGACCACCTCAAACATGGACTCTCCGTAGCAATTTTTCTTCAACAAATTACAGACTTTGCGTCGACAAATCCCGACTCCACGGCAAAACAAATAATGATATCTCGTCCACCCAAAGATAAGGCTCCAGAGCCGATCGATGATGACGAACCCGATGAATGGTGAGGTTCGCTATTGGACTTCGTGAATCGGTTCTGACGAGATACGGGAACAGGGACCAGACGATTTTGAACACCGGGTGTGCTGGTAAGGCCGTATTGTCCTTCGGTCAAAATCTCCGCTAATCTCCAGCAGCCGAGAATGAGAAATTGAGAGACTGTTTCTACGAAACGAAAGACTGGAGAGAGTGTAAAGACGAGGTAAGGTTTTACGGCCGCCGAAGTTGAGGCTCTCCCAACCCCTAGTCGCTCGACTTCCAAAGCCGTCAATCCATATTACCGAACCCGAACAATCAAGCTGGGTGGGTCTTGTGAAGAAACAAAAGTGCTAATATGTTTGTCGGTCTATACAGATGCAGGCATTTCGGCAGTGTTGGCAGCAGCAGGGAAATAACGAGCGGACTTCAACGAAGGATGTACCAAAAACGTAACCGGAGAGCTGCTCACATTCTCACAACCACCTTCTGATTACACAATGAGTCTCCAGCACCTAGATATTGTACTATTAGCAGCCATTCATGTACTATAATTGCCAGATCTTCGCTCTGTCGGCGATTGTATACATCACGTGATCTGGCGTTCTATCACGACTTGAGCTTCGCGTCTAGCTCCCAAATTACACGCAAGAATTAATCCCAACGCAATGAGCGTCATGTCACGATTTGGGTCCTTAATACCGCTCGGGGAAGGTGCCCTGGTATCTAAATGTGCCAAACCAGGTGCCGGCTCGCGTTATCGAACCGGCCAAAGGCCATTCGCTCGAACGCAACCGACGTGGCGAGCGGTTTCGACGACAACCGGAAAAGGGACGATAGCACCCAAGCCTAGGACGAGCCCAAGTGGCAAATCAACAGTCTCATACGCCTCGACAGCAACTACGACATCTGCTACACGACCATCACCCGCGACCTCTACCACCCGACCATCGCCTACCACCTCTACCGCCCGACCATCCCCTCCCGCAGCCACCAGCTCGAAACCTCTCCAGCGATCCCCTACCTCCCCTCCACACCATGACATGGCCTCCGGCCTCCTCGACGCGATGCCCGGACCCCCGCCCAAGATCCTCCCCGACGGCCAACCCGAGGCCGTCGACTGGTCGCGCTCGTTCTCCGGGATGAGCACGGTGCCGTTCAGCAAAGAATCCGCCGACGTGCTGCTTCGACCGATCCCCCCGGAAGATATCGAGATCAAACCGGATGGGATCGTGTATCTGCCCGAAATCAAGTATCGACGGATATTGAACCGCGCGTTTGGGCCCGGGGGTTGGGGGCTAGCGCCAAGGGGGGAGACGATTGTGACGCCGAAGAGCGTGAATAGGGAGTATGGACTGGTTGTCCAGGGGAGGTAAGCGGAGGTGTTCATAAGCTAGGTACGACGGTGCTGATGAAATCCAGGCTGGTCTCCATCGCTCGCGGCGAACAACAATACTTCGACCCGGAAGGGATCCCGACGGCGACGGAAGGGTGCAAGTCGAACGCGCTGATGCGGTGCTGCAAAGATCTAGGCATCGCCTCCGAGCTGTGGGATCCGGTGTTTATTAGGGGGTTCATGAGCAAGTACTCGAAAGAGGTCTGGGTGGAGCACGTGGCGACGAAGAAGAAGCGGAAGATCGTGACGAAGAAGGGGGTGGAAGTGAAATATCCGTACAAAGAAACCAGCTTCGCGTGACACTGTCCAGTGGCCGAAAGGTTGGTATTGTTCGAATGCCAACGGATCCAAAAATCTAGATGTGATGGTTGGATCAACTAAGACAAGCGCAAAGGCGCTGTAGACACTGTTACGATACCGGACCGTAGAATCCCCCATCTTTCCAAGCGCCGTTGCCCTGCTGAACGTGAACTCCACGCGAATTCCTCTATTCAAATTTCATCCCGAGAAATCCACTCCCGACGCCCTCGCCTGCTCCTCCGCCTGCCTATTCGGGCTCCAATTCCACGGCATCCACCCCCCGGACGGCCCCTCCGATCCCGCCTCATCAATCTCAATCCGATCGAACTCCGCCTCGCTCCTGCTCTTCCGCATATAGTCGCCTCCGCCACCCCACTGCCCCGCCGCCGGTTCCCCCGCCGCCATGCTCACCGCCTCGCGATCGAACGCCTGCAACAAGACGCGTAACCGCTCGCGCTGCGTCGACACGTAGTTGATCCGCTCGTCGCCCCGCAGTCCGTCTGGCACGAGCATCCCGCTTCGGCTTAGCTCTTCCGCCTGCGCCTCGCGCGAGGCCGGGGAGCCGGAGATGGCGGAGACCGCGGAGGTCAGCAGGCCGTATAGGTCGCCGGCCGCTCCCATCGCCGGGGCCGCGAACACGCCGTCTCGTGCGGGGAGCGCGAAGCGGGAGAGGAGTTGCTGGGTGTAGGTCGCGGAGGTCTGCCGTGATGGAGGCGGCGTCGGTGTCCGCGGCGGCATTCCCAAGACATTGACACGCACGTATTCCACGGTTTTCTTCAGATAATCCAAGCCGGCTTTCCGCGATTTGTCGTGCGCGTTCGCAATGAACTCGTCGATGTCGCGTTCATATTGGCGGAGGAAGGGCTCCAGGTGTTCGGCGTAGAGGTAGGTTGCGCCTTGGGTGCCGGGGAGGATGAGGTAGGCGTAGGCGAAGAGCCGGAGCCACGAATAGAAGGGGACGAAGTCGAGGATGAAGGCAAAGGTCGATTCCGCTTGGAGGAGGAGGGTGAGGATGAGGAAGTAGATAAGCCAAGGGGAGAGAGCTGAGGGAGGATGCTGTTGGAGCGTCTTGTAAGAGAGGAACACCGGAAGTAGTACGGTTAAGCCAGTACTGAGTCAACCATCAGTCAGTTGTTATATTCTATTCGAAGCCTATCTCGAGATCACACCGAGTCGGGATGGCTCTCCGGCGTGCGGAACTTACGTCAGGGTGTCTGCGATTATGCCGAACATGTTGGCGGTTTGAAGATTCCGAAGCAGTCTACCGGACCAGCGGTCATTTATAAATGTAACAGTCTAAAGGAAAAGCAGCGACGTGGTCTCTTTGTCCAGGCAGAAAGAAGATCTGTACCGTCTGGTTACAAAGATGAAGACGACGCAGCAGGTGGGACAAGCTGACAAGGTTTGGTCGGGTGGATTCTGGCGGCGCCGACCTGCCCAGCCACCATCCGCCAACTGTGCCTCAACCGCCGCTATCGATAAGGTGCAGGCTGGAAGGCTGGGGAGCCCAGACCACACGTTATCGATAAAGCTGAGGGGTAGATCCGCGGCACAAGCTGTTGACTGTTGTGAGCCGTGGGGTGACCTGATGTTGACTTCCAGGTCCCGAATCAAACCGACAGGATCTTCACCCGCTGCCCGACACCCCCTGAGGCAATTGGTCTCAACGGGTCTAGGCATTCGTAGCACATTCGGGCGAACGACAGAATTCCACGTAATACCGACAAGGAGATAGTGCATAAGTACTCCGTTCAGACCGTTTGAGCCATGATTCGTACTTCCTCCGTCTGCTTCGTCTTGAGATAGGAAAGGGGATAAGTTCTCAAACAGCCAGGAACCTCCTTTGTAGCGAATCGATCTCTATAATCCGCTTTCGTACCATTTGTCTGGAACAAACCTTTTCCTCCTTGTTATCCGACCCCCTAAACCTGGTATCAATCAGGTATTGTAGCGTATAGCATATCATCATGTGCATAGCCATTGTCTCAACTGCACATCCGGACTACGAGCTCATCGTCCTCAGCAATCGCGATGTATGCAACCCCCCTTCTTCTCTATCCTCCTGCTGCCGGTATCAGACTAACCACTCTCCAGGAATTCCTCCACCGACCCACCGCCCCAGCAACCTGGTGGGACCCCCCCAACACCCACGTCCTCGGCGGCCGCGACCTCCACCGCGCCGTCCAGGGCACCTGGCTCGGCATGACTAAGCAAGGCCGCTTCGCCGTGCTCACCAACTTCCGCGAAGAGCACACCGACGACGCGGTCGGCAAGATGAGCCGCGGGGCGATAGTGAATTCGTTCCTGACGATCCCGGCGGACAGCGGGGAGACGCCGGAGGAGTGGGCCGCGGGGCTCGTGGCGGAGCATGGGGTGAAGGGCGTGGGGGGGTTTAGCCTGATGTTTGGGTGGTTGGGGGGGAGGAGGAAGAGCGGGGAGGAGAAGGGGAGGGAAAGGAGGGGGAAAAAGGGGTTGGCGATCATTTCGAATCGGACGCCGGATGTGGATGGGCTGATTTGGTTGGCGACGACGCGGGGGGAGACGCATGGGCTGAGTAACTCGCATTACGGGGATACCAGCTGGCCAAAGGTCACGCACGGCGAGGAGATGTTGGCGTCGGTGATCCGGGAGTCGAGCAATGCGGGCGAGGCCGAGGACGCATTCACCGACCGGCTGTTTGGCATCCTTAGCACAGATACCCTGCCGCGCCGGCACTTGGGTGAGGACTGGGACGGGTACATTGAGCAGCTGAGGAACTCGGTCTTCATCCCGGTGATCGGACGGGAGGCGACGCAGGGGCGGTCGTCCAGCCAGGTGGCCTCGGGGAGTCGGGATCGGGATGAGAAGGTGGCGAAGGAGCAGGAGGAGCAGCAGAGGAAGGAGGAGGAGGTGTCGAGTGGGACGTATGGCACGGAGAAGCAGACGGTGATTTTGGTGCGGCATGATGGCTCGGTGACGTATATCGAGAGGACGTTGTATGATAGTCAAGGGAAGGCGTGCACAGGGAAAGATCGGGATTGCCGGTTCGACTTCGACATTCACGGGTAGAGGACGGAGAATCCCCAGTTGACGTACATTTGATGTGTATGGGTATGGTATTCACAAATATATATCGCTGCTCTTCGCGAGTTTGGACTTTGGAGTCTGTAAATAGTGCCTGATCGTACCCTTCCTGGAATTTACACAGGTAAACGCTAGTTCCTCCGCCGATAAGTCACATAGACCATCGGATGCATCATGATCCCCTAGCTCCGTGACGCCAGCAATAATGCAATATCAATAATGAACGGAAGTAGAAGAACGCAAGGTGGATCGCCTCGCTCCCACGAACCACCCAACTTGTAAGGATATTACCACTCGTATATGCCAGAGTGTTTGGCCATCATAACCGGAACATTCGCTTGCAATTCGAAAGCCATTATGCTCATAACTCCTCCCCTTCCAGACACGCCACCGCCACAGCCGCACCGTATATCGAACTCTCACCGGCATCCTCCAACACCACACTGTGCTCCTGACCCCCACTCATCCGCGTCATCTCATCCAGGTAGCTTTGACACGATGGCTTGAACTGAGGATACCGCTCAATGACCGCACCGTTGCATCCGATGGATACGCGGCCCACCTGGCCGGCCTCAAAGCCTTCCGAACTATTCCGCAGTGACCAGAGGGCATGGATCCCGCATGCCAGATACGCAGCGGCGCGCCGGGAGACGAGTTTGGAGATCTGACGGACGAAGCGGAGGTCCTGGAGGGCGGGGACGTGGGAATGCGGAAGCGGATGCTGTGCTTGGAGAACGGCGGCAGATTTGGAGAGGGAAAGGGTGTCGTCGCTTTCGAACGTGGCCATGGTGCCGGTGTCGAACGCGTACGGTTGCTCGAACTTATCGGGCACGGCGCCGTTGAAGAGGCGGTGGGATTTGATCGCTTCGAGGCAGATGAGGCGGACGATCTCGCCGAGATAGCGGCCGGAGATGAGGTATTCCATGGGTTGGAAGTCGGGCTGCGTGTGGGTCATGTTGAGGTAGTCGTCCCAGCGCGTGGTGGGCAGGATGCCTTTGCCGAACATGCTGAACTCGGCGTTGACGAGCACGTGGGTGGCTTTGTCGTGCCATGACTGTGGTCGATCGCCGAACTTGGATATGGGGAACGATGAGGTAGGAAGGATGATGGCGGCGTTGGTGCCAGTTCCTAAAATGAGAGCGATGCGGGTGGAGGGGTCGCGGTAGGCGCGCGATAGGAAGGTCGCCTGACCGTCGTTGATGATGGCATCCATTCGAACGTTAAGATTCTATAACGGGGTTAGAAATATTCGAAATCGAAGAGGATTATGGTTTTACCCTTTTTCTACAAACGATTGTTATTAGCTCCCCGAGATTTACGCCATGGATGCCATTCACGGCGTTGAATCCTTTGCCCATATCGAGGAGCATCCCGCCGCGAACGGAAGTTTGTCTGCCGCATCATTAGCCACTCCACCGATCCGCAAAACTAAAAGGGGGAATCGCCGTACTCTATTGGAAATGACCATGACAACCCCATGGGAAGAACGCCAGCGTCTACCTGGTCCCGGACCGTGGGGATTCGAAGCATGTCTTCTATTCTTTCCGCCATCCATTCGAAGAACGCCTTGCCTTGCAGCAACTTAACCCGGTCGTCTATCCGAAATGTTTCCATATGTATTATCTTCATTCCCTCCTCGCCACGCTCGCTCCCCGTTAACGCGACCAACGCCGCCCGAAAACTCGAACCCCCCACATCCAGCGCCAAATATGTCCCCTGCTCTTGACCCGTTGGGAGCGTATGTATATACGACGGGAGCATGGAAATGTTGCTTGCCTTCATCTTCCCCCGAAATTGATCCTGCAGCTGCCCGGACATGGCCAGGAGATTTTGGAGATTCAACGGTTCCTCGAAGAGCGTCTTGCATTCCCGGAGGAGGTCGTCCATGGTATGGTCCGGCGGACTGGGTTCGATCACATCGTGAACGAGCCGCGGAGGAGAGACCGATGGAATCACAGTCTGAACGAGGGATGGCAACATAACGATCGCCTCGAGGGCGGAGAGGAGACCTTGCCAGATGTCAAACATGATATCGGAAATAATTGGCATGTTGCGGTTCGGGACCCCAAGGGGGGATTATGGCAATACAAAGATATTTCTTGTGCCCAAGGGGAACCGACAATTCGTGTGGCTTTTGAAGTCGTACACGGGTAAGATGTGTGAACTGTGAAGTACTGATGTAGGGAACGCAACAGGTATGACATGAAGGTAGCTTGTATGTAAAACGGAGCTAACTCGGGAGAGGGAAAGATGATAACTCGAGAAGCACTTCAAACCGGTAGGCTACACCCGGGTTTTTGGCGGAATGAATTCATCGAAGAAATACAGCACGAGAAACGTACCGACGAACAATGAACAGCTCGAGAGTCGCGAGCGGGAGTGGAGTAATGTTGCAAATGGCCGTTATGCATGTTGCACAAGACGTGCATCGCTCATCAGGCCGGTGGAGTGGTGGACTCGAGAGCGGACAGGGACTCAGGGAGTGGTGGAAGGTGGCATCAGCCAGCAAGTAGTATTAACAACACCCTCCTCCTCTCTTCTGAGCAGAGCCGTATTAATGATCTCTGTTGCCAAAGTAGGGCGTGGGGATGGGCCCGAATAGGGGCGATGGGGGACTAGGCCGTTCCGAACCCTCGGAGCGAGATCGGGGCGATAGACAGGAACAGGTACCGCGAAGGGATAATGATAGTGGCGGTATGTGAATAAGGACCGTGTCAACGGAATAATGAAGCGGGTGACAATGGCCTTGGGGCTTTGATGCAGAATGGGATCGTGTTTCTCCCTTCTGAGTTCTGACTGTTCTGACTTCTGAGTCTTCGAAGTTCGATTCTTCCCGGTACGCGGTTGGCGACAGGCTGACTCCAATGACCGAAGTCTAGCCAGGATCCTAGCGCTCTCGAGTGGGGTTGACTCGTAGCGTAGCTAGCCTGCACCCGCCCTGTAGCAAAGGTGAAAATCAGGAAGTGGGTGGAAAGTGGAGACCCAGTAAGTGAAAAAGCTTCTCCGATTACGACCCCGTCCTGTCCACTCACCACTTGGCAATGGGCACCGGATCAAGTTTGTGAACGCTTGAAAGCGGAAGACGAGGGTGATCCCCGGTGCAGCAATCCACGGGAGTAACCTTCCAAGGGGGAACCCGCCGTCACGGTAGCGTTGCGCGGTGACTTTGTATGGAGGAGGGTCGAGATCGTTCGAGAGTGGTGACTGGTGGGAGGGGTGGTCGATATCGGGGATTCGAGGGTGAGGGCCGAAACTAGGCGACTGGTCATGTCCAGCGTCCGGAGGCAGAAGGAATTGATGAGCTAGCGGCACGGTTAATTCCAGTTTCATACGAATGTGAAGAAACTCGAGATGAAAGGGTTCCAGTGAGACCTCAGACTGGACAGGTGAGGCCGCCACTGAGGCGTGAACCGTGAGGTGAACATCAGACAGACGATCTCTCGCGTGGATTGTTAGTGGAAGCTACCGTTCGACGTAACCTGGATTTGTGGAGCATAGACGCAAATGAACATGACAGGGGAGCAGCATGGGTGTTCTCTGTTGCAGGGAGACGATCCGTGATCCGTGATCCGATCATGGCAAATGACATTTCCGATATTGAGCATTTCATCTTCAGAACTGGCCTATCACAATTCACAATCCATGAACCTGGGAAGTTTATCGACATGACATTCTCTGGAAGAGCATGGAAGATTGCCAAGATGTCCTCTGCTGGTCTATGAGTGCATCCAACCTTTCATGGCTTTGGGGTTGTATCGGGGCTAGAGGGTGTCAATGAGGGGATCCGGTAGTACTGAGGACTTGCCCAGACACGCCGATGAACGGAACCCTAGGATGATACAGGTGAGGTACATTGATATCTCCAGATTCCAGCGTGACAGCGGACAATGGTAGAAAGATAGTACACTGTCTGCAAAAGATATACGAAACCGAAAAGCCATGATTCCTCTTCGCCACCGCCCCAGTCTTCAATAAGATCGTCCCTAACCCTCTAGTCCTATTAAGCCATCCCAGGATCCCCTCCTAGCAACCGCGTGAGCAGCAAGGTTCCCGATCTGGCTCCCCATACTAATGAAGTCGATATCAATGATTGATGATTCGCACGTCTATGTCGATAAGACGGCAGGATCCTGCCATGCAACCTCACCATACCATCCGGACCAGCTGCGTCATGTCATACCAGGCCGTCCCCTCCCGCGTCCAGTCGTTCGCCGTTTGGGGATCTCGAGTCGAGTTCCAATATCACCACATGAAGGCGGCACGAGGGCCAGGGAATGCATAATGCGATTCTCTCGGCGCACATCAGTTGCGGTGTCTCGGTCGCGGGACGCAAGGTGCGTTACTGCATTCCCATTGCGAAGCCACCGAGATGGCCGGGCTGGGTTTCCGGAACATTGGACTGGGGTTACACCATGGGGAGGAGTGCGGCGGGGTGCTCGACATGGTCACATCGGGGGCGAGAGTGCGTTTTATATGACCTGATTCTGCCAGCGTCCACATAGGGACCCGATATGGGCAAGGTACGGGATATGTACTGGATATGGCAACTGAGTGTACGGTATCGATCGCATGTAGGAGCACCCAAAGTCCCGTGAGAAAGTGGATTACTGCATGATATTTCGCTAAGTTCAAATTGGGGTATGAGTGCTAGCAATAACTGAATTGCGTTCACAAGACTTGATCGGAGATTTGCGCGTCACCTTAAACGTCTGATGCATCTACGCATCCGCTTGAACGCTACCCCAAATTCCACGGGTCCGCTCAAAAATCAAACTCCCTCCTCATTACTGTAAGCTAGAAAGACAAGATTATTCTTGCAGCTACTCCCTGGCTTCCTTCAGACTCGCCCCCGGAATCACATCCTGCACCGTCTCATCCGAGAACATCAGGTCCTCCTCGATAGCGACGCTCTCTTTGATCTTTAGGAGGATGACAGGCACGGCGATGATGAGCGAACCGGCCAGAAGTCCCCAGCAACTGGCGAAGAGGGTCATGTACGGGGTGCCAATATCATCCAGACGCCACATGATGGCCCCACCAGCGGACTGGATTCCTTTGTAGAAACCAGCAAAGTTGGCAAGCTTGCGGCCGTTGTTGGTGATGGCTCCCATGTACCTAAATCGAATGGTTAGATCTAAGCCACTCACGATGCAAGTAGGGTTCGAATCGGGACTTACCAGTAGACAGTGGTCTGCCATGCAGCATCGTAGAAGCCATAGAACAAGTACAGGAACATTGGGCCGATATAGCCGCTATCAGTCCAGTCGAGCTTGACATAGTCGTCGGTTGGGTCATCCTCGGTGTCGGCGCCCGTGGTGACGAGATCACGAGTATATTTTTTCTGGAAAACATAACCGCCTCCCCAGATGACCATTGTCAGCACCATCAGCACCACCCACACGACCCTTGCGCGGGTGGTTCTTCGAATGTAGGGGCGATCGAGAGCGTATCCGAACGACATCGCGCCGAAGATCTGCATGACGTAGTAAATAACGCCGTTGAGGGCTCGAGTGCGGGTGTTGAACATTGCGAGGTTGACGCCGTTGAAGTGATAGGCGTAAAACCAGTTGCTGGCAATGAACATGGGGAAGAGGAGCACGATATAAGGATCGGTCATGAAGACCTCGCCAAGACCACGGATCTCGGTCCACCAGGTCGGGTTTTTCATAAGAATAATACGGGATCCATCGTGGCGGATAACATCTTTAGCATCCACAAGGGTCCAGGCAAGCACTGCACCAACAATAGTGAGAACGAGGAAGCCGATATAGGTGCCATCATTAACGACGGTGTTGCTAACCGCGTTGATGTTCTGGCCCAGGGGAATCTTTGATGGAATCAGTTACAAGACTTGTCCACAAGGGTGGATTATCACTCACCAAGCTTCCAATGACCGCGCCGAGATTGAAGATCATCCAGAACCAGCCGATGTACTTGCCCTTGCTCTCTTCTGGTGGGTAGCTCATCATGATGGCCCCTTGAGCACACCACAGCAACCCCGCACATACACCGAGCAATGCACCGGCAAAGATGTTGAAGCCCTCATTCTTGTTGTGGTTGTAGCTTAAGAAGCTTGCCACATAAATCGAGTATCCTAGGCCACCGAAACATAGAGTCGTTCGGATGCCCAGACGATTCGTGAACGTGCCGGCGAAGAAACCGACCACGGCGAAGGTACTATACAGGGCGACATTTGCCTTGTTGGCAGCCGACGCGTCGACTTGCCCACCGCCTCCCATGCCAGTCAGGGCATTGTACATGCCAGGGCACATGAAGCATACGAAGCTCACAATGACCAGCTGGATGGGTGGAGAAGCATAGCATGGGATTGTCCAAGGCCCAACTCTGAATGTCTTGTATTTCCAGCTCTTTGGCACAGCTGGGGCCACGCCGGCTTCCTCAGCGGGCGTCGTCTGGGCCAGGGTTTCGGACTTCTCTTCGGTAGCCATGGCGAGATAAGACTGACTTCGCAGACGGTCGAAAGTGAGTTCTTCGAGATGAACCGATTTGAAGGTTCAAGGACGAGGGTCTCTTCGGTATTTCAGAGAGAATCGGTGCAAAGGTGGTCGTGTCACGGGGTGGAGTGAAAGTAAATCAGGCGCACGAAATTTAGATGCGCACCGAAACTTTTCCTTAACACCAATTCGATGGTGAACAGGACGAGAAGGATGATGGAGCAGAATCACATCCACCACATCCCACAGGGTCACTGAGAGATGCAATTCTTATGTACTGCAGGGAGATAGATATTAGAATTGAAGAAAGCTAGGCCAAGGAAGAAGAAAAGGATCATGATCAGCAGAGCGGACGCCCCCAGATATATTTACACTGGAGAAGCTGGAGTCGAGGCAATCGCATGTGGATTGTGGAGGCAGTCGGGCTCTCTCTCTGGCAAGGTTGCACACGACCCCAGCCTAAGTTTTAAGCTTGGACCCTTTAATCGAAGCCCTTAACTTACTATGCTAGGTCTAAAGCTGTAGCAGGTTAGACACCCCGTTGCGGGAAGCCACTGGGTTCGCTCACTTGCAGGACAATCGGGCTGCAGGTGGGAACCGGGGACGCCGCCCCAGCCCGTTGCGGGGCATTTGGGCACCTGCAGTGAAGAGAACCCCCGGCCGATGTGAGACGTGTCTTGCCATTGGCCCAATGCTCGCCATTACAAACATTTTGCTGATATCGTTAACCACGGTAATTATGCCACATACCATGCGAATAGTATCAAAAAGACTCACAATAATCCTGCGTAGAAGATGTATCTCGATTTCGGCTTGAAGCATGTCCTCGGCCCGCAGCAAGGCACGGAGGCGGGAGGACTAATGGGACTCCTCTATCAATGTTGGAGACCCTACCTTGGCATTAAAGGATAACTGCCAGGGGCCACTGCAACACCTCTATCGTCGCTACCTTGCCATTAGATACCGTACGGGCGGGCAGTGGGCACATGGAGAAGTCTACTACATATCTTAGCCTTAGCTTAATGCACGAATATCACAAGTTTAATCATTATTCCATCGCGGCAGATCTCCAGTGTGACTCTCAATATTAGTGAACAATCCACGAGTGATATGGAAGTCTTCATGTGGAAGATCAAAGATGTTGCATCTAAGCATCCCTTGTCCTTGTTGTGGCGTTTCCTGGCGTTTCTACCCGCTATCCCGGATCACCATCCTCCCCTCCCATGTTCAACTTTCGGAGGTTTCTGCTACAGCTCGATGTAACGTCGCTCGACCATCCAATCAACCATCGGCGGCTCCCGTTGGAGTTTGGACTCTGGAGTTTCTGTGGAGTGTCAAACAATGTACAATTAGGTTACTCCTTGCAGTTTACATGTTGTATCAGATTGACCTCGACCACAATATCGAAGTCGTCTGACATGTCTACCAGCATTATCATCATCATCCCCGCGATATGAACAGTATCATTCGAAAACCCGTGTTGCAGTTGATAAGAGGCAATGGCTAGGGCATCTCACTGTGGCGCATCATCGCTTGCCGGCTGTAATGTCTCCCCACTCATCTCCCCTAGGTTGAAGTCATCTCGATGGAAAGGTAGCACTGCAGACATCATTCTCAAGTCCATGTCTTGGATGGTACTGCTCCATATTACGATAATGAGGAGTGCCCCTCATATGGTAGTCTTTCTGTTACCTTCTTACGTACTAGTGTTTTGGCAGCAGTTCGTCCATCGCAACAGATCACGATGTTGCACAGCGGGGCAAAAGCCATCCAGTCGCGATCTGATACGTCTTTGATGTTGTACTGGTTCACCTGACATACCCCTGGACATTGATTCAATCTTGTTTCCATTGGCATCCGATTCGATGCTCATCTTCTTCTCCATCTTGATGTCAGTAGGTAGTGGAGGACGCATCGTCACGACCAAATCCATTACTGGATATCATAAGCTATGTCATCATATTTGTGGCGACAAGGTGATGAAAGTCTTAAGATCTATCTGCTTTCCAATGTTCTCATAATCTGTTCCATAAACTCTAGTAATCTAGTTATTCTCTAATCAGTCCTTGGATTAAGCTATCATCGTTGTCTCTTTTATTTAGCACTCATAAGTCATCGTGTTTGGATTACTCACAGCCCCTTACTGTCCAGTCTTGCATCGACCAGCAGCATGTATACCACGCCCCGATAACCAACCGTTGTCGCACTCACTGACACCATACGCAGGAGGGTCATCATTCGCCAAGAACCAGAGGCTGCCTCCAAGTACATCGCTGAATATGTCGTTGGTACGTCGCGACGGTGCTCCCGTTGGAGAATGTCTTAGATGTGGCGTTTCACCATTCATATCTTTAGTAGATCCCACTAACACTGCTCTCAACGGTAAGATCGGATCAAGTCATTCGCCCCGAGACCTGGGCAGCCATTCGTCCTAGGCCTACCGACTGGCAGCTCGCCAGTCCTGGTTTACCGCCATCTCGTCCGCAAGCACAAGGCCGGCGAGATTTCGTTCAAGAACGTGGTCACCTTCAACATGGTGCGTTAGGCGTCATTTCCCAAGCGAGCCCTCTCCATCGCTCACGCAGTGTTACTGCAGGACGAGTATGTCGGCCTTCCGCCCTCCCATCCGTCGTCGTACCATTCGTTCATGTGGGAGCACCTCTTCTCGCATGTCGATATATCCCCTTCCAACGTCAACCTCCTCAATGGGATGGCGGAGGACTTGGAAGAGGAGTGCGAGCGGTATGAGGCGAAGATCCGTGAATATGGCGGCATCGAGCTTTTCTTGGGCGGAATCGGCCCGGATGGACACATTGCTTTTAATGAGCCGGGGAGTAGTCTCCAGAGCAGAACGAGGGTCAAGACGCTGGCCTACGATACAGTCCTCGCCAACAAGCGATTTTTTGGCGATGACGTCTCGCAGGTGCCGAATATGGCGCTGACTGTTGGCGTACAAACCGTCATGGATGTAAGTTTCCTTCTACCTTGCACAAATATCCTTGGGATCCCCACTAACAGCGTAACAGGCGCGAGAAGTTGTCATCATAATCATCGGAGCGCACAAAGCACTCGCACTACAGAAATGCATAGAGGAGGGCACGAACCACATGTGGACCTTATCCAGCCTCCAATTGCATCCACATCCGTTGATCGTGGTGGACGAAGATGCGACCCTTGAGCTCAAGGTGAAGACCGTCAAGGTAAGCCAACTCCCTTAGAAGCTCCGGAAAGCCCGTTCATGCTGATGGGAACCTGTAGTACTTCAAGTCCATCGAAACCGTCGCTAAATCATGTGGAATGGGCCAAAAAATGCCAAAATTCACCTACACCTACCTTCCCCTCTCGCCCAAAAGCCCCTCGCCCCCTGGATCCGCCTCCCGAGAACCATCGCCACCCAATGCTCTCCGTCAGGCAATGGACAAGCGCACCGACGTGCCAGGGTCCGGCAAAGGCATCGGCAATGATACGCTTCCAGTGCCGCTCCCCGACGCAACCCTGCGATCACCAACTCCGGAATTAGTTCCAGATCGTATGGCGATGAGGCTGGGGATGAACGCTGGATCAAGCCTCCCGGTGCCAGGGAACGACATCATCCAACGAGCGCCGACGCCGGAATTCGTCCCAGATCGGATGGCCTCCCGGATCGAGGCGGTGAATTAGGTTGAAATTGTAGTCATGCTCAGGATTAGTTACTAAAAGTGACTTTCAGTTGTATAGTGTAGTCCACTCTTACTCAGTCATTATATCCCACGGCTTAGGTAAATTGAGAGAAGCGATTCGACAACAAAATGTGTATATATATAATGAGTCAGAATAGATAAAGCCATGGGATTGGGCATCATAATCATGGTTCAACATAGGCAAAGTCTTATTTGCATGCGGAGGAGGGGAATGGCTGGGCTCATCACTCGCCGATGGGCTTCAGCAATACTGCCGAACAATTTCAAAATAAAGAATGGGAAGTAATGTATATTTGAAGAGGATTTATTGTATTCCTGTCCCCGTGATTCTATCGGCCACGAAACGTTTTAAGAAGCCCTTGCAAACTCTATATTCGAGTCGGCACATTGTGAGAGCTGACTGACTAATGACGCTCAGTTCCGAACCTCGACCCTGTGCTCGAGATAGAAGCTCTCATTTCCATCAATGCTCCGCTTGATCTGAAAAAAGAGTATCAAATCCCCAGTTTGGTAACTTGTTCAACTGCCGCGTCTGTCTCCGCATATTCAACCACTTCTCCGCCATTATGTGTCGCTTCGCCATCCTTCTTTGCATTCTCCAACTTGATCTTCTGGATCATGTCTCGGAAACGGCCACGTTCGAACCGCGTGTACTGGTGGTCCAGCCCACATGATGTTGCATAGACATAGATGGCCGAGCGGGCGGCGGTCTCCGCGAGACCCCCTTCGCCCTGGTTCCATGCGAGCAATGCGATATCATGGTAACTCGAGGATGAAATGTTAGTACAATACATGCGAGGAATTCCCCGAATTCCGAGCGACAAACTTACATCCGCCCAAGTTTCCCCGTGTACGCCCATTCTTGCCGAAGAATGGCCGCCGTCTGGAGCGCCAACTTCAGTCTCTCGTTCAGATGACCATCCTCCGCAGGCCAAAAGCGACCATCAGGAGGAATTTGCTCCTCGATGTCTTCCAACGTGAACCGTCGCTCGCGGCTCTCATCGTAGAAATTGGGACCGAAACCCAAATTCGAAGGATCACATGCCGGGCAGTCGCATTCGAAGCCGTAATGCCTCAGGGCGCCAGCTCGCACCTCATTCATTCTCCAAGAATCGATGTACGCAATCGTGACCTCTTCTCCCGCAGCGATATCCCGAATAGCCCAGACTTCTTCCACGCCTTGCGGAGGTTCGTCATGGTCGTCCATTGCGGTGGACACGCTTGCAGACAGGGTCTCACTGGGGGTACTCCCGTTTTGGCTGGAAGAGCTGGGGTCGAACGTCCGCCACGTGAACGAGGCGTTGGGAACGCAGCTATGATTGATGCGCGAGATATTCTGGAAGGTGGCCGCACCTCCGGAACCCCAACTCTCCTCTTCATCGTCGTCCTCATCCCACACAGGGATCGTGATCGCGTTGGTCACGAACGTCGACAGAACCGTTTTATAAGGGGCCATGCGGGCATATTTGACGTTGCGATCCCAGATACCTTGAGGAATATGCTTCGAGCTCGTGATGATTGGCGCGAAGGGACGCTTCTCCGCGGGCGGTGGAAGGTCGAATTCGACGACATCTTTATCAGTGGTCTGGCGAGAAAGCTCTTGGAGATACAGTTCCTTGTCGCTCAACTCTTGCCAGTTGTCGATGGACTGCTTGAGCCGCGATCGGCCTATGTCGATACCATGGGCGCTTGCTAACCCCCACAATTCGTCCTTCTGATCGTCGGTTAGGCCGTTCCAGGCTTTCCTCAGAGCAGTAACAGAGACGTTTCCACCTTCCAGTATAATGAGAGGTCGCTCCCGAAACAGAAGGGTGCCTTGAGTGATCGGTTTGGTGGCGATGGTGCAGACTCCCTTCCTAGGTGCCGTTGGATGGGCTTGAATGCTCACGGATGGATGGATATAGGTCTCTGGAAGTTCCGTGGCAGCTGAAGGCGAAAGTACTGGTCCGTCCATATTGGTGTAGATGATCCCCGTCACTTTCCAAGAAGATGTGGGATATGAGGGTTCCGACGCAATTGAATTATTGAAATGATTACTTATGTGAGAGTAAATAAACAGAGCGAAATGAGGCAAAAGTGCGATTGCTAATTGCGTGTGTTAGAGACTAGTGTTAGATATCGGTTACCAGAGGAGTCCACATGCAGCGAGGACGTCGGTGAATCTCGACGTAATCGATAAACCTAAGGAAATAGTAAGTGTTGAGCATGAATAGACATGAACAGTTTATGTTGCAGTGAGTTAGTCTCAAGAAGAATAGAAGCCACGGTTTGAATAGTGAATAGTCAAACGTTGAAAATTATCATCATCGCTCTGTTTCAGTAGTCAAGGCTTGAGTTTTCTTCGACGCATGTGAGCCGAGGGCACTGTTGCAATTCACTACTGAGAAAATCAGGTAGAGAATGCATCAGAATGGGCGGTTCAGTTTTAATCCCATCATTGTTTCGGATTGCAAAGTGCTTGCGTGTTTGGGCGCCGAATCGGACTGCATGTGTTGACATCCGTCCTGTTTGCCAGAAAGGATGTGCTACCATCTTGCACCAGCGGGTGCTGACGGAGCGACGCATTTCCGAAACGCTACGTGAACGGGTTCTAGCCTCTGAAGGTGAGAAGATGCCGTGGCATTGCTTGCTGAACGTCCGAGGCCGATGCATTCTTGATTTCTCGGAGATGGGATGAAGCGTGAAAGAAGGGTGCAGGAATATTTCGTTCAGCGTTCCATGTTCCCTTGTCAGCAACCGGTAGTGTCACGTGCAATATTCATGTTAGAGGTCAAGCTCAGCCGGGAAACATTCAGGTGCAGGAGAAATAGGCAAGGTCATGCCGGAACCATGTTTATATATAGGGGAGACTCTCTGTGGAACGAGTTGTGACATAAGGTATCTAGATCGCGTGCACCAAGAACAACCCGAACTCCCGGAGGCATAACGGCCTCCGTTATGGTTTACACCAGACCACTCTACGACCAAGTTACCATGATAATAACATGTGAAAGTCATGAGAGTTCATGACTCGCACGGGGAGAACCTCCACCACTTCTCCGAGGCTCAAAAGTCGTAGGATCCCGCAACCCCCGGCGCAGGCCCTTCAAGATCGACCCTTTCCACGCCGGTCCTGATATCATTGCTCTCCTTCAGCAGCCCGACGAAGTATTTCCTTGCGCCTTCCGTCTCCGCCTTCAATTTCGCCGTCTCGTCTTTCTTGCTCTGTAATTTTTCGACGGACCGCCGGAGACCGACGCGAAGGTTGTCGGCAGGGAATTTGAGAGCGCGCCGGACTTCCGCTGATACGCGTGTGGCGTTGCTGTGGGTATAGTCGATTTCGGCAAGCTGAGCGGCGAGTTTGGTTGAAAGACGACGGGGTAAGGACGAGGGGATGGAGGATATCGCATAGGATGCGGCAAGGACCACTAATGGAGATTAGAATTGAAGCATAAAATCTCGAGCATTGGTGACTTACCAGTCGCAATGAGGCCAGGAATGATCATATGCCGTATATTCTTGACACCAACCACTCGAGCAACCCCGAGTGCACCATCAACCCAACTTACTCCACCGATCAGTCTACCGCCGACGACGCCAGCAACTGTGACGGCCATGCTTCCGCCTAGCAATTTCTCTTGCCTTTCCCACAGGCTGGAAATATCGAAGAAATCTGTGGCATCGATCTCGAAATCAACGTATCGTGCCAATGCGTCTTTCCGCTTGGTGAACATCTGCTCGGATCGGAAGTTGAAGTTGCTGAATTCTTGACCAATATGGAGTAGGCCAAGTTGCTTGATCATGTTCACGCCTTCAACAGTCCGCTGTCGAGCACGTTGCTCGCACCCAGAGACGGCGGCCGTGACTGACGCTAGCATGGCATCTTTGATATCGTCCGCGAATTGATATGCGGAGAGCAGACCAGGGTATTCGACGCCTAGATCCGCGGTTCCAATTTCGGAAATCGTGTGGTTGAGCGTCTCTCGAGTAAATTGGTAGCATTCAGCTGCAGTTCCTTCGATTGCTTGGTCTGCACTGTCGCCGGCTTCATTATTGGCTTTCCGAGAGGAATCTAGCTCAGGTTCCAATGACTCTAAAGATTTTGTGACCCGCTCTAACTCGGAAGCTGCTACGTCTCGGTTGACCGTAGCGAGCGACAAAAGATCTGAGAGAACGTTCGTAAGATAGGTCTTCGCCGGGGCGAGCTTCGACCTAGCTCGCTTTTCCAGAACGAATCGCCGTAGAGATTGTTCGAGGTCATCAAAATCGCGCATCTGCTCCTTCTCCTTGCCTTTGTCTTTGGGGACTGGTGAGCCAGGTTCTCCATGTTTTGCAACGGGGTCATCGCTCTCGCCATCATCGCCGTCTGGTCCATCTGGTCCATCATCCCCGGGCGAGCCGGACTCGCCAGAACCACCGCCAGCCACAGGCCCTGTCGCAACGGGTATCGCATTGCTAGAGACAAAATGGACCAACTCCGATGATTCCTTGAAGGTTGCAGGGCTAAGATGATGGACCTGCTTCAAGACCATCTCTTTGCAGCGCTGTTTGTCCCGGATGTTATCGAAGCCATTGACGACCATGAAGATGTACGCCTTTTCCCGAGCGGCGTTGAAAATGAACTCTTTGGCGGAAAGGGTGAAATGATTCGCAGCAGAAACCACAAAGACAACCACGTCAATCTCCTCTTGCCGAGCGAAGACCGCCGTCGTCTTCAACGAGTCGTTGTTGAGTCCGGGAGCATCGATCAATGCAATGTCGACAACCCCATTATTCAACAACGATTCGTCAACGCTTCGAATATCCTTGACATAGATTTTGCACATCGAATACCGCTCATTATCCACGACAATCTTTTCCAAATCTTCCAAGTTAAATACGTGGTATGTGCTTTCGTTGTTGCGATTGTAGACGACTCCCATAGGAACGGCGTGGACTTCCTCCACTCCACCATTCTCTCGAACGTCGAGGACTTCGCAGAAGATGGCCGTGCATGGTTGTTGGTCTTCGGGTAAGACCTTTCTTCGGAGCAACGCATTGCAGAAGGTTGACTTTCCCGCATTTAAGTCTCCCGTCACTAGAACTTTGCTGCTGGTATCCTCGATCCGCTCCCGGAGAGAGTAGAGATGTCGTATTGACTTGCTTATTTGTCCGTCCAGAAGGCTGGCAATCGATGTCTTCTCTAGCGAGTGCACGAGTTCCGTCTGGGATAACGCACCCATCTTCAAGTCGATCTTAAGAATACTGAAGTCTTTCGACAACTCCGGCGTGACCAATCGAGGTTCCGGCCCAGCATTCTGGGCGGCCGATGAGCTAGATTCGGCTTCATCCCGATCTCTCAAATTGGTATCTGCACGTCGTGGGCCCGGGCGGGCTGGAGGGGATGAGGTATCGGATTGTTCGAATGTCGTGGCGGAATGTTGGAGTGAAGGGCGAGGTTCGTGGCGAGGAGATTGTGAAATGGATTCAGACTTCTGGACCTGGGGATAATGCGCCGGCCATGATGCGTTCATATCCTGCAGTCTCTTCAAAGAATCCACCGTTCTCGTGATGGCGCGGCCGAGAGAAGTTTTGTTCTGGTTATAATACAACTGATGGATGTGGCTGGCGAGTAATCGGCGATCATGCTCAGCTAGACCATACAATTAGTACCATAGGGCAGTACACCACCCAGGTAATACGTACAGTTGCCTCCTTCGCCGAGTACTGGGGTTCCGCTTGGTGTAGGTCGATCTTCTGTCGGGCCCGGAACCCAACCACGACTGGTGCTCTGAGCATCGGATATGCTCGCTCCGTAGCCGGAATCATGATCAAGCATATCCATCAGTCGCGATGCACTTTGTGATGTTGAGCCAGCCCCGACGGTCATGTAGTTTGGTCGAACGGGAGGCTGTCCTTCAGAGAAATACGTTTCCGGTTGTCCATCATGCGATGAGCCCGCGTCGAAGGACGGGGCTCGAGGGTTGGGGTTCTGTTCGTCGGTCATTCCTCCTGGTCTGATGAAATTCCAGTGCGCATGGCGGATAGACACAGGGTCATAATAGGATCGTATTTCGGGAGGTTGCGAGGTTGGAGAGAGGGTGGAGAGAGGGTGGAGTTTCGGGATGTTTATGGACTATTTGACGTCGTTTCCGCCGGTGGCGTTACTGTCGTTCGTTCAAAGGTTTCGCGCTGCACGTGATTCGGTGTTACCCCAAACACGTGCTAGCCCTACATGTATCAACCGTCAACATCACTGGCTCACCTTAACTCAAGTTCATGGGCGCCTGTTACCGTACCCCAGGTCGGCATTCAACCTTCAAGTCGCAAGCCGTTTACCACCAATCTATTTCGGATCTTTATTCCCAACCAAGCACCCGTGTCAGATATCGCCAATATGAATGTCTGTAATATACCACTCTTGTCCCGACTTCCCGACTAACAAAGACCAGATCATTGAATGGGCGTTCGGCAAGCGGATGACGCCAGCGGAGCGTCTCCGAAAGCACCAACGGGCTCTGGAGAAGACGCAGCGAGAACTCGACCGAGAGCGGGTAAAACTCGAAAACCAAGAGAAGAAACTGGTCCAGGACATCAAGAAGAGTGCCAAGAACGGGCAGATGGGACCGCTTCGGATACAAGCCAAAGACCTGGTGCGAACACGAAGGTATTACTTGCTCGGAACTATGCGAGGGGTATTATCTCACAATGAGCAGGTATATCCAGAAGTTCTACTCGATGCGAACACAATTACAAGCAATATCCTTGCGTATACAGGTGAGTTTTCGACGATTCTCCAACTCTGCAGATTCTAACCACCTATAGACTGTTCGCAGTAACGAGCAAATGATGCAAGCCATGAAAGGAGCAACAACGCTCCTCGGTAGCATGAATCGTCAGATGAATCTTCCCGCCCTTCAGCGAATAGCCATGGAGTTTGAGAAAGAGAACGATATCATGGACCAGCGGCAGGAGATGATGGAGGACGCAGTAGACGATGTCACGGGTTTAGAAGATGAGGAAGAGGGCGAAGAGGTGGTCAACCAGGTCTTGGATGAGATCGGCATTGATCTCGGTCAATCCGTACGTTTCTTTTATATCCCATTCTTGCTGTCCCGACTGACACCCATCTAGCTAGGGGAGGCACCCACCGGGATCCAGTCATCGAAGGTTGCAGAAGGCAAAGTCGCGCAAGCGATTGGGGGTGATCCTGGCGACGACGACCTTCAAGCGAGACTCGACAGCTTACGGAGGTAATGGATGGATGCACATCAACGGTTAAACGCGTTCAACTTGAATATGTGACCTTGCACCCCAAGTGCAAGGTCGTCTCCCGACACTTCTACCAAGGATTGGGTAATGAAATCGAGGAGAGACCCCGGTGAAGCAGTTCCAAGAAATTCTTGAACTCTCATCAGATGTCGACTGAATAAACCGTCAAGATCTGGTATTCATTTACACAGTGTCATGAAACCACTGGCTGTCCATGTGGAATATCACTTTCACCGAGGGTAGAGATCATGGCCATTCCCTCGACATCAGTGTGCAGCATCAACGCAGGAGAGGACCCTCCTGGCTCTTTATTCCGTTGGGATTTATTCCTTTTATTTACGGTACTGTACTCCGTATATCTCGGCGTTTCGAGGTCTCGGTGATGCATCGTATACTATGACGCATTGCGGGGTAAACGTCCCCCAAATGAAAGCGTAGCAAGCACAGTTAGAGTTAGACTTTCATGGCAACAAACACTACAGTCTTCAGTTGAGTACTCCGTATATACAGTATTATAGACAAGCTAGGATAGCATGGGCAGTTAAACGTGATTGGTGCAAGAGAGGCCCTGATAGTACAACCAAACGGCACGCCTATTACAACAGGCCACCTGGGAAGGACGACGTTGATGCTCTCGCCTTGGGCATCCTCCAGCTCCCAGCCGTAGGTCACAGTGTACATGTAATTATCGACTTGCCAAAATTAAAGAGATCGTAAGATATACCTCAGAAGAGGGAATATGAGACAGATACCTAGCTAGACCTAAGTACCTAGGGATATGCATCATGACCATCTGTTTCTTCGCCTAAATGTATCATCTAATTGTGGTTCAGATTGCGTATGGTCTATTCATTTCTCCACCAAAAGCCGACTCCAACTGTCCAACACTTCTAGAAAGACGTAATCATCTCCCAATGGTCCAACTGTCCAAGTCCCTTCAAGCCATGGATTAGCATCTGCCATTGTCCCTTTGTGTTGTGCTACAACAACGACTGCAGATATGCGAGACAGCTTTCATGTTGTACACTTCACACACTTTACCACGAGTTCCCTGACCCAACAAGCACGAAGAACCTGAAACTGAACCTGAAAGATTGGTAATTGAGGAGACAACTCCGTCCGCTCAGCTAATACCCCGGTTCACGGTTACACCTCACCTAGAGATCTACACAGCACCTACACCATCCACACGACGCACTCTCACACACTCCCCCCACCTTTCCCTAACATAATCCTTCTTCCTTCCTTGACCCGAATCGCAAACTGCAGACCTCCGGTCGATTCCTTTACGGTAGGCCATTTCGCATTTCTTACTATATCTGAGCAAGTTGGGCCGGTTGGTGTATCCGCGACGTCATCTGAAGGTCAACTGAACGCCTGTTGCCTCACGTCCTCACGGCTCACCTGTGTTTCGGCCATCAAAACGATCTAAGCCTTCTCCGGCACTACACTTCCACGCCACCTCCCACCTCCGTCACAACTCGCAGCTCACTACCCTTTTCCACTTCACCCGATCGGTTACCAGCACTCTTCACGTTCGCAACCTCGAAACCTTTAAAAGAATCTACTTGCGCATCCAGAATCCAGAGCGCTAACCTATATCCAAGTCTGATTCCGCTTCCGAAGTGGGCAGACGTCCGATCCAACTCCGCCCTTCATTTCAGTCCACCACCGAACTAAACACGGTCTCGTCCTGAGGTCGATTGGGAGGCGCACACACGATCAATCTGGCTGGAGCAAAGAGGAGCAGTTTCTCTTCTCAGGGAGTGCTGCACAGAATGTTTGGCACCTCGCCGGTTGCCAAAGACTCTACTGCAACGAGTGAGCCGACGCCTCCGAATCCTTCCCTGGCCACGAACCATTCCACCGCGGCCGACTCTACGCCTCGCTCCGAGAAGCCAACGTCCGGAGCCGAGAAGCGAACAAGCGGTCCAGAAGCGACGCCGAACAAGAAAACCGCCGACGAAAGTCCGTCGATTCCCGAGAAGAAGCGAAGAAGTAGTAGCGTCGCGAAAGCGCGGGATATCTTCTCCAGCGCAAAGAACTCGCTCTCGTTCTCGAGTCACTCGCCCTCCGATCGGCAGGAAAAGATGTCGGCCCTCAGCCGGTCGACCAAGGGAGGGGATCCGGCACTGCATGTTCAACAGGGAGCGTTTAATAACTCCGCTGGCGAATCAAAACCGGGACCCAAGTCGACTTTCCGCGTGGGTGTTACGGAAGACAAGAACAAGAAATGTCGTCGGACGATGGAGGATACGCATGCCTACTTATACAACTTCCTCAGCACTCCTGTGCCGAATGCCGGTGAAGACGCTCCGCGAACCGATTCCCCAGCCGAAGGAACCGATCCATCCCCTATCGAGACGGACAACGGCTACTTCGCGATCTTCGACGGCCACGCCGGCACCTTTGCCGCCGATTGGTGCGGGAAGAAGCTCCATCTAGTCCTCGAAGACGAGATCCGGAAGAATCCGACGCAGCCGGTGCCCGTGCTCCTCGATCAAACCTTCACATCCGTCGACCAGCAGCTGGAAAAGCTCCCGCTCAAAAACTCTGGTTGCACCGCCATTACCGCCGTGCTGCGATGGGAGGACCGAATAGCGAGCTCACAGAACCCGACTGGATTTGCGGCAGTGGATCGTGGTGCGGCCAACATGGGGGGAGACAACACGACCGAGAACCCTGGTGCGGGCGAGAATGGCTCCACGTCGACAGCCGAAACGGATACCACTAAAACCGAAGCGAATCCTCCCGGTGGGCCGGTTCGACAACGTGTATTATATACGGCAAATGTTGGTGATGCACGGATTGTCCTTTGCCGAAATGGCCGTGCATTACGATTATCCTACGATCATAAAGGAAGCGATGAGAACGAAGGACGCCGCGTAGCGAATGCTGGAGGCTTGATACTCAATAACCGAGTGAACGGAGTGTTGGCCGTGACGCGCGCGCTGGGAGATTCGTACATGAAGGATCTGGTCACCGGACGCCCATACACGACGGAAACGGTCATTCAACCTGACGCCGACGAATTCTTAATATTGGCATGCGATGGGGTAAGTCTCGATTTCCAATCATCCTTTCGGCCAGACCTAACGTCTTTCCACAGCTCTGGGATGTCTGCTCCGACCAAGAAGCCGTCGACCTCGTCCGCAACATACAGGATGCGCAAGACGCGAGCAAGAGACTCGTCGACTTCGCCCTCTCCCGCTTCTCCACCGACAACCTGTCCTGCATGATCGTGCGCTTCGACAACAAAGCTCTCCTGGAGCAGATGCGCCTGGATCAGCCCCCATCCGCTGATGCCGAGCCGAGAGTATCCGCCGATGGCGCCAAGGACAAGTCCGTCGGCGTCGGACAGACCGGGATCAGCGAAGCCGACGCCATCGTGCGCGACGCGGCGCGAAAACAGGGCGAAGCAGGTGAGAGCAACGCCGTTGAGGACATGATTATCGAGGAAGAGCAGGTCGATGTCGAGGACCCCGGTCCGGAGTTGAACGCGGAGGCGTTGAGGGAAGCGCAGGCGAAGCGGAAATCCGCGGGGACGACGACCACGGATCCGTAAGACATGATTGGAATGAGTGCATACGATTATGGGAAGGAGGACATGGCGGGATGATTACGGGGATGGTTTCATGGGCGGAGAAGGATGTTCGCGGCGGCGTTTTTTCGTTGTGGGTTTTCAATGGCATTTGATACGTACGCTTTGTTCATGGGAAGTTAGTCCCTTTATTCAATGGCTCGGGTAGCATGAAGGTGGTTTCGAACCAGTCGGTCCACTGGAGGTAACGCGCATTGCGGATATGAATCGGGAATTTGTTAAGTGTGCCATGCTGCTGCTCCTGAAAATCAATTGAAGTTATTGGCATACATCTCAGGAGGTACCTTAAGTGTCAGACTGGTTCATTAGCAAATCTCTTCCTCCTGTCGAGCGACGCTGTCTCGGTGCATAGCATGATAATATTCGTAATCCCATGATCCGGTATCGTTGCAATGTTTGAAAGGATGGGAACTGTCAAGAGCCAATTCAACGCATCGGCAAGCAACTATAGCCTCAAGTCATTTGAATCACACAGGTGTTGAAACAGGTTCCTCGTCAACTACCATTGCCTCACTTCAAAAGCCGGGAGTTCGTCATTAAAAGCTATCTCCAACGGCCGCGTAAGCTACCCGTGGGCCGTGATGCTCGTGCTCTATGACGCTCCGCCGTCCCCCAAACCGCCGGGCGCTGACGACGCTCCAGTCAGGCCATCTGTGATACCTATGCACGAATCCTGCCCATCCGACAGGGAAGACATGTTTAGGGCGAAGGCTCATCCAGTCGATGAATCTAACCGCCCCGGCGCGTCACGGCATCCGAAACCCGATGTCAGCCAACACCGTTCCGCGTGCGAGAGGGCTTGGCCGCTTGGCGGAAAGTGTGACGGATGAAGCGGAGGATTAACGAGATGTCTCAACAGGGCTGAGGTTCCGAGATTGTCGGAGGTTGGATACGCGGACTGGAGGTATTGGAGGGGATGGGAGTCGTGATGATGGGCAATTCGTTTCCTTGCCGCGCTCGACTGTGTGGAGTGACTGTGCTGCCTGGGTGAGAGATACTCATAATCAATAATATGAATTAATATCCATAATGTAGCACGGTCCTAGGTGGCTGTGGCTGCATGACGTCCCTGCCGTTTGCTGACGCCACATCTATGACGTTACCATCCACCCCACTTAGCAACCACACAGGATTCCTACACTGAGACCCAGATCTGATCTGCTGCTGAACCTGCTGGAGTGGGTGGTTTGGTGCGGCGCAGGATTGGTGACAGCATACCTTGCATGGGAGCAGGTTATCACTTGTCAGTGTGATGGAAATCTAGAACTTATGGAACCCAGTACAAATACCTGACCTCCGCTCACCTTTCCTTTCTTCTCACCACTTTTTTCCCACTCTACCCACACACCTTGAGCTACTACCATCAGAACCACGCACACGTCCAACTGTTTTCCCACTTCTCAATCGTATACCACACCACGGTAATCTTTCGATACCAACTCATTCAACATGCCGTTCACCGCAAGGTAAACCGGACTCCCCAGCTCCCCGGAGCGCCTCGGAATGCGCAAACTGTTGCTGACACTTCCACCAGCGACATCATCAAGATCTTCTTCGCCATCTTCCTCCCGCCGCTAGGTGTCTTCCTTGAGCGCGGTTGCAATGCGGACTTCTTCATCAACATCCTCCTGTAAGCGCTTCCACGAAACCACCCGTTTTCGACCTTGCGAAGGAGCTCAACGCTAACCAATCCGCAGCACAATCTTGGGTTACATCCCGGGTATTATCGTAAGTTTTGTTATATCTTCTACTCGCGAAGGTTAATGCTGACGGATGGGTAGCACGCGCTGTACATTATTCTGAAATTCTAAGACGGGGGGAGCGCAGGGGTGGATGGAGTGATGACGCCATGGTGATGGCATGAGTGGACGCTATCGTTCGTCGGGCATAGATGTCAATCTTTCACGACGATCTGGAGTCTACAGACTGTTTTATGACCGCTGCCGCCAACTATCGACGCATTAGACACTCCTAATGGCGTTGGTGAGGGCAAGGTCGATGCTTTACGTATTGCATTTGTCGGGGACGAGCCTTTAATCGATTGGGGTTGATGATACCCTTCGGAGTGGACGAGCGCTACGAACCTTGTTTTCCTTGTCATTAAACGCTGATTGCTACTTAGATAGCAGATGGAATGATACCTTGAAATTTAATTCAGAATGGCCTAACTATTTCGATTCGAATCGTTCCCCTTGTTACAGTGTCCACCCGAGCGTCTTACCGCGTGTATGTGAAGGAAAATCGAAAACAAGCCAACTCATCACCCAGCCCCTTGTTTCGCTCAGCATTAGAAAGTCATAGCATTTGATTATCAGAGAATTATGATGATGCGTTGCAAATCAATAATCTCCCATGATAATTACCCCTAGTTTTCCTTATCCCTCGCCTTTCCCTCCAACCGAGGAGCGAATGCCGGAACCCAGGCACTTCCGTGACACGGAGAACAGAATCACATATGTCCCTTGGATGCTCTCCTTGCAGGGCCCTAGCCGTCGACCTTACTATCGCTCCTCCTCCGTTCCGCCCGTTTCAGCCTCTCCACCTTCGCCCGCCAAAAGCTCGCCACCCTCTCCGCATCCGACCATTTCATCCCCAAGTCCCGTTCCTCGATCATCCCCCATCTCTTATCCCTGGACTCCGTCAAAGTGAACCTTACCCCTTCATCCTCCCCTTTCACGGCTCGGATGGTCCCGCACTCATCGAACGCTCGCGCGGCGACGGCGATGTGTTTCGCCGTCTCCGTCGAGGACGTGCTCCCTCCCCGTCGCTCGTACTTGGCGCGAAGGGCCTCGTAGTCCTTCTCCAATTGTTTCTCGCGCGCGCGGCATTCATGCAGTTCGCGGCGGGTGCGCTCGAGTTCGGCGTAGATGGTGCCGACGTTGAGGTGGCGTTTTCGTGCTGGAGAGATTTGCCCTTGTGGGATGGCTGCCTGAGACCCGCGTGCATCGCCGTGACGGGATTCTCTACATTCTGCTTGTATGGGCGGAATAGAATCACCCGGCTTGGAGGACCCATGTGACGTAACGCGTTCCCTCTGCGCCCAATCTTGTGCTAGGCCGGTGTGGCTCGCTGCAGATACTGCGGCGTTGATCTGGGTTTCGTTTGCAATCGGTCTTTGAGGGGATGAGTGGGTCGATCGGGTGGGTACACATGCAGTTGCAAGGTTTTTATGTTGAATTTGGGCACGCCGTGGTCGTGTTTCTTCCAAGGTGCGATGGAAGTTCCCAGGTAGTGGTTGTGCATGACGCATAGGCCCTGCCTGGGCCTGAGACTGTGTGTTGCGATTATGGCTGCTCATCAAACGAGGAGCCTGACTCTCCCCAGGAATTCGCGGAATGTGAAAGTGCTCAGGGCCGCGATGTGCGGAGTCCAGATGAAAGATGCTCTGTCCATCCGATTGGGAGGGTGACGTGGTGTCATGGATGTAGAGGTTCTCGTTCTTGTGCATATCCTGGGATGTTTCATTGATCGGCGGGAAGGGGATACGGTCTAGACGGTCGTTGTCTCGCTTGGGAGAGGACGGTAGAAAGCGAGAAGTGATGGCAGAGTCCAGTCGATCGTCTTCACGGGTAGGCGGGAGTTGAACTTGTTGCGAACGGGGTGTCCAGTTCTCCGCCATGCGTGGGCCATTCCTAACACGTTCACGACTCTCCTTCTTTCTCACCCGGCGTTGTTCATAGCCTCGCCTGCGATCGTGTGAAGGTGTTGCGCTTTGTTGGATGAGGTGTGCTGGTCGCATGCCGGGGCTCTGTGGGTGAGGCTGATAGATATTGGCTCCGACATATTGCGCAGCATGCTCGACCCTCAACCTCTTTCGGGATATGCGGAATTTTGGCGGGCTAACCTCCGGCTGTCCTGCGGAGAACTCAAGTGACTGGAGTCCTTTGTTTACGTTGGTAGTCTGGTTGGGGTGTGCCTCAGGCTCGGGTTCCCTAGTAAATCGGTCGAGCTTTGTCGGTCCTGAAAGTACAGTTTCAGGGTTCGTGACCACCTCAAGAGCTTGGTAGATTGCGTCTCCGAGGTTCTTTTCGTCGTCTGGCGGTGCCTTCCGAAGGAGCAAAGAGGTCCGGGGGATTTCTTTTGAAATTGGCTGTTTCTCAAGATCCTCCATATGGCCAGCTGGTTTGACACCATGATCGGTGATATTTTCAAAGGTGTTGGAAACGGCCAAGGATGTGTCATAAGAAGCGCCCGACATTCTGTGTGCTGAAAACTCAGCAGTCAATCCAAGACTAAATCTGGAGGATGAAATTGGAGGGATGATGTAGTTGAGACTTGACTGTGTTCTCCGTCGATCGAACTGGGCAATGTCCTGTTCGTGAGAGCTAGTGAGGAGCTTGCCGATATCTTCAGAGTGATGTCGACGGTGGCCGTTTGCAGACACGCGAGATAGCTCAGAGCGTAAACGCCTGCCCTTGCTTCCAGTAATCGGTCCGGACGGCCACGGCAGATAGCACGTTCCAGGAGCTGTGACTTCCTGGATGGCCTTGATTATACATTCCCAGGAAGTAATGAGCTTCTCCGCAACGGCTCCACACATCATTGTTCTCCCGAACTCGCACACAATAAGCAGCGCATCTTTCGACATAGGGGTCCCCGGAGTGCTGTTTGCATGGTCTGGAGATCCTAGGCTAGTCTCGAAATCGCTCATAGAGGGAGTAGGAGCAACGTCGCTACTTATAGCGATCCCATCGGTGTGATTCGCAAGGAGTAACGGCGCAAACACGACGGCGAGAGCTCGAGAGCTCATTGCCTCCGATGACTGCTTTGGTGGGCTAAGATGGTCGACCGGAGTGACTTGATCCTGCTTCAAATATGCCAGTAGTCCAAAAACAGCAGAGATCAGTGCCAGTCTATGTGGGCATTCGATTTGAAGTAGAGCAGCTGCCACCTTCTGTGGATCGACACTTGGGTTCGGTGACGCATTGCTTGATTTGGAGGCGTCATATTGAATCGCAGATTGTAGTTGCTCGAATACCTCGATCGATCCGAGGATGCCGCCCGGCAATTCTGAGAGAAGCTTCTTGAAAGTCGAGGCGATGTCATGGATGTTGTATGCGACGCTGGTAGGAAGAGCAGGTTTCCGAATCGTTAACTCAATATCGCTCAAATGGGTCGTGTCCGGTGCTTGCATCTGCGAGAGGAAGTGGTCGTGTAGTGCGCCGACTGTTCTGATTTGCCCAGGGATTCGAAAGATGCCAGGAACGTCGAGGCCTGTGAAGAGTGTCAACTCAAAGACACTGCCATAGAAGCGTCATAGATGGAACGATTCCAAACTTACCGTGCTTTACAAGGTACTTCGCCGTAGCGGCAAAGCAACTTGGTATGGCCAACTCGGCAGCGGCAACATTCTGAGGAAGATGCAACAAACTGACTCCGCCCACTCGCGCCAGGTCTTCCAGAGAGTGAGGAAACTCAAGAGGGAGTTTCGGGTTCTCGTTGTCCGAAGAGGAGTTTCGTCGCCGACCGAATTTACGAGCCAGCCAGGCTCTCGTGTTCTTAGTCCTGTCCATTGGAATCCACGCAAGCAACGACCGTGACGGATGGATGTCAAGAACGAGAGAGGGTGGGATCCCAAACTGATTTTTTAAGCTGATTGAAAGGTATCGAAGTTCTGTAGCTGTAATTTCTCGTGCAATAAGAGTAAGTTTCTTGATGCAAAAGTTTCTCCATGGAGGTGCAATTATCTGGTTAAGGAGTGCACGCTGCGTTGCACTTGCCTCCAGAGGCTTCAGATTGGGATTTTAGCAGGAGCCTGGACTCGAGAAACACCAAACAAGAGCAGCTGTGCCCAAGAACGGTGTCTGACCGCAATAAGTTCAAATGCGGTAGAAAGAGTGAGAGGGGGCGAAGCGGATTGAGAGGAGAATATGTAGTGTCAGTTGGAAATTTCACTTTGACAACCACTGGAACTGCGCAAACAGAAGGAATCGACGTGAATGTCGCCTACCATCCCAGGATTGGGTTCATCTTTGACTACTCACAAGAAAGCCGTTATCGATTCATACAATATTGGAAATGAAACAGCTCAGCAACCGTCTGATCAACGCCGCCGATACGTACCGATTCATTCACCTTACCCATAATCGGGTCATCAAGGACAACCTAACACGTGCAGGTTTGAGAACCTATCCATTCTTGAGCTATCATTTATTCCGGATTGCCGTTATCCATTGCATCGCATTCCATTCATAATATTCTGCCTCCTCATTCAGAGGCCGGACCCAATCATCGGAGGAACGATGCCCTGTTCGTCAATAAAACCCAAACCAGTCTTGAGCCCCGACCCGCACAAGATCCGCAAGTGCGAAACTTTCAATACTGCCCTTCTTCACCTTCGAGAAGAATGTATTCGAGGATGTCACTCAAGGTTAGGACACCCTTCAAGCGGAGTTTATCGTCGACGATGGCGAATCGATGAACGCGTGATTTGCGAATCGTATCGAAGATGGTATCAAGACGATCATCGGCAGAACAAGTGTAGATCCCGGAGAAGTCCTATGCTTCGGTTAGTACTTGATACTGATAATGTTCGGTGCATTCGACTAACGTCCGCCCTCTTCAGTATCGCTGCGCCTACGGTAAGGTTCAGATTGTTGTCATAGTCCGTCTCCCCTTTGATCAAGGTGATGACATCAACCGCCTCGAACACGTTCAGCAAAATACCTGGAGATTGTGTCAGTTATTGCTGGGGAACACTCAATCACGGGCGTTCAAACCTTCTTTGTCCAAGATTGGAACGCTGGAGATATTGTATCGCACAAGCATGTGGATCACGTCCATGACTGGTGTGTCCATGGTGGCAGTCTGAATGTTCTCATACGTGCCGACATTAATGGCTTGAAGCGGCTTCCTCAGCATAGCCGTCTCCTTAACGTTGACAGCAACAAATTTGAGGATGCGATACTGGGTCACCACGCTAACCACCATAGATCGCTGGGTTTCGTCGTCAACATCCACTAAGGGAATACGACGTGCACGAGACTTGAGCATCTTGCGGCATGCTTCGTAGAGCGGTCGCTCTGGATGAATCGAGACGGTCTCCGGGGGTTGGACTCCAATGGCTCGTTCGACTTCTATTACACCTATCAGCAAGTAGAGTCTCGATGTACATGATGATCATACCTCGAAGACTGCTGAGTCGAAATTGGCCAATTTGGCCCATCGCATCCGGGTTCTGCCAGTAATACTGGATAACATTGATGTAATCGGAGGTTGTGAGTAGACCAGCGAATGTGGATGACTTGGAATCCCATAGCGGCGCTGATACGATGCCTTCTTAGGAGTTAGCCTTGACCTACTAAGAGAAGAGTTGATCATACCATTTTGGATCAAGATATCCAAGCTCTTCTTGACCAGAAGTCCCGTGTCAAACACGATGAGCCGGAAGCTCAGTGGAAGGACATCATAACTTGTTCGAACCTTCAAGAAAGCTCGGAGGGCTCGCTGTTGACGTTAGCTTCCTGATCCTTGTTGATGATTACTCCAAATGACAGCGTATCATTGTCAACTTATCACCAATTCTTGGTGTAGCAAACAAGGGCAATGGTTTCTCTCATTCCGTCACCGCCTTTCTCCTCTAGCAAACAAGTCAACAAGAGAGAGCTATACGTACCAGGCCATCCATTTGCTCCACGTCCAAAGGTGTGAGTGGCTTCATTTTTTCCTCCACGGGTGTCACAGCCAGTACTGGTCGTGACGTCCGCCGTAAATAATGAGCTGGACTTACGAACGGCGCAGGTACGGCGGGAACTCCGCTGGTAGCGGGTGGAAAAGTGACTGGAGGATTGGGTACATCTCCAGGCTGCGATGATACTACCCCCGCGGAATGACTAGCGTGGTACGGAGCCTGCTGAGAGTTTCCGGAAGGTTCTGCAGCATCAGCTGGGCGGTGAGGCTTCGCATCGCCAGAACCTGACATGATCGTGGCGTTTTGAACGCTTGCAAGTTCGATGCGGTCGTGGGGTGTTACAATTCTCGGATTCGCGCCTCTAATATGCAGCCAACAGGAGGTCAGGCCGGGTTGTGATGCATACGTTTAGAAGCCAGAACGTTGTGAGGAGGCTGCTCGGTTGAGCATGGCCCCGAGGCCGTATTTCTTCTTGCAAGTCGGTCGATTTCGTTTAGAGGCCAATTGACTTGGTGAGAGGAATCACAAATAGTTTGTACTTCGTTTGAGTCCCGTAAGTTGGTTACCAGTTAATATCCGTGTCTAATGTAAGAGCTCCGCGGCGGAGCTGCCGGTTGGGGTGGGAACTACAAGCCCGCTTCCGCTCCTCCATCAGCTAATTCACGTGATCACAGGGAATTTTCACGTTTGGGCAGACATTGTCTTACGTCGCTTCTAGAGATATGAAGATACTGTCTTATATTCCTTTTATTCAATTGACTAGTGAATAATTACAAATCTTTGTTTACTTAGGCTAAAGTAGGATGTAAAAGATGAAGACCTTTCAATTCCGTCCACCCAAGAAAAAGCGCCCATTGTCAGTCACTTCGTCCAAGATAGGTGGCGCATCTCAAGTTCCACTGTGCAAGTCATCATCTTACAATTGATATCGTTGAGTTTGAATGCTCCTTATTGAGTCTAGAGGTAGTAGAGGATGCGTCAAGCACATTTAACCACCGATTGCGCATTTGCAGCGGCTATTATTTTCCTACCGGCATCGATCACACATAGTCATTTATTCAAATCAACACTCATCACATCAATCATCAATAATGGTCAGCGCTTGGTCGTTACTCGTTAGCCTGAAGATTCCAAGTATGGCTTGAGTTAGGATTACACAGGAACCTGCATCCCCGCAATCCTGGTGGTATGCTACGACTAGGATGAATGCAAGATCCCACTGCTTATAAACCGAATGCATAAATACCGAGGCACGCAGTTCGAAGCCATCTAAACACCGATCCTACATCAATTGTTATAAATACTCATTCCGCCATTACCTACTCCTTTTCAACTGGCAACAACCTCATTATCAGATGGATCGCGTCATAGTCATTCTTGGATCGGGGCCGGGGATCGGTGTTGGAGTTGCGTCCCATTTCGCGGAACAAGGGTTCAACAGGGTAGCGTTGGTGGCCAGAAACACTGAGAGGTTGGCAATCGATGCTTCCAGGGTTAAATCGGCTGCAGAGGCGGCAAAGAAGGACGTTACTGTGAAGACCTACTCTGTCGATGTCACCGACGTGGCCAAATTTGAAGGGGTCCTTGGAAATATCGTGCAGGAGCTTGGGAAGCCCGAAGTGGTTGTGTATAATGCTGTCCGAATAGGAAGAGGGTCGTTCTTTAAGCAAACCGAGGAGTCCGTGAACTATGATTTCAAGGTGAGGCATCCTAAGGGTTCCCAAATTGGACATGCACAAACAGCCCGCCCCACTCCATCTGGATCGCAAAACCCTCCCATTTCGCGTTGCCTAAGGAAAGACCACTGACTAGATAAACTAGATCACAACTCTTGGGCTTTATACGACCGCACGCGTCCTGATGCCTCATTTGCTCTCCCATGTGGGATCAGCTGGCCGAAACCCTGCTCTTCTAGTCTCCAGCGGGGGTCTATACAAGACACCGCATCACGCACTATTCTCGCTATCATTATCGAAAGCTAGTCAGCACAACATGACTGAAAGCTTATCGCAGAGATTTGCGGGTGAGGGGGTTCACGTGGCGTCGGTAGTCGTCCATGGCCTGGTGAGGCCCGATAGTCCCCATTTCAGTCCAAGTAAGATCGCCGAGGTGTTCTGGAAATTGTACGGACAGGGAGCAGATGGGGAAACGGATGTATGGGTCACAGACGGAACCGATCCAAAGCTTTGAGGAGTTGTCCCATCTGAAGTCGAAGAAGTATTGCACATTCCTCCCTCGCAGAAGGAGTTGCGTGTATATATTTTAGGCCATATAGCCTGGGGACGTGTATCAAGCTGGTTAGATCCAATTTCTATCCGGAGGAGACATTTAGTTTGGTACGGACTCATTCGCAGTCACAGCCTCTGTGTCCTACCATTTGCCGACGAGTTTGATGGTTGAATCTATCCCCCAGGCGTTGGAACGCACAAATCGACATATCATGTAAATTGTCCTTGGCTAGACATCTCTGGATATGTTTAACTACAACTGATGATGTGGCCCGCGCTTCTCCATGAAGAAATAAATCCCTTTATCGAACCCGATGACTTCAACTCCTTCTGAAGTACCCTAATATAACCTTATATGTATCTCTGCGACTGATGCTCTGTGGCGCCTACACTGAACGACGATCTTTGCAGACACAACCGCCATAACGAGGGTCAAGGACTACATTAACTCGATATTGGAGGTAAGGCAATTGCGAAAAACACTGATTGATTGTCCTACTAACTGATGTACGTCTTGAGTAAAGATGTGCCACCTTTGAATGAATTCCCGAATAGTGGACCGCCACATCCATCCTTCCTCCACGAAATCCATCTTTGTATTGTCCCGATCTCCCCTCGCTACCCATGGGGCCTTCAAGTTTCTCCTCATCGTAGAGAAAACGAGTTCGAAGGAAGCGAATCTCCAACGCACACGACCCTCGTAAGATTCCTACTTGACCACCGTGACAAGACCCGAGCGTGCCTCCGGTTCAGTGAGCTTAACTTGAATCCCAGGCATGTTCCGCACTATCGGAGAAGAAGGCGCCGCTAACGAGTAGCCTGGCAACAAGTTTATTTCCCATCCGTTCCAGATCAGCCCCTGTGTTGGGAGTAATTACAGGGAATGCCGAAAAGTGATTGGCTGGTGGTGCAGCTATGGCCATCATTATCACACCCCTCAGGCTTGGCTATTGGTAACTGAACCGAAACCGCGTTTATTTTCTTGGTGACGAGCCGCCCTATGATATAACCTGTGTCGCAGGAATTTATAGGGTTCCCGCCAACCTCTCGATCGTCTTGAGGTACTTCACCGCCAATGCCCAACAGCACATCGGCATTCTTGTGATTATGGACCCTGGGGAGTCTTTCCCAGGGGTGTCGATATACTTTATGAATGTCACAGTGCTAATAAGGAGGGATTTTGGATGGGTCTCAAAGGTTTACTAGCTAGTCTCTGACGAAACTAAAGACGAAGAGGAAGATAAAAGAAAATCAAACAAAAGGAGGGGAAATATCTACAGGTCTGTAGGCAGTGAATTCCCGCCATGTGTTCCCCTGGCACATGATACTATCGTGAGCCATTCATCTGGCCATCAGGCATCGATCTCAGAACACGAAAAGTGCGACTGTGACAATGGATATACTAATAAGCTCGACAAAACGGCCAGACGATATATCCTTGAAGGGGGGTGCTAGAACAACAAGGCTGGTTTTGAGAGCTAACTTTACATGTCGGTGATAATATACCGTAGACTGGACTTTTGACTTTTGGTCCTATGACTTTTCTGGCGCTCCTATATTTCAATCGAATTGCTGGTATAGAGTAGATCAAGCATTAGCAAGTATATAAATAATACGTAGCAGCAGTGATATATTCGGGATTGTAGAATGAAAGACTTGAGCTTCGGTTGAGCTTTTGCAGAAAGGAATTGGAGCTGAAGTTCTCGTCATTCAGTTTGTTCTGTGTTCCTACAGCGTCCATGGTCGGTGGTAAGGTTAGGCCCATGAGCGCGTCGATCCTGTTCCCATCGGGACCCAATAGTTGGCCAAAGGGCCCGGACACCAGGTTCGTGTTTGCATGGTAATGTAGCTCCCTCACGGGCTTGGACCAAAGTAAAAAGAAGCTCGCTAAACCCATCCTGTGTGGTCGGTGATGACTTATAAAGAAACAAGATGATAGACTTAGAGGCATACAACTCAAGCAAACGCGATATAATTCAATACCATAAGATGATTGGCCCGTGGGTATACAACGGTTTGCTATGTCATCAAATTCAGATCCAATCATCCAAGTGTGCATGCCAAGGCCAAATCCGTAATAACTACAACATCACCTACCCCCCAATCTGTGGTAAATGGCATAATCGATTCAGTCGATTCAGTGGACTCTAATTAATCTTAGTAGACTATAGTCGACTCTAGTGGATTAAAATTATTCTATTTATCTAGTCATCGATCCTAATGCTATTAAAAGTAATAATAAGCGTTAGTCTGTCTAGTTTGTGCGGTAGGTCAAGGAGAAGGGTCAGTCCCTGCTCTTGGTAGAGAACAGTCCTTTTTTTTTAAAATGGCACGGTGGCTGAGTGGTTATAGCGTTAGACTCGAATAAGCAAGTTCATCTAATCCGTTCGCGGGCGCAGGTTCGAATCCTGCCCGTGTCGCATATCTTTTTACAAAAATTCTTTTTGAAATATTCGGAATTGAACCCGGTGCTTTTTTGATATTAACAATCGTTGTGGTTGTGCATAGACGGAGGCATAATTAGAAGGTGCGAACATCGCTCCTGCGTTTTGTTCGAGTCAGCGCAAGAGGGTTGAACTAAATTACTAAAAAATCAAGGCACTGCACTGGCCCCTTGACAATCGATACCCTCCCACGCCTCCCTCAGCCTACGACAACAGAGAGTCATATCGACCCAGTTTTGCGAACTAGAATACAAAATTGTAATTCTATTAATGGAAGCAGCAGGTGGAAAACCGTAATAATTACTGTGTGAATTTTGACGCCCTTGCGAGATGCTTCAGGCTCATGAATTTATTTTCTTCCCCTCCTGAACTGACATGTTGCATAAGATCCACTCTGCTGTCCAAACCAGTTGTTGATTGGTGGGACGAATAACAACAACATGGACGACTGCCATCAAGGAATTGATTATCCTCTATTCCGTAAACACGATCGCATAATAACGCGCTTGATATCATTGTAAATATTACAATGATGGTTGCTTGCTTTCAATGAGCGCGCGTCATTCGAATCCGTTGGCGGATATTTTCCCAAATATAATCACGACTTCACGGCAATTCAAGGCGCGACACGGTACCCACCAAGGTCACTCAAACCACCGACGCCCTCGGCGGCCAACTGCATGTCTAGATGGACAACCCTATCGATGACTCTGTGATATCAAATCTCACAAGTCTCGAAGATGACACGGACGAATTCGGCAGGTTCCTTATACAACGAAAGCGCGACGAACTACGATTAAGGGAAGAACTATCAGGCAATGCCAGACCCTTCCGCCAGGGAAGACCGCGTCCGCTGGGTCTCCTGACCGCGTCAAACCTCGAGAAATATGGTCCGAATACGACTTACAACAATCTGGCTGGAAGTTCTCGAAGTACGAGCAGTATAGAGCGATTGGAGCCGCCGTTGAACGTTCCTCGAAACTGGAGCGCAAAGGCGCGCGAGAGGACAGATTGGTTGCGCAGAATGAGAAATCTGGACAACAATGATACTCCTCGGGGGACAGGCCGAGACCGCGGTCGTGAAGAAACGTCGAGTCCGGAGGATTGGGCAGCTTTAGCATCAGAGATCCCGATTCCTTCGGTGGAAGACAGCCCTCTCCAGTCGCGCAATGTATCGAGGCGAAACACTCCCGGAACAGCGAGTACCGAAAACATAGCCGTATCAAGTCTGCCAGACTGGGACCTGAGCGATGATCTGTCTGCGAACTCTATCCTAGCTTCCACTCCAGCCGTATGGACACGGAATACAAAGCTCGAGGACATACACAAGCGGGAGCTGGAAGGACCAAGCGAGCCGATGAGCGCGGCTCGAGCCCGTCTCTCTGCTCGAAAATCTAGGGCAGCATCCAGCCAATCTATTACCCCAAAAAACCTGCAAGACGATGGCATGGCAACCTCTTTCACGCACCCTGCCGAGCAACATTTGAAGACGTCAACGCCCGAAGCTTTCCGTAACCGAACACCAATCCCTCGGTTCCCCAGGTCTATGGTATCTTTATCACCAACGCGTGCACAGGGAGAAATAACGCGGGCGTCGCCAGCTGCCGTCTACAAGAGTTCAGAAACAGTTGGAGGTATCGACGACACTACAGAACTTGCTCGGGCTACCCTAGCAATAAATCGCGGCAAACATGGCCGTAAAGATTCTCAGGAGTTACTTCGAAGATTAGCAAATGCTACCAGCGGCACTCCGAGTCCACGGCCAAGACCAGAAGTCGAGAAATCACCGAATGAGTTGATGGCGGCTGGGAGAGAAGCGCAAGATAACGCCAAATCTTTACCATCAGAGGATGAAAAGTTGGACGTGCCTCAGAATGATGACCGCGGCAGACGCTCACTTGATATTTTGAAGCCGAACACTGAGACGAATGACGACCGACAGAGCACAAACCGGCCATTCTCTCGTGCACGACGTACCCGTCCTGCACCCTTTAAGGACCTTGCATTCCAAGATCACGCCGAAGTTCTTGATGAGCTGCAAACAAACCCAGTCGGAGATGGTGCCTCGAAACCGCCAGGAAACGAAGCGCGGGAACCAAAGACCCCAGTAGTAACTGGGGCATGGATCAACACCCCTGATCCAAAGATTTCCGCTTCTGTAAAGAGCTCCAGGTTCTCTTCGCCGCAGAAAGCGAAAGAGAAGAAAGTCAAAGAGAACGAACATCCCAAGGCGTCAAGAGAAATGCCTTCCGTATCTCCTCCGCGTCAGAAAGTTGGTGTTGACATCCAAAAATCTCCATCTCGGTCTAAGGGTCGGATATCCGAGCCGCCACCGCTCCCTCCCTCCGCACTCGCTCACATTCTTTCTACCTCTGGAAACAACTTTGGTGACTCAACCATTGATTCTCTGGAAGGAATACTCCACCCATCCGGCGACACCACCACTATCCCGGACCCAAACACAATACTTCTACCGGAGTCTGTCGATGATCCGGATGACCAACCCGTAGATGAGGACGACACTCTGCAAGGTTTCCCAGAATCTTCTAGGGGCGTCCGAACTGATGCAGAACGCCGACGAAGAGCGGAATCATTTGCTTTGCGGGACATGAATTCGCGCCTACGACTCGCAAGACAGGGCATTCGCGATGCGAAGCGTGGGATTCGAGACCTGGAAAACAAAGTTGAGAAGTCGGCAACGCCAACAAGCCCACAGCCTACGGTACCGGCTACTAAAGGACCTGAAAAGCAGCCAAGGGGTAATCCATCGACTGTACCACCCGTCCCGCCGCTCTCGCACTGTCCTCATTGCAACATGCCTATTCATGTTACTGCTCCATCAATACCGCTTTCATTCTCATCTATCGCCTCCTTCCTGTTCTCGCTCTTCTTTCTCCCGGCGCCTCCCACCTCTCGCCTCCCTTATCGACCGACCAGGCTCGGCTACGTCACGCTATTCATCGTCCTCTGGGCTATCATCGAGCAGAACCTATGCAACGCATACTGCCATCCGAGGTACACCCACATTAAAACCACGCCACTCGGAATCGCCTCGGACGCACCGGAATTCCCCATTGTCACCCTTACCTTCATCTGGCGCGCCATCAGCCCTATCCTCCGTCCGTTCACTCCCATCTACGAAGACATCCTGTCCCCGATCCTCTCTCCCTTCTCCACCGTCGCCCTCATTCTTGCCCGTTCAATGTCAGGTATCCATGGCCTCGGTGCGTGGGGTCGAGACGACTGGATGAGCGGGACCGGGGTTGACGCATATAGCTACGGGATGGGCTTCAGTCCACCCCCACCCACGGCGTGGAGCGAATGGTGGGCGCGGATGGGACCGAAGATCTGGGGTGACGAATGGAATGCGAGGGACGAGAGGATGTGGGCATGGTCAGAGGCGAACGGGAAGCGGATTCAGGAGACGACCAGCGAAGGAAAGGGCAAGTTAGAGAAAGCGCCCCCGCTGCAAGAGGAGCGAGACCGGGTGGACAAGGAGACTACGAAACCGACGAGCCAGGTTCACTATCAGCCGGTGGAAGAGAAGGCTCAAGAGCCGGCTCCTGACCCCTGGAAGGATGAGACGGTCAATATATGGGAGTCGGCCAGCATATGGGAGAACGTGGCCGATAAGGGCGAGGAAAATACGAAGGGTGAAGGCGGATGGGGTGGTTGGTGGTCCTCGAAAAAGGTACCTGTTCATGACCCGGATGATGTGGGAATGGACCAGGATGAGGAACTCTGACCTTCCCGTACGCATCTGTGTTAACATTGTTCTGCGGTTTAGGTCTGGAACTGGGTATTGAATGCGAGCATGGCGTTGAGGGAGCATTTACTAGCGCTGCTCTCCCGGTTTTGGGGGTAGCATGCAGGGCATTTATATTGTATTGATTGCGAGCGTATGTTCGAGTTCGAACGGTTGCGAATGACGCACATATCGATGCTATGGCGAGGGGACGGGACAGGATGACGTCCCATTCCGATATTTGGCATATTTCATGTCATACATCAATAGTCGAAATGCCACGAGAATTTAAGATATTCGTTTGGGTCTAATAATATATGGTATGCATGATGCATGCAGCAGGTATTGAAATGCTCTATGCTCGCTCATCATGGCATTCATTTCGCCAATCATTCCCAGAAAACATGATAGAACCAGACCTCTAAATCGATGGTATCAAGGACTCTCTGCCGCTATCTTTCTCCTTGCTTTGCTAACGCTCCTCGTGACCCGTGCCCGACTAGCCGCTCTTCTCAACCCGCCTATGACGCCTCTCTCCTCCCGTTCTTCCGTATCCACCAAACCAGGCACCATCAACACACCGGCAGCGCTGGCGCTCCCCTTCAGCAACCGCCGCCGCCACCGTCGTCGCTCGTCGATGAGCTCTTGGTTCACGCTTCCGAACCCCTTCCGCTTCCAGCACGCCTCCATCAGCATGTTCACGTCGAGCATTTTCCGCGGCAGCGTCTGCACGACCTGGAACACTTCCATGGGGTCCTCGATGGCGCGGATGGACGGCTCCCCGAGCTTGAAGATGGCGAGGGACACGCGGAAGAGCGTCTTGCTGCCTTCATAGAAGAGGCTATCCCAGACTCGGAGCGTAGACTCGATGGGCAAGGTGCCGATGAAGAGCGACATGAACCACGGGGTGGTGGCGAGCGAGACGGTGGGAAGTCGAGGCTGGGCGGGGCCGAGTCCCGGCGCTCCCCGCTTACCGGGAGCGGGATTGAGATCGGCGGGGTCGCCGTCGTCGATTCTGTTCCAGACAGCGGGGAGATGTTCGCGGAGGAGGTCCATGAGCACGCCGATGTCGACGTTGGCTTCGAGGACGCGGGCGTGGGTGCCTGGGAGGTGGACGGATGTAATGACGTCGAGGAGGATAAACGCCTTTTCTTCGTCAGATTTGAGGAAGAGTAGGAGAAGCCCGGCGATGAAATTGAGGGATTGGCAATAACCGATTTGCGGGTTGTGCAGGGCGAAGGCGCGGAGAACGCGTCGGAGGGAATTGAGGATTGGAGGGTCCGGAGGATCAGGCCATGACTCGGGAGACGACTCGGGAGATGAAAGGGGTGTGGTGGGAGGATCGGGCTTAAAGCTGATGTTGTCGGGGAAGGTTCGGTGTAGGTCGCGTTCGATATGTTCGCGGTCGGCATCATTGAGTCCGCCCTCATCTTCGGGTTTCTCGCATCGTCGAACCAATTCCCAATACACGCCTTGCATTCGAGCCAGTCGGCCGGGACCTCCGGCATACCAGAACCAGGCTGCTCCTCGCCACTCAGGAGGGATGCCTTTTCGAACATACCGCTTGACCTTCTCACTCTTAGGAGGAAATCGGATTGGATCGTCGGTCATCAGCCCGTATGCTCTCATGAGCGCATACCACTTCTTACGCCGTCGTTCGATGTATTGTGTGTAATTTGTATTCCATGCATCGTATTCGGCCTTCGAGATGTACTGATTCGACTTCTTGAACCCATATCGATCTCTAGGAACAGGGGCGGCTGGTCGAGGGTGGGTATTAGGATTAGGGTTAGGATTAGGATTTGAATTAAGATTAGGATTAGGAGTTGGATTCGGATTCGGATTCGGATCTCGGCTTTCAAAGATCTGAGCGGATGTCCGCACGATGTGAGCTGGTTCTTCCACAGGCGGTGCGAGGGTCGACTTTGCCTTGGGCTTTGGTGGAGTATCAAAGAGCGTGGTTCGACTAATGCTCTCCGCCGACCGAGCTTTCCTCAGCGGTGGTAACGTCTCGGGTTGAGATATCGGTAGTAGTCCTTCCGGAGACTGGGATGCACGTTCGAAGCGAGCATTGTACAACGGTTGCGTATGGGCAATGTGTCTGTTATCATCTCCAGCGGGGATATCAGAATCGTCATTGAAACCATCCTCATACATCCCGATCGCATCTTCGACGCTCATATTAATGTCCTCCATGCCTGGAGGGACGTTGGAACGTCCGAAATCGCTCACAGATGTAGCCTTGGTCAAGACACTGCTCCTTTCCGTATCGGTCGTGTAATACCCGGACGATGTGTTCGTCCAAGCGGACCGGAAACTCGCTCTGACTTCCGATGGGCCATCTCTCCCTGTTTGTGGTTCTCTCCGTAAAGAAGATTGGTAGCTGTCTCTCACTGAACTGTATCCGTCGACCCGTTGCAACCCTGATCCCTCTCTTCTCATTCCAGCCCGGCTCAGGCTAAAATCTGGAATGGAGGTCGAAGTGCGCAAGGAATGAAAGGAGGGTGGCGCCCTTGACGATGCGTTCGAAGAGAAGGTTTGGCCTCGGGCTCGTGTGGTAGATGGGCGGGGAGATTTGCTGGTTTCGCGTCGTCGGCCATTCTGGTCTCTTGCATTGGACCTAGACTGTCCATTGGACAGAGGTGACCGCCTCTCTCCTCTCAGCCGCGGAGAGTGCCCATTTCGAGTAATATCATCCCCCGACATGGCTGACGATACTGTCGGTGATTGCTGCGACGGTTTCGGAAGTTGGGAGTCATGGGGAGAAGGTGGTGAGAGGTCTGATCGGAATTTCGGACTGGACAGTTTGCTCGGTGAAGATATCGGAGTGATGGGCGATGATTCTGCGCTGCCAGACAACGGCGAAGTATTGGTGACCAGTTTGCTGTCTGTTTGTATCGATCGAATTGGGATCCTGTCCAGCTTTGGTACAGGGCTGTCCATCCTCTGAGAAGATTTTCGGTCCAAAGATAGATTCTCATGGGGTCGGGGAAGGCTCTCTGGCGTCTCAAGTTGAGGATCTGAATATTCCGATGGACGAGGTGCCCCATCAGTCATCGAGCTTTGCTGTGGGATTGCAGGCTGCAACACATTTGAGCCTAAGAAGTCGTCGAAGTCGAGAGCGGACTTGTCGATTTCAGGAAGGGACATCATCGTTGGATGATATTCCATACGTCCTCACACAACCACATCCTCAAGAGAAGATCAAGCCAAGCTCACGTTTCGCTTTGAATCATTGTTGTTCCGATAGTTTTCTTGTTGATCATGGGATCTGGGAACGAGGGACCAGGTTCCGAACGACCGAGCTTCGAAGTTCGAATAGGCAATGTCCCAATTGAGGGAGAAATGAGCGTGATATGCGAGTGAATGGAATGGGAGGTCGACACAAGGGATACGATCAATGCCTGTAATAGTGGATACGAAAGTCTTGAACAGATGAAGCAGGGAAGATGAACGGCAAATGGTTTGATTCTTCCGTTTGATGTTCACCGGACGGACGTCTGGACAGGTTTAGGATGTGTGTGAAGATAGATAGTATCCTGTAACTACCAACTTTCGTCCTTCTTTCCAGGCATTCCCTGGCGTACGTGGAGTGTGGACAGTCCAATCATTAAGAGTAAGAATGACGCGGGCCAACTCTCTGACGATATTCCGTAATTTAATATCGTTTGTGCTTGTGCTTCCTGACAGAATCCTGACTAGTTAAGAGACCTTTCTTGTTTTTCTCGATTTCTGCACTGCAATTAAACTGTTGTTCCGTGGTAATGTTATGTGACAAGGAACCGCTCCGACAATCTTCCATATTAACATCGATTCCCAGTCCAGGAAAAGGAGTAATCAATCCCTGAGAAGAAGGACATGTTTGGATGCATTGTTTATCCAGTAGGGAATATGCATTCTCTGATTCTCATAATCTCTTCCTTCGTTGGATCATTTATTCATTCCCCATTCACCCACTTGCGCTGTGAGTGCGCTCGCTCCAGGGCCAGTGATCAATAATCACTGACAAACGCGTTTCAGATCTTGCTCCAAAAGTCAAAATAAAAACACCAGGTGCCAAACGCGTTCCTGGCGCGCGGTCGCTCAGACCGTCAGATGGGACGGGGTTTTGGCCATTCCGCTTCCAGATTGGCGGGTTCCGGAAGGATTGCCGGCTGCCGCTGAAATCGGTGAAATGATCATTTCCTCAGTCCCACATTATCGCGAAACTCGTCCATTTGGCTGTTTTTAACTTTGCAGCTAGATTCCGTCGATTCCCTTGCATGATCCATCGCTATTCACTGCATGCTGTAGCCTGGAATAGTATCAAAAGATCGGACTAAACCAAGCCAGTGGTGACATGGTGCCACTGGTGAGTGGACCGAGAACATACTGTACTGTCGGCCGGTAGCGATAAATGTGGCTTACACCATCCATCAATGCGGGCATCTAATTTCCCTGAAGATGAGGAAATGAGGAACTGAAGCATCACGAGTCGGGCCTGCAGCTCCAATAATCGCCAATTGGGATGCCCTTGCACCGAAGTATTCTTCATCCCCATCATTGATCATTGTGTAAGTGTACTGAATACTGATTAAGCATTTCAAAGTACTGGCATAAGACACATATACCCGCAATAGATCTACGGAGGAGCAGTCCGTTCTCCAATCTCTCCTAAGTCATCGAACAATATGGTCGGATCATGTCCAATCCAGGGCATCATCCCCTGATGTTAGATGGTATGTAGTCACTTATCACTATCATGTGGCAGTCAGGTGGAGCCGTGGAGGACTTCATTCTTCGAAGTTCAACCACTCGATATTAACAGCGATTTGACTCTCCTCTGCATGTCATCGTTGACGTCAATACTCAGAAGATAGTCCCTGATTCCGCCATACTTGTCGTTCACCTCGCCCGTTACTTTTTCTACGAAGTCAGGCGCGGTACGGGCAAATAGGTCTCCCAGACCAGTATTAATAGCGGACAACTCCCGTCGTCGTTCGTCCGCTTCCTGGCTCTGCGATTCGTCGGACTTTCGATAGTCATGGTCGATCGCTTCAGACGGCACTCCAAGCAGCATCAATACCAACAGCACCGTCAAGCCGGTGCGATCCTTCCCTTGCGTGCAATGTAGAAGAACCGGATAGTTGGACTCATCCTGCAGGATCTCAAACATCGCGCGTATCTCCGCTCCACAGGCGGTCACCGTGTCGACGGCCAGTCCGACCAGGCCGCGCTTGAGCAGCACGTGTTTGGCGATCAGATTAATCATTTCTATACGATATCCACCCATATATAGAAATATGAGCTGGATGTAAGCCGGCCAGGAGAGTTGCGCAACCACGGCATTCTGGTAGCCTTTGCCATTGAGGTTGATATGATAGTAAGTGACTCCTGGAAGCTTTGCGGGCTCCGGGACTGAAGGGTCGGTTTTGTATTTCGCGGCTTGTCGGCGGAGCTCAGTATCGGTACGAAGGTCGATGATCGCGCGAAGGCCGATGGAGGATGTGAGTTTTTCACAATCGGAAGGGGTACATTCATCCGGTCGTGAGGAACGGAAGAGTTGTCCGGGTCTGAGAAATCTGCTCGACGACTGCGTTAGTCTGTCTACTCCTAAATATCATATTCTCTGGTAAGGCTCGGTCAGGGGACGGACTCTTTGCCGACAAAGGTATTCACTGTCTGGCCAACATCTCGGAAGTTCAGGAGTCTGTCGAATGGTATCTCGGGGTCTAGACCTGTATCGGAGTTGAGGACATCCATCGCCTTAACCTAAGCTTTTGATCGATGTTGATGTTAGGTGTCATGCAGTGGATACGGGCGGCGACATTTGAGTTCTAGAGCGGGCTTTCCCAAAAGCCCAGAAATCAAGAAAGCAAGATCTTTGATTCCCTGTGTCGATCACCAGCGGGGAACAACGACTTCCACCGGTTTCATGTTCCAACTCGCGACTCCCATCCTTCCAGTTCCTGAGCAGCGGAACATGGATTGTTTGAAGCCCGATGGGCAAATCATTTCCCAAATTCCCGGTTAATTTCTCTGCCAGCAGATCTGGAGTGACTTATGGCATTTCGCTGATTCTCCCATCTTATTGAGTCTACACATCATGAATTTGGCTCTTTCCTGTTGGATACGGATAGGTATTATCATGGGAGGATTCGCTCTACCATCTGCGAAAACCACATTCTTGAAACAATTCTCCTGCCTGTTATGGTCTCCAGAAGGCCAGATGTTCAGCAAGAAGGAGAGCGTCCAAACTGGATCCCAGGGTTCAATTCGACATGGAGAGCTCCCAGATTCCCGCTGGCTGAGACTTCTATTCCCGCAGGGTTCCGCAGGATCAGCGGGGATGCTTGGCTGACGTGCTGAACCGTACATCGATCGGTCCAGAGTCCAGACTCGAGAGATGCCATGGGATGTTTCGCGTGGTGATAATGATGCATTCTTGACATCGTCTAGCTGGATGTCCATGACGAGAGTTGAGAGCCTCTATCAGCTCCTCTCGTTCCCATCCCATCCTAATCTGCACCATTGTTACTCTACATATTCTCCTAGCATCTCAAAGTCATGTTCGACATCGTCAGCTAAAGTCCGGAGCTACCATGGCTACAATATGTCCTGATCTATCCGCCCATCGAAAGGGCAATAGGGAGGCGGATGCGCGGCTCTCGTCGGCAGGTAATTATTCCACATCTTGACCGATATTGTTCCCATTCCCTGTTACTAACGACGTCGTCCTTCTAGGTGCCGCGGTTTCCTTGAGGCAAGCTCCTGCTCACACACTTCCGTCTTTCCCTGTTGTCGGACTTGGAAACAAAGAGTCATCCGCCGGAGCGGCGGCATCTCTAGCCCATGCGAACAAGCGATCCGTCGAATTATGGAAGCCCAATCCAGATGCAAGTACGGCAGGGTCAAGGGCTGCTATACTCGCTCATCGTGATCATGCCGGCACTCTCAGAAAAGGGAAAACTCCTGTGAAGTCGGAAGCGGCAAAGGAGGCAGTCACACCTAGGGATCATGGAGCACTTCTTGCAGCTACCAAAGCCGTGAAGATGAAGAGACAGCGAGCCGACTCAATGTCTGTGCGACCGGTTTCATCTTCAACATACCCCCGGAAAGATTCGGGACCCGGCTCTGGCGTGCCTGGATTGACATCTGCGGAAGAAGATATAGAGAGATCGCCTGCCCTTCGAGCATCGCGGATCCACAACATCGGAACCAACTTGCCGCGGGAAATGTACACCGAGCACCCCCCAGTTGGGATCGAAGTTGAGGAACAGCGTCACCAGACGGCTTTGAGGGCGTCTGCGATCAGCATGGCCAAGCAGATGTACAATGCCCGTGAAAAAGCCTCCGAACAAGCTTCACTGGATGTCTTGAAAGCTACTGCCGCAGAAGATGAGAAGAAGAAAGGTAGCGATTCTGGCAAGGCTCGGGTGCAGCAGTATTTGAATTTGCACGACGCGGCAAGAAAGCTTGCAAATGAGCGGCTCAAGCGGATCGATGACGAGGGAGAGTTTCGTGCATATAGGACCTATTATAGCTGCGATGATCCTTCACTGCAACAGAGGCGCAGCACCAGGGTCGGTATGGCAAGGCGGAGGGCGGCGAGTGATAGTTCTTCGACTTCACGATCAGTCAGCGGGGCTCGCGACGATATGGAGCAGAGCAAGGCCATTCGAGCGCAGATGTCGCAATTCAGCAATCTGTTGGCGGCCGTGGATGACAAAAAGCGGCGGCAAGATATGGAAAGGGTGCTGGTTGCAGCTCAAAAGAACGTCCACGCCCAAATGCTCCACATGGACGAGAAAGTCTACCAGGACACGGGAAGGATCCCATATGCAACCCAGGTGGAATGGGATCGCGAAGCGCAAGCATTGGCTGCTGAGAGGGGTGAGAAGCGTATGGAGCATTTCGGCAAGGTGGAAGTCGGCTTTGGGAGGTTCGTGGAAAGGGACGCAGTCGACAGGGTTGCCAGAGATCGGGTTAAGCCGACAATCGAGGATATCGATGACCAAGTTGAGGTACAGAAAGCTCAAGAGGAAGGACGGAGGCTTGACAGGGAGTATGAAAAGCGTCATGCGCGGTTGGAGAAGGAGAGAGAGGCGGAGTTGAAGGCGGACCTGAAGCGGGCTAAGAAGAAGTCGGCAATTGGGGGGATCGGTGATCAAGCAGAGGAACAGGAAACTCCAGAGGAAGTACGGAGGCTTGATATGGAGTATGAAAGGCATCATGCACAGTTGGAGAAAGAGAGAGACGCGGAATTGAAAGCGGAGCTGAAGCGGGTACGCAGTAAGTTATACGCTGATCATGAGACTTTGATAGTTACTAACGGTCCATAAGCTGAAGAGAAAGAGGAGAGACGCCTGTCTAAAGACGCGAGGCGGTCATCAACCGAGGCTGCGGGCACTTCTGGTCCAAACACTGGCGAGCAGGAGAGAATTTCATCCTTACGGCAGAGTTCGGTGCCATATGGGGTAGTGGAAGGTTCGGCAGAAGCACCCACATCCCCATCTCCGGAAGTACAGCACACCGGCTTCCGCTCGTTCCTCTCGAAGTTGAAAAGTCGATCCAAAGATCCTGCCGAAGACGAGGCGCTTGAAGGGGGTAGAGGAAAGCAACGTGCTAGTCGTCCAGGCTTCGTCGGTGGTGCTCGCCTGAAGTCCAGGAACAGTGCAGAGTCCGGTCAAAACCAACGGACCAAAAAGACTGGACAACGGCGTGGTTCTTCGTCCTCCACGGATCTTTATGATGATGGTACGAACCACAGAACATCCTCCGGCCGAGACCAGGACATGGAGGAAGCGCGCGACCAAGTCAGCATGGATCAAATGGATCCTCCGAGATACTCTACTGGGGGAGTGACTGGCAATCCGCAGCGGGGTTCAGTGTTCCAGGAACACTTTTGAGGGAATGGTCTGGAGTCTGGGGCAATTGATTTTCTGGTCCTTTGGAGACTCGGGTTGGCATATCTGTGTTCACAGTGTGGACAGGGCCTGTAGATATTGCCTCAGGGTTGTGACATTGGACAATGTATATATACGATGATCTATGAACTGTACGCAGAGTTGGTGGCATATCTGCTAGAAATAGAATTGCTGCGTCCAAAATAATAGAACGATCTTTTCCGAAACGGTACCTTCACCAGCATGAAGCTGTTGTCCTGCCTCCTGATATTGATGCTGGTGGCAGTAAATGCTGACGTCACCATCAGTCGCCTTCAAAAACCAACTCCCTCCCATGCAATCAACTGAATTTGTACAGAACCATTTGACCTCAATTCTAAGTTGGCACCCAATTTTTGCAATAGTCACCAGCTCAGTATGGCTCAAGTAAATGTTTCAGCAGGTGGAGGTGGTCTCGGCCTACTCTCGCGATTTAACAACGGGAATGCGCCCCTACTGTACATTGCCGCAGAGGAGGCAGAAGAAGACTTTGATCAAACCACAATTCAACTCTGGAAAGAAGAGGGATTTCTAGTGGAATATCTACCGTACCTAGGGACAGAAAAAGAGTTTGCAGCCGACCTCCATCAAATAAGTGCTAAGAAGGGGCTCGGGGATTACTTCGCGGTGCTCGCCTTTGGGGATGCAGCAGCAGTGTGTTTAGAGGTGTTCAGGAAAAACACTCCGAAGCTGTGCGCGTTGGTTGCATACTACCCTACATCAATACCGGATCCTCACTCAACATTCCCCATCTCCACGAGGGTTGTGGTACACCTTGCCGGTAGTGAAGTAGGGGTCACAAGGAATCCGCAAGTCCTCGGAATTCAGGGGAAACGACGGACAATTACGAAGAGGATCAACGGTGCCATTGGAGTCGGGGGAAGACTTCAACTCGCGTATCCAAGCTATACGTATGCGAATGCGGGTCCCGGTTTTGCAGAGCATGACCTCCCGGAATACGACAAAGTATCCGAGAGACTAGCATGGACCAGAAGTCTCGATGCAATGAGGAAGGGGTTTAGATTGGAGGTTGAGTTGGAAAAAGTTTGGGAAGAGCATCTCGATTGTATGTATTATCCCTGTTCTCCTTTAAATTTCATATCAGCATTGACAGTATTACAGACGAATTCAAACACAAGGATGCTGCGAAGACTATCGCCACGATGGTCTCGAACCCGTACGTCAACCACATCCCGACGTTAACCGGCGGCATTGGTCGAGAAGACCTATTTAAGTTCTACGAGGAATTTTTCATCCCTTCAAATCCTCCTTCCCTGTCCACTCGCCTCGTCTCTCGAACAGTTGGCGTGGACAAAGTAGTGGACGAGATGATCATATCATTCAAGCATACTTGCGAGGTTGACTGGATGCTCCCAGGGGTACCACCCACAGATAAGGATGTTGAAGTCGCGCTGGTGAGTGTGGTCAAGCTACGAGGCGGAAAGCTGTGTCATGAACACATCTACTGGGACCAGGCTTCTGTACTGGTTCAGGTTGGTCTACTGGACCCCAAGATGGTGCCACAGAAGTTCAAAGATCGGGGTTTAGAGCGGCTGCCGGTCTCTGGAAAGGAGGCGGCCCTGAAAGTCGTGGATGAAGACAGCATTCCTAGCAACCTTCTGATACTTGACTGGGACGGCGAGTGAAAGTCTGTCGGAATGTGGCGGACTTTGCGGCAAGGAAGCACACTCCCATGCTCGGATCCTTCAAATATATCTCCATATTGGACATTTTGATCAAATACTATGCCAGATTTTATTACTGTCCACCCTATGCCCCGGGCGAATGCTTTGGACGTGATTGACTACGAATGTACCTCTGGTAAATTCTACGCACTGAGTAGTACACTGTAGAAGGTGGTTTAGCCGCTTTATTGCTGCCTAGAATACTGAGCACAGTTCTGATAGTTCGGAAGAAATAGGAATGTAGAGAAGTCTAACAAGGTGTATCTGAGGAGATCTAGATGCTAGGTAGTCAAAGTCTCTCTACCTCCACTCCTGACTGAGGACGAAGCGCTCGAGGCTAAAAGGGGTTTCTCTAGGTTTCAACCGCCCCATCCAAACAATATCAACTCTTCCGGTTCCATCTGTAACCCAGTCACTGACTGGCAAATCTCATCCAACTTCCCCTCGAAATTCACATGCATAGCGTCCCATTGGGGATAATTGTCGATGCTTATGCCGTCCAAGCTCCAAACTGGGTCGTGATTGTCGATATCTTTCATGATTACATCATCGTCCTCATCAATAGCGAATTCATGATCCACGTCGCCGTCGGGTCCAATGCAACTTCGAGAAATATCGCAAAGCTTCTTTTCCGGGTTGAAAACCCAGGCTGAGGCTCTCCCGTCTCGGGTAAAGGCCCAGATGCAAAGGTTGGCATGATTATGTATAGCGACGTCCACGACATGATCCATGGTAGCGACTTCGATCCCATAAACGTACATCGGCCACAGTCCGTCGCTGGGACTCGATATCTTGCCAGGTGGGCTAAAAATGGATTTCCAGGAGTGCAATAGATCATGGCACCGATCCGCTTCGGATAGTCCAGATGTCTCTTCCTTGAGCGAGTACCCATAGATATCGGAGGGGATTGAGTATTGGACGATTATGTTGTCGTAAACCGCAACAATCTTCACACCGGCTCTTGGATTTCTCGTAGCTGTATATATGCGAGGCAGTGATGCCCTTGCGTTTGGCGGGATGAAAATTAATTTTCGGCTCAGAATTCCTGGACGTCCAGCAGTGTCATGATCACCGTATACACCAAGACAGAGGCGGGTATTACACGCGTCAGTGAAGAGCATGTGCACTCCATCGGCTAAGGGAACGACGTGATAGTGATCGATTGGTGATATCTGCGGTTCGGATGTAGGGTTTGAGTAGAAGACACCCCAGACACCCAATGCAGCCAAGGACGTGCGAACCCCGGCCAATATAACTTGATTCTGCCGTTCGGTGGTCGTGTAGTCGTCAGGGTGCGCTTGGCTAGGAACGAGTTGAACCTTTCTTCGAGCTCGTGGATATCCTGGCCGAGAAGGGATGAAGTGTAAAAAGTCGCTAGACACACGCAGCTGGAAATTTCGGACAAGGTGCTCGCCGGTAGTCCCCTCCGGCCAATGGAGCTCAACTCCATTCTTTGACCCAAAAGCAACGCAGCGGCGATGAGGACATAGGCCAACACTCATGGGAGGCTCATTCTGAGCGAAAACGTCCCGAAAGATCGTCCGCGGCCCTCGCTCAACCGGTACACTCGTATTTCTCTGATGAAATGAGCCATCCCATTCGTCTTGTTCCCATTCGAAAGGGACACCACTGGAGTACATATTCCATTCTCGAGAAATCTGGCGGTTCAGGCGGTAGTGACTATGATGTGTCTCCTCTAGATCGGTAACGATTAAGCCACTGTGCACTCTGATAGATTCGAGTGGCAAAGTCCACCGATCGTGAGGTATGTCTCCGTCTCTATTCGGAGGCAAATTATTGCCAAGCGGTGGAGCATTCAGTCGGTACAGAGCGAGAGAGGACGTTGACGGTGGCCTTCGCTGATCGCCCCAATGACTTAAATCGCCAACGCCGAAACCAAGTCTCGCCTTCGTTGCTAAGCTCCAACCGCGAGTGTCGAGATCGAACACCACCCCCATTCGTCCCTCCAGGAGTGCCGCAATAGCGTAGAGCTGGCATGTACTGTCCATACTCATATCAACCACGCGCCGTGGACAGAGAATTGTGGTCAGTATGTGAAATCGGCATTCAAAAAGCTCGTAGACGTAGATCATACTTGAATGCGCCACAAGAAGGAACTTCTGACAGACGCTCACCCTGAAAATGAGGGAGGACACCTGCATTGGGTCTTCTTCGTATCCGGGGACAAGGCCGGTAAAGTCCATGACTGCAGCGGGTGCGAAGAGACGAGGTTCAGATACCGAAGGTTCTCCATCGGGCAGCCGCTGAGGATAATTCCAAAGCTCCGTTAGCGCAAGAAGGTTGCTCATTACCCTGAGCGAGAAATCAGTGGTTCCTGAAGCGAAGCCTTCCCAGGCTATGCGATCCATCGTATATTCGCACTCCTGTAACCACCCACCGAGCTTCAGTGCGCGCAGAAGCAGTTTCGGGTCCAGACTCGCCCGCATCCAGCTCTGACACGTCCGACGAGCCGAGTCAAAGTCTCGGGATCCAAGAAAGTTATATATTAGATGAATCAACTCGGTCGGAAGCCTCTGTGCAACAGCCACGGAGTTGTCATCGCGTCCGACTGGCTCGACGATTGCGAAAGGATGCTGCAGGAAATATCTGGCCCAAGAGAGACGCTCTGCCATTGAGGCCTTCGAGGCTTCCACAAATTTCGGTAGGAGGTTGGTATCTGGATTCGAAACTTTCGGTAAATATCGCTACCTGACTAAGAGACTCATGGGGTGCGTTATAGCAACAAAGACGCAATGGCAGGTGTCCCGATGATGAAGCGAACGGATAAAAATAGAGGAGATGATGGGTGTCGAGCCCCGAGGAACGCAACGAGGAATCTGAGACCGAAATATTGATAGAGCATACATACCAAAGATATAATGGACAACTAAATCAATATTCAAGGATAGACAAGGTTCCAATAGAAAAGAGAAGGGGTATTCCTGGCGCCGTAGGTGATGATTGCCTATTACGGCGTCCTCAAAGCCTTTTACTATACGAGTGTAACATTTGCAACGAAGACAGCACCAAGGTTTCCCTTGGAGGTACAATGAATACCGCATGATGAATACTGCATAGGATAGATCCACAAGGTCCTAAGACCTAGAGGAATCAAATCGAATCATGACCACGCTATGCGAAGGATATTAAAACAAATCTATTAACAAGGACATAGACAGGTTGGCCTTTATTAAGCCTGCTGAACACCATTAGAGCCGTTGTGAAGGTTACTATCTTCACCTCGCCTGTCTTCATCCGTCAACCAGGGTGGTTCGAGCCTATATCATTTAGAAATCGTCTGATGAGGTTGTAGGGCAATACATACGGGAGAACAAGATTGGGATTTACGAATCGCTTCGAGACGTTGCTTCTCCCCTCAAGGGATGACCGCTCCGAGGTAGCGGACTCGTATCTTCGAGCGGCGGCGTCGTAGCTGTCATGATCGCGTTCTTCCACCGTGCCGATTTGCTCCGCCTTTCGTATACATTTCAGCGCAATGAACGTCATCAGAGGCGTGTAATTCTTGCGAAAGACGTGGCTGAACCATATGGTTGCCAGCATCAACGGAAGCATTCCAACCGATCGTCTTACTGCGCCTCGCAGCGCGAGCTGCCCGGCGATGGTGATTTGCATAACTACCAGGCCGACGGCGATTCGATTGCAAACCATCATCCAACTTTTGCCGGTCGAGGCTTGGCGGTGATCCATAGCGTAAAGAAGCTGGTATTTGTAGCAGAAGTATCCCATCAGGAAATACGCGAGCCCGGCAAAGAGTACCTCCCAGGATGCCCTCAAGCAGCTGTAAACGATGCATATCATGAAGATGAGAATCGTCTGCGGTAGATAGAAACCGTAACTGAAAACAGGGGGTTGGATCAATTGCGCACGTTCTGCAATGGGTTAGTGTATCAGTTATAGTCAGGAGCCTGGATCATCGTACCTCTAGGTGTCTTTGCCATTAGCATCCACACCGGATAGAGAGCCACACTCCCGAACTCAAGCAGCCGTAGCGGGTAAAGTCCGACGCCCTGCAGAATGACATAATTGACGTAGAATTTCCGGAGGTCCTGGATAGACAGCGCAAGCTTGTTTGCAGTCTCTCTGAGCGATTCGTTTCCAATATTGTCTAGCGAGAGGGACGCAGTCCCCAAGGCAGTGAAGATGACGAAGAAGTTGAAAAACGTGAAAAAGAAGTTCTTAGAGATCACCGACAGCTCCACATCCCCCTGCGATGTCATGCCTTGTCGTCTTGAAAGCCCTGGTGGCTAGTTAGCGTCCATTCTGATTCCAATCTAGGTTCACTTACAAGCATAGAGGTACGGCACGGCGACATTCAGAAGAGATAGAATCAAAGTAGGAAGCTGAGTCTGAACAATCGAGCGAGCGGTCTTGTGATTGTCAAGGAAATCACCAAGCTGGGGCCAGATTTTGTGGATCGTGGCAAGGTCCAGGATACCGGCAATTGGGACCAGGACAACAGACCAGAAGATCGTTAGAAAGACCATGAAGAAGGTAATACTCCAAGCACGGAACATGCGAGTCGACCGTGGAAGATATGTGTTCTTCCAAATCACATCGTTCGGAGAGGGACTCTTATTCGCCATGAGCTGCATCGGAGAGGGATCCAGTACAGCCTGGCATGCCATTTGCTAAATGGAATTAGTAGCCGAATTACTAAACGTTAAATAGCACTTACACAGGTGGCAACGCTGTCCATGGTAACGAAAGCGATGGATGCGGGCTCAAATTCCATTTGCCTTAGTGACCGTATCTCCTCATCAAGCCTTCGCAGCTTCTCTTCGTAGTAGTCGATCGCATCAATTTTCTTCGACCTCCACCAGCGACCGTACCAAAGGCGCTTTGTCGGACGGCTGTCATCCTTGATGCTTTCTTGACCATTGCCGATCAGGGGACTTTCTTCGAGTTCGGAAATGCCTGGATGGGAACTTGTTGCTTGGTCTGGATACTTTCCTTTCCGCTTTTTGTTCCGCATATGTGTAACCTTGGCTCGTTCCACCTTTCTTAGGATGTGTGTTCTCTCTTTCATACGAATGTCCAGCCTCTCCCAATCGCAACAGAGATATACCGTCTCCACGTTGCCAATATCGAGATCTTCGATGAACTTTTGAATCTTGTCTTCGGAGCGTAAGTCGGGGGGGATACCAGAGAGACGTATTGTTCGATCGGTTACGGTTGTCTGAGAGCCTAGATACTCTTGGCGAATCTTGATCAAACTAGTTGTTTCGACAATCATAAGGTATATTGCAAGTCCGGTAAAGAAATATGCGAATGCAAGATACATCCATAGATAGTCGGCATCGTACATGCGAGCGATTTTATACCGGTCGGAAACCTCCAGGGTGGTAGGATGCTTATTGTAGACAAGGGAAATGTCTGACGTCTCATTCTTGTGGATCTTCTTATCATCGTCCGGATATTGGTCGTGGACAGGTTTGATGACGATCAAAGAGAAAAAGAGCGTTACAACGATGAACTTGATGGCCATCTTGAAGAAGGCAAGGAACTTAAGTATGTTAGTCGGTCTCCCTCGGAGGCTAGGAGAGCGTAGGAGGGTTCACATACCGCATAAGCATCGAGTCCAGCAGATGCGAGAACTTGCTCTGGCGTAATACTCCATAACGTTGGAATCCATCCAAATAATGTGTTGGGGAGCTCGGGGAGCGATGTCGCCTCATCGTTTTGCTTCTTCCTCGCAGCGTATAAGCCCGTCCATCTTGGTCGCAAGATCTACCGTCCTCATCAGCGCAAAGATCCTCCATATCGGATCATGGAGACACGTACACAGAAGGAGAAGAAGCCGACAAGTCCAAGAACGGCGGACAGTGTAAGCTGGATATAGGTATCGCGAGCGTTGGTGATCCCGTTAAGATCGCGGAAATCGCGGTCGAATAGGTGGATCATGGTTAGCAAGCCGTTGCATTACCGAAGTTCACGGCGCCCAACGCTAGCTTGAGTCGAAGACCTAGGGCCTCGAGGATGTACCGTACAGAGTATGATTGATTCACGTAGAACCTAGAGGTCATTCATTCATAAGGGTTGGAACAAAACGAAGTCAGATCGCGACGTCACTCCGCAGCACGTGCAGCGTGTTGAGAAGCAGGGTTCACGCTAAGTTTAGGAGAAGCTTCGTTTCCTGCCAGAGCCGCAACCATTCGCGATAACTTGTGCTTTAGCAGCCTCCTCACAATCTACCTTGCACCGATGAAGGGAGACAATATTTGAAGCAACATCTCCGAATGGAATGAGAATCACTAATCCAACAGACTAATCGAAGCTGACTTAAGGAGGCACACGCAGCGGTTCCTCAGTTCCCTATCGTACTGTACCTTTCCTGTCAGTTCATATGCCTGAGGAGAGCAATAGCGACACTTCAATGATCTAGAGACTCGTTCTGACCGTGAGAATCTACTGTATTACCTGTCTTCAATCTTTTATTTGTCTTTCCGTTCGCGATGCTCTGAAAATCAATATGTCTAAGCCTGTCGTTCACATTGAAGTCCGGCTCAACAGCCTTGCCCGTCCGGATTTGGTACGTTGGTTCACAAGCACATCGTTCCCTGGCTCATAGCTCTCTTCAAAGATTCGAGAAGAACTCACGCAATGGATCAAAGAGAAGTTCCTCAACTTGAAGATCGACCAGTCGATTGTTACGCATGGTAAAGTTCCTATTGTCTTGCCTCGCGTCCCATTCCTCATCGAGAAGTTCCAGATCACTATTACAATTCATCATGCATCGAATCCATCAAAGTAGTGGATGTCTCCGGCGAACCGAGCCCGCACGGCATCTTCCAGTTGAAAGATGTCATCCTGGACGTACAGGCATACAGAATGCACCAGAACGACCAATCCGAACCTCTTGTGGCCGACGAGCCTGAGGATGGTAACTCGCAGTCAACGTCTGTTCAGATCCTCCCTCATCGATCGTGCATGGAGACCTGGGACAGCCTTGTATTTGAAGATCTGGTCCACAAGCAGATGCTTCGATATCTCACACGGATGATCAGCCTAACCAAGAACCCGAAAATGAACCTCTCCGCGATCAACTGGAACCGGATCGTCCTATTCCATGGCGCCCCGGGTTGCGGCAAATCCAGCCTCTGTCGCGCCCTTGCGCACAAGCTCACCATCCGCCTGGGCAAGCTCTTCGCGCAAGGAAAGCTGATTGAAGTCCATTCGCAGTGTCTGATCAGTAAATGGTTTGGGGAAAGCGGCCGCCTGGTCGCCAAGCTCTTCGAACAGATCGAGGAAGTGGCGCGAGAAGACGAAAGCACGCTCGTTTGTGTCCTGATTGACGAGGTGGAGAGCATTGCCGGCCGGCGGGAGAGATCCGTTGCTGGTAACGAAGCCGTCGATTCTCTGAGGGTAGGTGGACGGCCGGATCCCGTTATGACTGCACCGACCCAGCACCAGTTGACATAGTGAACAGGCCACAAATCAACTACTGACAGCACTCGACCGATTGAAGACGAGAACAAACATACTAATCATGTGTACAAGCAATATTGTGTCCGCACTAGTGAGCTTGAAGTCACCAGGGCTCGGTACACTGTTTAACTTTAAAAGGATCGCGCATTCCTCGACCGAGTTGATGACATCCAACACATCAAAAGTCCATCCAAGAACGTCGCCTACGAAATCTTCCGGTCCTGCCTCACCGAGCTCGTCCGCTGCGGCATCTTTACCCCCGACGCATCATCTACGACCGCCTCCCCCACATCTCTGTCCTCCGACCAATCCGAATGGGAACTGGTTCAAGGCATGTCCCTGGCGCGACTCGAGGAGGTGCGGATGGAAATCTGGAACCAGCCGGTCCCTCCCGCGTACGCGCATCCGTCCAAACGCTTGTGGGAAATCGCGCAGAAGTGCGAGGGGTGGAGCGGCCGGACGCTACGTAGGCTGCCCATTCGTGCGTTGGCGAAGTACACGTATGGGGATTGCTCGATCGATGATGCGCTGGATGCGATGGCCATGCTGGTGGATGAGAGAATGGAAGAATCGGATATGGGAACTGTGGCTGATGCGCCGGCGATGGAGAATAGCGGATGAGCTCGTCGGGCGCCTATGACATCGGGGGATCAACCGCAGCTAAACAAAAGGATTTGCGTGGTCGTGATGATTACTCGATTAAGGTCTTTGAATTACGTCGCTCGCCCTGAAGGTGAGGATGAGAACTATCAAACCACCGAAAATATTCCACGCCTCAAGACCCTTCAAGCGCTATTAATATGTTCTTGCTAAAACGGCTGGAGACATAAATCATCAGGGACAAGCATCCATGCCTACCCCTGCAAATGGTTGGTATCGATATTCGGAACGCCTCCTGGGCATTGCGCTATAAGCACCACCAGGTGTACATGCCGTTGCGATATATGAGAATGGCGCGATATCAATGCCCTATCCATCGCCTCCTCGAACCCGATAACCTTATTGACACAGAATGTAATGTGAGGACATTCCAAGTTCAGCGTCCGACACTCGTCGGCTCCATCTTCATGTGTCAACAATCCTCACCATCGCCGCCAGCTCCGGGAACTGCTCCGCAAAAGCAGGGCCCAGCGACCAATTGGCAAGCGTGAGGACGTGCGCCTCAAAGAGCGGATTGATCTGCCATCCGCCGGGCGCGTTGTCGGCGATGTCACTGTCGGGGGTCTGCGCACCGTGTGGAGACAGACCCGCAGCCCCGCTGTGCGGCGACGCTCCGGGAACGGAGGCGGACGACTGTGCGGGAGCGGGGATCAGGCACTCTTTCGGATCATAGGGCCAGTTGACGGAGATGGTGGTGGTGTATGGGATAAAGAAGGTGTCGAAGACCGTCCATGGATCCTGTTGGACCATCAAGTCTCGCATTTTGGGCCTGTAGTTGAAGCGGTTAGATGACCCCCTTTCAAACCGGCGAGTACAACTTGAGAACGACCTACCATGGCAGATAATCAAACCAGACGGGATGAGGTGTAAATAGCTGGCTTGGTCGTGGCTGGAGCCAATCTGGCAACCGGTCATAGTTCTCTCGTGTCGGTTCAATCTTCCAGCGCATAATCAGAAACATGATGTGTACGACCGCGACCTTTTCCGGCAGGGTCCGCAGATCAGGAAATGTGCGAACGATATCGGTCATCACATAGGATAGCGGATGTGAGTAGGAATTAGTAGATTGATTGAGCAACGGGGCGAAGTTCGGGTAACGGGGTCCCGCGATCACTTTGGACGATGCCCCTTCTTTCGCGAGCTGTTGCCTCTCGGCCAAGAACTTGAGGAAGATGGAATCCAAGGTGAAGGTCGGTGCGATATGCTGCGGCAGGATCGAGTAGGCATGGATCGGTGTCTGGGATAGAGGAATGGTCGTATGATGTAGTCGGGGGGAGGTGGTCGCAGATTCGGGAGGGACGCCGTTGGCGACATTGAGGAGTCGCTGGTTGCCGTCCAGTATGAAATCGACACCAAGCCGCTCATCGAGGTTGCCATATTGCAGGCCAGGATGGATATTGCTCCGCGACTGATCCGGGGCCGATGGGGTCGATGACCATCCTCGAATGTTACTCGTAGGTGCTGCGGAAGGATATGTCCAGTGTGCTTCTGTTGCAGCCTGTGTGTCGCGGGTTTCCGCAGCGGGTCTTGCGTTTCCGTTCGTGCTCGATTCAGCCCTCGGGTCCCTTTCTTGTTGGGCTGCGGTCGCTAAATCTATGTCGCCAATCAGTATTCCATAAGGCTTTGCGTTTTGCTGAGTCTAATAATCCTACCATTGAGACTCTGGCCTCCTACAATAGGTTGAATCAAAGCAATGACTGAGGTCAGCCGTCTTCGAATATCCTCATTTGCTCTTTCTGCAGCCTCCTTCTGCTGGATCGCCGCCTGAAGATCATGGTACGGCTGCTCCGACTGCAATTCACGGACTCGGTCCTCGAGTCGGGTAATTTGTGTCTTGGTCCTTTCACGGATCGCACGCTGGGCTTCCCGGTCGTTCTGACGCTTTCGCGCAAGCTGCTCGGGGGTGAGACTCGCGACCGAACGCGAAGAGGCGGATGCGCCAACGGCGGATCGCTTGCGTTTGTTGGAATGGTGTTGGGGGCTGCCTGGGGTGGTTACGAAGTCTGGGTCCTGCATGGTGATCTTCACGGGTTCCTACGGGGCATACAGCGTACAGTTGATAGCTAGCTAATGCGCCTTGATGGGATCGGGTGGAGAGGATGCAGGAAGTTTGAGTAAGAGGAGGATTAGGAAGGAGCGGCTCACTGGACGAAATGACTCGCGAAGCTGGGGAAGGGGGGAGTTGGTGCCTGAAAGCGACGACATCGTCTTGCTGACTTTCCGTTTTGAAAGTGACATCAACTCGTGATTTCTTGGGTGTATCACGTGACCCATCCACCAACATCAATGGGTTCCAGGGGGACGGTTTACCATTAGTATTGGATATTAGAGGATGTCGACCCCGCAATACGATTTCCCTCGGGTATGAAATTGATGTATCACTCCAACCCTTTGCTGCTTTCCAGCTCCAATAGGCGCAATGCCCAGCCGATGAATTTCAATACAGCAAGTGTATCCATCCCCCCGGAGGGGTTTTGGTCTTTTGGACCGTAGTAGTTCCTGGTCCCGGGCCTACCAATGGGCCTGGACTATGCCATGCACGAGGTAATCTCGAGCAGCCTTAAAAGTTGATGTCCCGCTCTATCATTAAGCTTGTTGCTGTCTGTTTTACCAGCATTGATACTGTGATGAAGTTCTGAAGTTCCGAAGCCTGAAGTCTGTTAAAAGCCTCCGTCTTAATCGGTGATCATTGTATACTCCCCCAATACTCAAACATGTCGTCCCTTGGCCTTGTCTCGGTCCAAACCAAGACCCGTAAGCAATGCCATCCGTCGCATCTCATCCGCCCCACAGCTAACTTCTCCCAGTGCTCGCCACGCTGATCCGACTGTTCACCTCGCCCCTCTCCGGTTCCAGGGGCGCGCAGAACTACTTCAAAGATGTCATGTTCGCCGGGATGCGGGCGCAATTGGGGAACCTGACGTTTCCGCAGGAGCGCGGCTTGAACGGCGATACGACGACGGACGTGTACAATAAGTTCGTGGCCGCCAAGGGGATTCCGGGGAAGAGCCTTACGCTTCCGTCGGGGACGCAGGCGCATTGGCTGGGGGATGAGTCGGCAAAAGATGTGTTTATCTGGTTCCATGGTATGGCGTCCGCAGCTTGGACTGGTGAACGATGATTAACAAAGTTTGACAGGTGGTGGATACTGCGTTCCGAGCAATCCTGGCAACATGGGCTTCCTGTTGGCGTTGAAGGATGCCATGGTCGCTCAAGGCCATTCGTTTGCAGTCCTTGTTTTGACCTACGATTTGGCACCCGAGAATCCATACCCCGCGCAACTTCGACAGGCCGCCGAGCTCATGCACCATCTCCTGGAAGTGGAGAAGCGGAATCCGTCCACTGTAAGTGCTCTCTTCATGAATTTGCTCGTCCGGGATAGGCGCATGACTAACTATATTTGACCAGCTCACCATCGGCGGCGATTCCGCAGGAGGCAACCTGACCCTGGCCCTCTTCTCTCACATCCTCCACCCCCACCCCGACCCCAGTATCCCCCGCGTATCTCTCTCCTCCCCGCTCCGCGCTGCGATCCTCGTCTCCCCATGGGTCTCGTTCGACCTCACCTGGGACTCCTTCCGCACGAACGCGCAATCCGACATCTTCGACGGCAGGCTGCTCAAGCGCTGGTCCGGCGGCTTCCTAGGGTCGTCGACGGGCGACAAGTACAGCGAGCCGCTTACCGCCGATCCGGACTGGTGGCGGGGCCTGCACGGACTGACGAGCGAGGTGTTGATCTGGGGCGGAGGCGGGGAGGTGCTTCTGGATGGGATTAAGGAGTTTTACTGGAAGATTAAGGAGGGGTGGGTTAATGGAGGGGCGGAGGGGAAGAAGCTTACGATCGTTGTGGATCCGCGATGTGCGCATGAAGAGATGATTGTTCATCGGTTGCTGGGCTATAAGACCGCGTCCCCATCGGAGAAGTCGATTGAGAAATGGTTGCAGGCGAGGTTGTGAGGTTGCGGGTTCGACCGGTACCCATAATGGGCGCATAGTGTAAGTTTCGGATCTCTGGAGCTATCCGTCAGGAATACCATTTTCTGTATTTACGAGTGCGAGCTGTTTGATATAATGGCTTGGTAAAATAGCGAATTTGATCAGCGTCGTGTAGCGTCATGTTTCCTATCCTGACAACAGGCTAAAGTGTTCATCCACGTATTGAATGTGTTTGACAATGGATAGTCCTTTTAATGCGTCCTTGCCCACTCACGATAGAACTCCAAACACTCCGGATTGCTCACGGACGCGGATAGCTTGATATTCATTCCAGAGAGGATTTGCTTCACCGCCCCCTCGATCCTAGCTTGATATTAGCAAACCCTTAGAAAATCGGTGTTGAACTCACTTTTTCCCGTTCGTCGTCACTGGAATCTCGACGCACTCATCAACAATAGCCGGCACATGTCTCGCGCTTAACTCCCCTCGAATCGTCCTCTTCACCCTCTCCCTTAGCCCTTCATCCAACTGTTTCCCTTTCTCCATCTTCAAAAACAAGACCACCTCTTCATCCGCATCCTCCGCCCTCCGCCGCCCAATGCACAGCGCATCCGCCACCTCGCTCCCAAATCCCTTCAACACCACATTGTAGATCTCCGCGCTCCCGAACCGCACCCCCGCCGGCTTTAGCACCCCGTCGCTCCGCCCCAACATCACCAACCCCGGGCCTGTCCGCGGGTTGAACCGCACAAAGTCCCCGTGGTGCCACACGCCGGGGAACAGCTCGAAGTACGCGGCGCGGTACTTCGCGATGCCGGTGGCGGTGTGGATGCCCGAGGAGCCGTCGGCGTCGCGCGCCCAGAAGCCGACGGGTTGGCAGGGGAACGGCGCCGTACAGACGAGGTCGCCTTCGGTGCCGCGGTCGGTGACGTCGGTGCGGTCGGGCTCGAAGGCGCGGATGGCCATGCCGAGGCCGGGGGCTTGGATTTCACCGGGGTAGACGGCGAGGAGGGGGTTGGGGGCGCCGAAGAGGGAGACGATGTCGGTGCCGCCAGTGATGCTAGCGAGGTTGAGGGAGGGGGGGAAGACGCGGTAAATGTAGCGGAAGGTGGAGGGGGGGAGGGGGGAGCCGGTGGAGTAGATGGCTTGGAGGGAGGTGAGGTCGAGGGAAGGGTGGGATCGGGGGTCGAGCTGCTTCTGCTCGAGGAGAGAGAGGTATTTGGCGGAGGTGCCAAAGTGGGTGATTTTGAGTTCGGAGATCAGTTTGGCCATCGCGTAGTCGTCTGGGATGGATGTTGGGGTGGCGTCCTCCTGTTCAAGGACGGGATTTCCATTGATGGATTCCTTCGCCAACACGGCTCTGGATCGAAACGGAGAACCGTCATAGAGAACCAGAGCTGCGCCACTGGCGAGAGAGGTTACTAACCAGTGCCTACAGAGCCATGTGATCAGTGGAATTCTTCGTGCTCAGATCGGAGGTAACAAACCACATCATCCACGCCGTCGTGGTGTAATACAAGATTCGCGAACCCGGCCCAACATCACCATGAATGAAAAGCTCTTTCTTATGTTGAATCAGAGTTCCGATGGCGCCGTGACATATGCATTTCGGGGCGCCGGTGGTTCCACTGCTATAGAGGATATATATCGGATGGTTGGGCGGGAGTTGCTCGAAGATCAGTTCACTAGGTCGGCTCCGTTGGAGGAAGTCATTGTAAGTTAAAACCTCACCATACAGGACTTTGACGCTGGAGATATCCACATCTAAGCCGCTGATCGACCGGAATATAACCGCGGCCTTCAATGAAGGCAGGTCGGCCGCGATCTCAGCCACCTTAGGCAAAGCTGGATGGACTTTACCATTGTAGAACGATGCACTGTCTGCGAACAGCACGGTTGGCTCAATCTGACGCAGCCGTTCCAGGACGCCCTGAACCCCGAAATCCGGGCTCACAGCCGTCCAGATCGCACCCAGCGAAATGGACGCCAGCGCCGCAACCAACGTGTTCGCATGGTTGCCAACAAAACCCGCAACCCGATCGCCCGGCCGAACCCCGAGCCCGTGTTGCAAAGCGCTCTGGCATTCACGCACCCGCTCACGGAGCTGGCCCCAGGAGACGGTTCGTCGGTCGATCTCCGTGACCTCGAACACCGCGACATCGTCCGCCGGCGGGTTCGAGGGTGGAAACAGCAGGTTCTCGGCGAAGTTGAGATGGGCGCCCTCGAAGAAGGCGGGGGGAGGGAACATGGGCGCCGACGCGTCTAGCACCTATGGACCGGTTCAGTTATTACGACCGCATCTGGGAGGAGGATTGCGAAGGGCGACCTTTTCGTAGGGCGTGGACGCCTTGATTCCGGTGAAGTGCCATACTTCTTCCCAGAAGGTCGGGAGGTCGGTGACGCTCCACGCGTATAGTTCTTTATACGTCTTGAAGTTGAGTCCATGCTTTTCATTTACGCGTTCCATGAAGCGGTACATATTAGTGGATGAGGGGTCATTGTGCTCCCATAAAGGAGTCAGGCCCTCTGCATCGTTGTCCGTCATTCTGGCTATTGTTCTTCTGCCAGGAATTAGTACGTTGACTCATCTACAGCTGCTCGATCTGGGCGACATTGACTCAAGTACCTATCGTTTTAAAAAGAAGATATTATGGTATATTCTACGATTGATCTAATGCTTGAAAAGAGCACTGATAATTTTGATATTTTGGCATTGACGACAATTGCCGTGATGACTCGTATTGGCGCAATTGAGCATCGGAGGGGTTGGCCGTTGACGGAGCTCCTCATCGCAGATCACACACGATTGTTTCGGTGGAGGAGGCTCTGCTTGGAAATTGGCTGGGCTGGTCGGCCGGGGTCAAGAGCACCAATTGCCACAGGCCCAGACGCACAACACTCCCAAGTCCCAGCCCTGTACTACGTAGACTGCAGTGCGACTTCCGGAGCCTCCATTTGAGGTTGTACAGTTGTTTGGACATTTCATGTTTGGGACAATAGAATTACATTGTGATACTTGAAGTTCGGAGTATTTCTACAATTATACGGATACCACTCAGTTGAATCCTGCCTCCTGGTGTGGGTGGTTGCTATGTAATTGGATACCCGACGGCCGACACGCCAATTGCCAAAGGAGTAAGGACTAAGACGAGGCTGACTGGCTGAGTCTTGATTACTATTTTGGTTCCAAAGGATCCTCAAGGCTCAAGCGTATCTGCGCATGAGCTTGACTCGACAAATGACGACAACCGACAGGGACAATTAATTAAAGGCATCGGTTTCCGGCGAAGATTGGGCACATCCTGGATTCCTGATGTAATTTCATTCAGGCTGGGCTGTGGCGTTACTGCTGACACGAAACGACGCGGTCGTTACGCGGTCGATGGGGGCTGGTGTCGCTGTGCCCCATGTCACTGTATCACAATTGTTTCCAAACGGTGTTGAATATTTCGAAGAATCGGAGGATTGAAGAATTGAAGGATTGAAGGATTGAACAACCGGGTCGGATGAACGATTGCCAATTGCGGTCGGAATTGTTAGGAAGTATTTGTACAGGAATTGGTATTAATGGGAATGGATTTGGGGCTAGGGAAACATGACGTTCGAACTCGATTACAAATGTCTCATTTTTCTGGATGCAATTCCTATTTCCTGCAAATTGGAATTGATTCTCGCCGTGTCGGAATTTCTTCGGAGATTTTTTGCCCCGACTTGGTTGGTCCGTTGGGTACGTACTCTTTCCATACGGAAATTCTCTCTCTCTTCGGTGCCCCTGACCGGGCCGCCAGAACTCCGACCAGCCACGGTGATTGGTCGATTGGTCGATTGTTGCCTGATCTATCCAATCGCTCCATCATCCATCGGCTGTCCTGTTTTCACCAACGCGATTATAGTGAACAGCACCTCTAGCATCTCTGTTCACCGAATGGTAAATTGATAACAAACTCCTAGTATGTTGCATCCACTACAGTTTTATGCACGGTATGCACTAAATGCACCATCATAACCCGATGACCATTTCGTTCGGAAGTCGAAGGAAGCAAGGTTGATTTGTTGGTCCGTTGGTGTAGGCGACATTCATCCCTGTCGCTCCTTCCGTAGCACATCCGGCCCAGCCCCAGTTCTCTCCATCTCTCCGTTTCTCCCTCACAACTCACAAGGCACAACTAGACACCAGTAAAACTCAACCACCACCAACCACAGGCTACAGGGCACAGCACAGTCTACCACTACCACCGAGTGCCACCTTCAATTTCCTCCCACTGCTTCGGCTTCTGCTTCTCCTCTTCCTGCAGTCTGCACCCCATTCTCATTCAATCCTTACTCATTATTTCCTATCGTCCCTCCTTTGGATTCCGTTTCTCATCCGCTAACTTCCGTCGCCGACAAAAAGCTCGTGCTGTCATTTTCCTCTTTGATCCTTTATACTGTACAATTCCCTTCCTGCGCCCTCACAACGCCGTCGGCCTCCTTGCCACGGCTGGGCTCCCTCCCCTCATCTTCAACTCACCGCTTCATCCACGACCCGTCCCGTAACCTGACACCTTCGAGCGTTGCATGCCCTTACGATGTTGTCGACTATCACGAGGAACGACGGCATCGCGAAGCCATCGGATCCCTTCGACGAGAAAGCCGCTCTGCGCCGCCCGGCACCACCAAAATCGAACAATCCCTTCGCCAATTTCTTCTACGGCCAACGACCACGCAATAATGAATCCAACGTGCTGGCCCCGTCAGTGACGACCCTTCAACCGCAGATGACCGCCGCTGCCATGCTCTCCCTATCCCCGTCCACTCTGGAGAAGTTACGAGAGGAGGAGAAGAAAATGATTGCCGCGCAACTGCTGTCCATGGACGACCAGTTGAAGGCAGCCAAGCAATTCGCTGAATTCGGTCCGCTGCGCTCCCATGATCATCTCCATTCAAGCGCCTGGGAGGGCAATGAGTTCCCCACTCCGATTGAGGATTTGCCGGGGCTGTTCTACGTTTTGACCACCTACATCAGCTACCTGATCCTGATCATGACCGGGCACTTGCGCGACTTTTTCGGCAAGATGTTCCGCAAGGAACATTACAAGCATCTTCTGGAGCAGGATGGATACGCCCCGCTCAACAGCGATTTCGAAGAGTTCTACGTGCGCCGATTGAAAACACGCATCAATGACTGCTTTTCACGGCCTACGACCGGTGTTCCTGGCCGATTCATTACCCTCCTCGAGCGAAAGTCAAACGACAACAACCAAAGCTTCCGGTTCACGGGAAAGACCATCGAGACGCTCAATATGTCTTCGTACAATTACTTAGGGTTCGCTCAGTCCGAAGGTCCGGTTGCGGACGCGGTTGAGACGTCCATTCGCCAAAAGGGCATCAGTCTCACCAGCTCTCGGGCCGACGCCGGTACCTCCGACCTCCATATTGAAGTCGAAGATCTCGTGGCCAAATTCGTCGGCAAGCCTGCCGCCATCGTCTTCAGCATGGGCTTCGTAACGAATTCGACCGGGTTCCCTTCCTTGGTTGGCAAAGGCGATTTGATCATCTCCGATGAACTCAACCACTCCTCGATTCGCAACGGAGCCCGTCTATCCGGCGCGATGATCACCTCCTTCGCTCACAACGACATGGAAGACCTGGAGCGGATCCTCCGGGAACATATCTCGCAAGGCCAGCCCCGAACGCATCGCCCATGGAAGAAGATCTTGGTAGCCGTGGAAGGCCTGTACAGCATGGAGGGAACCATGTGCAACCTTCCGGGTCTGGTCGCGCTCAAGAAGAAGTACAAGTACAACCTCTTCGTCGACGAGGCCCATTCCATCGGCGGACTTGGCCCGCAAGGCCGCGGAGTATGCGATTACTTCGGTATCGACCCCGCCGATGTTGACATCCTGATGGGGACCCTGACCAAATCATTCGGTGCTAATGGCGGTTACCTCGCTGCCGATGAAGCCATCATTCGGAAACTCCGCTGCATGAACGCCGCCTCCCTCTTCGCTGAGTCACCCACTCCCCCAGTGTTGGTACAAATTGCCGCCGCTCTCAAGATGATCTCCGGCGAGATCCACCAAGGCGAAGGCCGCGAGCGACTCCAGCGCCTCGCCTTCAACTCCCGCTACCTCCGCCTAGGCCTCAAGCGCCTCGGCTTCATCGTTTATGGCCACGATGATAGCCCCATCATCCCCATCATGTTGTACCACCCGGCCAAAATGCCCGCCTTCAGCCGCGAGATGCTCAAACGCAAGATCTCCGTCGTCGTCGTCGGCTACCCGGCCACCCCGCTCATCAGCTCGCGCGCCCGCTTCTGCGTGTCCGCCGCCCACACCAAGGAGGACCTCGACCTCATGCTCCGCGCCTGCGACGAGATCGGCGACATCCTGCAGCTGAAGATCAGCTCCGGCATCTCCGGGGGGGCGTACCCCGAGGACGAACAGGTCGAGGACATCGATCCGAAGACCGGGGCGCTATTGAAGAGCATCATTAAGGCGCCCCGGTGGCAGCTGGACGACGTGCTGCTGCGCGGTGTGGAGGACACCAAGCTGCCTCTACGGTAACCTTCCGATGTTCATGGGCGTTTTTGGTTTTCCTGCACATTGTGGCGTCATCGGTTCGGACGGAGCAGGAGGGAGCTTTTGTTTTCGATTCTCGAACAAACCCCGCAAGCGGTCGGGTGTTTAATCTTAATGCCTATTCCTAATACAAGCGGAGGAAAGCCCTTGGGGAGACGGGGCGTGTACTTGCACATGCGTGTTGCGTCTCCGTGTCGGGTGTTCGGCAATAGAACCTTTTTTTGATAGATTGGAACTGCGGGAGTTCCTACTACCTCTTGGTAGCAATGAATCATTTCATCCCGAGAACACAGCTCTGTTCATGATCTATACTTTGACGAACGCTATCCATACCACTCGTTCATGGAATTTCATCCGGCAATTCCGATCCCTCTCCATGAAGAGGTCAGACAAGCGGCCAGACACCCACTGCTCGTTTAGTGACGCTGCCATCCGCGTTCTCAGACCATTATGGAGAGAACCTGGTCCGCTGCCTCTTCCCAACGCCCGCCTAACCCGTTAATAATCCATCATTGTCCAGGAAACGGTGGCATCCCTCCACGATCGTTGGTAAAGCGTCATGCTCATGGCTCGTTGGGAATACCAACGTTGGGATTCGCAAGAGGGCCGAGCCGGGCGTACCATCCCGACGTAACGGCCGTGACCATCTTGGGGATAACGTGCGTGTAACCATTCCGGACAAGATGTCGTTGATTGGGGTGTTCTCTTCTATGGACTTTAGCATCTTGAGGGGATCCGGTGATATTCTCGCTCCTTGAATTTGTCCAATCTTGAGCATTATCCCACCGAAGAAAGGATTGACGCCCTCCACTCCGGATGGGCAGGCTGTCCTGATGGCAACTTTGCTGCTCGTCATTGCTATGAGTTTGGGTGACATCCAATAGTCTCCTATTATGGATGGTCAAGTGTCGGAAAATCTATAATCCAACACCAAGACGGCATAGATGTACGCCTTTTTTTACCGTCTTGAGGTTGGTCTAGGGATGTGGTGTGCTGGGGGTAATTTACGTCCAAATATTGATCGACCGCTGATTTATATAACCACATGGAGCAATGCATCGAGCTACTGACAACCGCTACAGATGGTCAGATACATGTTACTTAGCCAAGGGTAGAAACCAACTAGTGGATACCATGGCAGTATCATTTCGAGTATTCAGTCGAATAATGTCTCGAAGGAGCAATATCGAATAATACAACCCTGTACATACCCAATCGGCGACCATCCATGCTCCTGAAAACTTGCATGGCTTAAACCACGAACGTATGTCGAAAGGCAGGACCCAGGATCCAGTTGAGGGAGTGCTCACATGGTATAAAATCATCACAAAGTCAATATCAGACCAATGTTCCAACCTAAAGGGACCGTGTTGCCGCAGGTGTTGCAAGGTTTGCCAGTACAGCTCTGGTAATCCGCATCTATCCAAAAACCCCATCGAATACGCAATCAAGCGAAGCAAGTTTTCATGGCTTCAGTGGTGGCCGGTCTGCCATCATCGTCGGAGACCACGCGCCTCCAGGCGCTGCCTTTAGTACTGAGGCTTTCGCCCACGTCCCTGACATCTCGAGCGGGCTCACTGCAGTAGCTGGAGTGGAATTCCAGGAAGCGATGTCGTTGGACATTGGACGATTGCCCCGGCTTTCCTTCGGGGTTCTCAGTGTCATTGGTAGGCGATGAGACTCCCCCTGGGAACCCCCTTTCGTCGCAAGTTCGTCTGCCTCTTCTGCAACGAGATCGGGAAAACGATGAATAGCTGGAGTGGGATTTCTCTTAGAGAGTGCTATCAACGCGGCGAGAAACGCTTCTCGTAACTTGGGCTGGAGCAAAGCGATTCAAGGAGGTACGGAAACAAGACGGAGCTGGCATGTAAAAATGTCTTGTTTTGTAGACTTGGACGTTGTTTGAAGGGAACTCTAGCTTAGAATTGAATCTAACTATGGCAGCGGTACATCTTAGAGACAGTGTGTAGTTGTATGATTCTCACGATTCGCTCTCGGACGGTTGTAAGAGAACATTGGATGAAAATGGAACCGCTGTGAAATGGCCTTCAGATCTGACCATGCCTGTATTGATATCCTCCCGGATGGAGAGATCTATGTATCGCTTAGGCCCGGAGTATAACCAAGCACAAGTATATGAACCATCCAGAGCCCGAGTCCGAACGGCGTGACTCTCTCTTTTGATCTCTTGACAGTCGAATGAAGCGCACATATCGATCCAAGGAGCTTCAACTCTCACCCGACGTCGCCAGGAAGAGGTCCAGGTCGTTCCTGAGACCATCAGCCATCAGCGGGAGATATCCGTGATTCTCCTTGTTTCCCGAGTACCACGTGAACCGTGTACAGGTAGGTATTCGAAAACGGAAGGCACGCCGGAACCGTTAGACAGCGGTTTCTAAAGAAAGGAGCATTCTGGTGAAAGGCCATAAGACCAACATCCCCACGACCAGAACTAACATCAAACATCAAATACCTTCGTTATCATTCTTCCAAGAACAGTAACATTAACACCCAGTTTCCAGACAAAGTCAAATCCAAACACCGAAGTGATGCGCAAGATGGACGATTTCTACTTTTTCACCACCTTCAACCTCTTCCCTGACAAATATGACGAAGTGAGTTCCGATGAGAATCAAAGACTGAACAAACTGACAGGTTCGAAAGTGGCAAAGCGCATTCGATGGCCTGGCCGCCTACACTTGGGAAGAGGAACCCGATACGAAGACATATCAGTTCGCAGTGCCGTTGGACTACAAGGACAATTGGTCCGGCGCAACCAGCGTGCTCGCCTTCGAGCGCTATGGGGAAAGAGAGGGTATGGAAACCCAACTTAAAGCCCCACCTTCATTGTTTGGTGACACGGGATAGACTTGTATAAGACGCATTTCAAAAGCCCAGCCATGGCGAAGTTCCTGCTACTCACCACTCCCTTGGTCACCACAGACCCGGATCTGAACCACTATGAATGCGTGGGCGGGTTCCTCGATATATTCGGGAAAAAGTCCGAATGCGAGATAATCCTGGACGTCAAGATCGCATGCCGGTCGGACAGCGCTCGCAGTGATGTTCTCGGGAGATTGACTGAACTCGCCGATATAGTCGAGGACAAGGAGAAGATGATGAGTTCCGGCGTGATGACCTGGATGGCGTTCAAACGCCTGGACAATGACACGGGGGTGCGGATCTTTGGCCGATACAAGACTCGGGACGCTATGGAGAAGTTCATCCGTCGCGAGGAGTACAATGACTTCTGGAGGGCGTCGTTGAAGGATATTGGGTCCATGGAGAGCAGAGGATGGGTGCCGAATGGGAAGGGGTGGCTTCATAGAGAGGGATTGGAGGGCGAGAAGAGCGAGTGATGGAGGATTGGGAGAATTGACACCTTCATTGTTGGAAGAAAGCGTTGGATCATCTACCTATTCATTCATTCACAAACCATTCAATAACGATTCTAAATTCTGAGGGATGGGTTCTGTTGTAATTTGTTGAGCGACGATCGGTTCTTCTCGCCGAGAGCATCGGACAGTCTGTCACCCGGACCTCGTCAGGACAACCAAACTGCACGGACCACTTTCCAAGCTCCCGAAAGCTTCCCCCTTCAGAATTTTAACCTGTCTTCTTCCATCCTTTACATCTCTTCCATCTTCAATTGATCCGTCAACACGTCAACTCCATCAATCAATTACCTCTCTCTCTCTTCTCGTCCATCAAGAGACTCGTCGCCATGTCGTCTTTCGCCCGATTCAACGCCACTACCGGCCGTATGGCCCTCCGCAACCTGCAGGCCCAGCCCGCCCGGTCGTTCCAGAGTACGTGTGATTTCCATCCCATTCGCATCAATTCCCGTGCCCTTTCCATCGAGATCCCATCGGGATCCCATCGAGTGCCCGTCCGCTGACCTCTTGACCAGCCCAGGCCCGTCTGCCCGTCGCGAAGAACGGCCTCCTCATGAACGCCGCCCGTAAGAACGTCACCTCGCAGCTGGCCCGCAACGCCGTCCAGTCCCGCGGCATCGTTGTCGAGAGCACCGCCGCCGCCATGGTCGCCGCCGCGAAGATCCAGGGTGCCGGCATGGCCACCATTGGCCTCGCTGGTGCTGGTGTTGGTATCGGGACGGTTTTCGGCTCGTTGATCACGGTATGAGCACCCCGGCTTCTCGGCCACCCGCATTTCCAAATTTTCATCAAACTCATTCAATGACAGGGTGTCGCTCGCAACCCCAGCCTGAGGGGCCAGCTCTTCCAGTACGCCGTCTTGGGTTTCGCCTTCGCTGAGGCTACTGGCCTGTTCGCTCTCATGATGTCCTTCTTGCTCCTCTACGTCGCATAGATGGAGAGTTAGCACGGATCTCGCTCGAGCTTTGATTTACTATCGGGGGAAAAGGGTCTATTGTCAAATATGTGGGATCTTTGGAACCCGAAAAATCGCGGCGATAATAGATCATGGCGACGAAGCTTGTGTATTGAACTGATGGAGCCCTTCCGAACCACCGTTGTATCATAGATCAATCTGATCATTGCCCTACAGGATTTCTTCGAAATGGTTATTGTTTACTTGACTTTGATTACGTTTGCCGAACCAGTTTTTGTCCTTCGCACCCGGCCCACCATACTGCTGCCATGCCGCTGCCATCGTAACCCGGCAATTTTCTCGGTGATGCCTATGTATCACCTCAACCATGCCATTTCCCATATGCCCACAACTGCTCCATTTGTTAACACAACCTATGAAATCCGCCCTTGGCGTATAAGAACTGCAGCCCATCCTACGACCCGATCTTGACCGTTGCAACCGGAGTCTTGTCCATTCCGTGCATTTCATAGAACTTGCACTTGCTGCCATAGGGACAATGACCGAGCGGTCCGTTCTCGTTCTGACAATGATGACCGGTCAAGCACCACGGATCCTCGCAGTCCGCACCCTGGAAACACGGCATCGTTCGAGCCACGAGGCGTAACATGTTGAGTTCCCTCGGAGTGGGTTTATAATCGTGCCGATTCCTGCATTCCTCCTTGTAACATTGCCCGTTAAGGAAGTACTGGTTGCAGAGTCGAAGGCCCTTGACGTGGTCGTAAACGGCTTTATCCGTGATATGGAAGGGCGGATCTAGTCGTTCGCGATACTTGTTCCGTCGAATAGGCGGAGGCGACTGGGAGCGGGGCGGATCGCTGCCCGCGGTAAACTGTTGAGATTGAGCCGATTTGGATAGACCCAACGGCACACCGTTGGACGAGCTAGGGGCCGCAGGAGTCGTCGTCGCAGCCGCAGTGGCCCATGACGGTACGCGAGATTTTGAGGCGAGATTGGCCGCCGCTACCTCGGGTGACGGCGTCGCTGTGGGAGGAGTCATCGACTCTTTTCTGATAATAGGCATGGTGGGGAGAGTCGAAGGCGCAACTATCTTGTTGCTGCGGAATATACTCCCAAACTTAATTTTGTTGAAGGGTAGACTCTTAAGCTCGAACTCGAAAGGTACGCCTTCGAGGAGCGTGACACGAGCCAATATGCCTTCGTCACTCTCGTAATCTTCTAGGAGGCGCCGATATCCATTGTCATGGGAGCAGCCTAAGATGATCTGCCTGCAATGTGGATCGAAGAGGTTGAGTTTGAAGTTTTCTAGCTTCGTGAGTCCTGAACCAAAAGGGACCTAGGTTACGGGGATGGTGGTTTGCATACCTCGAATCTTTTCATCCGCTCTATCTTTTCCGTGACCGACATCAATGCTGTCAAATAACAATTTACTCTTCGTAAATCCTCGAAAAAATTGCTCCACTATCTCGGGGCGAGAGGCAAGCCCGGCTCGATAACAGACTTCCGAGAACGACTTCATGCTCACATACAAGCGACAGACGATCCTCGCGTGGGGAATCGAGGACAAGTTCGGGTTTGGGGACTGTTCAAGGAAATCCCTGATTTGAGATTCGAATAGACCGGCAGCTTTCCTTCCGCCATCTTCGCCCTCTGCGAGTAGTTCATCCGCGAACTACGACTAGTTAGTTATGAGAGTTCGATTGAAGGGACGGGTGCTTACGACAATGCCATCCCCATCTAGTAGTATTAACACAAAGGGATCACGGTCCTGTCAGCAAAATTAGCCACCCGTCTAAGCAAGTATAGGAAGACCGTCCTGGTCAACGCCTTTGAAGCATGATAACAAAGAGGATATAGTGACAGCGTGTTCCATAGGCATAACTAAGCCTCCGTGGAATGGGTTGGGCAAGTCCTTCAAGGACTGTTGATAGAACAGGTCCTCTAGGGGAAATGGTGGTAGCTTACCCTAAGCATTCTCAGCTCCATACTCAACTTATCCTTGCTCTTTGTTGTAGCGTCGTCCTTCTCCGCTAACTGACGTTCGAGGTCACGGATCTTCTTCTGAGAATTGCGATTATGTTCCCGTTCCCGCTCGAGATCATAGCTCATCTCCGCCGCGTTCTCGCAGTGACGAAGCATTTCCTTCGCGATGGATTAAACGCAGGTCATCAATATGTGACGATGCCACGGAAACTCACCAGCATCAAGCGCTGCTTATCGTTCTCGAACCGGAGCAGTTCCTCGATCTTCTGACGAAATATCTCTGGTGCCATCTGAGGATGTATAGCTTGGGAAGCGGTGGTGAAGGATCCAGCGCTGTGCCCGTTCAATGGGGAGGCCATGCTGGATTGACCTAAATGCGCCATCTCGAGGACCAATGAGATGAAATGGGTTGGAATGCCTTGTTGGAATCCGATCACAACATCAGTCTGTCGTGTGAAGAAAGTTGAGCGAGCAGATGTTGTGCTGAGACTGAAGGCGCAGTAAACTTTTGTTTGACAGTTGATGCCTGACCGTCTTGCGATGATGTGTGCAGCAAATCCAGTTTTCACTTTTCAGAATTATCTGTAGCCAATCATGGTCTGCCGTTGCCTTTATACTTGGGTGCTACAAATACTGCAGGTCGCCATAGCTTGTTTGCAGGATGAAATATGAATGTGATAGATCGGGTTTTAGAGCACATGAAACTCTATGGAAGTAAAGATAAAGGTTTCTCAAACATATCATGTTGCTTGGTGGTCAGACTCTCTTAGCTCACTATTGTGCAGCCCTGGTGGATTTCAGGGCTGCAGCTCTTTATCATGACCCCAGAGCTCCGTCACACAACTTAATTCCGCTGAAGGGCATTTCATTGTTCCTCCGCTTACTATTGTTGCGAATATTAAAGGTCAGGTTCCAAGTCTCTATCCTATTAGCATGACGAGTCTATTGTCCTATCTAATATTACACTAAACATCTACACTGAAATCGAAATGAGGAATGCATTACGCTCCACGACCGCTCCACAGTTTCACCGTTCTTAATGGTATCATATATTCACATAGCCGTGACAATTCACGAAGCTCAGTATCCAAACCTCAGGGCCGCACGCCTTCTTATTCTCTCTTTCCCTGCCAGAATCCTTCCATCTGCCCCTGCATCCGCCACCACATCTCCACGGGCTTCCGATCAATCCAATCCTTGTTCAACGAGTCCCAGAACTTATCATGAAGCGTGGCCGTCCCCCCTTCCACGTCCTTCTCATTTGGCCAGTTGGTGTTCCACTTCCCCATCTCAAACGCGCGCCACGGCATATTCCCGTCGCGGCGATGCGCGTACGTCAGCATGCTCTGCTCCATGAAGACGCTGGGGAAGCGGTTCGGGATGTTGAGGACGGACTTGTAGTAGGCAAGGAGGGCGCGGTCTGGTCGAAGGAGGAAGAATCCGCCGTTGATGTCGTCACCCTCGACGGGGGGGAAGGGATGATCCCCGCCGCCGGTGTCGGAGACGCCGGTGAAGAGGTAGGTGCTCGGCAGGGGCGCTTCATCGGACTCGATGGATGCCGGGTCGGCGCCGGTCGTTTGCACTTCCATGACGGCCGGCTCGTCGAAGATGGGGTCGAGACATCGGGTGAGGAGCATGTCGTTGTCGACATAGAGGATGCGGTCATATTGCTCGAGGCCGAAGAGACGCAGCTTCGTGAACTGGTCGTCGTAGCGGTCCGTCGCCGGGCTGAGCCATGGCGTGTCCGGTAGAAGGAGGTCGACGGGGACAATCTGCGCGCCCTCCGACGCCAGGATTTTGCGCTTGTGCTCGGAGACGTGCGGGGGTACGAGGATCAATAAGGGGATGTTGTCTCTGGTCTTCGTGACCGGATGGTGGAGGAGTTGATAGGCAAGAACCCGCGACGCGGTGAAGTACGGGTCATATTCCGACTCATTGGTGACTCTTGTCGACAGAAACGATGCGTAGGCAACCTTCAAGCCATTCCGCACTGGCGGGGCGGTAAATAAAGGGATCTGCGTGGAAATGGACGATGCTGCGCTGGGCGAATGCGGCGCGATCTTGAAAAACGTGAACAACAGAATACACGCGGAGACGGTGGCCGCGACGATGGTGAGCTGGTTAGCTCGAATTTTGACAGGTGTGATCATCGTTGGCAGGGCATATCAGAAACGACGTAGTGCGTGCTTCACCATGGGCGGTACAGCGGTCAAAGAAAGAGGAATCCCTCGCATGATGAAAGATGAGAAAGTATTATGGATTGAATACTTGCCCTGCGGTACCACTCTCGTTACCCATATCGTAACACCATCGGTCAGTGGCCCACATCCCTAGCAATCCCCTTTTCTGCAAGATTTACTGTCGGTATGCGGAATGGTTGGTGTATTCCGGTGTGTTTTTACCCTGGATTTCATCGGTGACATGCAGCCTTGTCACCAAATGACTGACCCGACTGAGCGAGCAACCCCCTGCCATTGGGTTTAGCGACATTTGGTGGCTTGAAACGAACCACCTAGATCAAAAACGGTTATTTTAGTCCAGTGCGGCTAAAATTCTAGGCTGGACCGTGGCAGCCAGTGTGAAATCAAAGGTGATTCAAAATTCTATATGCAACGTGAATAGGGTGGGCGTAAAGAAATAATGAAATAAATAGGCCCGAGTAAATTACGAAAACAATGAAATTTATTGTTTTATTTCTTGCATTTATTTCCTTACCTAAAATCAGGAATCCCGTGACGGACCCCTGGAGGCTGTATCCACCATCGTATTCTTGCCTGCATCGTTTCCCCTCGTGAACGGAGAGCAAGTAGGGATCCCAACGAAAGAAGGAAGTCGCAATGGATATGGAGAAGGACCCGTGATATCAAATACACGAAGAGTCTCCGAACACGGTATTAGGATATATTAAGCAGGATATATTAAGACTTAGGAAATGCGGAACCAAGAAACGACTATATCTCATCAATACCAATCTCCTCCCCCTCACTATCCTGACCCTCATCCGAATCATGATCTTCATCATGATCTTCATCATTGAGCTGCTCCGCAAACAGTTGATGCGTCTCAGCCTCCTCCTCAAGTTCAAGGTCACATAAGTCATGCAATGACTTTAGATACTCTTCTGTACTATACTCCGCGTAATGCTGCAAAGTCCTGGAGTTCATATAGATGAAGAGCATCTTATTTAGGGTTTCTCCCTTCATACGACTCCTCTTCGCTGTCATCAAAAGATTCTGCACAGAGAAAGTGTGAGATAAATAGCGGTTTCGCTCAATCCGGTGATTAATGCAGCGACACGGTGGAAAACCCCGTTAGATTCCAAAAGAGCGTAGATAGATTTAACTTGATCCTTTTTCTTAGCCTCAATCCTACGAAAACAGGCTGTTCCTGCAGCTATTTATGTGGTTTTTTATGATGATCTTTTCCCCGATAAAGGAAACAGAAGGCATAGAATCGAATATGAGATGAGACAGTGGTGATACGCCAACGATACGCCAATGATACGTCAATAAAACACAGATATTCTGTGACAGAAAGCCCTCTCCGATGGGACTGAGTTCGCCGGTGCTGTAAAAACACGATTAACGATCGCTGTTAGAGGTGCTGCATGATGAAATGCGCTCGCGGTGCTCCAGTATTCTAGGGTGTCATTCTCCTCCGCGATAAGGCGCTTATTCCGATGGAACGAGCTCATGGAATCTTTATATTGCGTGAAGATCCTGATTGCCTGGTTCGCTATAGTAGAGTTCCCCGAATACTTCATGATGAAGTCCTCAATGAGCTTGCGATCTTTTGAAGTAACGTGTACTTTCCGGTTTAGAGGGTTCAGATGGAAAGCGACACGGTGGAGATCAGCGGTAATCTGTTTCTCTTTCCGGGTAAGCCACTTGTTCTCAACCGATGCAGCCATCGGTAGGGCGTTGATGTTTGAGAACTGTAAATCAAGATGGGCCTTAACCGTATCCCATTTCGATATCACCGAGCCAATATCCTGCTTCCGCGAGACCTCTGTCTCCCTAAGGAACATCGAGATCGGTTCAATAACATACAGGAGCTCGTCCAGATCATTCCAGAGGCGATAATCGAGTATGACCGGCGTAAGTTCGGTAAACTTCTCTTTTAGATTACCGGATAGGCCTTCCATGGTTGGCAATACGGTACGGAAGAACTCCTGGATAGCTTTCCTATTCTCTACGACCGAGTTGAGGGCCTTGAGATGTGTTCCCCATCTTGTTTCAACAGCAGCGATGAGCATCTTCGTCTTCCCGTAATATTGGACCTGTAGCGCCCTGATCTCACCAAGTATACGGGAGGAGTTCCGGATACTGTTGATCAGGCTCTGACAGGTCTTGAATCAAGGCTTAAACTTCGGTAGTTTTAAGATATCTTGGACGAGGAGATTCAGACCGTGAGCCTGACAAGGAATGGGGATAATATGCCCTAGCTCTTTATCTTTCTGAATCATCTTCCAGACTGATCGCATTGTTGAGCATGTATCGGTAGATAGGCTATTAACCATATCTAGCTTGTCCACCCCAAAGAAGTCAATCAGACCCTTCCGAAGAACGTTCACAAGGTATTTCGCGGTTTGTCGGTCTTTCCACCGTATTAGATGCGTCGAGATAACGAGGGAACCGAAATCAGGATGTATGATAGAGAGGTTGATAACGCGTTCGCCTGCTGCATTGCTCAACTCGTCAATGCAGGCATTGATGGAGTGTTTATAGTCGAATCGATCGAAGATAAAGCGACGCACTTCATCGTAAAGGCTCGAGTATAGGTTGTTGAGGATGTCTCCCGCGACGCGGTGGCGGTTAGGTATTTTGAAATTTCCGTCCGGTCCTGCAAGCTCGAGAAGAAAGTCTTTCATATCATCATTCTCTAGAATGTGAAAGGGGCTTCCAGATGTAACGATAGCTTTTGTTAAGAGCGTTTCAAGTCTCGTCTGTCGATCGGCTTTGATATACCGTTTCTTGAAGTATTCCTGGAGCATTGGCTGAGATCCTGATCTCTTTACACCACTCGGATTCGGGGAAGGAGACAAAGATGAAGAAGGCAAAGACATGGATGGAGTTCGTGAGTCTCGAGATACTGGGTTATTCTCGCATTCTCCTGGGTTTTCGAAATGACCCTTCGCTCGTGTAGCGTTCTTTGCGAAGGTTTTCCCGCAGTATTTGCAGGTCATTATGGCCTTGTTCGCAGGTGAAACTCCACTCGCCCAATGCTTCCAGATAGCATCCTCAGGACGTCCGGGTCTACCCATATTATGTGATACATAGATAGAGCTCGCTGAGACGAAGAAGTAGATGTATAAAATATAAGGTTCAATAAAGGTTTGGTGATATTGTTGGGATTTGAAGACTTTATGAATAAAATGGCCTCAAATCTACATCAGAGGCTGGGGACATTCCAGCTACTTGTGAACCCGGCTTATCAACAATTGAAAACAGCATTTATATATAATGATATATATATTAAATTATAGCTTTAAATGAAAGCAATCGATTAATGTATACTATATCAAAATTAAATAGATACTTGTAGAGTTATTGGTAGCAGAAGAAAAGACCGCAAAAGCTGTATTCTGTTGCCCAGGGGAACAGACCATCAGCTGCATTACAACTTTACAAGTCGAAAATGAAAGATTTTCGACCGGACTCAACACAGACTTCCTATATTAATATGAATGTCAAATTATAGCTCTAAATCAGGCGAGTATGAGAATGTAGGGCGCATATGGAATAGACGTGGTTCCGTAAAGATATGGTAGCTGGAAGCAATGTGGTTTCTGCATACAATAGATCCCTGCAGGTACGGGACAGATCTACCGCTTCAAAATAAATATGGCATCACGTGATATACTAACCTAATACGGCTAGCATATCATTAAACTAACTATTTTGGGCCTAGCTTATTTTAGGTAATTTTCAATTGAAATAAATGTTTATTTCAAGGTTTCAGAGTTTCTTAGGTAAGAAACGTTTATTTCATATATTATACCCACCCTAAACGTGAAACACCTCAAATCCTACCATCGTAACTCCACCTCCACCTTCCTAATTAGTAATGAAAGCTTGGCATGAAATATTTCCAGGCCTCCGGAAATATTTCATGAAAATTACAAGAACAATAGATTTCATTGAAAAATTTCACCCACCCTAGTGGCAGGCTTCGCGTCCTTTGGATTTGAATATTATTTACAATCAATTCCGCGTGGCGAGTAGTTCGGCCGCACAAGGCGTGGTACGGCCACCAGGCGGCCGGTGCGCGAAGGATATTACCGCGGAGATAGGATAATTGCACAAGAGTGTCACAGTCGTATTTTTCGTGCTTTGAGGCGTTGATGGATTGTTGCCTTATGGCCTGATATGGATGCCTCACGATACGATTGGATGTGATGTGATGCCTCCGATGTGTTAGGGGTTATCACGTGGTGATTCACAATCCCGCTTTGTGTATATTATATCTCTCTCTCTGTTCTGGTTTCCCATTCTCCTTCTTTATCTTTCGTTTCGTCGAATACAAGCTGTTTTACGATAGTGATCCATATCCATGGTCCTCCAAAATAGCACCGTGACAAAGAGCACGAATTAAGCATCGCTTTATCGGAGAGATTCTGCAAAGTGTCCGCAGTGCAGGACTAGGTCTCTACATGGCGGATATATTCTACTATGTGGCATTTTCAGTTCTGACAGCCTACAGCTGACACATGTTGAATACGGCAGTTGTGGCAACGCATATCCTTCCATAGCTGCAAGACAATTGCTTCAAAGGCGAGCGGAAAAGTACCCAGCGGCAAAGTACAGTACCGGTATCATCGACAAAAGCTACAGTGGAATTCATCAAGGTGTACTCTTGTCTGACGGGACAGATGGTGGGACAGGATCCATCGGAGGCGCCAGGCTGCCTTCAATGCGTCTCTTTGCATCCATCCTCTCCTGCCTTGTCGGGCTATCCGTCTTTGTGTCTGGAATATGAGGTAGCGCATTTGGAGAGTGGCCCATGGACATGCCGACTCGAATCTATATATTCGTTAGTATCGACCGATTGTAGTAGGATGACCACCCTTCAACTCACCAATGTTTCGAGGGCTCCCGCCGAATTATCGGCCAAATCCTCGTCCCATTGCATCATACCCGGCTCGAACAGTACCAGGAGGGTGCTTCCACCAAACTTGAAATACCCCAGTTCGTCAGCACGCCTCACTTTCTCGCCGGCAGTTCGGGTGATGACAGTGCTGCCGACCATCATTGCGCCGACGCAAATCACCATGACACGCCCGTGCTTCTCGCTGTCAATCGGCACGATGACCCGCACGTTCTCCCCGTAGACATCCAATGCTGACCGGATTGCCATCGGGTTCACCGTGTAGTACTCCCCGGCAATAAGCTTCGGCTCATCGAGGATGCCGTCGACCGGGATATGGAAACGGTGGTAATCTTGCGGCGCCAGACGGAAAATTCCAAGCGCCCCATTGTGATACCGCTTTGCGTCTTCGGGATACGCATCCCCCAACAGCCGCTCGATCGTGAACTCTCGGCCCTTGACCCAGATGCGTTGCGCATCGGACAACTTATTGAAGACCACGGAACGGCAGTCGGCTGGGGATGTGATGATTTCCGGACGGAAGGGAGCACAGCAGGGACGGGCCCCGGGATTCAAGGCACGGTAGAAGAACTGGTTGAAGGTTTTGAACTGCTCGGTCGGCAGCAGAACCTCGGACATGTCCAGTTGATGGAAGGCGATGAAGCTCCGGATCTGAGACGCCGATGCTGGGTCATCGTACTTCTTGCCTTGTTTAATGCTTAGGGAGCGTAGAAGCTTTCGAACTATCGCACGGTTAGTGAACGCCATACCCGTCGCCTGCGCACCGCTTACTCCGCTTCTTCTCCATATCTCGACTCTTCAACCCCTTATATAGCAGCCGAATTCCGAGTCGGACGTAGACGCTCATCCGTTCTTCGTTGATCTGGCCGGTAAGTCGATCTTGGACCAGAATGTTGGCCGAGTTCGCACCCAGTTTATATCCACCGTAGCTGATTTTTGTGATGACTTTGGAGTACCACTTCCTCTGCGCCTGGCTGGATGTGACGAAGCCAGCCATGAGCAGATTGTTGACCTGTCTCCAGTCCTGGCTGGCGCATGTGGCGATATGCGTGATGATGTCAGAATCGGAGCGCTTGTGTAGGCGCGGTTGGTGACAGATTGGACATTCGCGGATTTCGATGACATGCTCCTCGCCCCCATCATCTACCAGGTCATCTCTGGACATAGTTGCCCCTTCTTCCCCTTCTTTACCTTGAACGTCGGATTCAAGCACGAGCACTGACGATGAGTTCATGCTTTCGTTGACCGGCGTCTCGACGCCCGGCGTAAAAACCGAAGGAGTCTCAGAGCCATTCGAACCTTCTGAGGACTTGGGTTGCGTCCGCTGCAACTGATCCTCCAGGCAGACCACGGCCTGGTCGATTGTCATCAATGCCTCGCCTTCCTCTCCGGTCTCCCCCGCAAAACGCTTGAAGAAACCATCGATCGTGTCCTCGTGCAATGTAGAGCCCAAGTTGTCCAGCATCGTCGTCAACTCAACCTTGTCAATTTTGCCGCTATCGTCCGCATCGTACTGCCGTAGCATGGCTTTCCAAAACTGCTGCCGTAGGGCTTTATATGGGAGATACCTGGCTTTGATATACAACACCGGATTGTGCTTCGACTCCCACCGGTCCTTGTTCTTCAGATCGATCGGGAGTTCGAATGCGGTCAGCTCGTGTTCATCTGGCCCGACGTTCAGCGGCGCTGTAGGCGGGCTTGCGCTGCTCGATTCGGATATCAGATCCGGAGCCAGTGGAGCGTTCCCTGGGCCCGGAGGAACGTCCAGATTTACTGCTGCACTGCGGATCGATAGCGTCGACTCCTCCTTCTTGAGTGCCGGCTTGTTTAGTCGAGATAAGCTTTGGCTCGATGACGAACGAGACAACGGAATGCCGAAGCGCTTCCTGGCTTTCGCCACATGGGCATACTCTGCGGGTTCGGGAAGACTGTAGAGACCGGTTTCCGGATCGGCTTCGGGAGAGGTTCCGGTAACTTTTTCTAGAGGCAAATTTACGGTGCCGACGAAATCATTGCCGGAGAAGGAATCTCGATCCACAACCGCGAAGCTGACCGAAAAATTTACTTCTTGACGCAGTACTTGGAAAACGAGCTTCTCATCATAGACTGGGTTCAAGTTATGTCGGACTACTCGAGTACGATAGGTCTTCTTGCCCAGAGATGTAACCACAAATGGGTCCATGTCGAATGAGGTACGGGTCACTTTCCCGAAGTTAGCATCCATAGACCAGGAGTATTTTATAGACCTACTGTTCCGTTCAGGGGGGAGATCCGTGATCTTGCAGATCTCCAAATAGAGCACGCCTGCAACGACTGAACCACCATTGAATTCGTATGCCTTCTGCTTCGCCTTTCTTCTTAACTTCGCAATCCGCCGCCTCCGTTTCTTTGTCCGTGTTTCTTCCGTCTTCTCCGCTAAAGCTTGGCCGTCCTCCTCATCGATTTCATCTTCATCTTCCAGTTCGGGGCTCTCCTGCTCTCCTTTTTCGTCGTCATCGTCGACCCCGTCCGCCCCCGTGATCGTACTGAACTTCTGTATAATCTGCTGTGGTGTCGCGGCGGGATTGGAGGGGTCGCTCAGCGAAAGATGTAGCTGCACACGGCCGGTGACGAAGGAAGACTTTTTCCCCGTCCGGCGAGACTCGAGCGGATACCATGCAGGCTGTTTTCCGAGAAGCATTAGACCAGTCTTGTCAATGTTCCGCCTTTGGGTTGAAGTGCACGAACCTGGAGGTCCACTTCACCATTGCTAAAGACATCGTCCAGCGCGATGGCGAACTCGCCCATGTAGTCTTTGCCAAATCGATCCTTATCCCAGCAAACGGCCTCCAAGAGAAGGCTTTGTACGCCGACGACGGGGAACTCGAGGTCCTGGTTCCATTCGGGGTTTAGGGTTTTGGGGATCGTCGACGTAGCGGATCGTGCGTCTCCAAGCGTGACCACGAGATACTGTCAGGTCCCTTAAGGTCAATTCATGCGGAGAAACCCAGGGGTCTGCAAGTCTTACGGGATCACTTGTTCCAGTCCTGTCCTTTGCTGCAAGGTCCTGGCCCTGGAATCGAAACAGGTCGTCAGCATCGAGGTTTCGCTAAACTTTATAGCAATTTCAAGCAGCACCCACCTTGATGGCCTTAACCTTGAGCACAAGGCTGTCTTTGGCATCGAGCATTGTGCCGGGCTTCGGACTGGTACTCCTGCTTGAATTGGCGGTGGGGGTATTGTTGCCCTTCAATCGGTTGGGGAAGCTGCTTAAGCGACCCGGGAGAGCTGGGCGAGGCATTGTACAAATATATTCGTTTGTGCCGTCACCAAGACGTGGAATGTGGGCAATCAATAATGACGGTAGGTACTTGCAGCAGGAGGAGGGGCAGTGAATTCGACACCGTTGGTTAGCGAATGAGGGTCGCCGCGATTCGAATGGAGAGTCGGAATGGCCGTGCACTTGCTGCAAGCTTTCTCTATCCAAGGTACGTGTGGTTGTGGACAAACGTTATACGTAACACTGATCAAAAGGTGGGACTGAGGGTCGATAAGTCAATTCCTCCCAGGACGATGTGGGGTAATAGAGCTAGTGGGATTTCGACAGTCGAGGCCTTGGATTTGCGGGAGGCATGCAACAAGATGGAAGGGTTAGACCGTTAGAAACATGATGGGGAAGTCGGAGGAATCCAAGGCCAAAAGATGAAAAGAACGCAAACGAACGGGGAATTCGCGTCCATTAAATTCGAAGCATCACGCATACGGAGGGGGCGGAAGCAGACTTTCCAATGAGCTGCCAGCGCCGATGCTCCGCCTGTGGTGGGTAATCGCTTTGTCGTGCATGTGCAATCGTGCGTTGTGGTGAATTGGATCCAGCTGGATGAAGCAAGTCGATTGCTTAGCCTCAAATGACGGACCATGAAAGCCAGATGTCGGAAATATATCACGGATAGGAGCAATTAATTCGTAAGGTGGAACTAGTCGAGCCTTGCTTGATTGCTTGATTGCGTCGTAAGGTATCAATTTTAGAACCAGCTGAGGCTCCAAGCAATCCTTTTATTTCAGTTTCTAATTCAGCACAGCAGGGAACCTAACACGCCGCAGCCACCTTCCCAAATGTATCGGTCCTTCGGTTGACAGCTAATAATATTGTTTTGGAGCCATGGGAATGAGGCGGATGGACTTCCGAGTCGAGCTGTGCCACAGCTGATTATAGTTCAACCATTGGGAGACAGTACCTACCATGGACTGTAATTGCAGTATACATCTTTATTGTGTGCCTTCTTTAGCAACAAATGTAAGCAGAATGATGGGGTTCTGAGGATGTGTTGTCGCCGGGAACGTCAACGTCACTCTCTCCACAGACCCCTCACCTCACTGCTCAGTCTGGATGTGCTCAATGCTATCCCATGGATGATCCACAAAAGCCGGTGGAAGATGATTATGTGGTTCTGACGTCTTGCCAACCCGGATTACGTCCTTCTTACAGAGCCTCAATCGGATTGACTGGTTGTTGATGTATGTGCTCTGCCCTGGAAGAGTGTATTCGAATCGTCGAAATATCCAGCTTTCTGGGCGAGGCGTGCTTGTACAACGTCCAGAGCGTTTCACCGAGGGTGGCTGAATCCACAGATAACCTTGCAATCCAGCATCGATGTTTGATGGATAAAGTATGATCGACACCAGCCGGTAGTTGACGTCCGACAGAGTGATAGGGGAACACGCCCGAACACCACAGTTCCAAGCTGGAAAGAAGGTGTAGACTCGAGCATGAAGAAATAGGAGTGCGGTTCTGGGAGTGGATGAATGTATTGAGTGACGAGAATGCGTCGGCGTTTGTGCCACATATGGCCTGATATTACCAAACCGACATATAGGAAATTAAAACCAGGTCGGGATTTAGAGGAAGTCAGTGGAGGATTAGTAATTACGCGCGAGAACGAGCAGCTGAATGGTGTAACCGTTCGGCGAATGATGAAGCGGTCAGATCGGAGGGTTTTGTCTTCAGGCGACATACATGGATCAGACCCTGAGATCTATATCTATTCCCGCCATCGGCCATTGTCAGATATTCTTGACTCGGAAGTCCACATCCTCAGCTCAGCGTTGCGTACCGGACGGACATGTGGTTGTTCCACAGATCGAAGGTCGGGCATGCAAGATGCGCTGCGAAGAAGTGAATATGGACGAGAATCTCGAAAACTGGGAGTTGGGGGAGCAAGAACGAAAGTTGGTAGCGGCATCAACAGAAAAGGTTATAGTTAGAAGTCCCGTATTGGCGACATTAGACAATCTGAGTATTACGCCAAGCGACATTGCAGTGTGGTCCTGTGGATATGTTGGAATATTACTCTGGCAAATGAAGTAGGTGAAGTGATTGAATGCGGATGGCTACAAGAACGTCGCTGCTTGGATCCTTATCAACCCAGTCTGCTGCGACCTAGGGGATGTTTGTCGATCTGAACGATACACCTCGTGCTTCAATCCCTGATTTACTGAGTACTGCGTGCGTGAGGACTGAGGAGATACGCATATCCGAGCGACCTAAATCAGGAACAGGTCTGAAGCCGGGACAAAATTTGCGAGATGTTGTCGCGGACAAGGGTTAGTTATCGTAATTGATCATTCGTATCAAACCGAGACTGTCGCAGACCAGGCCAGACAGTCAGACAGCAGGATGACATGTTCCGGCGCGGTCGGCGAGTAAGAGACCTTTGGAGATTGGAGATTGGAGATTTAATCGGATGCTAAATTGCGAATGGAGAAGGTCCAGAAGGGATGCTAGTGTCGTTGGGCGGTGATGAAAGCCGATCATAGGGTAATATTGGGACTAGGCGACTAGGGGAGAGCGGACTGGAGTGATTCATGTTAAAGGATAGCGAAATCTTAATTGAGATTGACGGGGTTGTTTAAGTGGTGGGATGCGTGGGTTCGCGAGCGGGCAATTGTCGCATCACGAACGAATCTTGAATCCCTCCGCTGATGCATGACACAGTTGACACTCATGCGTCTGAATCCTGATGTGGGGCGTTCAAATTGCTCCGTGTTCGAGAAGCTTTGAAGGCTGGAGCGGCCGTGGGTGGAATTGACCGATCCTCCGAATCAAAAGAGAAGATGGCTGAGATGCGAGGTCCTACCTCTGAATCTGTGATGTAGTCGAAACCTGAGGCGGAGGTGATTGCAGAGACGTCGGTCACTTGGTGAAAGGGAGGCTGTGTCTCTCACTGCTTGGTTTTAGCCGCAGCGATGGCACTGTGATAATAGTGAATAAGAGAGTAGACGGAGCATGAGGACTGCGACGGGTCAGTTGTTACTGGGGAGTGGTGCCGACTGGTGGAAGGGTATTGTCAAAACTCAAAACTCAAAACTCGTATCCTAGTAATTATTCTGAAATTAGCGGTGACCACGGGCGGGAACTTGATATTGCTAATTGGTGAAGTTGATGATAAGCTTTATGTGAAGCAGGACCTGAGGAACTAGGAATGAGGAACTAGGAAGATGTGGTCTGTGGTGTGGTCACTCGTCACTGGTCAGTGCCCAGTAGGTGGAGGTTCTAGCGTTCTGATGTCTAAGCTGCATTTTGGGAATTCTGGAATTGAGAATGGCTGGCCTGTGGGGGCGGGGGGCGGACTGGGTGACTGGCCGATTGGGAGGGTTCAAGCGCCCGAACATGCCGAACGACCGCTGAACCACACTGAGTGTCTGCCGGTGTCCGTAGGCCCTGGGCCCCTAAATCACCCCCTATCTTAGGCTCCGCGGGCAGCCGGACGGAGGGGAATAGGCTCTCAGGCCTCCCAACTTCGCTCTTCCAGCTCATTCAACCCGTAGAAATATTCCCTAAATACTGCCAGTTGGTTCCGGTACTTATGGTAGGTACAGAAAGTTTATTACGGGAGACCGTATTTCCCCTGCAGTAGCCACCCGGTAGAGCGGCATAATACTGGCAATTGGCATCAATTATTCATTTACCGATCGCGGTTCACCCCCCCTTCAGTCAGTTCGGCTCCGCTGCAAGTGGTCCTCTTCTTCGGGAATTTACATCTCTCACAGCATCCATCCCATCATCTGAATAGGAAGTGAATTCACATCATTTGTCGCTCTGACTCCCTTTCTTCTTCCCACCTCTCTGGTTCTACATTTCAGTTCCCACCCTCCCCCAAACCAACCCCAAGTGTCCCAAGCCCCGACTACACTGTCACGGTTCAGGCACTACCCCAGTCGCAACGATCCCCTCCACAGCACTGCCTAGGACTCTGAGCACTAAACTCGCTCGGTTTGCGTGATTGCGTCGTCGCACTGCAGCCCTTCTGCCAGCCACAGTCGCTTTGGGACGCTCGTCGACCGGTAGCTATCCTCTTCCTGATCTCACCTACATCGATCCACGGGCGAGACTTGGTTATTCGAACCGTTCTCGACTCTCTCGAGGGGCAGCTATTGTCGAACGTCCCGCCGAATTTCCCTTGCGCTGGACTAGATCAGTGCCTCACAGTCTGACCACAGGAGTAGTTAGTGCGTCTGTCCCACTACCCACACCACCTCCGGATTTGCAATCCACCTGTCCATCATCCCCCCTACGTCGTCCTCCAACCAATCGCGCCGCTTCGGCGCTTCACTACTCAACCGTCCTCGACCACCCTTCGTCGTCGAGCGAATTGTTTTCCTTTTCCCACATCTTCACTCCTAGGACCGCCTGTCCGACTCTCTCAACGCCAGTATCTACCTTTTTCTGAAACAGGTGAGTTCCCAATCCTTCTCTTCCTCCGGCTGGGTGGTTCCTCCGAACCTCGCGACGATCATTCCCCAACCGGTCGCTTCGCAGCCCGTCCCAGCCTTACTCCCCGACGCCGCGCAAATCGTCTCAAATGACGGTCAGGCGAGCCAAGGGCCGTCGAATTCATCTCTCCCATACTCCGAACCATCGTTCATCATTCATCGTCGTTGGAGCTGGAGCTTGGAATTGTTGAAAGCTGACGCGCAACCCCTTTACCACAGTCACCCTCGAAGGCCCCATCGACGTACGAAGTTAATCTTGTGCTTCACGAACCGAGCCTCACTCCAACTATCTAAGTCGAGGCGAATACATACAGACAGCCAGCATGGGTTGTGGAATGAGCACCGAGGAGAAGGAGGGGAGAGCCAGGAATGAGGAGATCGAAAACCAGCTAAAGAAAGACCGGATGATGCAGCGAAATGAAATCAAGGTGCTCTTGCTCGGTACGCGCCTTACGACCATCGTATACCAGCACACCATCCGACTAACCGGACTTTAGGTGCCGGAGAGTCGGGCAAGTCGACCATTCTCAAGCAGATGAAGCTCATCCACGAAGGTGGCTACTCGAGGGATGAGCGGGAGTCGTTCAAGGAAATCATCTTCAGCAATACCGTCCAATCAATGCGGGTCATCTTGGAAGCGATGGAATCATTGGAACTCCCGCTCGACGACAGCCGTGCCGAGTACCATGTCCAGACAATCTTCATGCAGCCCTCGCAGATTGAGGGCGACCGGCTTCCCCCGGAGGTTGGTCTGGCTATCAAGGTGCTCTGGAACGACCCTGGTGTTTCACAATGCTTTCAGCGATCACGAGAATATCAGCTCAATGACTCGGCCAAATAGTGAGTCCCCATTACACCAGTTGAAAATCGACTTGGTACTCGCATGAGAGGACTGCATATGCTAATTCATGTACTTTCAGCTACTTCGACTCGATCGACCGCATCGCCGCTCCCGATTATATTCCCAACGACCAGGACGTCCTGCGATCGCGTGTGAAGACCACCGGTATCACCGAAACCACGTTCATCATCGGCGATCTCACCTACCGCATGTTCGACGTTGGTGGCCAACGTTCCGAACGAAAGAAGTGGATCCATTGCTTCGAGAACGTGACGACCATCCTCTTCCTCGTTGCCATCTCAGAATACGACCAGCTGTTGTTCGAAGATGAGACGGTCAACCGTATGCAGGAAGCGCTGACGCTGTTCGACTCCATCTGTAACTCGAGATGGTTTGTCAAGACGTCCATCATCTTGTTCTTGAACAAAATCGATCGGTTTAAAGAGAAGCTACCGTCGAGCCCGATGAAGAACTACTTCCCGGATTACGAAGGTGGGCTCCAAACATGATGCTTTTCTCCCCGAAGGCAAGCAAGACTGACTCTCTATAGGTGGTGCCGACTACAGTGCGGCTTGCGATTATATCCTCAACCGATTTGTCTCTCTGAACCAGCATGAGACCAAGCAAATCTACACTCACTTCACCTGCGCTACCGACACCATGCAGATCCGATTCGTCATGGCTGCTGTCAATGGTATGTTCGACCCCGTGTCCCCCAATCCATCCATCTCTAACAATATCAAACAGACATCATCATCCAAGAGAATCTCCGCATGTGCGGCTTAATATAAAGCCCACCGCCCACCGTCCTTCCACTCGCGGACCTACACTTCCCCAAACCATACCCACCACGGGGATATATTGGAATGCAGTCTTGTTGGGCGGGGCGGCAGTGACCGCAGCATCGGACATAACGATACCAAAGTGCAGATCCACATGTTTTTTGCAATCGGCGTTTCATTTCCTTTTTCCCTGAGAACAATGCACGAGAACTCTTTTTTAATCATTCGATGGATGGACGACGAAGGATCACTGCAAAGGCATTCGTGCCATCCGGACCGTTTATCTGGATGGGTGGGAGGACAGACTTTCGGAACGTCGGCGTGACGTCGAGAGATACCCTCGGGGAACCTTATTTGACTCCCTCCTGTCTACCTGCCATCGAATCGACACTCTTTCTTCCCTTCGGCCGGATTCAACCACGCTATTCTCTCACATTCGTCCCCCAATTCGGTCCCATTGATCAATCAGCGTGGGTGGTTCGTGGATTTTGGTTGCCCTCCTTTCTTGCGATTTCCCTGGCCTGTATGCTTAAAGGATGGAGTACCTTTGCCTCGTTATTTTGCACGGCGGACGTCGAGAAGCGCGGAGGATGAAAGAAGGACGAGGAGGGCTTCGGGGATACAATGGTGGAAGCCTTACGGTAGTTGCGATGCTTTTCTCGATGGGGGTGCTCGTTGGTTACGATAATATCTGATGGGGCGTTTTTTCCACCTTTTCGCCGTTGTGGAGGAGTGCGAGGTGCATGGTCTTAGTGCAGATGCTACTCTGGATTGTCCAAGCGCTGTGTGGAATAGATGCAGATAAGGAGAATCGCATGGCTACTTTCATAACCAAGACCTTCCATCTGCAACTTGCTGTGAGTGATCGCACATACCTACGGCACCTATCGTATTCTGTACAGGTATTCGAATCTTCCTCGAAGGAATTGATTTGCTCAACGCTGTCATTCTGCCTTGCATGTCGCGGAAACCAAGAGCAGCCCTGGTAATCTGACTAACTTAACATGTACCTCAACTGAAAACCCCGACGTTCCTCTGCCAGCTACAGAACACTTCTTGGGCAAGGTTATGGTGATTCCGGCCGAGGAGTTGCGGCTTGGGCAGCTCAGCAACTGAGCCAGACATGATCTGATATTGAAATGGCTGGTGCAGGGATGAAGCTATGTCACTAACCTGATCCAGACTAGTGCATATAATTTTCGAGCCTTAGAGGTTCCTCAAAGTTTCTTGCACACCAGTTACACTTCGGAGTTTTCGTTAACGGGAGTACCAAAAAGTCCTCGAGTGCACTACATCCCGAAATTCCCACGACCTGTTCAGAAACCAACCCCTCCCATCGTCCGGAATAATCCAATCCGCCACACCTCCCACACAATGGCGAAAGACAGAACCGAAGATCCGGAGAAGAAGGAGAAGAAGAGCCGGAAGTCCATAGACGGCGTGTCCAAGTCGCACAAGAAGGAAAAGAAGGACAAGAAGGACAAGAAGGAGAAGAAGCAGAAGAACCGCGAGGAGCAGCCTACGTCGGATGCCGTCGCTGGTGCGGACGAAGATGTCGAGATGGGCGGCACCGGCGCTGCTGAGGTCGCGGTCAATGGCGAGGACGAGGTGGTAAAGCAGCTTGTGCCGTTCGCCGATCCGATGGCGACGGCGGAGGAGACCAAGAAGATCCTCGATGGCGTCAAACGAGGTGAGTTGGACCTCTAATAAATTTTCCTACCGCGTTTCGACGGCAGCGCCTTTCGATGCGTAATATAACTAGGAGCTAACCATTTTCCATCCAGCCTCCCGCAACCGCGCCCTCCTCACCGGCATCAAGGAGACCCAAAAATCCCTCCGCCGCTCCTCCACCGCTGCGACGGCCGCGCCGCGCGGGATCCTCATCCTAGCCGCCGACACCTACCCGTGGGACATCATCTCGCACATGCCGGTGCTGTGCGAGGACCACAACACGCCGTACATCTTCGTGCGGAGCCGTGAGGAGCTGGGGCAGGCGGGTGGCAGTGTGCGGATGCAGACGAGCGCCATGATGGTGCTGGCGGAGAAGGGGGTGAAGAAGGCGGCGAAGGAGGGGGAGGCGGCGAAGGAGGCGGTGCCGGGGGAGCTGAGCGCGGAGGAGTATAAGAAGGCGTATGAGAAGCTGCTTAAGGTGGTGAACAAGGCGCAGGACCGGGTGAAGTTGTGAGGTTGGGGAAGAGAGAAGTATAATTTCTCGCATGCGATGGCTTGACTGGTTTCGGGGACCAGATCATGGAGTCTGGTGGAGTGGGCGTTTGCTGTATTTGGTTTCTTGGGTTGGCATGTCCTGACGGTCGTGGTTCTCAATTGGTCGGGTTCGGACTTCATATACAAGGGCAGCGTGCGTGTATATAAGACATACGCAGGAGCACCCCGATGCCAACAACGGTGAATGCGAGGCAGAGCCGTATGTATGGTATCTCAATAGGGTATCGTAACTACCTAACTCCGGATTCCACCCTATTCCATCATCGCCTGTTTGAACGTTGGTACATGAGTCTCGTAGGGAATGATAGCCTGTTACCCCAATGCACCGTCCGAGCCTGGTGTCCGGCACCTGATATCCTGCCCCAATCCAACCGTAGAAGTAGGAAATAAGTGCACCTAGAAACCCAAGAAACGCCTGCAAGTTGACCATTCGCTTCGGCTCATCCGTATCCCATCATCTCTGCAAACGGTTTCCTCTGCCTCAACTCCTTCTCCAAACTTTCCACACTCCCCAAATGCCTTGCCAACAGCCTCTGTTTCTCGTCTCGCCCTCGCACTGCACCCTTTTTCACTTCTCTTTCTCGATGTCGTGTCAATTCCTCCTCCAACGCCGACGCATCTCCCAAAGCCATGCTCCATCGCTGCTGCGGCGCCTCCACGTCGTTACCCTTATCCCGCCCCGCTCCCCTTCTATGCGCATGTGCTCCCGTGCCAGGTGCGGATTGAGCGGCTTTTACGGCACTCGGATTACTATGCTCATCACTCGATTCGGGATTGGTGGTCGGATTAATTTCGTCGAGAAGGTAGAAGTAGAGGAATTCGGCGACGCACTTGCGGACGTGGGGAGATGTCGAACGGGATTTGTAGAGGGATGCGGCGGTGGCGAGGCCGTCGGTGCGTTCGAAGGAGCGAGCAGCACGAGGTGAGTATAGGAGAGCGGACATCAAAACCTGAAGGGTGGTCGATTGGGTCGAAGCGGGGTTTAGAGGGTCGAGTAGATCAAGTAAAAGCTAAGGCGACTGTTAGCGGCTCCGTATGTCGCAGAGGGTTCGGCTTGCGTACGTTGAGATAGATCTCCTCCTCAAAGATGCTTCGACTAGGTGGATGAAGCAGCAAGCATCCTTGCAGGAGTGTCAACGATGAGAGGATCAACAAGTCCGTCTCGGCCGATGTTCCCATGCCTAATAACCGCTCAAGGCACGCGACCAGTCGTGTTGCAACATTCCATTCGAAACGCTCTTGAAGGCGGAAGAATGCCCGAAATGCCGGGTCACCACCTAAACTCACGAGGGACTTCTCGTGTGACGGAGCGTCGGAGGATGTGGGGACTGTCGGTCGTTTGCTTGGTGAGGAGGAGGAAGAGGGAGAGAGGCAGATTTGCTCGAGGAAGCCTTTGATCTGGCGCAATCCCTTCGATATCTTCTGGGCGTCTTTGGAGGAGATGTAGTTGAAGGCGGTGGAGAGGAGGGCCTCCATTCTTGCTATGAGAGAGCGTCTCGAGTATCGGAAATAGTGTCACTATGAATGTGTTGATTAATTCCTGAGATAGTTGTTCAACTTGTCATTTTGATAGATATGTTCAAGTGGGGACATGATCAATCTGCATTGACTGAACTGCATTAGGTTAATGTGAGAATTCCTTTACAGTTTACTTGATGGCTTTCTGTTGGCGAAGCCTGTTGCTAGGCAACGCAGATCACAGATGAAGGATGAGCCGATAAGGCATGGAGAGAGTCACGTGCCAAATACATGCCCAGGGCACGTGAAAATTGGATTATATAATCATTAATCTCATCGAATCTCATCGAATCCCATTGAATCTCTCCGAATTCAACCCGTTTTTGAGTGAGGGTAGACATATGTCTTACTAAGACATGAAATCACGTGAATGTTAACTTCGATGCTTGAGCGAATCTCACCGAATGCTAACCGTTTTTAGAGAGGGTCAATGTTACCTCAGCAAGCTCAGGCTATTTCTCAGGGGAGTCTAACCTTTTTTGTAAAAGGTCACGTTACTTTAACTACTCCTCTGGTAAATAGCCTGAGGATTCTGTCAATGACGCGCACTGCTCTGCATAAATTTTGTATGTGGTTTGTATGTATCTCTGCGGATTTGACAAAATCACGATCCATTAATAACCACATCAAAACACGTCGTATGTACTCCAAAATCTGATCGATTGTGTATTAAAGTATGCTCTATCTTGTAATTGATTTTTTTTTACATGTCCATGCTTGTGTCGGGTGAAAAACGCTAATATGTGATGAACTAGACCACACCGAAATCACCATCCAGCCATCGTTCCGGAACTTACGGTCGAATGAGCCTGGAAAACACCCATTGGATGTCATATAATGCCTTTCTCGGTCGGTATTCACACGAATATCTATTATTGAACACATTTTGTGTTCATATTTCCCATGCGAAGCAAGGCGAGCGTTCGAAACGGGCGACGAGAGACTGTGGACATCGCCGGAGATCTCGTCCACGATGCCTATAGCACTACGAGTATGCTAGCTATATAGCGGCTGGTCGAAATTGCAAGAGACGTGCCCGAGGAAGTGCAGAAGGTCATCATCCGAGCAGGCCTAGACCGCCATCTCTACCCATTCGAGCCTCGTTAGAAGCAGATAGATGTTATATGGCATTTAGTATTCAAGTAGGAGGACCTTCCTCTTGTAGCGAAGATATCTTTTGGTAAAAATGTCATATTCCAGGCAATGCTATTGCTTTGTCGCGGTGGCATCGGCTTCATCCTTATCCCTTTGGATCGAATTAGACAGGAGTATATGGACGGACCGTCCCCTAGTTATAATCGGTCGACGTCTATACTAAGAGGCGATAAGGATGCCTTTGTTTATTCTGCCACGGTTTCGAGATATCTGTGGGCCCTCTTGTAGCCTTTATAAACCCCAAGCTGGTGAAGAATATCGAGGACACGCCGTTTCACACCATTTGAATGCAGAAAGGCGTCAAATACGCGGGGAAACCTATTGCTCCCTTCCGACCCCCGAGAATAGCAGAGAATTAACGTGACTATCGCAATCCTGTGGTTAAACTTAACAGGATCCCGTGGTAGTCGATCTTTTCTCATCTTAGGTGTCATAAGACTATTAAGCAATCTACATAGAAGAGGAGCACGAGTGCTAACTTGCTCGTATATCTGCCTAGACAGTATGTCGCCTAGTATACACTCGTAGTCCTCGATTTTCTAACCCTCTAACTGTTTCCCCCTCCCTACGCCGGTAGGTAAAGTCTTCTCCTAGATGCAGTCGACTTAGTAGGCACTAAACATATCTACGGCTTCTTCTAGTGCCTTCATTTCCTTCCTTAGACCCTTTATAGTGATAGTTCCTGCCGCACTAGACGCGGGATTCTTATAGTGCGTCTAAGACCTCTGGGCTCTGGCTAACCGTAGACAGCCTCAGCGAGCTATTTGGCTCGCGTGACAGAGCACTCTCTATAACCACCCAACCCTTAAGTCGTCGCGTAGATGTAGATAAATTCTCAAAATTTAATGCTCTTTTTCTTCATGAATTGACATATCTCATTTATTCTCTGTGCCTTACTGCGTCTTTGAGACCCTCTTACTTTCTGATGTGGTGCATTAGATGTGTTTGACGCAGCACTATGCTGAGGACTTGGAGCAAGTAGCAAAGTGGGCGAGTTCAACCGCGCGCTCTGACGACGCTGGTTTCAGGCCGACACGACCCAAAATTCAATCAATTATGGAGAAAAAGCAGGGGAATCGAATGGTTATATTTAATTGACGGAGCACAGTGTGGTTGTGGATGAAAATGGAGTTAAAAATGGTCTTCCATTTGGTATGAAAGCTCTCCACACACACCCAAAACCCATTGACAGAATCCTCAGGCTATTTGTTCGAGGAGTGCATGTGACTTACCGATTAGGTATAGTCCCACTCCGGTGCCTTGGCACGACCACAAATAGCCTGAGCTTGCTGAGGTAAGGTCAATGTATGTCTTACTAAGAAATGTGATCATGTGATATTCACAAGCTTGTATGAGTTGTACTCCATCTTCACCACAGTCAGCGAGTGACCAGACGGACATCGTCACATGTGCATGGATCGTTAGTTTACTACCCCGTACCAGGTGGCACTTGAACTTGCTTCTAAACCTGGAGCCTTGCGACTTGCGACTGGCGCCAGTCCGCCATGACGATAAATCCTCGCTGCCAACCAACTTGACCGATAATCAACTCCTCCGGACTTCTCTGCCTCTTGTATATGCTGCTCGGTCCATCTTCCATCTCATATCACCAACCTAGTTATTGTTTCCCCGTGCTTCCCGCTGTACCCGTACTGCTGTTATCTATCCTTACCTATCCACATACTCGGCTGATATCAGATCGGCTGTCAGACCTGCAGGTCCGGCTCGTGATATCCGGGTGACACTGTTCCGTGTAACTTGTAACAGCCGGTCTATCGAAGAGACCCGCTAACACTCAAGATCCCTCCGTGTCTGTGTTGAGCCTGCCGTCATAGGCCAACACGAACAAAGACTCGTTGATTGCCCACATCACACACCCGAAACCTCCTTCCCGTACAAAACCCCTCTCGTCTTTCCACGATGACCAGCGCTACCACGAGTCCCGAGCCCTTTCGCATCCCCTCCTCCATCCCTCCTCGAACAAGTTCTCACCGCCCCACCCTTTCCAACGGTCTCTCGCCAGCCTCTCCTCCGCGATCCACAAGCACCCCCAAACCACTCATCTCCGAATCAGACTGGATGAGTTCGTCACTTCAGGCTAACATAGCCCAAGGGAAAGCACCTGCGTATCCTCCGCAGACCTTCTCCTCATTTCCGTCGAAGACGGCTCAAGTACCCGGAGTCCATTTGCAAAAGTCCGCCATGTCGCCGAGCGGTCCAGCAAGCGGCGGGGCAGAGATCGGCGTCCCCCCGAGGAACCCAAGAAGAAACGAAGAGGGGCGAGATGAAAGCTCGGGATTGCCTCAGGCGGTATGGAACGATTCGAAGGAGAGCATCCTCTTGGCCCCGTATGAGTACATGTTCGGTCATCCAGGGAAAGACATCCGGACGCAGTTGATTGCTGCGTTCAATCTATGGTTGGATGTGCCAGAGAAAAGCCTAGAAGTCATCACCAAGGTAGTCGGGATGTTACACACCGCCAGCTTGCTGTAAGTCAAAATGTCAAGATACGAGGTACACAGGCTCATATTGATGGCATGGAACAGAGTGGACGACGTAGAAGACGCATCCTTATTGCGTCGTGGGGTACCCGTCGCCCATTCGATATTCGGCACGGCGCAAACGATCAACTCCGCAAACTACATCTACTTTCAAGCTCTCAAGGAACTGTCCGCGCTGAAGTCACCGAAAGCCATCGAAATCTTTACGGACGAGCTCCTCAATCTCCACCGTGGGCAAGGCATGGACCTCTTCTGGCGCGACACCCTGACCTGCCCAACCGAAGCCGATTATTTGGAAATGGTCGGAAACAAGACGGGGGGGCTATTTCGGCTAGCGATCAAACTGATGCAGGCGGAATCCAGCATAGACATGTTCGTCCTTTCCCCTCGATCCCCGCATAGCATCCAGCTAACTTCCACGTAGTGACTGTACCCCTCTCGTCTCCACCATGGGCACCCTCTTCCAAATCCTCGACGACCACCTCAACCTCTCCTCCCAATCCTACTCCGTCCGCAAAGGCCACTGCGAAGACCTCACCGAGGGCAAGTTCTCCTTCCCCGTCATCCACGCCATCCGCGCCGACCCCCGCGACCTGGTGCTCGTCTCCATCCTGCGCCAGAAAACCAACGACGACGAGGTCAAGAAGTTCGCCGTGCGCTACATGGAGGGGAAGGGCAGTTTTCAGTATACAAGAGAGGTCATGGAGGGGTTGCGGGCGCGCGCGGTCGAGATGGTGGGCGCGTTGGTGGAGAAGGTGGATGGGTTCCGGGGACAGGGACAGCTGGGTGGGCAAGAGGTCATGGCAATCTTGGCGAGGATGAATGTCGACTGATTCGTTCGATATATTTATTGCTTCGTTTCTATGGATGGGGAACAGCGGGCCTGGTTGGTTTTTTTGACATTCAGGTCTGCGTTGCATCGGTAGGCGTCCGGTTCGAACTCTGCGGAATCCGCGCCAGGATTTCGCTTGGGAAGAGAGGGGGAGAAATTGTGCGACGCCAAGGCCTCACTCGGGGTATTTATCCAGAAATATTTTGTAATCTAATTGATAGTAACTTCGAATCACGCAAATACCATGGCAGGCCATTCATCAGGGGTATCTACGCTCGGGAGAATGGATGCCAAACACCCGCATATATAAGAAACAACTTTGGATTTCGCTTTCATGTCACAGGTCATGCCTACCCACGTCCGTCTCTCATGCAAACGCCCAACCCAATGCTAAGTCCCAACCCAAACAAACAAAACGCTCCCATCCGATCCTCCTCACCCCCCGCCCCGCTGCGCCAACAGTCCCGCCAGCGCGCCTAGCACCTCGCCCACATCCTCCTTCCCCCCGGCCGCCGCCCTGCCGTTCCGATCCCGCGCCTCCAAGAACTCCGCCGCCGTGCCGAGCACGCGGTCGGCCATGCGTTCGGCGGCGAGGCGGTACTGCTCGATGCGGTGGACGCCGTCGGCGAGGGTGTCGATGGAGGGTTCGAGGGAGTCGAGGAGAGGCTGGAGGCGGGATTCGAGGGCTGCTTTCGCGGTTTGGGGATGCGGTGATGGGGCGCGGGGGGGCTGGTCGTTGGAGGGGGGTGGTTGGGGGGTAGGTAGTAGAAGGGGTGGGTGGAGGATGGAGTTGAAGATGGTGGATTGTTCCGGGTCGTCGAGGAGGTCGGGGTGGATGGGGGAGGGGGGAGTCGATGTGGAGGGGTCGAAGGCCGGGATCGGGGGGAGCACGGAGGAAAGGGTTTCCCATGATTTCTTCTCCGCTTGGAGCCTAGCATTACTAGATTAGATGGACGTTTCCGGGTGAAGATCGTGGCTAAGCGTTACCTTTCAATATCTTGCTCGAGCTCTTTCAGCTTTTCAACCATCTGAGCATTGCGCGGATTTGGTTTTTTAACTACTACTGCCGGCGCGATCTCTTCCTATAATATGGTCAGCCGAATAATTCGCCCATCAGCTACACGTCGACCTACCCTACTAAACCAATCCGATATTTCCGGATTGTTCGCGAAGTCTTTCAGCAGCTCGGCCTGGATGTGACGTGCTACGCATTCCGTTAGCTCTATTGATTCTGCGCTCCGTTATGATTTCTCGGGTACTCGGGACTTACCAGCTTCGAGCGCTAGGACAGCGTTGGCATCGCCATTGCCGTTGGGTTTCTCTGGTATAGCTCGTGCTCCACACCACGTCAAAAGTTGGAGCATCCGTTTTGGCTCTAGGATGTTCTGGTCGATGTGTTTGTAGAACTCGAGGATCTCGACGTCGGCGTGTGGTACAGCTAGATAGAGTTCCACGTCAGTATAATCCATTGACGAACAAAGTTGGGTAACCAGCTTTGATCTTTCCTCGACAGACAGGTCGCAGACTTGTCTAGACGCTGGTTCGATGACAGCCGCCAATACCCAAGAGGATATATTACCATTTGAAGTGCCACTCTCTATCAACGAGCTTGCTCGTCGACCGCGCGTCCCAGCGCTACTTCTCCTGTGATTTTGCCCACCGCCTTTCCGCATCTCCTTATTGCGCTTGATAACTGGAGTATCTGCGAACGGCAGTGCAATCTTCGTAGCATCGCGCTTCTGAGTCTTGTCCGTCTCAGAGGCCGCCACCACGTGTTCTGGTTCTTGATGCCGTTCATTCCTCCGGGGTTTTTGCCGACGTGACTTCTCCGGCTCCGGAACGTACTCGTGCTCATCCACTTCCGCTTTGTCGCCAGATAGTCGAGCTGATCGTCGCTTGGGAACAGTTTCCTGCGTTTTCTTCTTGGGGACCGGCGTAGAGAACGAGTATTTCTTCCGCTTTGGCTTGTCTGTCGCCGCTTCTTCGCCCGGTGGAGTTTCTTGCTGTTTTGGCGGATCTGGCTGCTTTGCTTGGGGTGGTGCATTTTTTGATCTTGTTCGAGAGAATTGAAAGCCATGGTCATTCTCATCGTAGGCTGGGGGCCACAGTTAGCCATGGTTCCCGACCTCCTGTCGTGGGATTCTGCCATTCCCAACGACGATGCGAAATCGCGCGTGGGGGGTCCACTAACCTATCTTTGGTTTCTTTGATGCGCCAGTCACCCTGTTTCCAGCCGGCTTCCCTGACGTCGTGGGCAACTCGCTGGCGTCCATTTTGCTCCGCTTCGCAGCCGCTCCCGATCCATCCCCCTCTTCAAACGCTTGTTCAGCACTTCGTCGTCGCGTGGGCCGCTGCACCGATGGCATCCTAAGAGTTTGCACCGGTTCCCGAGTAATTATAGTTGTCATTGGAGCCCCTGCGACGTATGCGCGTTTGTGGATGTGCGGGTCCCTGGTCTCCGTTGAGCGCGTCGATGGTGGATGGGCGGGAATTGAGCGCGTCAATGACAGCGCACCAATTTTAAATTCGAATCCGAAAGACTGACGGTTAGTATAGATAATGGTGAGTGGAAATGCGACCGGTCGCCTCGTTGTGACCTTGGGTGACAGTTGGAGGGGGTGCAATACACCGTTGCCGTCCGATGGCCGTGCAATCAAAACAATTGAAGGTCTTGGCATGAATGGCCTCCCGTGCACGTGCTTGGCCACCGGAACTTCATCTCAAGATTCTCAACCATGTTGGAAAAGTTTCAAAGTTCTTCTCGAGATACTGGACACCGGTACACGCAGTACTTTGACTTATAAAATCCTTGGTTTATTTAGCCTGTGGATATAGTACTCAATTCGCATTACAATTGGTCCTGCTGTAAGAGCAGAAGAGATATACAATGGCATTCGCCAATCGTGCTTTCCGAATCATCCGCAAACTCGACTCCTGCTACATCCAGCCGCCATATACGAAGCGGTTATCGACCTCAGCGCGCAACTATGCCGCTTCCGATGCTATCCCACGAATCGCACGGCCTTCATTCTGGCAATCCCTCATTCCAAAACCGTTTCGACGAGGAGAACAGCCACCTTCGGCAAAAGGACGTACGGCGGACGGATGGCTGTTCTTTATTATCATGCCATTACTCATCGGGTCCCAGGCTATCCAGTTAATAACCCTCAAGAAGGAAATGGCAGCGTACTCGCGACAGACTAAAGGAAAGATTGCTCTGTTGAAAGAGGTGATTGGGAGGATTCAGAAGGGGGAGCAGTTCGATGTAGGCAAGGCGTTGGGCGGTGGAGATCCGATCCCGGAGGAAGAATGGAAGGAGACAATGGAGGAAGTGAAGAGTGGCCCATTATTCTCGGAGAAAGACAGGAGACCGCCATGGACGAAGCGAGAGACGAAAGCGGAGAAACCTGAAAAGACGGAGGAGCCCGAAAGTCTACCCGAGTCATCCATTAAGAAGCCCGCAACGTTTTATTGAATGCCTAGGATACGAGCCTCTTCGACCACCTCATTGCCAACATTTTCGGAAACCGTTCATTCCTCTAGTGGAATGTGCTCTTCCCACGAACATCTGGGACATCGACATGGTCCTCCGAGCGCACCCTTCGCCCACTCTCTCCTCTCCTGGACGTTCAATCGCACATCGCAGTAATAACCGAAGACCTCGTCTCCTTTCCGTAAACCAGCGATGCTCCTCTCGGATTTCCCCGCCCACTTCGCCATCTGTTCTCGGACCTGGAACGTCATCTTCCCAAGCCAATTCCATTCGACATTGGGATCACAACTGTGGTTGGCAAGGCACCACAGGGGATGAACAGCACCAACTTCGGGTCTCCCGTCGGGACCTAGACGCGCGGACGCTGTGCCTCGAAACTTGGCGTATAGAGTGTTGAACACCCAGATGTCATATCTGCCCGGATTTTCCGAACCGCTCTCGTCATCCTCCTCGGAGCTCCGGGTGTCAAAGATGTTGACATCCATCTTCTCCAACATGTTCAGTGGAATGACCACGTTCCATTTGAACGACCAGGGAAGCGTCCTCGGCGGATCGGAGTCGACTGCGGTCGGCGTGCCGTGGTTCGTAAAGTCGCCCCAGATCCAGCGAAGCTCGTCTAGCGCGAGCGGGTGCTTTCCCTGCGTCTCGGCCATGGCCAGCGTTCGGAGCAACAGCAGCGCGTACAATGCATCGGGAGCCTGCTTGGCAGGGGCGTCCTTCGCCAGAGCACTGGTGGCTGTATCGCAGAGGGCCGGATGATAGGACTCCATGGCGAGGTCTTTGCAGGTTTGCGAGCAGAAGATCTCTTGGCAGTCTTCACATTCAACAGCACCTGCCACGTGGGAGGGATTTTTCTTGTCTAGAGGTGGGAGCGGTGCGCTACATGCGTCGCAGTATTCTCCATACAGACGGCCGTTGGCGGTCAATAGGGAAACCTCTTCCAAGATCGTGTCTCCAGGTTGAATGTCCTCCTTTGCGAAGACCCCCAACTGCTCGGACAGTTGCTCTAAACTATCGTTCGAGTTAGTTCAAATTATCCAAGCCGATGGAAAGGATACACAGGTGTCCAATGGAATCAGGGTTGTTCAAGGAAGACCACTTAGGAATCACATACTTGGATCCTTCTAGAAGAATCGGCAATGTAGTAGCCCGTACTTCTAGCCGGGGTGCCACTATAGATATCAAGTTGTTCAGCTGCTGTAGGTTCTCTTCCTCGAACCGATTCTCTTCGAAATGGTTCCATGGATAGATTTCCCGTCGGGCGTACCCCTGGTCTGGGATCTTGTCTAGAGCATGTTGGTCTATGGCCTCGATACTCTCCGCGTTGATTCCATGGGTATTTAGTATCCTTAGAGTTTCGTCTTCAAGCGCCCGTGGAAGTTCACTGTAAACGGCCGTCAGCAACGGCAATTAAAATCTGGCTAGTAGATCCAGCGGACACCCACGCCTTACCTCAAAGGGAGTCGCTGCGCATATTCCACAGCACTCTGGATACAGCCGCAACTTAAAAGACTCTCGACGAGCGCAATGAGCCTGTTCGACCGTTAGTCTGCTGTACATGCCGTGGCCAATCTGCCACGAAGCCCGAACAAATTTTGACGAGGGCCAAAAGAGATCAAGCTCGGGATAGCGTTCACGCTGTCTGTTTCCATCGCTTCACGGCCTCATGGACGTCGCGTTCACTGCCGTCGACATGACCGTTCAGATCCGCATACGATGCGCTGAGAACTGGGTCATGGAACTCGGCGCAGTCGTCGAGGATTTCATCGGTTAGGAGAAGCGCCTTGTATGCTTCGCCGGCTTTCAGGTCCGGGAAGTTCGCAGTACCGTAGGCGGCTGCTAACTGAAGGCGGTTTTGGATACTGTATGGATTCTGGGAAACAAGTCGCTGGATATCTTGGACTGCCATTGGGGTGCAGTAGTAACGCTACTGCACGCTCTTGATTTGATGTTTTCACGAAAATTCCTCAAGCGGGATGCTCAAACGCGGAGGAAAAATATATGTGACGATCAGGCCAGGGGGGTTACGGAGATCTGAGATAATTTCTTCATCATTGGTAGCTCTGGGTTCGGGTGGCAAGGTTGGATGCTCCTCTCCACCCAACGAGAACGATAAGCTAAACGAAACGCCATAAAAATCATTAGATGGCCTCCACGTTCATGTCTGAATGTCCAGATAACCAAATTACCCACGGAGACACCAGTTGCCTAAAATCCCAAGCAACGCCCAATTCCATCATCGTCTCGTCATAATAATGCTGTAAAAGATGCCACCAATTGTACACCTTGAGACATAGACCCCAAGAGCAACGACCATCCCCCAGATTCAGGAGTATATATCCTTCGTCGTTCATCACCCCGTATTCTCCGGACTGGGGCTCAGCATCGCCTGAATGCTCAACCCACTCCTCCCCTGCTTCCCCACGCGCTTCCCCCCCTCCCCGTCCCGACCGTCCGCGTCCACCTTCCGCTTGCCCTGGTGATGCCTGGTCGCATGGTGGTGATGGTAATGACTATGATATCCTCCACCCCGCACCGCGGATGCCGCTCCGCTGTCCCGGCTCCCGAACGAGGCGCGCCGTGGGTCATCTGCATGGTCGCTCTCAGCGTCTGAAGCCCCCAAGCCGCTGTCATCCCCTTCCATACCGTGGCCGGCGGATGACGTGGCGAGCCCCTCGGACCCGCTGCCCATCTCCGCCGTCGATGTGTCCGTGAGGTCCGTGACGGACCCCATGATGCTCCCTCGCTCCTTGCGTTGGTTGGAGCGATGGGCGGCTTGGATGTTTTTGAGTCCTTTTTCCATGCACTAAGGAGATGTTATCAGCCTTGGGATCATCTGGGTAGGAGTAACACGCCGTTGAGTTGTCTCTAGATGGAGTAGAAACGGAATGGGCACAAACCTTAGCTTCGATCATCTGCCAGCTTTTCTCCCCGAGTCGGTCACTCAACATGGTCCACATATCCCTTCGCACCAGCATGTATTCCCGCGCGAGGGTCTCCCACTTGATGCCGTCCCAGTCCTCGGCGTTCCGTCGTTCCATTAACCGCTCGTGCCGCTTTCGACACGCGTTCGCGGTCTTGCTGGGGAAATACTTGCTGGCGATCGGCTGCCAGTTGAGGCCCGATGCCCGTGCAGCCATTAGGGTCTCGTCATCTTCCGCGGTCCATGTCGTCGAGGTTCTTTGCGCCTGGGCGGGGATCTCCGTCGAAGGAGTAATAGGGGAAGGTCGGATATGAGGAGAGGCAGCTCGAAGTTCCTTGGGCATGATGACGCCCTCCTAGCTGTTACAGAATGGATTTAGAAAGACGAGGTTGCTAAGAAAAGAAAGGGTGACGATGCAGGAGTGCAGGTTGCAGTCGGGAGGAATGGCTGGATATCAAGCGACTGACTAACTGAGACGCCTGATCTGAAAACGAAAAGAAAACGAATAGTAAGGAGAAGAGAATACAGGAAAGACGTAGGACGATTATTATCTATAATTAAGATCGGTGAAGGATGCCCCCCAGTGGTTTCAAAGAAGGACGAGGAGACCCAAAGATGATAATGACCAAGGAAATAAATCTAAGAAATGGAAGGAAAAGAGAAAGGAAAACACATAGGAAAGGGGATTGATTTGCTGTGGTTTCAGTTATACCGGAGGGAGAGGAAGTTGAGAGACCGTTCTGAAGGCCAGCATATATACAAGTCGCAGTCGACTGTGGTGGCACAGGTTAGTCGCGATATCAAACAAGGCATGGCGCATAGACGAGGTATTCCAATGAATTGTCCAGCCACATCGTTCTGAAACGGAATCGAGTTTCTTTAAACGCCCATCAAGGCTCTGCATGGCGTCTTTCGGCGGTCATCGAACGTGGGTTCTCTCGCCGATCGAGGCAAGGGGCGGAAGATGAGCAATATGCCTTGTTCAACCGCTGGGAGGGATGCACTGCAGCGTCTCTCGAGAGGCGAGGTCGTACTAAATCGAATCAGCGTGGAGAGGCCAACAGGCGGTCGCATAGGCCGCCATAGACGACTGGTACATGTCCACTTTCGCCAGCAAGGATCAAAAGCATGCCATTGCTCCGTGGAGAGATCCTGCCCGGCGGCTGTTTCGAAGAAGAGAACGTGTGTTGCGGATTTCCAGTGCGGCTAGACGTGTTGCAGTCTTGCAGAGAGGAAGTATCTGAGGAACAGTTGACATCTGTACGAAGGATTCGAGGTTAGCGCTGGCCTTTGACAGTAGGTAACCTGGGGCCCTATCCGCCAATCGCTCATCATCAGCGGCTCTTCCAGGGAGGGCTTGTCGGCGCATAGGGCGTTGGTTGGAGGGGTTCAAGGGGTTCGGTTGGCTGCTCCCGAGCGTCTCCTTTCGCCGTGCCGTGCCGTACTGCTGGTCCAGGGACTCTATCCAATAATTAATATTTTTCTTCTACATCCCGTCTTCGTTTGGAAGAGGGACTGAAAGGGGCGGATGCTATCCAGTCAAATTTGGAGAATGCACCGCCACTTATTCCAATTATGATTGGAAGAGCGGAGGAGACTTGGAATCTGCGGTCCGCGGTGCATTCGTCCCTGGTCATGGGGATGGTAAATGATAGACGACTGGAGTTCGCATTGTCCAGTAAAGCTATTTGCGGGAAGGTGATTACGCCGAAGAGGCTTATCCGCGATGACCAGCTTCGACTTTCCACCGAAGAGTCAAATGGTGGATATGATATGGTGAACGGCGAGGACATGGAATAACATCCACCTGTGGAGTTAGAGAGACTGATACAGTGCCCTGGGATGCACTGGAAAGGGTCATTATACTTATTCTCTGTCTGGTTCTTCTGAGCTTCGACGGATATCCTTATCTCCTTGTGCCTGGAGGATCGGAAGTGTTATTGAATCCTTTTAAGTTCTTATCAAGACTAATGCCCAGTTCTTGGTAGAGAAAGGAAGCTACAAGGAAGCTTCCCGATGTCATCATCAATTAGTTAAGGGCATTTAAGGCACACAGAATTCAAAGACTGGAGCCGGGCACATGCGGATCATTCATACTAGACTCTCTCCCATACTACGACGGATATAAACAATCTCAATTGCAATCGTATGCCGCGAGCTTTGCGAATAACGTAGCCTATCCTCGTCCTCTTGTGTCTACACGCAGCGCAGCGAATAGACAGGAAGGACTCCATTGGGTTCCACCCCTTAAATGACATGGTCTTTCTTCGACCGCGTCGTGGAGCCTCCTTCAACACGCAACGTCTCCTGAACTTCAACAAACCCCTTGGCCATCTTGATATTCTGATATCCGCATTCCAACAACGACAGTGTCGCATTCTCCAGACCGCCGCTCATTCTCCGCTCATTTCTTTACCATGTACTCGGCCACCCGTTAGACCCTCTGCCCTTCGATCCAGACGGAGGTATCCCACAACCTCCTTCGTCATGTCCGAATCCTTCCAGCAGACGCGCCAGCACTCTGGTGGCCATCATCATCACGAGGACAACGTATATCTGACCTCGACCAACAAGAACGATGCAGGAGTTAGGATCACAAGAGTCGGACTCTTCGTCAACCTGGGCATGGCCATCAGCAAAGGGATCGGTGGATACGTGTTTCATTCGCAAGGTAAAGCCTTCACCAAGATGTAAAGTTTGAATAAGCCATTGTATATTGACAACACCCGCAGCACTTGCCGCCGATGCCGTCCATTCCCTCACCGATCTCGTTTCTGACTTCATGACACTTGCGACCATCTCCTGGTCCCTCAAGCCACCCACCGAGCGCTTCCCTACCGGCTATGGCAAAATCGAGTCGCTGGGCTCCCTCGGCGTGAGCTCGATTCTTCTCATTGGCGGCACCCTCATGGGATGGGCCGCGCTCATCGATCTCTGCCACACCTACCTCCCCGCGGTGGCAGAAGGAATGGAATACCTAGGCATTGCTGGGCATGGCCATTCACACACACATATCATCCCGAATATACAAGCCGCCTGGATCGCGGGAGGGAGCATTGTTATTAAAGAGTGGTTGTACCGTGCGACCCTGAAGGTTGCGAAGGAGAGAAAGAGCTCGGTGCTAGAATCCAACGCGGTTCACCATCGCGTGGACTCGCTCACGGCCATCGCCGCGTTGGTATCGATCGCCGGGTCAAATATTGTTCCCTCGTTCAGGGGGATGGATGCTTTCGGCTCTCTGCTGATCACGTACCTCGTGGTCCGGACCGGCTGGACGAACACCCGGACTTCCTTAAACGAACTTGCCGATGCGAGCATGGACGAGGAAGTCAAGGAGCGCGTGATCAAGGAAGCCGATCGCGCGTTAGACGACATGATGTGGGTCAAATCCCATCCGAACGCGCCGGTGGAGATCCGGAGATGTCAGGGCATCAAAGCCGGGCAGAACTACTCCGTGGAAATCGAGGTTGCGTGTCCGGCCACTTGGACCGTGGAGAAGACGCGGGTGATCGAGGAGGAGGTTCGCGAGCGGGTGGGGAGCAGGGTGAGAGGGGTCAGGAGAGTACGGGTAAGGTTTGTGGGCGTGAAGGAGGAGGGGGATCAAGGCTTCATGGATGAGTTTATCAGCCCCAGCGTCAGTCAGAGGACCAGTCCGGAGCCGGAATCGGATCGAGAGTTCGAGGAGAGTGACGAGGAAGACCATGGACATCACCATAGCCATGGATCCGGCCGCGAGAATGGGGATGGCAAGCTAAGAAAGCGTTGATTGTAATAGATTCTGTTGGAGTAGACTTGTATCTATACCGCCTCCCGATGGTTAAAATACCTTGGTATCTAGCATGGTTGGTCGTCCGATGGATTCCCTTCTCCTGAACTGTGAATCGTGGCTCTGCAACTGGTTACCTATGAGTGGTCCTGAGTATTCCCTTAGCTCGGGATCAAAATGACTCGAGTAGGTGTGTATGTCTCAACTTCATGCCATCCAAGGGCTTGCTTCTTGCCTCTACTACGCTTTCCTGTACATCTTCAAAATTTATAAGCAAAGGACATACGCTTTATTAACGTCGGATATCTATTGACGTCGTACTTCATTTCCAGTTATGTGTATCCTCTTAAGTTCTTCTATAGCCTTCACAGCGCCAGGTAAGACCTGTAACGCATCTATTTCAATCCTCACGGCCTGGCGCCCGGTGTTCTCTGGAGTGACGTCGAGAAAGAACTCATCCTCCCCTCGAACTCCGCCGAGATTCAGCATCCCGAGCGCAAGCCCGCGATCCTTGGCACGTTTAGCCAGTCTCCAAGCACTGTACGTCGCCAAGCTACTCCCAACGACAAGTAGACGGCTGGCCGTATCGATGGCTTCTTCCGCCTCCGCCTTGACGGCCGCGTTGACGTTCTCGCCGAACATGACGACGGCGGGTTTGAGAACTCCGGCCGTTGAACCCGCCTGCGATGCGCCATCGGCATCAACGAGCACGGTCTCTCCCGGGGGAGGCTTCTGCAAACAGGCTGGACACGGGGGATAGCGAAACGTCGTGTACTTCACGCCTTTCAGTTCCAGGTCGCCATCGGGGTTCGTTCGCAGCCCCCTCTCAGCACGTTCATGCGGATCTTCGGTCGACAGTGCGCCGGACTCGATCAGGTGTCGTAGCATATCCGCCCACGACGGGTTGAGGGCTTCAAGCTGGGATTGGAAGGCATCCCGGGGGTATGGTGTCTTGCATGTGGTGCAATGTACTTGGGCAAGCGTGCCGTGGAGCTCAGTTGTCGGCAGTGCGGGATGTGCATGGGGGTGAAAGGAGTCGACATCTTTCACATAGTCAGCGAAAGGGATCTTCCCGAGGCGGCACTCAGAAACCAGCAGTGGAAACGTACTCTGAGTAATGACACGACTTAATATCCCCAGCTCACCCAGTCGCCTTACGGCTTCATGGGCACCGTTCGGTTTCGCATTCGCGAGGTTCGTCCATCCCAGAAAGCTTCGCGCCCAATACCGCTTCCTCGCCTCGTGGTTGGCCAGGAACTCGGAATAGTAGATCGGCCGATACGTCTTATTCAACGTATACGTGCCATTGGTTCCCCGATAGTCGGCCAACCCCGAGGCGACCGATATGCCCGCTCCCGTGAGGAGGACCGTCTTCCCATTCCGCCGTGTCTCGGCAGCCGCGGTGTCCTTTTCCAACGGGGCGACCAGGAAGTCGACGAGACTGGCGATGGCGCCGGCAAGCGGACGCGCAGTGGCTGGAATGATCCGCGGCGGAGGGAGGGGGCTGATATAGGGGATTCTCATCAACATGGGGACGCCGCTCATGTCACATGTGAGAGCCTCCACCCTCCCGATTCGAAATTGAAGTTGAAGTTCATTGCACGTTCGAACTTCGAATAGAACTGAAATCAGGCATGGCCCGCAAGTGTGGGTGAGTGCATGACGACACGATCGCGGGGTTGACTAAGCAGAATCCTCCACCAGTGACCAGTCCACCTCTCCACCGTTGCCCGTCAACTTGAAGTTCAACCCCAGTTCATTTATTGTGTTGGCAGTTGGACTGAAATCGACTTTAATCACGAACCCAGTTATCTCGAGCCTCGAAGTTGTTTGTATATCACCTACCGCCAATTCTCGGCTAAGACACGAAAAGAACGCGCCTCTCGTGCATCAACCACCACGCGCAATGGTGAATTACTCTCATACGCATGGGGATAATCTTGCGACAAATGCTAAGTGATCGTAGGCGCCGAAACGTAAACAGACGACCGCTGTAGCGGGTCCTTCCACGACCCATCGTGCATCCAAGCTCGCAAAGGAGCACAATATTACGGGTCTACAGGAGAGTTCGATACGTGAAGCATACTCGCTGTTCGCGATCCAACACCCGAACTTCGCAGAGGAGCGGCAAGGTGTGCTACGTGGTGGGGATGTCCGTCGATGTTTACTGTAAGCCCTGTCTCAATTGTGGGGGGTGCTGTTCGCATCCCAGGCTAACCATCCTTTCATGTAGAGCGCTGAACCTCCCGTACTCCGCCGACTATCTCTCCGCTCTCGACCCCGACGCCTCCGGGTTCGTTACCTTCGACGCGTTCTTCGGCCTCGCCGCCCTCTTGTACAACGACAAGGAGAACCCTGATGAGGACGATGAGGAAGGCAGCGCGGACGACGAGCCAAGTACCGAGGCGCAGGAAGCGTTCCGCCTATTCAACAGAAACACAGGCGGTCCGATCACCCTATCACATCTTCGACGAGTGGCGCGGGAGCTGCGCGAAGACGTGGATGAGGCGACGTTGCAGGCCATGCTCGTGGAGGCGAATGGTGAGGCGGAGGAGGGGGGATGGAAGGCTGGTGTCAGTTTGGAGGAGTTCGATGCGGTGATGAAGAGGGCAGGTGTGTTCGGTTGAAAGGGATGACGTGCTTCCCATTCTTCCACTCGGCCACGTACTGTGGACCAACTCATCGCGATATACAATGCCTCGGGGATTGCCTTGCAGTTGAGAGCTGAGATCGCCAGGGCAATGAATCAGCCCCATGATGCCTTAGTGGCCTGCCGCCGCCTATACGTACCGGCCAATAAAGATATCAGAATCAGCTGGATATCAAAGATATGCTCGGGGTATAGATGTCCAGCTCCCCGCTCCGCATCGATCAGCGGCAAATCATCCGAACAACGGGAACCATCCCCAGTCTTGGATTGCAGCATCATATGCTGGGTACTTGGTTCGATTCTAGGCGCAAAGCATGGGACATCCATACACATCTGGGGTCACATTGAGCTTTAGATGAAACCGATCATTGAGCACAACCGACAGCTACTAGAACAGACCGTTTTGAGTAACTTGATCAAGGTGGGATCTGAGCAATTGATGCCCATGTCCTGGACTATGGTCTATACAGAGCATGATCAATTGCACTCGCTAATTAGTGCGAGAAATAATTCCTTGAAGGAATGTCATATACAAAAGATGGTTTGGGGGTGGCTCGTTAGGGGGAGAACTTCGAGATTCTGTTGACTTCCGACTCCCGTGGATGGATGGAGCATCCGACGAGAGATGCAGTGACGTTGGAGCAGTGACATGCTGCCCGCCATTGATTGGTCCATGTCAGATACCCCATCATGGTTGACCAATGACATCGATACATGCTCCCAGGATTCAATGTGTTTAAATACGTATCGATATTTAATAGTAAACTCAGTCGGATCAGAAGTTCCATTACTTCTATTACCTTCACTCAATTCTGACCAATCCTGAGTCAAATCTGCAGTTTGACGTGTTCGAGATACCATCTTGATTCTTACCTACATCATGGACGCTACGAACCTTTACAACCAAGTGCAGAGTCACTATGGCTCTCTTGCTACCGGCGGACAAAGCTCCAAGTACGGCCATTCCGTTGCCGTCGCATTTGGGTACTCGGAGGAAGAGTTATCAAACGTTCCTGAAGATGCTCAGATGGGCTTGTGCTGTGGCAATGCCATCACCATGGCTGCCCTCAAAGAGGTATGAATAGAGTCACCAATTCGTTCCAGGTCGATGTATTCTGACAATCAACTAGGGCGAAACCGTGGTTGATTTTGGTTGCGGAGCAGGGTTTGATGTGTTTCTTGCAGCCAAGCGGGTTGGCCCTACTGGACGGGTGATCGGAGTGGATAGGAACAAAGTAAGATCCCACAGTTCTCCGCAGGAATCGAACCAGTGACTGATCAACGCCTTCGACGTAGGATATGCTGGCACGAGCACATCGGAACAAGGAGACCGCGAAAGCAACCAACGTGGAGTTCGTCGAATCACCCATAGTCAAGATTGACACCGGTTCGTCCGAAGCCGACTGCATCATCAGCAACTGCGTCGTCAACCTCGTCCCGGAAGAGGAGAAGCAGCTCGTCTTCAATGAGATGCATCGCATCCTGAAGCCAGGAGGAAGGGTTGCGGTGAGCGACATCCTTGCCAAGAAGGAATTGCCGGAACAGCTGAAGAAAGATATGGCACTCTATGTTGGCTGCATCTCCGGAGCGTCGCAGGTTCAGGATTATGAGAAGTATTTGAAGACTGCCGGATTCAGTGGTACGTTACAATGAAGACCGATGGCAGGATCAGAGTTGATAGCGCCAGATATCCTCCTCGTGGACAGCAAAAGCGACCTGAATGTCTACACCACCACAGGTGAAGACGGCACAGCTGGAAGTGAGCAGCCGAACATACCCTGCTGTGGTCCGGCCAAAGCCGAGACCTCCTGTTGCGCACCAAAGGCAGATGATGGAGCGGCGTCCTGTGGGATTAAAAAGGAGACGAAAGTTGAAGTCGTCGAGAGCGTAGTGAAGAACGTTGACTTTAACGAATGGGCAGGTAAGAGAGAAACAATACCCAATTCAACACGATTCAATGAAATGTACTAATGTTTAAAAAGGTTCATTCAAGATATATGCAGTTAAGGGGCAACAATGATATTGATCCAGTACGGGCAGTACTTGCCTTCATGTACATCGTATCTGCAAGTGCAGAATTAGGTAGCCGATTAGTCTGGAAAAATGCAGATTACCGCCTCTAAAAGGCCTCATCGATGTGGTCCGACTTTCGAGGTCCTCTCCACAGCTGAATCCAAAGTCACGATGTGATATCGGGTGGCTCCGGACGGCTATGGGTGGGACGTGGGGTAAACCTGCTAAATTGAGCAAATACATGGGGAAGACATCCGAGACTCAGGTAGCGATCCCCCATGAAAAGCTGGAAAGGAGCCGAGGGGCATCGCTAATCACCAGTATTGAGTAAGATTCGCCAATAACAAGTCACCACATGGGGCACCCTGCAGAGAGCCGCAGTGGAAAAGTTGGGACGGCTTAACAGCAAGCTTTTGCTTTTGACTCCATTAGAGGCCATCCAGCCTTTCAGGCCCAATTCCGATGTCTTGGCGATCAAAGAATAATTTTTCGAATGGACAGCATTAGCAATTGCAATTTGCAACTGAAGACACCTCGCGTCCTCCTCCCCTTCGTCTCCGCTATTAAGCCACCTGTCTTCCTGACCTGTATATCGCCTTCCTCTAGACTCTCTATACCCCGCATGTGCTAATTATCAGAGTATCGGATTACCCTGATTCCCTGTGTTGAACCCGTCGGAGATTACGAATTCACCCATCGTGCATGCTCCACACCTTCTAAGGGGCAGCTTAGCTCCAGTGTTCGACCGACCTCGCAAAGTCGCAATTCACACCGCCCGTTAACATTATCATATTGCCCATTATCACATTACCTATTACCACGTTACCTATTAGCATAACCTCGCATTCGTTTACCTTTGCTCATTGCTGTTTACATTTCAATTGCAACCACAACATCGCCGCGACGACGCATCTACCTCAGCCACTCAACATCGCACCTTCCAACTAAAGGCCGCCGAGACTTCTCCCTCACGCATTGAATTACGGCCGACAATAGACAGGAAGACAATAACGGCAAGATGGATCAAGCCAAGCTTAAAGAGGAGGTGTCGGAAACGTTGCTCGGCTCAGTGCAGGACCCGCAACTGTCGAAGCAACGTCGCGCGGCCTTTATGCGCTTCGCGACAACTGACGAGAAGTCCGGCGAGCATTTCCTGGATGAGGACCGGTTTATCGATGCGATTGTGCCTGAAGGCGAGACCTTCGTACGTACAATCCCAAATCCACCACCTGGTTAGACTTATCACTAACTTCAACCACCACAGCACAAAATCTCACGCGCGCAATATGGCATCTTATTCAAGATCGCTGACCGCCAGGGTACCGGAAGGGTATCCATCCAAGACTTCACATCCTTCGACTCCATCGTCGCAAAATCCGATGCCGAATATGAGATTGCTTTTCGGCTCTTTGATGTTGAGGGTCGCGGTGCCGTCCGCTTCGAAGACTTCCAGCGTCTCTATAATCTCAACAAGGGTACTGATAGCTTGCCGTTCGACTGGAGCTCTGAATGGGCGTCGCTATACATCGGCCGCAAAGGAAAGCGTCACGACATGACCTATCCTCAATTCTCCCAGATGCTGCGAGGCCTTCAGGGAGAGCGGGTTAGACAAGCGTTCATTTACTTCGACAAGAACGGGGACGGCTACATTGAGCCCGAAGACTTCCAGCGCATCATCATCGAGACTTCGCGACACAAGCTTTCCGACCATATCCTCGATAACCTCCAAACCCTATGCAACATCTCTACCGAAAGCAAGATCTCTTACGCCAACGTCCGCGCGTTCCTGAACGTAATCAAGGAGATGGATCTGGTGGAGCACATCATTCGAAATGCCACCATCAAAAGCAAGGATTCGAAAATCACCCGAACCGATTTCCTCAACGAGGCGGCGCGCATCACACGTTTTACACTGTTCACCCCGATGGAGGCAGACATCCTGTTCCATTTTGCCGGCATGGACGAGACATCGGGCCGCCTGGGCCGCAAAGACTTCGCTAAGGTCGTCGACTCGACATGGCAGCATCCCGCCACCCTATCCAGCGACGCCGAGGAGGCCGTCGCCAAGACCCTGTCTAAGTCGAAGGGACTTGTGCAGGGACTCCTGGAGTCGGCCCACCACTTCGCCCTAGGCAGTTTGGCTGGCGCTTTCGGCGCCTTCATGGTGTATCCGATTGATCTGGTCAAAACCCGCATGCAGAACCAGCGAGGCCAGCGGGTGGGCCAGGCATTGTACAAGAACTCGCTGGACTGCGCGCGGAAGGTCATCGCGAACGAGGGAGTGAGGGGGCTGTATTCGGGGGTGCTTCCGCAGCTGGTGGGCGTCGCGCCGGAGAAGGCCATCAAGCTGACGGTCAACGATCTGGTCCGAGGCCATTTCGGCAACAAGAAGACCGGGGAGATCTGGTGGGGATGGGAAGTGCTTGCTGGTGGGTCCGCCGGTGGTTGCCAAGTGGTAAGTAAATGGAGTCGACGGTCATAACTGAAGTCCGGATGCTGAAACATGCTTGCCAGATCTTCACCAACCCGCTGGAGATCGTTAAGATCCGACTGCAAGTGCAGGGCGAGGTCTCCAAGACGACCGCCGCGGCTCCGAAGCGGTCCGCGGTATGGATTGCGAAAAACCTGGGTCTGCTTGGCCTTTACAAGGGCTCGAGTGCCTGTTTGCTTCGTGATGGTATGTACGGGCCGGATCGGGTGTGGAATTGCTCGCTAATGTTTCTTCTTTAGTCCCGTTCTCGATGATTTACTTCCCGACGTACGCACATCTCAAGAAGGACTTCTTCGGGGAGTCTCCAGAAAAGAAACTCGGTGTCCTCCAGCTTCTCACCGCCGGTGCGATGGCTGGCATGCCGGCAGCATACCTCACGACGCCCGCGGACGTGATCAAGACCCGTCTCCAGGTCGAAGCTCGGAAGGGAGAGCAGACGTATAAAAACATCCGAGATTGTGCGTCCAAGATTATGAAAGAGGAGGGATTCCGCGCCTTCTTCAAGGGCGGTCCGGCACGAATCATGCGGTCATCTCCTCAGTTCGGCTTCACGCTCGCGTCGTATGAGGTGTTGCAAGGGCTCTTGCCAATGCCCGGCAGCGGGGATCTTCCATTGGCGCCCGGCCACATCGGGCCCGGGGGCGTGAGAATATCGCAGAGCACCGAACCATTGCCATACCTACGAAGTCGGAACGCTTTGAAGATCATCCTGGACTTGGATAAGGATATCGGAAAGCCGAAGTTGCCGCATGGAGAGGGATGGATTGGACTGCCTGGATTCCGCAAGTCTTCTTAAATGATAGGAGGTACGAGTATCTTGGTGGTCGCAGCGGCCCTGACTTGTGTCACGGATACACGGCGATACGTGGTCTTGCGCATCGCGACTTGCATTCAAGGAGTTTCATGGGCTTTGATTTGGAAGCATACACCGTAGCGGCTATGCGATGCTTTCTAGAGCCGGTTTTGCTTTGCGCTTGTCTTACTGTTTTCCTTGATCCCATCGATCTCCCCTTTGAGCGATGAGGAAGATTATCACGTTTCGAGGAACTTAGACCATACACGCATTACATGGCGGAGTGGGCACCAGAATGGATACCTACTAGCTTCCTTTGATCGCTTAGATACTTTTTTTCTCGTTCTGTCATTCAACCTGAGCACGTTGACCGCGGACGTCGAAATGTTGGAGTTATAGAACTGATGTACTAAAAGCCCTGGAGATAGAATTGTCTTGGTTTTTCCATATATATAGTTCACATTGGACAAAGGGTGTATAAGTTAAAGAGGATTTCGAGCCCGAACTTTGAACTGTCCCCGACTAAACCGATGGATGTTCAGTTGGGATCCGGTCAAGACAACACCACGCTCAGCTGCATAACCCGAAGGGACCGATGAAGCACTCTCTACAACCACCAAATCCATTTCACGACCTACCTTACTCTTCATATAGAACTGAGTTTGGAATTTTTACATCTGCCCACTATAATCCTTTTCTCTTCTCTAGAAGACCGAGCAAGTACCGTACTCAATTCCCGCCCACGAAACGAGTGGCACGAGATTTCCGTGATCATTCTTGCCCACATCTTTAACCACGGGTCCTATCTTTGTAGTCCAAATTCAGCAAATGCTACTGAGAACAGGGTCTCTGCCAGCGAGTTCCCGTTCTCCAGATCAACAAATGATACCTTGAGATGGCTTTCAACACCCCATAGCCAGTTCTCCCCTCCCGGAGGCCTCTCCGCACTCGTATCCAAATCACCCAAGTCACTCCAGGCTCCAAGACACCTCCTGAAAAGCAGACGCATCTTTAGCGCCCCTGTACGCCCGCCCATCCAACATTGGTCGACTCGAGGAGGCTGAGAGGCTCCCCCATCGGACCAATGAGCAGTCCGAGGGCCCCAAACGGCGAAGCTCCACTGCATGCGTATTTCGGAATCGGCTGGATGGTCATCCAGGACCGCGCTCCCAAATTCGAAGTGGATGGTTGCTGGCCGCCGGTGATTGGTCAGCCGCCGGTCCATCGCGTTCGGAAGCTGAGCTCCAGAACCTCACCGACCTTCCCCCCCATTTCGAACCCTGGAGCTTGCTGGTTGTTGCGGCGTGGGAGGGGAGGTGGTTGAACCGCTGAAGAGCGAAGGCGAGACGTGGAGCTTCATTACATCTGAATTGAGTGCGGCACACAGCCTCAATGCAGGGCGGGTGATGCCGCTTGACGTCCACCCACCTTGGGATATCGTTGTGTTTGGTCAATATAGGTACCTAGGTGCGTATGGAGTGTTGAAGGCGAGATCGATGGCGAAAGATGTCGTCCCTCCATACGTGTCAGTGCATATTCCGTCCTTACCGGAATACCGGTACTTACGGCAACGACGATAAGCACATCCATTCCGCGCTACAATCGGATTACGAGCGGCGTCGGTTGCCATCATTCGCTCCGTGTAGCGGACATTCTGAGAAACTCCACGAGGCCTCCATCACCGGCGAGATGAGCTGTCAGCGCAGCCATTAGCAATGCTACGTTATCGGCAATGACCCCGTGGTTTTAAGGCCCTCCAACCTAAGTGGAAGCAGGATCCTGCTAAGATGGGGGGAATCAAAGTTGAGCAGGATACAGCGCATGGCTAGGATTTAGGACTAATTATTTGTATTTTTGACCCCCGCTTTGCGGCTCTCTCGCCGCTGACCAAGGCAAAGCTGTAAAGTGAAACCATAGGATGCGAATGTCGAACGGCATGCGCCTGGCGCACGGGGAGTTATTGAACCAGACAGTGACGAGACCCCTTGCACGGAAAGCTTGAGGCTCGAGTCTCAAGTCTCTCGACATCTGAAAGGCAAAAAGGGGTCCCCCTCAAGGTCAGATCCTCAACTCACCGGCGTCTCGGACAAACCGAATCGTCGCTTCACACTACGTCTCCCTCACCGTACAGAACTTCTGTCGAACCATACATGCTAGACGTATCTGCTCGTGCTGTTGAGCACTGAAAGTTCCCGAGTGTGATACGGAACACCACGCAATTGAACACTTGTGGAGCAGATCGAGTCCAAGCTCCGTCAGCTCACCCTCGCCCAAGGCTCAACCAAAGTCGAGTCCAGAAAGCTTCCAATTCGGTTCTTCCAGGGTTCGAGGTTCGAGGCTCGAGGCTCGAGGCTCGAGACTCGAGCAAGTTCTCGCACCACCACCGACTGTCTGCTGACGCCTGAGTCCTGATTTCTGACACCCCGTCCTTTAAGACTCCTATTAAGGCCATTATTCACCACCCTGTAGTTATCCATCCTCCAGGAATCCGAGTCTCCTAAATCCTACCTAACTTACAGGCTTCCCTTGACCTTGTCCGTTTCCCCGCTGTGTCTCCATACGGTAGTCTCGTTTCCCCCGCCGACTATTGTTCTTATTATTACTACGCCTCTCAAATAGGAATCCCGACTAGCAAAGTAGCACGAGTACAGCAATCCCGTTGTTGCGTGCGGCTCTTAATCCCCTCTCAGTCGATCTCTTGACCTTCTCCTCTCGATTTGATAACCCGATCATCGATCATCGATCGCTCGCCAACCATTCTTTCCTCTTCCAACCACTTCCTCCACCGTGTCAGCGTCAACTAAACGCTGCAGCGGAGCTGCGAAAACAATCGCCTTCTCTCGGCGCATGTGCTCTGCCTGGTCTTAACTCGAACAGTCGGACGACCGCGGCTCGAAGGTTGATCACGCTGCGCGGTTAATATCGAGATTCAATTATTTGTTACCGTGGCCGACCTTCTTCCCGGCCATTTTAGCTTAGGACTGTTTGTGTTCGACAAAGGTCTCGGGCTGATATTCATTGGCACCGGCCCTTTCCCAGGTGTTCTGTGTCACATCAGGTACGTAGCTTTGGTATCGGGAAATTTCCGAGACCCGAACCGTCGGATTTCCCATTCTGTTGCGGTCTTTTGCGATCTCTTGTCCGGCGTCAGCTCGATCGCGTATTTCGTTTTATCATTCATGGGGTTCGAGAACAGTTGATCGGCGAGCGGGATGGTGGAGTAACACGATAATTTTAGGTCAAGGGTTCGGGTGCAAGCAGTCAAGCGCGAGTGGACTTCGTCGTCAGACTCCGCGGCGCAGCCTCACTGCTGTGGATGACAATGCGATGGAAACGGCTATTCTTACTTCGGGTTTACGTTTCATTTTAGCATTGACAAATATTTCCGTTGCGAGTCAATTCAGCCATCTCCGTTCTTAGTTCTTACACAGGATTCCCGATTCTTAGCGTATCCTGTTGAATGTCATCCTTTTTAATTGAGCATTATCCTGTCGTCTCGTTGCTACCAGTATCCTCACCTATTCTGCCCACATGCTGACGGAGAATTCGATAACAGTTCCAGTGCATATCGGAATATGACGGAATGATTCCGCGTGACCAGGATCGGTGCATGCACTGTGTAGATGAAGCTTACCAGTTCTCGAGCGTCACAGACCCGCTATACCAGTCGCGACTTGTAGCCTGGCCAGGGCTTTGTAGCCCTCGACTATCGAATGACACTCAATTACGATTCGGACGACGCCCTAAATCTTTCTCCAGGTCTCACGCCGTACAAACCAAGATCCACCCCATCACCCTCTCCCGAGCCGCTGTATCCCAAGCAAAGATACTCCCCGGATACCAGTCCGAGGACGGGGCGACCACGCAAGAAGAAGGTCCAACCTAGCCTAGGAGACGTCGTGCTCCTCACTTCCCTAGAGCCGAATCGGCCGGATATCGCGCAACGGGCCGGAGAAGCGACGATCATCGACTCGGACGGAGAGGCGAGCGACGCCGGGAATGCAATGGAAGTAGATGATGCATGCAAACCCCAACTTAATTCCAACGACAATGACCGATCATCCGGACTCAAGATGACCGCTGAAAGAGCTCTAGCGATGGATCCAGCTACGAAGGCCCAGCCGATCACCAGTCCACAACGTATGCCTGCGCCCTTACGACCTCATCCTCTAAACATTCGGACTGGACTCGACGCTACGAATCATCGAACCGATGGCACGAAACCAGCACTCAGATCGCCTCTCGAACTTCCATACGCCTCCTCGAGCAGAAATATGTCCTCAACCGAGGCTCACTCGACTGCTGCAACCGCTCCACATCACCTACCGCTACACCCTGCGATGTCCATCCGATCCGGAGGTTGTTCGTTCTCCGGTGAACCACTCAGCAACCTCCAAATCCCCGACAGAGAAGGTCGATCCAGTCAAAAACTACCTGCGCTGCAGAGTCCACACAGTCCAGTTGACACACCAGGGTCTCCAAAGAAAGTCGTCTTACCTGGCATGGACGAGATGCTCAAAGTAGCCGACGTCGGTAACGTTTCCCATCAAGAAAATGGGTTTCCCACGCCCCTCAATGGGTATGCTCCCACCCAACGCCATTCCATATCTTCTCCGAGTGCAGCTATGTCCCCAACATCATCCAGTCAGCCCTATTCGAACGGCTCCACCGTTCATCGCCGTTCGTCCGCTTCTCAATATCCCCCTTATAATCATGTGTCTCCCATCAGCTCGCAGAGCGAGGCCGGCACTTCACCCTACGACCCATATGTGAAATCGCCCCACGTTCTTTCCACGCCGTCAGGCATCCCTCTCGACTCACAATTCTTCGCTCGACGCACGTCTCAAGTATCCGAGAACGAACGCTCTTACTCCCACAGTCTTCCATCCGCCTCCAGCGCTAGCGCCGATACCTGTGGGAGCAGCGAAACATATAGTCCCACCGCGAAAGTCGATGTGAGGGAGCGGGATCGGAATCGGATGAGCATTGATGGAGCGACGTTAGCAGGGACACCTTCATCCATGACGTTAGCGGGGACTCCAGGATCCGTAACGACAGGAACACCGGGATCGGGAGGCGGCACCACGCTTCCGAGCATAGCGCAGGCCATGCCTTCGATCCAACATATTCAAACAGTGCCCCCCCACGGGACGGGGTCGTTTCAATGCGACTATCTCGGCTGCAATGCGGCCCCGTTTCAGACGCAGTACCTACTCAACTCCCACGCCAACGTCCACTCGCAGAATCGCCCCCACTTCTGCCCTGTGCCTGGATGTGCACGGGGCGAGGGTGGGAAGGGGTTCAAGCGTAAGAACGAGATGATTCGGCATGGACTCGTCCACGATTCACCCGGATATGTTTGCCCATTCTGTCCAGATCAGGAACATAAATATCCAAGGCCGGATAACCTTCAACGGTACGAGCCCCTTCTTCTGCTGCCTCTCTGCTGATATGCTGCGTGACCCTTAAACGTGCAACCATTGAATTGGGGGCTAATGAATAGCAGGCACGTGCGAGTACACCACAGCGAGAGAAACAAAGATGATCCAGCGTTGAGGGAGGTGCTTCTACAGCGACCGGAGGGAGGTCCCCGAGGCCGGCGAAGGCGAACGGGCGGGTAAGTACCGCATTCATACGCCAAACTTGTTCTGTATCGCCGCAACCGAGTCCTAGTCGCTAACAACATCCTCGGAATAACAGCTCGCAAGAACAAGAGGGTCCTTGAACCGCTCTGAGCAAATCGATTCATCGGTGGCCGTCTTCATGATAATGGAAATCTGTGGCCCTCAAATTCTATGCCTAGTCTTCGAAACAACATTAAGGCATCGGTATCATTTCAGAGCTGGTTGCTCATCATGATCTTCCATGCCTTGCGGTTCAAAACGCCGGTCGAAAGCCTGGGGCCATTAGGTACCGCCCTCCGGGCCATCGTCTGTCGAACGTCTGGATCCGATTCATCGCCCAAGGTTCATGGCAGACCGCCTAGTCATAACCCCACTCCTTTTCCCTTTCCTTTGTCCACATCGTTTTTCATTGCATTTAATTCATAACGGATTCACGCCGGAGGGTGGCATTCGGTGTTCTGCGGCGTTCAGAGATGGAGAAGGGCCTATCAGCGCGGGAATGGGAACGGAAATGAAAAGTTAGGTAGGGATGCGCATCGGTAGGGTCGAGCACAAGGCGTCCTTCGTAGAGATCGGGCCGGGCTGGGACGGTGGTAAGGCTCAGTCGAAGGGATCTCACGATTAGGGGCCGGGAAGCCCTACAGGGACGGAGTTTCAAGGACGTGGTTATGGGTTATTATTGAACTTTGATCTGGAGTAGAACGGCGAGTGACGCAGTCTATCGGAACCCGGCGAGGTCCTTGCGAGTGCCTGTGATCTCGGACAGCGTCTGCTTGTATAGAGTTAGTTACGATTACGATTTTCAACTGTTCCGCTGGACATGATGGCTCGTGGCACCCGAGTTTCGTTACGATATGCTTCTTCGGTTCGGCCTTAATGCCAGCTATGGTTACACTACGCTACGTGCCAAATATATCCCCTGACTTGCGCCAACGCCAATCCAGATCTATCGATTGGTGCCTCCAAAAACGTACGGGTTTGGTTGGGATGTATTGTGGCATCAGAGCACCAACCGCCCTGGCTCCTTCTCCAAGATGGCCTTCATCCGCTGCAGAAACGTCTCCCCTCGCTTGAGGTTCGCCTCATCGACTGTGACACTAAACACATTCTCCGCCCCGCGCCCCACACCCGCACTCGGGACCGCCTCTTTCCCCTTTGCCGCCACCCTCCCCGCCAACTCATCAATTATATCCACCGGTCTCTGCGTCCTCCGCCCCGCCGCAAATGGTTCAACCAACACATCCGGCACGAAGTTCCCCCTCTCCCCATGCACGATCTTCTCCGCGCCGATCACCGCATCGAAAAGTTCGTCGGCGGTCGGCGGTGCGCGCTTCCGCGGCAGGCTCTCGTTCGCCAGCTCGACGGCACGCGTGAGGAACGTCGACAGCGGCAGCGTCACACCGAGGGCGTCCTGCAGCTTCTTCTGGCAGGCGAGTACGGCGGCGAGGGAGATGGGGAGGGCGAGCTGGGTGGGTTCCTCGGCAGCAGGTTGGACGTCGGGCGGCGGGGCAGGTGTAGCTTCTTTAATCGGGGCAGGCGCGAGCTTGATGTTGGTGAGGTCCAGGTGGCTGAGTTTGGCGAGCTGTTGGGATTGTTCAGCGGGGCGGGCGGAAGGGATGTGTCCTAGGTAGGCGAGGACGTCGCCTTTAAGGAGGCGGTTGTTGGGGCCGGTGGCGGGGATCTTGGGGATGTCGGAGTCGGGAATGTGGTTGGTGTGGAGGAGTTGGAGGACGGAGGGGAGGAGGGTTGGTTGGGAGGCGGAGGAGGAAGTGTAGGTTCGGAGTTGGCGGAGGGTGGTGCGGAGATGGCGGGTGGGCGGAAACCGCGCCATTGTGGGCGATGGCGGATTCTCGGATTGGGGAGATAGGAGTGAGGAAGGTTAGATTTATGAATTCGAGGTCGTGGAAGGCCGGTGTTGAATATTGAGATGCGAGCGGGCGAATACAAGAAAGTTAATGCCGTTGTTGAGGTCAGTGGATCTCCGAAATGTTGAGATCAACCGAAGTGGCACCGGTGACCCTAATACCTTCATGGACAACGGCCAATTTTTTGATACAGCATGTAGCAAGTACCTTATGAGTACGGTATGAGACTACAATTACACTGTGACCTTGAAGGGTTGAAGCGGAGGTGACATTTGAAGAGTCAATAGGATCATAACGAGGAACTCTCCGATTAGCCCCCCCTAACCCTATTCCTCTCACGCCATCCGATATGTCGTTCATTCGCATTCCCTGCGGTTCGATATCGCGCATCTCAATATCTCGTCTCACATCGAACCCAGCGACATCAATACCGATCCACCAGCTCAAGCGCCAGTTCCTCCCCTCCCAATTCCGACATGCCTCGACCCGAGCCCCCCCATCTGCCCGAAAGCCGCTCCCCAAGCCTGGTTCTCCCAAACGCTCACCCTCTTCACAAACCCCTCCACGCCAACCCTCGAAACCGCCAACGCTCAAATCCACCCCCAAACTCGTCGCTGCGCGCCCACCCACCACCACCCCCCGGGCCTCCGAACCGCTTGTCCTCTACTACTGGCCCCTCTCCCGCAGCTACCGCTTCTGGGCCTGGATGGTCTTCGGCACCGCCACGGTGACGGCCGTCACCCTCGTCTGGTCGGGCGACTACGACCTCGTCGACCACCCGACGCTCTACCTCTCCGTGAACATGATCTTTGGCGTCCTCCTCCTCTTTATCGGCGGAAACTTCCTCTCCAACCCTCGCGCCGTCGCGTCCAAGGTGTCATTCACCAGGGGAGTGCGCGGACAGTCGATTGTGTCGGTCGAGATGCGGCGGATGATCCCGTTTATGAAGCCGTTGGTTGCGGAGGCGGAGTTGAGGGACGTGAGTGTCAATACGCGGTTCGCGGCGACGGCGGAGGATCTGAAAGTGATCAAGGCGTTGCGGGCGGGCGAGGCGGACGGCGCAAGGGTGGCGTCGGCGCCGAGGGGTTCGGGGGTGAAGCGGGCTTTTGCGGACCTGAGGTTGTTGATGGCGGGGTCGCCGGCGGAGCTGAGGATGAGGAAGGGGAGGTTCGGTTTGGCGGAGCATGGACAGTTCTTGGATGGTGGTGAAGGTAAGGGACCGGTTGGGAGAAACGAAGTGTTGCGCGAACCGTACTGACCGTGTGACTTCTAGCGATGGATAAGCTGATCCCTTTGACGACGACGAAGCTTGCGTCACGGAAATAACTGCAAGTATTGAGAAGGGCTAGTGGAGGGTCTCTCATCTCCATGACCTATGGTCTATTGAAGGTGCAAATAGACCGAGTGATTGGGTGTGAAGAACCACGATGGATGGTTTTGCATCCTAACCAAGGGTCGATATGAGTTAAAGTAGCCCAGATGTACCAACAACTGTATTAATTTACTACAAGGTCAAGGTACCTTAGCTTGGATTGTACATGACACCACTGATTGACATTGCTCTCTTGGATTGCCGATGCCTTCCAAGCACTGATTGAAGATTTCATAATTGCCGGCAGAAATATGGTCCATCCGATCATGGAGCAGAAGTGTTATGCAATGAGAAACCAGGAGTGTTAACACTGAAACACCTTGAACAAGATTTCAAACCTAAATTACAGTAACAAACATTTCTCAAAGACATTGATATAACACTGGCATCAATAGAAAGAGAAACAGAAAGGAGAGCAAGACAGTAAGGCGCCAAGGCATCAAAAGTCCATATCACGTGCAGGTCCCAATCATGACTGGGAGAAAACGGCACGTGCTTTCCACTTTCCAGTAGCTAGCAACTTCCCCGGATTTTCAGCCCTACGACGACGATGGCCATCAGGGTCCGATCCGGTTCCTTGCATTTGGAGCTTCATAAGAAAGCTTGAGGTCATCAGGAAAGCGTGTCGCGCCGGCGCGGAACCGCGTCGCGGGGTTTCTGAGGCGGGAAATCCGCTGGCACGAGCTGGAAACGCCTGAAACGGGAAAATTGAAGCCAACCGACAAGTTTCCGATGGATTGGAGGCGTGAATAGGAAATTTCGTCATGGATGGAAAGGAGAATTAAACGGAACCAAAGTCGTGAGAATGCGAAGTCGATTGCAGGATGCGATGGTGATTGGACGGTGAGGAGCAGTTCGGGGGATACCCGGCGGGCGAGGTCGACCATTGGTGCAAGATGTTGATATATCTTGGTGCCTTGATGCCTATGCTGCCTGATGTGTGTGACTGCACCAGCAGGAACTTCAGGTTCTCACTCCCTCCTCAGTCCTCACCCTCCTACCCATTCACCATTCATCACCATCACTCAACGCTTCCTCTCACTCACCTCTCCTTTCGCCATCACCCTCACTCTCTTGCCTTTGGTTTTCAACCTTTTCCTCTGCATCATCGGCGTTTTTATTCCCGAACGATTGCCAACCCAGCATTCACTCGTTAACTGCAACTGCAACCCACGACCAGTCTGCACCCAACGGGGGTCACTCTTTCCCTCACCCTACCGCCTGCCCTCGATAACCACCAACTCCACTGCAACTGCATCCACCACCGCACGCCGATCCCAATCGTCCTATTTCACTTCAGCGTCCCGTTGGAACAACGCTATCTAGTATGTACTTTCAATAATCACTACCCTCCCCCTTCATCCCTTTCGATGCCCTGCAACCCACCTTGTTGTCATCCTATTGTTCATCCGCCATGTTGACCCCATCGTCCCCCCAATACTACCATCGCCCTGCGGCTAACCCCCGTGAAAGCGCATCCATGTCGACGTCGCGACTGAAAAGAAACCTCGAGGAGCTCGAGGCCAATAAGTCGGATCCGGACGACTCGGATTACGACAACCGCGCGAGCAACCCCCAGCGCCGCCGACCCAAGAAATCCTCCCGGTTCTCACAGCCACCCTCCAAACGCCGTCGTCAGTCTTACGGTTCGGATGGAGACGATATAGACGACGACATCGATGATTCCCAGGATGATTTTGGCGCCTCAACCGACGACGAAGACTTCACCACCACTATCACTGGGCGTCGAGTGCGGAAGGCCGCAAAGAACCGTCCCCAAACGTACAAGGAATCCTCGGTATCGGAAGACCCGGACGATATCGAATCGCCTGACGACGAGCTCGACCTCCTTGCCGTCAAACCAAAGGTATCGAAGGCAGCTGGTTCGCCTCAGAAACTCGTCGTAAAGCTACATTTCGAGGAGAAGGAAAAGCTTGCCAGCATGGTTGGACGGACGCGGAGAGGTAGCCGTTCGTCGCGTGCCCAGTCGTCGGCCGAACCGAGGGTGACGCGACGAAGCAGTCGGCTTTCCCACGAACCGGAAGATAGAAGAGCACCTCTGGTAGAGCTCACGAATTCCGGAAGACATGTGCTGGTCGCCGGGTCGAGCCACAGCCCGGAGCCTGTTCGACGGCAGACGAGAGGACGCAAAGGACCCGTCAAAGCCCCCAGTGCCATCATAGAAGTTTCTCAGGAAACATCGAATCTGTCCCACGAATTTGGAGACCAACTGGTAGCTGCGGCCACTCAAGAAAGCGATGCACCTCAAGATGAAAAAGAAGACAATGAAACAGAAGCGGATGACATCATGATGGAAGATGGTTCACGGAAAGTCATTGAGGAATCCGAGCAAGAAGCTCCTTCACAGAATGTCATGGAAGACCAGGCGGAGACCCCCATTCCGAATGACGACGAAGATGACGATGAAGGGCCTGTCACTCGGCGACGTAACCTTCGGGTATGTACTTTATCCCGGTCTACTTCATACATGCACTCTTCCGATGCTAATTGCTATCCAGTCTCGTGCACAAGCGGACGACAAACGGAAGTCCACTCGCCCACGAAGAGGTCGTGGTCAAGAAGAGAGTAGCGATTTTGAGCCCGCCGTTGAAGGTGAAGAAGACGACGCCGTGTTCGAATCGGATTTAGAAGAGGAATCCGCCAAACAGAGTCGCAGAGACGATACATCGAGCCCAGGTGGACGTCGGTCCCAACGCATAGCCAGCAAGAGTCGACGAGAGAGTCTGGGCAGCGAAGACGAAATCGATATGGATGAGCTTCTTGAAGAGGCGCAAGAATTACGACCGAAGCGAGGCCGTGGACGCCGCACGCAGCAGGACTCGACTATCGTGTACGATTCCCAACCGAAGCTTCGAAGTCGCGCCAGCAGAGTCGATTACCGAGTTTTTCGTCCAGAGCTGGTGCAGCAACTCGACGAAGACGGCCCACCTGCCGCTTCCACGCCTAGCCGCGCCCGTCGCGGTGCAGGAGGTAACGGTTACCGCAGTCTCTTCTCGTTAGCCGGGCCTTTCGGAGGAATGAGTGGACCACCACCTCTCTTCGGTGGCCCAGACGGTGTCGGGGCTACAGGAGGAGTCGACTCAGATAGTAGCGACGATGATGGCGGCCAAATCAGACCGCGAGCCGATATTGGCGGAGCCGTGGGCATGACTCCGACTACCGCGCTTGCTCCAAGCCTCTTCCCACAAACGCACAATGCCGATCCTCACCAAGGCGGTGGTGGACATTCTGGTACGCCAGCCAACTTTGGCAAGGTCAAGGACAAGCAAGCCCTCGCCGATGCGGACCCTCTTGGTGTCGATCAGAATGTCACCTTCGACGGCGTGGGAGGTTTGGATGATCATATCAACCAGCTGAAGGAGATGGTCGCCCTTCCTTTGCTCTACCCCGAAGTCTTCCAGCGATTCCATGTAACCCCCCCTCGAGGTGTCCTGTTCCATGGTCCGCCGGGTACCGGTAAGACGTTGCTCGCGCGTGCACTCGCATCGAGCGTCAGCTCCCATGGCCGCAAGGTCACGTTTTACATGCGAAAGGGTGCGGATACTCTCAGCAAGTGGGTCGGTGAAGCGGAACGCCAGCTACGCTTGCTGTTCGAGGAGGCGCGGAAGAACCAGCCGAGCATCATCTTCTTCGATGAAATCGATGGCCTCGCACCCGTCCGCTCGAGCAAGCAGGAGCAGATCCACGCCTCCATCGTTGCCACCCTTTTAGCGTTGATGGATGGTATGGACGGGCGCGGGCAGGTGATCGTCATTGGCGCGACGAATCGACCCGATTCCGTGGACCCGGCGCTTCGACGACCCGGCCGATTTGATCGCGAGTTCTACTTCCCCTTACCCGGCGTGTCGGCGAGACGATCGATCATCGACATCCATACGAAGGGCTGGGAGCCGCCACTTGCACTTGGATTCAAGGACCAGCTCGCTGGCTTGACCAAGGGATATGGCGGTGCGGACCTTCGCGCGCTGTGTACCGAGGCGGCGCTCAACGCGGTGCAAGGCACCTACCCGCAGATCTACCAGTCGAATGAAAAGCTTCACATCGATCCCTCGACGATCAAGGTCCTCGCGAAAGACTTTATGATCTCCGTTAACAAGATGATCCCTTCGTCGGAACGGTCAGCAACGTCCGGTGCTGCCCCCCTACCGAAAGAGGTGGAGCCGTTGCTGAAAGATCAGCTCCAACAGATTTCGGCGCTGATCGACTCAATTGTTCCCCAGAAAAAAAAACTCACCGCACTACAAGAAGCTGAGTATGACGACCGTGAGGACGAAGAAGGATTCGAGAGGGAAATCATGCAGCAGAGTAAGTACGCTATATCATACATTTTGCTCTGGCTAACCTCGTGCAGGTTTCGAAAAAGCTCGAGTCTTCCGCCCCCGACTGCTCATTCGCGGCGGCCATGGAATGGGTCAGAATTACCTAGGCTCTGCTTTACTTAACAAGTTCGAGACGCTCCATGTGCAATCATTCGATCTTGCTACTTTGCTTGAAGATTCCGCTCGAGTAAGTCTTTCGCCGTGCACTTATCCCAGCCAGGAGCTAACCATCACAGTCACCGGAAGCTGCCGTAGTTCAGCTATTCAAAGAAGCGAGACGTCACAAGCCAAGCGTTATTTATGTTCCCAACGTTGATGTTTGGTACGAGACAATGACGCCGTCGGTCATCAAAACGTTCACATCTCTCTTACGAACGCTGCATCCAAACGATCCTGTCCTTGTGTTGGGCATCCTCGAAGCGGGACATGCCGATGAGCGAGCGCAGCTTAACCCGGACATGTTGCGCGATCTGTTCGGCTACTCCCTGAGGAACCAATTCGAACTCGAGCGGCCCGGATTACAGGCTCGTCGCGAATATTTCGATCAATTGATGTCTTACGTGCGCAAGCGGCCGAGCGAATTCCCTGACCCTGAGAACCGAAAGAAGCGGAAGCTGGAGGAACTCAGCGTGGTCCAGGCCCCTGAACGCCCGCAAGGTCCGACGAAGGAGGAGCTCAAGGCGCAGAAGAAGCAAGATCGTCACACCCTCAACCTTTTGAAGCTGCATATCCAACCCGTCATGGACCAGATTCGGACGAAGTACAAGAAGTTTCGAACGCCCGTCATCGACGATACCTTGATCCAATATCTGTACGACGAAGCAGACCCCAGCGTCATCGTGTCTGATCTACCTCGGGAAGAACGGATGATGCTCCGACCGTTTGAGATGGCGAAAGACAAACATGGTGTTCACGGTCTGCAAGAGGTTGCAACTGGCAAATTCTTCTATAATGTCGATGTTGTCATGATCGAGAAACGACTATCCAACGGCTACTACAAGCGGCCCAAAGACTTCCTGGCCGACATCAAGCGACTCGCGAAGGATGCTCGCAACAGCGGAGACGTGGAGCGGACGTTGAAGGCGAATGAGTTGCTTTCCAACGTCGAGGTTGATATGGAGATGATCGAAAAAGCAAATCCAGCGCTGGTCGCGGAGTCCGAGGCGGTTTATGCCCGTGAGCAAGCCCGCCAGCAGCAAGCTGAGAGGGATGCGCAAGCCGAAAAGGAAGCACAGGGCCCGCAAGTCCCGTCGACAAACACGCCACCGAACATATCTATCACCACGACCACCGAAACGACCGGTCCAGTCCATCTTGGAGAGCCGGTGCCAGGAAAGGACCTGCCCCCTGTTCCTCCCTACCCGCAGTCCCTCTCGAATGGCGATGGCTCCCATAGCCATGGACAAAGTAACGGGTCGACCGTGCCATCCCGACTTGGCGAAGATACTCAGATGAGCGGGACGGATGACTTGAGCGGCCCAACACATGCTGCCGAGCCACCCTCTCAGTCGTACACCCCGCAACGGACCCTGGAGAAACGATGGCAGCGATCCGCCATGGAGAAGATGCCGCCGAACTCCCAGCCGGAAGACTTCCACAACAGCGCGTCAACCACGACATCGGGACAGAAGACGACAGACCACTCGCAGTCGAATCGGTCGTCGGACCGATCGCAATTCGAGAAAAATACCCAGAGTTCCAACGGAGCTAGCATGGTCTATCCGGATTTCTCCGCTCTGCCAAACTCGCTTGCGTCCGGTGCGTCGCAGCTTCCCGACACACAAGGTATGTCCCTTCCACCTCACCAACCAGGTGACCACGCCATTGTCAAAGTAACTTTGCTAATTGAGATACGCGCAGAGGATCGATATACGAGCAGTGATCCATCGCAACAACACGAAATCTCCTCGCAACCTGGCCCTCGCTCCGACCCGACAAACATCACCTCCCTCCTCAATGGCCCAGGCGATGAGAGCATGCCGGCACCCCAGCAGCCGCTAGTGCTCGACGAGAAGTTCCTCGAGCAGCTGCACTCGGAGCTCGTCGACCGCTCCTCGGGGCTGTCGGTCGAGCAGCTGGAGCAGGTGAACGCTGCGCTCATGAACACCATCTGGAAGACGAAGCGGTACTGGAACCGCAACAAGGTGATCAAGGACCTGCAGGACCAGTACAACCTGGTGATCCAGGACATCGAGGAGATTCAGTTCATCGCGAACCCGAGCCAGGCGAACCAACGGAAGGGTCCGTCGCAGGTGCCCTGAGCCTTGAGATTGCAGACATACTTTAAGTCATCATAGATATGCGATGCATCATCTTATTTCGGTTTGTTTGGGAGATGATGACATGTTGGATCGTGATATCGCATGTCACTCATGGTGGGGAATGCCGTAGACCTTCCCAGGCGAACCTGCGTAGCATATGAGGGCTATTATCCGGTTCATAGATGGGGTCATGACAGACAGACGACGCGGCCGAGACATTGTACCACTTGAATACATCATGAGCGTTACCGGAGCCAGTGGCGAGCAAAATCAATTACCTCCAATAATGATATCAACGTTTCCCAGCCTCTCGCAGTTTATCGAAGTCCCATTGTCGCACAGTTTTCCGCCCATCACCTATCCTCCCTTCTACCAGCCTCGCCGAGAATTAATCAAAGTCAACTCGGCCACCAGATTCTTGCCGGCCTGCGCAATCATCCTGCAGCCAACATATACCAAGCCCAAACGGACTCCGATTGAAGGGATTGACATCGCACGCGCACGTCACGCGTGCGGCACCGTAGCACCATGGCACCTTTGACGCAAGCACCCACCTCGAGAAAAATCGCAGGCCAACAATGAAGATATTACATATTCGAAATCCCATTGTTGATTCGCTGGGTGCAGGTGCTGTGGTCGTACAAACAGTCCTCTCCAGATCCTCCATTTGACTTTGCGTCGGAAGGCGGAGTGGGGTGCCGTCCTAAAACGCGTGGCCTCGCAGCATTTGGCAGATGCACATCGTTTTGACAGGCCGTAATGTACAGACGAAGGACCTGTCCGTCAAGGAACATTAGTGCATCTCACATTCAGTACCCCGTAAACTATTCAGGATGTCATCTTCAAGATTCCAGCCACCACAAGCGGCGCTAGTCGAGCAGACGACTCCCGTTTCTCCACGCAATGGCGATCCTCCCAAGTCCCCGCTCGTTTCACCTCCTAAGATCTTCGTTCTATTCAAACCCGTTCCCAGTACCTTCGCCCAGGTCTCCTGGTACGGGAAACTGGCGAATTGAAAGGTTTGATCTCCTCCTTCAGCCTCAGTCATCGTCTCCTACGCGTCGGTTGCCCCCTTCCAGTCCGTACCACTGGTCCTGGGGCGGGCGGGAGGAATCTCTCCAGAACTGTCCGATTTAAGACTCTGGTTCTCTCGGGCTGACGACGACTCTTGACCTGGGGCGAGGGGTGGCGGCCTGAAGTGAATTCTGATTGATCGGGGGTAAGAAAGATAGTATTTAGGTGGTAGAGTCCGCTTGCGATGGAGCTGGTGAGGAAAGTGGCATAAGTTCATTGTCGAGTTTCTTTATAGGCTGCCAGCTACTTATATCATTACTCGCATAGTCATTGGATTTCCTGTTCATCCTCGTTATTCAATTCTAGTCTTGTGTGTCTGACTTACCCATCGTCAACAGCATGAAGAGGTTCTCCGTTCTTGTCGCTGCGGCGATTCTGCCCAGTGCTCTGGCCCAACAGTGGTCTTGCTTGGTGAGCCTTTCGCCATGATAAAGCTGCGGAAGAAAGTCTAACGAAGGTCTTCAAAGTCCACTTGTACCGAAGACGTCGATTGGAACGACCGAGACGACTGGAGGGGTCGCGGATCGGGGGCTTTCTGTGGTGATGATGATTTCATTGAAGATCTCACCGAATGCATCGCCACATCCAAATGCAGCGACGCGGACAAGTCTAGTATGTCTTCCTTATATCTCTCTTTATTCACGGAGGTAACTAATCATACCCCAAGCTCTGTATCAGACCATCGCGCAAGGGTGTGCCAACAACGGCGTCTTCCTGCCGCAACCGCAATACGCGTCGATTTCCGCAACCTCCGGAGCCCCATGGCCAACAGCCGCATGGTCTTCCCTCGCCGATAACTGGGCGTCAGGCTGGACCACCAAGACCGGCGCTCCCTTCCCGGGTGTCACCGGCAAGCCAAGCGGCGGTGCGCCGTGGGGCGGTCCGGGCCACTGGGGCGGAGAATGGGGACCCTTCCTCAGCGGCGCATGGGGCCCATTCCGCAACGATGGCAGCTGGACGACCGGCGCGTGGACGTCGTGGTGGAACGGCACGGCTTGCCCGTCGCCGGACTGGGCCGGCTGGACGGAGGGACCGTGGACGACGAACGCGGAGTGGACGACGTGGACGGACTGCATCGCCACGACCACGGCGACGAGCGTGGTGACGACCACGAGCGGAAGTGCCGTGGATACTAGCACCAGCTTTGGAGTGCGAGTCGCGCAGGCTGTCAGCACCGATACTAGCGGTTCAGGTCTCTCGGTCACCGACGCGACACCGACTGGGGGGGCGGCAGGACGAACTCGTGCTGCTGGTGGGTTGGCCGTCGCAGCACTTGGAGCTATAGTGCTGTTGTAGTTGTCACATCGCCCGTGGTCAATTGGTGGCCCTTGGATAGTAATGATGGGCGTAATTCTGTTGAATGGTTTTGGTATCGGGACTGGCGTCAGGCGGGAAAGCTCCACGGTACACAGATTGGGATCCTTCCTAGAGCGGTATATGGCATATGCGACACTATTTTTCATACATAATGATTTTATTGGCTATATGCAATTATGATCTCTCGAAACTCTTCAACGATTTCCGCATCAGTCTACTCAAGGCACGTGACTGATACCCATACTTGAGAAATGACTTCATCGTTGATACATATTTGCCAAATATATCTATTTGAGTAAAACCCAGAGACGAAATTTAACCAAGATGGAGCATCAATCCGACGTTAAGCTCCCCCGGATTGTAATCACATACTGCACGCAATGCCGCTGGATGCTACGAGCCGGTTATGTAGGTCAGCCAAATGCACGACTAAGGTATCCCATCTCTGACGACCTCAGTTTGCCCAAGAGCTCTTAACAACGTTCCAAACCACAATTGGCGAAATTTCTCTGGTGCCTGCCATGGGAGGGTTATTCACTGTTGAACTGGTCAGTTTCAGATTTAGCCTCCGTGGCGAGGCTCAGCTAGCATCGCTGGACCATGCGAATACGAGAGATGCTTACCGGAGGAGCAGACATATCTCCCTTCCTCGAAAGTCAACAATGATAATATACCTTCAGATGCCCCAAGGAAAGTACTGATATGGGATCGCAAATCGGAAGGCGGCTTTCCTGGTTCGTTCTCGCGATCTGTCACGATCTTCCCATTGAACCTGCATATATTGAAGGGTTTGCCTAACTGAGCTTCTCCAGAGACTAAAGTCCTAAAGCAACTGGTCAGGAACCATATCGACCCGGACAAGAACCTAGGCCATTCGGACAAGAAGGGTCACTCGGCCAAAAGTACTGAGTCTACTAGCACTGGCACGACAGCAGACACAGGCGCCACTAAGCCCAGTGACGACGTAAAAGACACCGGTTCGAGTGGACAGAAGGATTGTGAAGATTGCAGATGAGGATCACGATTTTAGTTCGGTCGATTGTGGGTGGGACGGTCGATGTGAGATGGTCTCCCTTCAGAGCCCCTGATGTGCAGCATGGACGGTGGGGCATCTGTGGAGGGAACGAGACTGGATCAGATTTCCGTCTCGATAAACTAACTGCCTATGACTTTTTAATCCTGTACAAAGAATGTAGCTTATGAAATCCGATCAGGGAACGATATGCCAAAGGAAGGGGGGTATCTTGAACAATCTTAGCATCCAACCGTAGTTCGATCAGCCCTTGGATTATCCGTACCAAACTCCAAATGAGGGACGAAAGCAGGTCTGCCAGAGACCTGGTGGACTTTATTGAGCCACATATAGTAGCCATATTAACATGGCAAAGGAACGACGTTTCCCGTTCCGTCAACGGAGTGTCCGCGTTCGCCTGGTAGCCAAGCCTGGCAGCATAAGAAAATAACCATGAGACGCCATCGATAAGCCAAGTTTCGGCATCGTAGATGTCAATTTTTGCGGTTAGCCCCGTGCCTCTGCGCTCGCCTTTAACGCGTCGAAGATATCAATGCTACGCGGGTGACGGACCCTTGGTTGACCACCAAGTGATACTGATCGACGGATAATGATCGGCACGTGCTTCGCTCTAATGCCATCCGACCACTGCACACGATTGTTTCCGCGGTCCCTCCACCCCTCACCTCCACTCACAGTTCCAGGACGCTCCATACTTTCTACGCTGCCCGCTGAATCGGATCTTGATACCCCGCCACTGCTCCAAACCGGAGTATCAACGGTCCCAATGGAACTGCCACTAGGAGTGGCGGGAGCGAGCTCAATCACGGCCATGGATTCAGTAATGAGGAAACTCTCAAGATCTTGTGTCCCAAATGTGGGTGTGCGGGGTTTGACGAGGAGTGGCAGACCATCTTCCCGAGTGGAGGAAGAATGGGGGTGGAGATGAAGGGGGGAGGCCTTTCGACGGACAGACTTGGCGCCTTGGACCTCAGGGTGGTCTGTCCCTTCTTGGGAGGTCTCAGCATCCATAGTTGGCCCAGATATCTGGATATCGGCCGCAGGAGCTGAAGCTGGGTCGTTCAATGGGGCCAGGTCAGGCGCGCTGCCTGACGGCTCAGAGACGATAGCGGGATTTAATCCATTTCCGTAGCCGTGTACGATAATCTCGCAGAAAGCTGGATGAGTGGGCTTCGCCGCTACGACGCTCCCACGGCGTGACGAGAATGGAGAGAGTGCCTTGATAGAGCGGATCGAGGAGCTGCGGAGGATATCCCTAGCGGATGTTGCGCTGCTGGGTCGACTCTTACCGGAATCCACGTTTGTGTTGATGCGAAGGGGAGCGGGTATTTCGACGTCTTGGATGACACCATTGCTCTGGTTCCTGAAGTTGAAGTAGTCAGTCTCGCAGTCCGGATGGATGGACAGCGTTGGCGAAGCAGACCTGGGTGGCTCCTCCTGGAAAAGGACCTCGGGTGTGGGGGGTTGGCTTCCAGTGCCGTTGCGCAGCTCGTCGGCCATCACCAGGCTAGGGTTCTTCTCGTCTTCCCACGGTGGAACGCCCGCAAGTGGGCAACAAAGCGGATACGCGGAATCTTCCGTGTTTCGAACTGCATCTGGTGCCCCAATCACGGACACCAGCATTTGTAGCACCGCATATACCACAATCCACCGCACTTTTCGTGCGTCGACCACCGAGACCTTTTCGTCTGTCCCGAGCTCGCAGTCGGACTCAAAAGAAGCGTATGCCCGTACCAATGGAGCCTCGGTGACGCTGGCGTCGCCGCAGTTTGTTGCCTTACGTAGCGCCGCTTGGACTGCCCGTACCCTGGTGTTTCGTGCTTGTTTGGTCCCAATTCTGAGGCTCTGCAAGGCGCGCTGTGACTGCGAACGCACAGGGGCATCATTTAGCTCAGGAAGCAAAGGAAGGGGATGACGAAGGGTTGTATGGTGGTGCCGCTTGTCGAAGGCGCGGACATTCTGTAGAACGCAAATACCACCATTGGCAGGCTTATCAATAATAAGGTCGTTGGTCGAATCCAAATCGACGAGGTAGTCATGTAGATTCGCAAAATCGAAGTAAATCGAGCGGTAGAGCGCCTTTGGAAAGGATGTATTCTCCACAGGAGGCCAGTAGCCGAACTTTTCGACGTAAAATTGATAGAGGAAGGACCGAAAGCGATCGAGGTGAGCCCGCGCACCGTTGGAAAGACCGAGATAGGTGCTAGAAAGTTCATCTTCAAGAAAAGTTCGTAGGGCGCTCTGAATTCGGGTGAGGTGCACGTCCATTTCAAGGTATGCGCGCGTGACGAGGGCCTTGGTGACGTGGGATATTGGGTGGAATTCCGGGGAGATGTCGAGATTCTCATTCATGCCGACACAGTGAGCGAAGGCCTCGATATAGAGGTGGGATATCTGGTGTCGCTCGGCGAAGAAGAGGGCCGCGAGAGCATGATCCGGACAATTGACAAAATCGAAATAGCCTAGACCCTCAAGATATTCCAAGAAATCCACTTGGTTATTCGGATGCCCGGTTCGGTACAGCTTAACGCGCTCGTAGAGTGCAGCGGCCGTGTTGCCCAAGCGAATGCCGACCAACGGCCTTCCAAATAAGAAGGCAAAGAAATTGCGGGTGGTGATGTGCCAGAGTAATGCGTCTGTTCGCATCGAATCCTCAGGGGCGGGGATATATATCTCATAGATCTCCCTCTCCCGCAGGGGATTCATCGCTGTTGCATCTTTCACTAACTGGGCGGGACAAATGGTGAGCAATGAGTCACATTGTGAATCTTGCAGAGCACGCAGGGGGATACAGAAAGAAGGGCCTCGCCGGGAGTGTCCCTTAGCATAGAGATAGATCAGGCAATTGCCCTTAGGAAACCATAATTCTGAGTCCTAGTCGATATTAGCATGAGCGGAAGAGACTGATGCTGGGAAGGGTGAGAAGGTTGGAAGTCGTAATGCTTACCTTCCTCAATCCATCCCAAGAACATGCTGTCTTCGAAATTCCGTCCCACCGACGCACTTCGTCTTTCTTTGTGGGGTTCAGGGCTCCTGTAAGTAGAGGTTTTCGCCTGCTGATTCCCATATAGACGCTCCGGTTCATTCTCCTCGAGTTGGGCCCTCTCTCAATCGATTCCCTCAGCTGAGGGTCCATCATATCTAGAAGCTGCTTCCTTGTGGGACTTGGGGCACGTGTTGTAGGTGCCGAAAGGGACATCGGCACAGCGAACAACTTCGTGCCCGAGGGCATGCTGCCCCCACAGTATGAGTCCCTTCGCGTGGCTTTCCCTGGTTTCTGCGAAGACATCGTCGTCTCAAGCGAAGGGAACCAAGAAAACCGGTTGGCGTTGTTCCATGATTTCGAAGAGGTCCTGCCCGGTACTCGAATATTCGGCGGCTCGAGCCGATCATCTCCAACCGCCATGATGTAAGGATAATTCGGAGATTTTACCCTGCTGCTGCCTCGAGTCCAGTTCCAACTGATTGTATTCCCTTCAAGGGCGGATGAGACCAGCTCGATCTGGCAGATTGGTGATATATAAGATCCTGACTTGCAGGGAAACTGTGGAGGTCTCCGTTCCACAGCAATCGCCGCTGAATTGAAAGATCTTGCTCAAACAAGTATTTGTATTTTGTAAGGTTCATGAAAGAACTAGAAATGAAGACGTAAGAGGGAATATAAGTGGGTAGACAGCAAAGGCGTCGATCTGTATTTTGTCCTGGCGTCTGCTACAACATGCAGTGGCTTCTCAACCACAAAGAAGACCATCGAAGCATGACAACATCAAGGATCAAGGAGCTGCAAGAAGCTCAACAGGGTGCAGATTGATGCAGATGCACAACTGTCCAGCGCTGAAAAGTGAAAAGACTCTCGTCTTGTCCATCAGGGTCTGAGCGCCCAGCTAGAGGCGAAGTGAGAGGCGCGTTCGGACGCGATGATTCGAGAGCCGCGCGTGGATCGCTGGCTGGTTTGGGTTGGCGCGATAACGCGGCGAGTACCTGGATTTTACATTTTTACAGGCCCTCTAACCAAGGATATGGTTGCTCTCTCGTCTCCATTGTCCTCTTCTCTCCGGATCTTGGGGATGAGCTCGAATGGAAAGCGTCCCGCAATGCCGCAGCGTCACGTACTGCAAAACACCAAACCAACAGACGAAGATCCGTGGAGACGTGTCACCTAGCGTACGTCAGCCCCCCCATCTCGCAAGGTCAGTTGCCAGCAATTGTCCTTGTGTACCAGAGCGGTTTTCGTATCTCAATTCTGGATTCGAATAGTGGAGTCTAGAGCAGCTGGTTTGAGGAGACGTCAACAACTCAACATGAACCCTTGACAGATCACAGCTAGCTTCGGCCCTGTTCCCTGCAACCCTCTGTCATTCGGGATTCCTGGACACTCAAAATTCAGATACAGGCATGGCATCAATCACCCTAGAGATTATGAGCCTCGTTTGGTAGGTATTTGCTTTCAGTATTCGCTGGGAGCTGGCAGGAGAGTCTGGAGAATGCACCAGATCTCGGTGTCCCCACCACAATGTCCGCGATTTACACCACTAGGATAGCAAGCAACAATTTCTGAATTCTCTCCTCACCATGACACGGTAGGATTCCAAAGTCTCTCCACTTGGGCTGCTCGATAGTCACTGCACTAACATAGTACTGATAGCTCCCCCACAATGTTGATCATGCTTGAGACGATTGCAGCTGCAGGAAATGGATTCTGAGCCTGTGCGACGATGCACCGCTGGCTACCCCAGCATTCATCTTCCAGCGACCGTGAGCTGGCCAGGTCAAGATCCTTTGCTAAGTCCAGGTCCGAGGTGATCATGTGAGGTTGTTGTAGCGGGCAAAAGAGAAAGCTTCTGGGTGTTGCTTCTCATCTTTTACCTGAGCCCGTTTACAAAGAGCCGAATCGGAACGAAACTGAAACGGCTGATAAAAGCCAATGTGGACGCCCGGGACGGGACGTATGGCTATGATTCGCCTTGACATCTCTCTCTTCAGTCAGCACCCAGCAGCTTCATCATACGTAAGCTTCTCTAGCATCAGCGAATTGGCATGCCAAAAGGGAACAGGCGCCTGATTTATCCCACGATCGGAAAATGGATTAGAGGTGATGGTTGAAATGGAGTGCAGTCGGATATGTAGTGTAGATCTCGGGAGAGTGGTGGGGGTCCGGCACTGGTCAAGAGTCGCCGGGTCCCGAAGAATGGGACGACGGGAAGATGGCACATCACGCATCGATTTGAGGTTTCTTTCACCACACCAAACTGGACTCGTTGATAGACTCGAACATCGTCCTGGATGGAAATTTCTGGTAACCCCAGCCTCACCATGAAGGTATTACGTGTACGCCATCCCTAAGGAAGAACTCGGTTCAAACATCATCCGGCTCTGTCCTCGACCTGAATTCCGATAGGTAGCGAGTGGATCTTATGAACGGAAGCGACTCAAGGCTCTCACTCCCAGAGATTCGGCACTGAGGTTGCACAAAATCCGTCTTTATCGGAAGTGTCACCACAGATCTGGTGATACCTACAGAGGACGCACCGGTCGGGATAAGAGGACACGGTTATGATTTATGATACAAGTGGACGGTGAGAAGAGGGACTTCATGGTTGGATGTTGGGTTCCACTGGCGGGACTGAATTATCTGCATTTATTTGCTTCTTATTCTTCGTCTCTCTCTTCTCGTCTCGCTTTTGCCTATCCTACATCCCCGTCGGCAAGCGCCGTTGTGATTTCCAGTCTAGCACTCTACTTTTCGACCCAGCAACGCACACTCCTTGTGAAGTTTTCGAAGTTGACAGGAAATCTAAGCACACTCTCCCGTTCGATGGTCGCGGGATGGGGATCGAATCTCTAATCGTCTAGTCTTCAGTTGAGTTAGACGAGTCCACAACGCTCCTGCTGTGCGAAGACTTGGTCATGACCACAACATCCCGCCACATAACTCGACCCGTCCAACGCTATAGAAAATCTCACTGGCCCACCTCCACGATTCCTCCCGCCGAATCCTGGATCTGCTCCACCATCGCTGGCCACTGAATCGGAACTGGAACGTCCAATAGATAGAGCACCATGTACCCAACGCTAGACAACCGATGACGGATGCCGACGCTCGAAAACATGTCGGCGAGAGAGGAACGGTACGGCGATTTCGCTGACGCATCCAAGAGAGAGTGGGAGACGATGGTGAACCGCATGGTGGAGGTGGGAGGTATCGCTCTGTTCGAGGGTACATTGTCACCCAGCGTGGAAACTCGATTTTCATCAATCGATGCATCATGTTATATGTATGCTTGTTAGATCAGTTGAATGGCCTGGTTGTGGAGCCATTATGTAGATGGTCAATTCACATTCCAGCGCGTTCCTTGGAACGCGTGGGCGCTGAAATTGCAACAGAATGTCAGTCCCATTCTTGCTAGGAGATCTTGCGGTCAGGAACAGCCCTTATCATTCCAGGTGCCAGATATTCAGAAAAAGTTTGAAATTCTTTCTTGCATGTCCTACCATATCTCATCTTCTATACACAATGGGTGATGAGCCGAGCATCTCTCAACCGTGAGCTGTACCGATCTCTACTCTACGCATTTCCCCTTGCACCAGAGGCACAAGTCCGGCAACAAGGTCTGACTGCACGATTGTCCTGACACGTTCCATTTTCTGTTATATCCTCCAGTATTTCCTGGTCCGAGACATGCCGGTGCCTTTATTTCTTACCACGACATTACCTGAAGGATGCCTCGTGATACAGATGCATCCAATTTAGCGCGCCAGGATCGGACTTCTCGCATACGCATTGATTCAACCTCCTGTTACACCTCTCCGCCATCATCATTTGCACCGCTCACCAGTTCCAGCCGTTGTCCAAGCTGTCTCTCCATCGAATCATCGATGTGTCTATATAATATTCCTTTCCGCCACGTGTGGCTTGATCCTACGAACTACCAGGTCATCAATCACCCGCACTTGGATCGATAGAAGCCGGTTGGTGTGCCTCGCCACATATATGATATGGATTAGGAGGTCTCCACCACTTCGCGATGCTTTAGCCTACAGTATACTGGTGATTCGAGGTAAACAACGGACTGAAATCGGATTCCGCTACTGCATTCTGACGGTGTCACCCGCTCCATCTACACCGCGGATTGTGGGATATAAGGGGTCCTAGAGAGACACGGGCAAGATCCTGCCTCGATGGTCAGTATCATCGGATGGATAGGAGCTGGCAATGATGCCGGACTCTAGAGATGAGATGGATCAGTTGATGGGAGTGTGTCCTTGAGTGCAAGCGGTCGAGCCTTCCTAGTGAGCTTTGTCTACTTCCTCGGCCCCTAAGGTATTGAACCCAATCGTATATAAGTAAGGTATGGTTTTGCAGCCAGAGTTTATACTCGTGTCGCTGATCATTCTCACGAAATCTACTCAGAGTCTTTACCCCTTCATATTTGCTTAGTGTATCCCATACTTGATTTATATGCTTCTCCTCCTGGATTGGATCTAGTCGATTAGCTTTGGATCACACAGGCCTTGTCCTTTTCAAACATTTGGCAATGGCGTCACTCAATATCGCCCTCTGCAACAATTCGTCATCCCCTATCGTCTTTGCGTATATCACCGGCCGCGCTATTGACAGGGACAACGCAGTCTTCCTACTCCAATCCGACGGCAAGACCGCCTACTATCCCAAATCGCCATCTTCCAACGGCAGCAAGCTCGCAGCCGACTGCGCCATCCGTCTTGGCGGCCCCGGCGCTTCCCGAACCGTGACGATTCCCCATCTGGCAGGAGCACGCATCTGGTTCTCCCTCGACCAGCCCCTAACCTTCCTCCTGAACCCCGGCCCAGGCCTCGTCGAGCCCTCCGCCACCAACCCCTCCGACCCCAACATCCACCTCGCCTGGGGCTTCTGCGAGTTCACCTGGAACGATGCCCAGATGTTCGCGAACATCTCATCCGTCGACTTCGTAAGTCTCCCCATCGCGCTGGAGCTCGAGTCCACCGCCGGGACGGTCCAGCGCATCGGCGGCCTCTATCCGAACGCCCTGGCACGCGTCTGCGAGGCGCTGCGGGAACAGAGTCGCCGCGAGGGAAATCCGCGCTGGTCGTCACTCATTTTCCGCGCCAATGGCCGCGATGTGCGCGCGCTGTCGCCGAACAACGGACATGTCATGAACCCGAAGCTCTTCGCCGGATTCTACGACCCGTATGTGTCCCGCGTGTGGGAGCACTATCGCAACAAGGACCTCGCCGTCGACACGCAGGCGGTATGGGGGATTGTCTCCGGCCGGGTCGTGAACGATCAACTCCGGATCGCGGGGCAGTCATTCGATCGACCCAGCACCAAGGACATCTTCAGCTGTAGCGACGGGCCGTTCGGTGGACCATTACACGGGGTACGGGCGGCGCTGGTTCCACGCATCGCGGCCGCGTTCAATCGGTCCACGTTGATGAACAACGATGGGTTGGAACCTAGCCGGAAGGGGACGAGGAGTTACTATTCTGGGGGGATCACCAACCATTATGCGCGGATCGTGCATGAGAACGAAACGGATGGAAGGGGGTATGCGTTTCCGTATGATGATGTGAACCCGACGGGAGGAGTCGATCGGTCCGGGTCGGTGTCCGATGGGTCTCCGAGACTGTTGACGGTAACGGTTAGGGGTAGTGGATCCGGGAAGTTGGCAGCGATACCTGGAAAGCTGTGATGATGATATGAATGTAAGTCATATTCTTGTGGTGCCTTTGAAGTCCATTGGAGGAACAGAATGGCTCGTTCAGTTGGATGATCTCCTTGGACCTTGAACTATTTTGATATACGGTACGCTCGCTCAATGTATGACCATGTAATATGCCAGTGGCACTTCTCATTTATGTGTTCTCATCTGAATGATATCAGATATGTTTATCTTTCTCCGTTCATTCGGTGCGTGTTGGTATAGCGCCAACCCCGTCCACTAGACAATTCGACTCCTCGATGCAGGGTTGTCGTCGTCGTGAACCGGGAAAGGATGCGGAACCGCCAGGATTTCGCGGTTCGACCAGTGGAGCTTAGACTGTTTGGTTGTGATCCGCCACCAACGAATGAAAAGAGTGGAAATGCGGAAATGCCATCTCCCCCACCAAAATCCTGCACTCGACTGTTCCCGTCACGGAACTTTATCACTTTCGTCTCCAACTCCTCTTCTCGACATCTTATTCCTATCAATTGCTCATTTAACTTCCCTCTTACCACTTATTCGATTGACCCAAATGCATTCTTTCCCCCGCCATGAACACCCCAGCCTCGACTTCGCCGCCGAAAGGCATCATCAGATCGCATAAACGCACCCATTCCAACATCTCCATCGCCAGCTCTCCCCGCAAGGAGCAGTTCCCCCGGCCCATCCTCCGTCGCCGCATCCTCTCCCCTCCAACCGACTCCGAAACCGACTCCGAAACCGACGCCTCCTCCCTCCCCTCCCCCTCCATGTCCAGCGAGCCCTCCACCTCCGCAGAGTCAGCATCGCTATCGACCGGGAAAGACTCGTCCCATGGAACGCACATCACCGATGTCGACTCGAGCAGTGGGCTGACCGACTCCGCTTCCGAGAGCCCGTCGGAAACGGACTATGAGGAGTTCGAAAAAGCGCCGAAACCCGCGCCCGCGAAAAAGTGGTTGGACGGAACCCTCAGCGATAGCTTGAGTGACAGCGACAGCGACACCGACTCGGACAGCGGGAGCGACGAAAGCTCCGTAATCTCCGTGGTCCCTCGCGATCGCAGACCGCGAATGCGACTCGACGAGGCGGCACTGGCGGCCGGCGATTCCGGACAGGTCGTCCCGCTCTCCGTGCGGCTCCGAGAATTCCTGCCGCAGCTGGCGGCAGCGAACCAGGCGCTAGAGACAGACCGGAAGGCCGGGAATGTGTCGGCGCTGTCCATGGAGAGTGACTTCGAGGACGGGGTGCAGTATATCGAAATGGTAAGTCGAGAACGTATCGTGGAATTTTCCGTGGGTGTTAACCGCTGGGCAGGATCTCGGACTGGGAGTTCTGGAGGAACGGGATCCCGACATGACGAGCAGTAGTAGCGAGAGCAGCGACGACGAGGATGACGTGGCCGACGATGCGCCGACCGAGCCGCGATACAAGGAGAATGCGATGGAGAAGTTGATGGGACAAAAGCCGGCGGCTGCCGGACCCAAGATCGAAGAAGTTTGAACTTGATGAGATACGATTCACGACGCTTTCCTATTTTAAAAGACTGTTCAAGAGGATCGCTTCCTCGATCTAACTCATGATCATGTACTACTTGGGACTCCATGTTGGGAGTCACGGGTGGTCGTCCTGTCCTTCCATGGTTTGGATGTTGCAATGGCGGTGTCACATCAGGAGGTTCTCACGTTGAAAGATACCCCAGCGTTCATTTGGGTGGTTCGTTTGAATGCCGCTAATTAGTAAATCCATTTTCCTGTTCTCTCGTCGACAATGAAGAGTCTATTGCACGGTCTTAACTTTGTACAATTACAGGCCCAGCCGGTCCTTCACCAACGCAGAAACCGATTTTTCCGGTAGTAGCCTCGAACTCCATGAACGATGCAGAAAATCCACGATCGGCGATAGGGCCGCTCTATGATATCTCCATGACTTTACATTGCCATCCCGACTCCTTGGCGAGTAAGGGTAAACTAGGACGACGTTAGCATGAAGGATCGAGGATCACCACGACGGAAGAGACACATACCTAGCACCTAGACACCATCCCAATTCCTTCCCCTTCACCTTCTTCGCAATGCGCACCTCCCGGTCAATGGGCATCTCGTATCCCGAATGCAGCAGCGCGACCATGAAGTTCAAATCCAGACAAAACTCTGGCTTCTTCTTCAACTCCTTCACCGCGTCCTCCACCGCGTAGAACACGTCCCACTCGCTCTCCCCATGGCACACCCGCTCCGTCACCTCCTTCAGCTCGCGGATGCTGAAGTTCTCCGGCATGCCCAGCACGCGCGTGCGGTCGTAGAAGTACGAGAACAAGTAGATGTCCTCCGTCGCGAACGTCTCCTCTAGCGACGGCTGGTACACCCCCTTGAACGCGCACGGCATCAGCTTGCACTCCGCTTCTTTCTCGAGCGTCGCCTCGGCGATCGCGCGGCATTGCGCAGGCGCACCGGCGTGCGGGCCCTTCATCGTGACGTTCTTCTTCTCGCCGTAGGGCTGCTCGAAGTCCAGCGCCACCTCGACGATCTCCTCCATGCCGGGGGCGATGCAGGGGTTGATGATCGGACTGGCCAGCCATGTGTGGTCCTCGCCGTTCTTCGCGTGGACGGAGCTGATGACCGCTTGGTGGATGTTGCCGCGTGCCGCCATGAGCCCGTATCCCAGGTACGAGTGTTGATATAGCAGGTATTCGTGCCCGCCAAAATTCAGGCTGTACTTGTGGTCGCCTTCGGGGAGGGTGTCGGAGACGTTGAACGTCGGTTCGAACACAATCTGCGTCGACCCGCCGCCCAGATCGAAGACGGCGGCGGTGGAATGTTTCGCGGGTCCGCCGATCCTACCGAGGAGATAATTGACCGTGATCCATGCGAATACGCCCTCGTCCTCGCCCGGCATTACTTCCACTCCGCCATTGTCCTTGGAGACCACCGGGAAGGGATATTTCGATTCCAACCGCGTGCGAACCTCCTCGAGAATCTGGTCGCTCATCTCCTCGCCTAGCTTCCGCAAACCCGCAGTTGCCTTGACAGAAATCGGTGTGCATGGCTTGAGTTTGTCTGGGACGTTTTTCATCGCCACCTCCATCAAGACGTCCAAACTCGCCGCCGCCGCGTCGGCATTGGGTGCGTGGGAACTGAGACCCGAGCCGCCTTTGCGCGGCTCCGTCTGCTCGAAAATTTCATCCTCGAGTTCCGGCGTCTCGTTGCAGTTGTTGAATCGGTAGACGTGGATTCGGGATCCGGTGCTACCGGCGTCGATCATCAGTGCATACTGGACGATGGGCTTCTGCGGAGAGGAGGATTTCGTGCATTTTGAAGTGCCCACGGAGGGATCTGAGGCCACGTCTCCTTGCTGCCCGTGGAAAGGCGCATGATCTATAAACGACAAGTCAGTCCTGATTCTGTACAACAGCTCTCTATTCCATTCTCGGGTCTCCGAACCTTCCACATATTTCCCAACCCTGTGCCTCTCACTCGGGGCCAGGAAGAAGAATATGGCGATAATGAACGTGACCAGGCCTAAGGCCTTCACGAGCCGGGTCCGCTGCCCTGCGTTCATCCACGCGGTCCGACCTCCGTCCTTGCTATGCATACGGCCTGAGATGTGACGATCCGGCTTCTCGTACGGGTCGGTCAAGTCGAAATGGCTGGTGGTGTTGCGTGTCGGCAGCGACACGGAAACGCGGCGTCGAGGCGTCGAGGAGAATCCAAAATATGACCAGATGCCAGAGCGTTTGCCCACGTCGACGCCGCTGGACATAAAGGGCGGGTTGAGTAGGACTTAGGAGGTCGAGAAGGATCGCGGAATGGGCGGAACTGCACCCATCGGATGATAGGGCGACAGTGGGATTACGCGTAAAACGAGTAACGCTTAATGGTTTAAGGGTGAGGCCAACGGGAGGAGCGGATAGGAATTAGGAGACGTTTGATCCCTTGAAAGTTGAAACCTAATTAACCCATGGAACAGACAAGATTCCCTCCCTCCCTGTCACAAGTGTACGTACTACTGACCTTGTACTCCTAAATATCTCCTTGGGACCTTGGCCCACTGCATGCAGGCAAATTGCGAACTGAATTTGATACAAATCTGCCTGAGCAGCCTTGCAGCCTTAAATATTAAGAATTTGTTGTGGGGTCCCCAGGGACGCGTCCGTGCTTCGGTTCCGTACAAATATGAAAATCTTCCAACGAACTGAACCTGAAGACTTCATCTAACATTATGCCTCCCGTTCTGTCGAATTCCTGATACCAATTCCCCATATTAATATGGTACTCTTCAATTCTGAGGACTAGAACCGAAAATGAACTCGCTTTCGTACTACATTGTGATACTCTTTGCAGAACAGGTAATGCCTAGACGGAAGCCACCCGACGGTTTCCCACCCATCCTTTTCACGAGTGACCAGAATATGAGTACAGCACTACATTGAAAAGTATCTACCGCCAACATGCCAAAGGAGAGTTTCCCGCACCGGGACTCCTCAGCTTCTAAAATTGCTAGAGCTTGCCATCGCCTTTTCAATGGTTGAGCGAGTGTGGACAGTGAAGCAAGATCGACGTTGTCCGTATCAGAAATGATCAGTACTTCCATGCTTCGGCTTTCTACGGTCCTCTTTGGACCTTGGGCTATGGAGCTGGATACATATCATCCCAATATTCTTCCGTGCTTAGCATGCCTTCGTTTTCGATTCCTAGCATTCGCATTGGCGATCCGTCGGATGCTACAGACTGTTACTTCTTCCACGCTTGATCCGCGTCTGTGAGTGTTAGCGATGATGCTCGCCTATGTTCCCGTACCACCTACCTGGGTGGATTTCCGGCTCTGGAATGTATTCTCTCGCCTGTTTCTGCTTCCGATAGTCCGACCCAAACCTCTGATCCCTCTCCCCTACATTCTTGTCGAAGTCAAACTGATCCGGCCCCGTGAAGCTCGTCATCAGCTTCGGGGGACCGAGCGGCAGCTGGTCTCCGCGGTCGGTCTGCCAGAGATGGTAGATTTTCCCGTAGAGCACGATCACGTCCTCCATCTCTTTGGTTTCGGCGGTTTCCCACGCGATTTCCGGCATGCCCCGTGGCCGGGGCATGATGAGCATCCCGGACTTGACTTCATAGATGTGGCTGTGCCACAGCTTTCGCTCATCCGGGTCGAGGGTTTGGTATAGCTTGGGAGAGATCATGTACTCAATGCCGATGAGTCGAGCATTTGGCTCCGGGCTGTCGTAGAGAATGCATTGACGAACATCTAAGGGGGAAGTTAGGAACACATTGGTTTCACCATAGCGATGCGAATACCTTCATTCAAGTGACTACAATAATGGTTGGCCTCAACAAACCGCCCGGTATCATCCGCGTAGACGTGGAAAGCATTGAGGTGAGCGCAGATGCTGTTGACCGGGCCTTTGCTCTATGACGACAGTTAGAGATGATACGTCGGGGAAAATGCCACTCGTTTACCTGAGTGAGGTTTGCCGCGGAATCTAGAACGGTGCTTTTGGTGCTCAGGGGATCACCGGCGACGGTGCTCGTATTCTCCATGTTCGCCAGTTCACGTTGATACCGCGGTAGCAATGGTGGATGTTGTTCAAGATACTGGAAGCATCAATTTAATCATTTTACGTGGATGAGGCATTTGTATTTTTGATATTGGCCTTGATATCGGATGTACCGGCCCAATCTCGATTTACGTCATTGTGAGCATTCTGATGGATTGGTACTTGGTAGTAGTACTCATGCTGCTCTTCCACCTCGATCCTGCGGAGCACCCACCTTTCCTGACGTAGTTTTAAGGCATCCTGTTACGGCAGTAAGTTAACTGAGGCCTAAAAGCAAGTTCGACGCATTATGACTGCAGGCTCCTAGTCGACAAAAGGGTGTAGAACCCAATTGCCAAGGTGGATAGAGATACACTACCCGCTACTCGCTGAAGAGATATCAGGTACAAACCTGAGTGTTGACAAAGGTGTGGCGTCCTCACTCTTCACGTGTGATAGACTTGTACTATGTGTGGGCAGTGTGGCAGATGAATGTATTTTTTTAAAAGGATTGCATGGTTCTTAGGAACTTAGGTCTGGATCTCATGACGTGCTTCTGGGAGGTAAACGGTAAACATAACAGAGTAGCAGGGGAGTCCGATGGGTCGAGACTCGAAAGACGAAAGTCCAGTCCTCGAAGATCCGGGCGAGCCGCCCGGAAGCGCATAATAAGCGACGGGTAAACATCATAGACGACGCTCAAAGTTTAACTCCTGACTCCTCCCCTGACTATCGAAAGCTCGTCCATTTTATCATTTTATTGTCCCTAGCCCCTGGTTTACCCATTGCCGCAGTAGGTACGCAATAGTAAGACCAAAATATTCTATCATCAATAACATCATGGCAATTGGCTTGTCAATGGGGTCAATTCAGATTTGAAAGCTAGTCAGACAGTAAGCGCCGGTTTTCAGCACTTCTTTGACAAAGCGGTATGACTCCTCCTCTCCCCAAGGCCCTTGGAAAGGGTCGAAATTTGACAGCTTGGACTCCTCTCGCATAGGAAAAGGCGAAAGTCACGATCAAACTAGATGGGTGTCATGAACCCAGTGGAAAGGGGAATGTCCGGTGGTGGAGCCGTTCAATACGATAGGGCTCGTGCAGGTGGCGTTTATTGAATGTTGGCTACATACCAGGCGTCAGTCCATCGCTCCGGCTCTCACTAAGGAGCGAGGAGTAAGCTTTAACGACCTTTTTCTATGTCTGCCATGCATGTTGATTGCTAGGGGCAGAATCGAGGAATAACGGCTATCATCAAGAACTATCGTTGGATGACCGACGAACTACCTCAGGCTTTGCTCTTTTCGATAGGTCCAAACTTCACACGCCCGTTATCGGAACCCGGAGAGATGTTGCCAAGTGTCAGACGGCCTACATAGTAGATGATGCTGATGAGTTGAATCCACTTGGGCCAGAAAATAAATCCAGGTCCATCCTCAGCCGCTGAACCGCCAGCCGCCAGCTGCCAGCACCTGTCTGGCCCTCATGAGACATAAACACCTTTTCAGTCTTCCTGTGTCACCCACCTTCGGGAGTTTCTCGATTGTAGGTGGGCACTATCAAAATTGCAATTTAATGATTCAGAGACAGTCGTATTACCCACCTTAAGGTAGGTACTTATTTGTTATCACGGAAGGGATGGGGTCCCCTTGCTCCCAGTAAACCATGGCTCGGAGGCCCTCCCGTTTCCCAAAATGTCCTCGTAATCTTCTTCCCCTTCAACATCAACTGTTCTCCAACACGAAATATAATAATATTCAGATTCATACAATCATTTGCCCCCTCTCAGCTATTAGATGCTAATTAATTCCTCGTTTCCGGGTATGGGCTACTATTTGTTCTAGCGCCAAGCAGGTAATAATATTAATGAGGAGCCTCCCGGACCATCCTGGGTACGATAGTGCTCGAGCGCAATCCTCGCACAAAAGTCACTCAGTGGTGGAATCGTATGCCGTTGACATGTCGTGCTCACGGCGTGGTGCCACGGGGTCAGGGTTCATATATTGAAATATCGAACGCTGTCATCGAGGACCTATCACCGGGCTTCAAGCTGGTTGTCATTGATGAAGCCTCAAATACGGAGTAGCCGTCGGTTGATCGATTCGACCTCTCGCTCTGGCTTTGGGGATACGGGAGGTAGCTCCACTAGCGCCGATTTTATGCTGACTTCAATAACAAGTCATGATCAATTGAGCACAACTAATTTCCCTACCACGCGCCAACCCCTGGCTCCACGAGAGGTGCTGGTCAACAGCAGTCACTAGTCAGCAAGGCGCTGGCTTGCAGCGCTGGCTTAATTATGGCGTTTTGTGGCATTGGTTACCAGTCCACCCGCCGGCCCTGCCGTTCTAGGCTCTTCCTTTCTGGATATGCACGGAAGAAATAGTCTGGAATCTCTGGATGGCTTTCGGTTCCTCTAACTAGATTTGCAAGCGGCAGGTCGGCAATGTGGGTCGTTCAACGGACTCGAAGCAATTCGAGACCATCCATTCCGTCGACGCTGGTTTAGTTATTGTTTTCGGCGCGTCTGTGGTGTGGTGTCGCTTTATTTGGCATGGACGGACCCATGGTCCCTCGTAAGAACATGCCTGTTCAATGTTATGTTGGGTGCCAGAGTACAATAGTCCTCACTGGGCCTGCAGTGAGATATGTGTACTGTGGGAGACCCATGGCTCTGGCATATGAAGGTGTCTACATACCCAAGTTCACAAGTCAGCATTATCATTTGTTTATATCGAACTTTGTCCGCCATTTGAAGTTGAGATCCTGAGGTTTTCTAGTCTCGATCTTCGCCCTATACTTGTTTTCTATGAACCTTTGTCTTTGTCCAACCTGGGACGAGCTGCACCACCGGATTTCGACTTTCGACTCCACATCTAACCGACGTACAAAGACACGACACTTCTGCTTCTACTCGTCAAGCAGGCCCCCAGGTGTTTGAAGCAGTGGCGAGTGCTGCTTGTACGCGGTATCACAGCATTGTATCCAGATATCGACCCTGGACTAGCGACCGGATCGACCCAACCCACAGCAAGCACATGTCCATCCGAACGGTCGGTCTCTCACTCGGGAGCAACGATTCGGACCCATTGGATATGCGTCAAAGCGAACAGAGACAATCCTGAGGACGCTACTGCAAGCATGATCGTGAGGAGGAAGTCTATCCAATTCATGGCCATGTCGGAATCACAGAATTCAACAGCAACTGGTGGCTGTCAAGATGTTGTGAACCCTAATTTGGAATGCTCCGCTTTGCAGCACCAGGAACCGGAGCGAGGCCCCTACAAGTACCTAAATCCCAAACCCTCGACGAGCCGTAATATCACCCCCTCACTCGATAATCAACTTCCATTGTGCCAATCTCCGACAAAATCATTTTTATCCTTCTCATCTCCCATTTTCACACGACCATCAACCCCTCTACGATCTTTAATCACATTCCTGTCGATATCCATACTATTTTTCTCTAACTACGCGGCTGCCTCCACTGATCAGCCGTCCAGCGATCTGCGTCTTGCCTTGGACGGGCCGTTGTTTGTCGATCACCACACCCCACCAGAACCACGGATGCGGCTCGCGAAAAGACAAGAAGATGAATCCCCATCATCCATCATAAGACCGGGGCCCGAAGATCTTCAACCAACCGCGACGGATGCAACGCCAGGGACGGGTACTGCCACGAGTACGGAATCGCTGGTCCTTGCGACTTCGACCGAAGGACCTTCATCCCTTCCGCTGCCCTTCGACACAAGTCTAGGTAGTAACTTCACCAGCCCAAGCTGTCCCACGTTCTTCAAGACTTTCTTGTCCGACCCCACGTTCCAATCCTGCCTCCCGTTTTCTCTCCTCCTCCAGGTAAGCTGCCCAATTCGTGTATTCGTCCAATGCTGACAATGCGACCGTAGAACTCTCAAGGCTTCTTTCAGGCTTCGAAATCCGCCTTCCGGATAACATCGATTCTCGATGCGACCTGCAATGTCGACGTAAATGCGTGTGCGTCCTATATGGGCCAATTAGGTTCCCAGATCAGGAAGACCGAGTCTTGCGGAGCCGACTTCAACCGAGAGAATCCATTGGTTCTCCAGGCATATCGTGGATTGGTTTCCTATCAGCCACTTTATCAGGCAGGCTGTCTAAGGGACTCTAGCGGCAACTATTGTGAGATTTTATGGCCCCTACACATCAGACATTTCCCTAACACATTCTCAGGCTATGCAAACGCAATTACGAACGCAAGCTCCTCCACTGACTCCTATCCATACTACCTGCCACTCGGGATGACGATGCCCGGAGGCGCCCGTCCAACATGCAACACCTGCCTCGAGAGCATCATGGCCATCTTCGCCAATGCTGCACAAAATGGAACGCAACCCGTCAGCCAAACATACGCGTCAGCTGCCAAGCAGATCAATCTGGGATGTGGTCCAGACTTCGTGAACACGACCGTGACGGTTCGCACGAGTGCCGCATCTACCCCGTCACCTTTGGGTGGAATATATCAGGTTCTCGCATTCTTCATGCTGATGGCCTACTTCTTTTGAGAATCAGCTATGAAGGAGACTTTGTCATATTCTCATTCATGACCTCCTGAAAACGCTGAGTAGTGGGGCGACTGCACACAGGCATGCTTCGGGCCTCTTGAGAGTCGCCCAGTCGGATTGGGTTTGGATTTCATCAGCGATGGCGTACTGGTCGGGTTGCTTGTGCTCTTAGGGCTTCACGCGGTGACATTGGATCCCACAATCGCATGGGAACCTAGTAAGGCTGGTAGTGGAATAGATGAGCTGAGGAAATACCCAGCGATGGCTCTACTAACAATGTACCATATTTTAAATCAGATCTACCCATGAAAGGAATTTGTTTGTATCTACTACTTGCCTATCTTTAAATTGATGTATGCCTCACAAAAAATTCCATTGTAAGGGCATATGAGGTGCTAGTCTGATTACCACCTTCTGTTTGCTACCTAGCTATAGGCGGTCTCGTCATACTATATTCCACCTCCAGAGTCAAGGCAGACCCTTGGAATTGTTCTCAAACTCTTTCCTCAATTGCTACCTACGTTATGATATTTACTTAGTGTCCTCTTTCTGAGTCTACCGCATACGGCTACTTGATATCAACAAGATTCCAGATGGCGCTCGACATATCTCAGATCAAAAATTTGTACAAATGACAGACCACCAAGTGCTTCTTGTGTTCACAGCCAGCCCATCCGCCTACCAGACCTCATTTCCAGATATTTCTAAAGCAGCATGAAGCCCACTACCACAGCACCCACGGTCGCAGCAGTCAATCCGTGCTGCAGAAACACACTGGCAGCATCTCCCGAGACTCCAGACGGTCGCGAGCCAGCCTCCCCCCTCACCCTCTCCAACAACGCCTCGCACGCTGACCTGTCCTCGCGCTGCGTAATATTGGTCATCACGCAGTCCGCCAAGGTCTTATCTGGCTTCAACTCGCAGAGGTCTAGGTCTTTCCCATCTTTTTTCGACATGAAGGGGCAGCCTAGGTTGGAGCTTGTAATTGTCACGCCGTCTGAGTAAACCGGACACGCCGACGTCAAATCGATCTCCGTCTCGGGGCCCTCGTCCGTGATCGTGAAGTCGATCGACCCCTCCGCCACAGCGCCAGAGTGGATGGTGATCGCCTTGGGCCCGGGAGCCGTGCAGCGTGACATGATCAGCTCCCAAGTAAGCCGATAATGCCCAGGCTTCCGCTTGCTCGTCGAATTTATGTAGCTCGTATTCCCGACAATCCAGTTATCTCCAATTGCGTCCGGTGGAAGGACTGGAGGCTCGGTCGGCTCCAATCTCAACATGTACCCAGCCTCGTATAGGCTCTGCGTCCCACCCGTCTTGTTGATGCCACTGAATTCCCAGCGGATAGTGTGGCCAAATCGGAACGCGGCGTAGGCACCCTGGATCGCGAAGACGGCGGGTATAGTAGCTAGGTCCAGATTATACGTCTCATTTCGCGGGAAGACGACTCCGACGTTGATATCCGTGGGAAATGCTGGGAGGTCAAGCTCCCCCGCAGCTGGAGCTGCCAGGCCGAGCGCAATCAGCGCAACAGAAACTCTCAGTCGCATAGTTTCAGACTGTTATTGAGTTCGCATGTCATCCGTGTCGTGAGGTTCATCGTGCGATGTCGTCCAGGCACGGACCTTCTTTTAAATCGCGGTTGCAGCATGTTAACAGTGTTATCGTGTTATCGTGTACTATTAATTCGTATTCCGCCTTGGCTTACTAGGTGTTTCCGAGCCAGCCTCAAGGACATAATCAGTCCCAATAGTTATGCGGGTGTGGCGCGGGCTCACAATCACCCAACCTCATTCTTTAATACGCCCTAACGCTAAGTTAGGGATGGATGGAGAGCAAACCAAGCCAAGTTGCCGTACCTACGTACCTCCATAGTATAACCGTGCCACAACACTTGCAACAGTCATGCCTTCGTCCGGAAATTTCTGTTCTCTGTGTTTCTTGTTTCGTATCCAATGAGAATTTCGGCTTGTTAGCATTGTTCCTGAAATTTGCTGTCATCTCCGACCACCCTAGCACATTTTACGGCATTGAATAAGGACCTCCCTCTCGGATCGAATTATATTAAAGCGGGTGATCGTCTAGAAGCATCGTCCCTGGAAGTTTGCTACTCTGTTCCCCTCAATCCATGCAAGAGATTGGATCTGAAACGTGAGAACTGGGATTCATCGCGACCTAATCATCATCAGTATCCCGTAATCATCAGCCCTATCCGTGGCCAAACCCCTCTTTCTGAGACAACGATAGTCTTCCTGACAATCATCTAGCCGGGCGGCCTAGGAATAAAAATATGTGTGAAATCCTGCGTAGGATGGTATAATGTAACCTCTCCCTTTTATGATTATTGTACTTGTTCTCTCCTTGTTTCTCTAGGTTAAGTTCTGCTATATCCAAGTCTCCTGTTGTCGTATAATCTTTCACTATGGCAGAGGTCATGACAATGGACACTCGAAAGAGTCCAACAAGAGATGTTGTCAGCAGTCTGCTTGAAAACTATATAGGATACGACACATTACGGGAAGATGAGCCATCGTACGAAACGGTTCCACAGGACCTTGGAGGGCAGTCGTTGAAAATGGAGGGTGAGATGCCATTGTTCATGGAGAGTCTACAACTACGAGGTATGACCATATATCATGCTTTCTCAGTTCCTCTATGTTGAATCTACGATTCATATTGTATGAACCTGGCCATGTCTAGGTCCGAGGAGTCAGGTTCATACTCAACCTGACTTGATTCCCGTTATGTTTGTGGATTTCAAGGGATTGAGATAGTGAATGGAGTCCTTTCGATTTCTGGCCAGCCCCCTCCACATCTATTATCAGCTCGCTCTGGTCAATTATTGATGGATGCCTTGTCATAGATTATTGAGATGGCTTACGAGTCTATTACGACAATACTGACTGAAGTGTTCAATCCAGTGAATGAACATGCATCCAAACAGGCACTGCTGTTCCGACCGAAATGTATATCGCGTCCTAGAAAACCACCCGTACTTAAGCTCCAAGCTTCAAATGGATCTTCTGCTTCTTCGTCGCATTCACACAACTCAGATAGCGAGAGCATCATCGAGTCTTTCGGAACCTCAACAGTGGTCAACAGCCAATCCTCCACACCGCCATCAGAAGCACCTTTGGCCGAGGCATCCAGGCCGACCACATCAATAATGGGGTCTGAAATTTCAAAGATATCGAGAAAGCGCCGGAACTCAAGCCAGCACGAAGGCCGAGAACAGAGCGTTGACCGCCGGCCCGTCCGGGACACTGAGGGCACCACCACCCCCACCCCCCTCATTACCATCCCCGCCCCGCCCACCCCCTCATCCGCCACGGAGAGCGACAACCTTATACCCGTCCATGCTTCTGTTGAAGGAAGTTCAGGCGAGAACCACACCAGTCTCGAAGCGCCAGCACCGGCAGCCACACCGAGTACTGCGCCCTTCCCCTCCCCTTCCACGTCGCCTATCGCAGCCGCCGCCACTTCCGTTGACAACACCATGGCCAGCGAGCACAACCCCCCCTCTTCCCCCACAATCGACCTCTTACTCCGTCCCCGACCCAGGGATAGCAACACTCCCTACCTCCTCGAACCGCAACGGCACTGCTTCCACCGGCACCGGTACTTCTGCCCATCACCACCGGGGGCCGAGGTGGAGTGCATGCTGTGCTTCGGGGAAGAGGAGCGAGATGGGGCCAGCGGGTGTGATGAGAGACATTACTGCACGTTCTGTTATGTCCGCGTTTGTGGAACGTGTTTGCAGAGGTGGTGGGAGATGACAGGTCCAACGAGGAGGACGAGGTTAGACCAACTAAGAGATATAGTGAGGAAGAGAGGAGGGAGGAGAGGTTGACGAGGAAGAGGAAGGTGTCTATTCAAGTGTGCCGTTAGGGCATGCTCTGTGTTTGCATGATCCTCACGAATCATATGATGCTCACAAACAGAATGAGGGTTGGGGAGTGTTAGGCTGCAGTAACAACGTGATATCCATGTTCTTATTTCGAGGAGGAGCATCTTGTGTTTCCTCTCCTGTGACATCGCCAACAGACTCGCCCAGTATAGCAAAGACAAGAGAGAGGCGCGAATATGACAGCAAAAGTCGGTGAAAGCTGAGTATTGCGAACTTTGCAGATTTGTCGATGCACACGACCTGGAGTCCCATACAGTCCGTGTGCAGTGAGGTGTCCAGTTAAGGAGGCCTAAATCACAAATATATCTGACGCAATTGCTGATGAAGATAGACTATAATTAAAGACTTTACGACGGGAATGACAGTAGGATGAGGAAGAGACAGATACTTTTGCGTATGGACATTCTCAGGTATGACATTCATCCGAGATACATGGGTGTTCAATGAAAGCCGTATCAAACATTGCGGGACAGAACTTCATTCCTATATCCTACTTAAGGAGTACGACAAAATGATAGAATGACCGTTGTTGAGTAAGGAAGCAAAAGTACTACCTAAGGTACGCAAGATGTAGTCGTGAAAGCTGTCGGGAGCTGAGGGGCGTCAAAACCAACTTAGCTGCTCTCTGTCCTGTCCCCCGCACCGTTTCCTAGTTCCCACACACGCGAGAACCAGGAATCTCTATCACACCCTCCGGCCTCACTATTGCCATCGAACTAATCGAGGAATATCTAGCGCTACCGTATTCCGGAGTTAGGATTACCGAAACGCCCCGAGCCGAGTTGTACGCCTGCCCATTAGATACGCGTTTTGGCCTGTGCTGCCGTCTGGTTCCTTGGTCCTTGGAGGGTGGAGACTTGGACCTGCGATGCACATCCTCTAAACCCTAGGGATCATGCCGAAGCGATGTTGCCGCAGTTTCATTGCCATGCTTACTGCTGACTGCTGCGGTGCCCAGGAACCATGCAGGCCAACAAGTAGCGTTTGACTTTACGGCACCTTATCATCCTGTCCCAACTGCTTAGTTATGTCTTTCATGAAAGGTAAAGAGCAACATATATTGTGCTGTCCATGCATTAGTGCCTGGTGGCTGATCGCCTGGGGGAAATTCTGAGTCCCAGCCAGTCCCTCACATTGCGTATATTAGTACCTTGAAACCCAGCGGAGTTGAGGCCATGCAAAAGCGCTTGGAAATACACTTTAGCGGTTCAATTGAAGCATTATGGCTTTTCAGCGGGTGCCGACGTTGGTTCAGCTAGCAAAACGAATCTTAACGAATGCCAAATCTCTGGAAGCGTCGGTCGCGGCCAGTCCTACCTTTCAAGTATGAAAGCCTCTCCTTTGCGAAAGGACGAGGATTGACTGTGAGCAGAATGATACAATGCAAAGACTACCCGAACCCGTCGACTCGGTGCGCAAGGAGATCATAGATGGAACAAACCTACTCAATTCTCTGGTCCGCGGGGGAGCTGGTCCATTTGGCCGGATCCAACATACCACATCCTTCACAGTGCGCATCACAGTGAGAGTGTATTGACCGACGGTGCTGATATACCTTAGTACCTAAATGAACTCAGCCTCCAGGCCGTCTACAGATATAGGATTCCACAGAATGTCCCAGTGGACCAGTCGATATCCTTCACGGATCTATCCAAGAAGGTCGGAGTCGAGGAGAGCAAACTGGTGCGCCTTCTTCGCCACGCCATGACATATCACATGTTTTATGAACCGAAGAAGGGTTCCATTGCCCATACCGTGGATTCGCGTGCATTGTTGGATGACCCAACCTTGTATGATTTCGTTGGAACATGCATTGAAGACCTCCGTCCTGCATGTGAGAGCACCACTTGACAGCCGCGTTACCTATTACTCACTTGGATTATAGCTTCCAAAGTTCTGGACGCGTTCAAGAAGTGGCCTCAATCAGAAGAGATGAACCACTGCGGTTTTAGTCTTGCCTGGGATACCGATAAGCCGATGTATGCGTATCTGCGGGATCATCCCGAGCGCATGCGTCGATTTGCCGGATTGATGGCCCGTACGACTCAGCCTTCAAGTAGTTCAATTGCAGCTGCTAATACAGACCAGAGTCATCTCGAGACGGAGTTCGTGCGGCTACGCTTGTAGGCTCAGCTTACCCATGGCAAGACCTCAAATCCGGCACTGTGGTTGATATTGGCGGCGGGAATGGCCATATCAGCGTCGCTATCGGAGAGTCACACCCACACCTGGATTTCATTATACAGGACTTGCAACAAATGCCCAAGGAGGTTCAAGAAAAGGCGGTTCCACAAGCATTGAAGTCGAAGGTGCAGTATCAGCAGCACAACTTCTTCGCACCGCAGCCGGTCAAAGGGGCAGTCGCTTACATGTTGATGCAAATCCTCCACAACTGGAGCGACAAGTACTGTGTCCAGATTTTGCAGCAGTTAATCCCCGCTCTGGAGCCTGGGGCGAGGATCATCGTCATCGATCGAGTGATTCCGGAGAGAGGGGAGGTCCCTGATGTGGAATATCATGAGGTTTTGACTCTGGATTTAATCATGATGCAACTTTTCAACGCACGGGAAAGGTCACTGGAGGATACGAAGAAAATGTTCGCCTTGGCGGACCCGAGATTCAAATGGGTTGGTGCATATAGAGTTGGACCAGGACCTTACACTATGCTGGAGGCCATTTGGGCCCCTGATGAGGTCCATGACACCCCCACCAATTAGACCATAGATAGAATAGGGAAGGCTAGAGCCAGTGCTAGATGAGGTCTATACTTATATCGCGGATTTTGCATTGCTCCTCCTAAATGCAGCTTTTTTGACCCTAAATGTGCTGCTAATTAGCATTTTACCTTCAGTGCCCATCCGTATCGCCATATCCTTGCTGAAACAATAAGACAGGCTCCAACGAATGTCGACAGGCCTGCCCAAACCTGCGCCCATCTGTATCCTCCGTCATCCGCAGTCAGAAGTGCACCCCCTATTGGAGCGCCCAATAAGCTTGCAAAGCTCAACACCGTAAACGCCATTCCAAGTCTGGTGCCTAATTTACTAAGATCAGGAGTCAAGCTTGCAATCACTGTCGGAAAGAGACTTTGGAATGACGCTGCACATATCCCGTACGCCGCCACGAACGCATAAAATCCTCCGATCGAGGTGATGCTCAGCCAGCAGAAAGAGACGACGGCGACCACAAACACGATCGGGGCGAAGGTGTTCAGCACGCCAAAGTATCTGTCGGCGATCAGTCCGGGAAGGAGACGAGCGGGGACGCCGACACCGTTGAGGACGAGAATGAGGTTGAGAGAATCGGTATAGGAGAGGCCGATGACTGCACGCCCGTAGGATGCGATCTGAATGACAGCGGTTAGCAATTTCAACTTCGGGTTCGCAGGGTCGATGGATTGTCTTACATAATAAAATACGAAGTAATTAGACGAGAGCGTGAAACAGATTCCCAGGACGAATAACACGAAGGGCACATCTTTTAACGAACTCAGCTCAATAATCGGACCAGCTTTTCGAGGAGGTAGACGAGGTCTCATGAATGCCAAAACCACCAGTAAGCAGCCCAGATTCACGAAGGCAAGCACTCTCATTGTCCAAGCAAATCCAGCCTTTGGAAGCAACTGTCTGACAATAAGGGGATAAATTAATCCCCCGATTGCATTGCCCGTCGTGGCCATCCCAAGCGCCAATCCTCTATGTTTGTCAAAATAGGTTCCTACCAGCCCCACGGTCGGAGTGAAGAATATCCCACCTCCCGCCCCCGTCAAGACTCCTTGCGTGAGGAACAGCTGCCAATAGTTGTGGCTGATACTCATGAGGAACATCCCTAGGACCATTAGCACAATCCCTAGCGCAAAGGCGGGGACAAAGAGTCCGTAGTCCAGTGCGCGTCCCGAAAACGTGCCTAAAAAGAACATGAAGAACGTTTGCGTGCTGCCGATCCAGGAGATCTCCGAATCAGAGAACTGCGGCATGAGAACGGTGCTGTAGTAGGTTTGGAAGACGCCGAAGCTGTTCACGAGGCCCCAGGTCGACATGATGACCAGCCAGCCCAGAGCAACCTGGAGCCATGCGTGGAAACCGCCATCGGGAGGGGGCCCGGGCGGTGGAAGGGAGGTGGCTGTAAGGTGGGTGGTAATGCGATCGAGGAATGACGGTCCTTTCGGGCTCGATTCTTCGCAGATGGGACGGTCATGCTCTTGAGAGGCGGCGACAGAGATATCGTTTGAGGTCGAACGGTCATGTTCTATCGGTACTTTGCTTGGGAATCCTGCTCTTTTCTCTTCATCTTCACCAATACCGCCGATGTTGCTGGCGCTAGAGCCGGATTGGTTGAATTTCTCGATATATTGATGTGACTCAGACATGATGCTGTTATATATGACATGGAGACAGAATACCTGGTTGATGAAAGAACCGACGCTCGCTTAGATTCTAAGATCGTTGAGAAGGGTTGTGGGGAGATTGAAGAGAACGGACGAAGCTGAAAGTATCAACCATGGATCCAAACCAAAGAGATAACGACTCAACATCATGATCTGAAACCACCCGACGATGGTTCCTCACAGTAGTTTACCCTTAGCTGCCGGGTTTCCGGATGATGTGGGGGACGGGCTTACAACCGACCGGACTCTGGCTATCGCGGATCCCTTTCCCTGGGGTGGATGTTTTTCCCCACCATTAATCGAGCTGCCTCGATTGCGCCCTACATACTATACTGCTGCAGGTTGATCTCGAATGTCGTACGAGATGCGGAGACATTTCACGTCAACGACGAGGGAACAATGGGCGGACAATGTGTGGACGGGTGCTTGCCATCCTAGTATCCCGCCTGGAGTTTGGGAGGTTGAGGAGCTGGTGGAGGTGGATAGATCTCGGTTGCATCGAATATTCGGTATTTACCCGGTACGTCTGTACAGCGAACCGAAGTGACACGGCCCGTTCCATAGGTGGCAAATCACCATCCACAGTATTGGACTACGGTGGTGGTTGGATTATGCATGTATAACTGTATCTCGAAGCTCAACATCTGAAATGCTGGAGGTATATTGAAAGTTTGCGGAGATTGGACTTTGGAAATTGGAGATATGGCCAGGGGAAACGGTTATGATACTGGATCAGGCAATAGTTGCGCCCTACCTCCTATGCCTAAGATACCCCACGAATGATATTATGATCCGATTACAGACTCACCCACTCGTCCCAAAGTCAATGAAACACGGCGGAAATGTTACAGTCCCGTGTTTAAGAGGATCATTGCGTAGTTTCGTATCCCATAGCTCCCGAATACCTTATCGTAGCATTACTATTTACTATTGCACTATGGAAAGGACAGTTGCAGTTTTGAGGATCAGAATCCAGCCTCCTGGACTCGAAAGGAATAAACAGAGGCCAGTTACAACGGGGACAATGAATCAATGGCTGTAGTCTCTAGCAAACCCGTTTCTGATAGCATTTATAGTCACTGTAGTCTTGATGCCACCAGTAAGCGATGCGACCTGCAAGCGAATCGACCGCACACCTCCGTCTGATGCGGTTCGTTCGAGAGATGATATGGCCGGCTTCAGAAAGAAAAGGTGAAGCACTTACGTATGGGGAGCCCTTGAATACAAGATCTTCCTACCGAGCTTCGATATTGCGGTGTGATTAGCGTGGAGCGTCCAGCGTGGAATCCGGAATATGCGTCGGGTTGAACGGCACCTGACACATAATGCTCGTGAAGCAGCGAAATGCCGAGATTCGACACCATATTACCGCACTGCATACGAATTGGGTGCAGCCTAAATCGTCACCACCTTTCTATGAAGGAAGAGGTTAGCTCGAGAATCATCCGGAAGGGATAGGGTACGACGGCAACACGAGAGGTAACTTACGCGCATGCAACCCTCATGAAGGACATTGCAGATTTTGCAATATTCTGGCTCATCCGGTGGTGGAGCTGCTACTTCTGCTCGCTTGACAGTGTCCGGGATGCTGTGCAGAATGTAGGCCCCCTCGTATCCGCATGTGTGATGCGTGTCTGAAGAGTACGGAGAAGAAAAGCATGCCTTTTTAGAGTATTCATAGGAACTGCTACTTTTCTGTTGGAACATTATACAACATTAGTGATCCTCCCACTCGGAATTCTTCTGAGGGGTGGAGGAAGGACTTACGGCAAAGCAAGCCTTGTAGACCTCATCGCACATTCCGCAAAGGGCGCGATCAACTCGAGGCTCCGCGGCACTGACGGTAGAGGTTCCCATAGAGGCATCGGAGGCATCGGAGTCAGTGGGGCTTGGGTTGAGAGATCGCTTCTCGTGAGCCTCTTGGATAGCCCGTGTGCCTTGATTTCCTTCCTCCGTTTCCCGGCACGCCCAGGAATATCCACAACCATAGCGCTGTTTTCCACAGATCTCCTTGTCAGACTGACATGCATATCCGGAGCAGATCAGGGAGTCACGCCACCGCTGTTGAAGCGGTCAGCAATCGTGCTCCCGGTTAATGAATAGGGATATATGGAGAAAACGCCCAGAACACTGGGTTCATGGTGTTCAAACGCTGGATATCTTTAACTTACTTCCCAACATTTGTAATATGCATCGTCGCATTTCTTGCAGTATATTGGGTGAGGATAGTCACGACGTTCCAAGGCACCTGGCTGAAGCCCCAGAGGTTCCCAGGCGGGGTTGAGAATACCTCCTTTAGTGTCGTCGACGGGTACCGCGAACACCACCGCGGAGAGGAGAACTGGGAGAATTCGGAGAAACCGCATGATTGAGCTCGCTGAGTTGGTAGGTATTTGAGGGTTTCGCCAACTGGATATTCAATGATCTTCAACGTGGCTTGTACCAGGTGTTGTGTCGAATTAAAACGCCAGTAAAAAAGCTGCGGGAAGGAGGATGTTTGGAAGGCGAAGAGTGATAATTGATGGATTCGATTTCGGGTTTCATCATGATAGAGAAATCAGTATCAATGCTTACTTTGTCACCGCATCCCCACAGGAAACTTATTTCTCTATCATCGGCACTGGAATGGCACCATCTTGTGAGACTCCCATTCACCGGGCGGATCTAATCACATGCCACCACCCTGCCATATCGATAGGGACCAGATGTAAATGTCATGGACCAGCCTGACTATGAAGAAAGGGATGAATGGAAAGATTGAGCTCCAACATGAACATTGAACAGTAGACTGGGGCGAAACAATTCCTTCGGTACGACACTCATGATCGAGAATTGGAGCGAAATCGGACCTGAAGCATCCTGCTGAAAACCCTGAAATGTGCTATCCATTGAAGATGAGCAGTATGTCACTCCCTATCTCTTGAAACACAGCAAATCTCAAGAAGTGGCGTTTATGGCTGGCGGGTTAAGAGGGGAAATGCTGTGTCTGAACTGAGTGGTATCAGTCGCGACCAAGGGGGCCGCAGAGAACATTCATGCCCACAATTTCACTGATACACGTATCGAGGTGTGGCCTCTTTTCAAGATACTATGGTCGCAGGTGCGCCATATGTAGAGTAGAGAATATCCAGGTGGGTCCTGAGGAGCAATTGAGGCGATGAAATATCTATAACTAACTAGATCTAAGGCGGAAATTAAGATGCCTTACAGCCTGAAAGGCAGATCGGATGAGGCCATGAGGGACTGACCCAACATCACGTGATAGATTGCCGACAACCAGCTCCAAGCCTCCACGTGATCTTCCCCGCATTGATACTACGTATTGATGATAAGGAATTAGGAATGGCCCGCTAATGGCACGTGCCGAGAGCACTAGCCTATCAGTACGTACTTCCGATAACCGCCCACATGGAACGCTAATGAATAAATGAAAAACTGATACGGGGCACGGGCCGTATTCTGTCCATTTGTTTTTTTCGCCTCTCCCAGTTGCCAACCCTGAGCTCCCATGATCCCGTCGCAATTGGCAACGGTCTGGCCGCTGTGAGAGCGACTGGGTATTCCGTCGTCGGTATGGACTCCTGGTCGGCACTCAAGCGGGAATTATATTCAGTCTGGCAAGTGGCAACAAGCATTAGATTGAAGGTGGACCTGTGCACCGTGGCTCATCCCATGCTTCTGCCCGTTCGAATCATTCCAAGACTCCAAGGACTAGAATCGGCTATTAGACATGACACAGGAAACAGGAATGCATATGAATTCCGAAGAAAATGATTCCAAGCCAAGCCCTAAGCCCAATGTGCCCATTGGCCCCAGCTTTGGGCAGACGTGGTCTCACTGGACGGGCAGGACGGCTGCATGCTTGCAATTTGCAAGGTGTTGCTACCTGGCAGCGGCAAATTTTGAGGGGGCACAGGGAGCTTCAATCGGATCAGTTGAGAAGTGGAGGGGAAAGATGGGGACCCGGGAGGGATAGAGCTTCCTCAGCTTCCTCATTCCTGTTTGCATCTCAGACGATCGTCGGGATGACCTGTCTATCCCTGCTCGTCGATTGAGGAAGGCGATGATTGTCTTGGTGGGACGATGGGAGGCAAATGAATACTATATAGGTAAATGATAGATCGGATCGACGACGTACTATGTAATAACACCTCCTCGGTGCGGCGACATTAGGTAAGGGGTTTGTGAAGGTGGGAAGACAAGAGCAGACAAGGCACATATTGCTTGAGCTGGTAAAATGTGAGAGCCAGGCAAGCCAGCTCAACTGCTCCAGCTCTGCCCTCTACATAGTAAGAGTGGGTCAAACGGTCAAACCATGGATTTGTGACTTGTCTATTATGGCCTCATGCCGCATGCAACTATAAGGCATATTAAGCGTCGCTCTCAACTTTTTAAAGAGGAGAGGCTAGAGAGTAGACACCCTTCACGCTGGGGCTCTGCTGCAGGGCGGGTCTGGTGGCCGGAGGGTGGGCACTGAACGGTGGGGTGAACGCAAACCGCAGGCGGTCAGATGCTGGAAACAACAAGAATTCAGGATTTGATTAAGCGGGGCCTAGGCCCGGTAATAAACATCATATTCATAGCGATCATAACTTAATTAGGGCTGGGCGGCTCGCTGAGCCGTAAAGGATGGAGATTGGAGCGGACGGGTGTCAACCAGGTGGACCGTGAGAAGACTGAAAAGCGAGGACTGAGTTTGACAGAGACTGCGACTGAGACGTGAGGACCGAGGAAAAAGAAAATCTCCTATCTGACTCCTCAATCGGAACTTCGTATCCGACAGGGGAGGTGTTTTAGTCGGTGGTGTTGCCGCTGGCCGCCCGCATGGATGATGGCATGGATGACCGAACTAAGGACCAGTTGGTCGTAGTGTAAAGAGTCAAGACTTAACAACACTCACGAGACAGGGAGAGTCCATGTCGGATTCTTGTTTATCAGAAGACGGAGGGGTTTCGGTTCCCCAATCGACCATCATCAGATCGGATCTGGACCCTCCAACGCCATCCAAGCCATCGTAGCCATCTGATCAAAATCCATCAAAGATCGCCTCACACCAGCACGAGATCGCTTCTAAATGCCATATGCCTCCCACTTCACTACGGCAATGAAGTATTTATCTCATGACGTGTAACCTTAACAGCCATCGTGATTCCCCTTCACATTTGACCTCTCTCTTCGTGTGTCTCTCGTCGAAAACATCCCACTAAAAGCCTTACTTGAAACCTTCCAAGCGCCTCAATCGCCTCACGGGTCACATCGTGAACTCTGGAGCACACTGCACACGCCTCCTACCAGCCTGGCCAGAAATTCTTTTCACTTGCACACACAAGTCACAATATTCCATCCCCTAGCGATGCTGCCATTCTCCTGATTGCACGTCCCAAACATCCAAACCGTCAAGTCGCACCGCATTTTCCGTTCGGGAAACAGCCCTGCAAGCCATGTCTCGACTGCTTGTGCTTCTCACTGGTCCTCTTGGCTATCCTTAGGTCGTCTTGTGCACTTGGGACGAACAGACCGTCTCCAATTCGGAAGAATCAATTCGGAAGAATCAACATCAAAAACATCTGCTGCCATTCTTTGTTGTTTGAGTTTTAGTCCATCTTCCTGATTCACCATTCACTTCACTCAGTGTCTGCGACATTGACCCAGCTGGGTTGTTTCCTGTTTCATTTTCACTTAATATCTACCTCGACTCTCTACTTTGTTTCCTACTAGACGACAAGACATCCTTCGGAACACATCTGTCAATTGGATCAAGAACTCAACACTTCTCCATCGTCAATCAACATGACTCGACCATCACCCGAACTCCTGGCCCTCATAAATGGCGAGCCGCTCAACTCGGAGCCTTCTACCGACCCTATCAACCAATCCTCATCCTCATATCGACGCACCGAATCTTCTAATAGCGACCAATCTGAAAACCCGGCCATGAGAGCCGCTCGGGCGGTCATTCAGAACGAACGCACCCAAACCTTCGGCTACAGCAATAACTTCCACAGCACCTCCATCTCGGCCGAACAGGATGGACATGCCACCAGTGCCCTGGACAAAGCTCTAGCGGCACGTTCCAAGTTCTTCCCGCCGTCGACGATCCCTCACCCGAGCTTCGACATCCTTCCCTCATATAATTGCACCGTTCACTTCGAAGGGCCGCTGGCGCTCCGCCGTGAGCTGGCCAGTCCCTTCATGCAAGCGTCTGCCGCCGCATGGATCCCAGTGTACGCTATATTGCACGGGACGGCCCTTCACCTATATCGGCACAAACCGCAGCGGGCTAAAAACAGTCCCGAGTTCGATGGCCGCATACATCCTAAGCACGCCTCCACCCTTTCCGAGCACCCCAACCCCGAAGCAGGCTCCCTCCTCCGCTCCTTTTCCCTCCAGCACGCCGAGCTCGGCCTCGCCCTGGACTACCGCCCGGTAGTCCCCCCCCCGATTTCCTCGCTGGTGAAGATGCAGCTCCTGTTCGCCCCCGCCGCGAAATGCGCCCAGATCCTCACCGAGCAATATCGCGAGCATCCGGAGCGCTTCGAGCCCCTGCGGGAGCACGTCTTCCGCGTCCGTGCCGAGTCCGAGCAGTTTCTCCTGAGCGCGGACAGCGAGCTGGAGATGCTCGGGTGGGTGGAGACGATGTGCCGAAGCGTGGATATTTCGCTTCCTCTGGAAGGTCGAAGTGAGCCGCGAGGACGGACCTTGCCGCGACGAGGCCGTCGGATGCGGCTGCTTGAGGGCGATGTGGAGTCCGTGGCGGCGGCAGCCGTCAGGGGAGCAGGGAATGATGGATTTGCCCGACGACTGGTAGTGCAACAAGAGCGGTTGTTCAGGGAGATGTACCCGCATTTGGCCCGAACGTCGAGTGGACCAAACGCAGCTGCTATGGAGGAGCAGGAGGATGCGGTACCACATGCGGAGGGTGACACGCACCACGAGGTGGACCCCGATGCCGAAGATCTGGATGCGTCGGATGTGCGTCTGACTCCGTCGACCAACACGATAGCTGCCACAACGCCCGACAGCAGCGACCATCGCCGTTCCACGAGCTTGACCACATCAATGACCTCCCAACACCCCTCCACGACCTCCCTCTCCGCAACCTTCCCCAACTCCATCCCGGTCTCTCGCACCACGACCACCTCCGAGAAATCCCCCCGCTCCCCCCCCTCTGAACGCCCCAACACCCACCCCACCCCCCGCTACCTCCGCCGCTGCGCTCCCATCCTCTTCGCCCATTCCCCCCGCGCCTGCAACGTCCTCCTCTACCGCGGCCGCCGCATGAAGGTCAACACCCGCCGCGGCTGCCTCGAGATCTGGGAGCCGAACCCCGGCAAGCACAGCCGCGTCGGCACAGACCCCGAAGACGCCAAGGAAATCGTCGGCGAACTCCCCCCTGGCTACGAGGTCCTCTACGGCGCGACGAACCCCCATCCCGCGCAGCCCGAGCGACGACAGCAACCCCGCCCCCGCCCGACCCTCCGCCGCAACGAGGAGAGCGAGCAGAGCGTCGGCGGAGACTCCATCAATGCAGAACCCGAACACGACGGCGGCGCGCACCCGGACTCCCCGCTCATCGACGGCGTGGACGAGATCGTGCCGCTGCGGGCGGTCACGTCGGAGGCGTCGGCAAAAGGCGGGATGGCTGGGAAAGGGAAGGGGCAGCCGTTCTCGAAAGCGGGGAAGCAGATGCGGAAGCACGCGAAAGCGGAGGCGAAGAAGGCGAAGCGGGCGAAGGGAGTGGAAGGGGGGGCGATGGCTTATAGCGGGATGGGAAGTATGGGGTACGGGGTGGTCGGGTGAGCGAGGGTGGTGGGCATGGACTGCCACCATTCCCTATGTTTTGTGCAGCATTTCAGCGATTTACTGGACGGCGATGAGCGAGCGAGACGAGGGCGAGAGAACGGCGTGTTGGCCAGCGCGGGATTGATTCATCATTACGGTGTCCAGCAGAGCGGCACACACCCTCTCACCGAAGGAGTTAGCATTATTTGGCGACCATGGCGGTGGACGAGGAAGGACGATGGCATGCATGCGGAATGGACTGGGCATGGCGGACGGCTTTTTCACGTCTACATTTTGAGTTTTATGATGACGAGATACCCCTTCATGACTTAGCTAGCATTTTTTCCATACCTCTGTGATTCAATGCAAAGCGCTTCTCCTGCGATCCAACATCCGGAGCGTTGTTAACTCGGCCCTTCAGTGTGTGTTTCCGTCAAGATATGCGCTCCGGCTCCATTGACTGTGCTGCTCGATGAGCGTTCTCTTCTGGCCTTTGTGGCCGTCCTTGACTCTTCACCTCTTTCGCCGTAAAAGGCGCCGCCTACGAAACCAATTTGTGGGAGAGCAACGTCGGCGATGTATACGCACCGCGTTCATGGTTCGATTCAGCCATCCCACTGACTCAGGTCGTCGAACCGAAGCCCGACGGTCCCCTATGCATGTGCACGAACGGTAGGACTTCCTTGGACCAGCACGCCGCCACGTCAAGAGTGCGTCGAAGACCCGAGCAGGAGAGGCCGTGCTAGATGTTTCTGGCCAAGCTCCTCGATCAACAGATATCATATCATCCACCACACCCCCTCACCCCATCCCCATCTCCACATCCCCCATAATCTCCTCCGCGCCCTGCACCGTCGTCCCCGCTTCTTCCAGGTCGGCCACGAACCGCTCCAGCCCCGCGACCATGTCCGCCATCTCCTCCCGCTGCCGGCCGACATGCGCCGCCATGTCCTTGTTCTGCGCCTGCACCGCCGCGAGCTCGTTCGTCAGGCTCTCGTGTTGCGATTTGAGGAAGGGGGAGAGGTTGGTGAGGAGGAGCTGGGAGGCGGGAAGGGTGTGCGGACTGCATGTTGAGCGGGTTAGCTAGATTGGATATGGAGGAGGGTGATCGCATACGGAATCGGAGCTTCGACTTGGCCGTCCGGCGCGGTGGCTTCGGCCCGCGCCTTTCTCCTCTTCGCGTCCTCAAGCAGCGCGTCCAGCGCATTCAAACTCGAAACCACCGACCGCTCCTGAAGAATCTGCTCGAATTGCGCCTATATCATCCCAACCCCGTTAACATTTCCCGATCCGCCATCATCCGTATTCAACTTATCCATACCTTACACACAGCCTCCAACTTCCCCGAGAAATCGCGACTGAATGTGTCCAGCATCTCCGGTCGATTCTGCGCGATGGTCGGGAAGCATGCGGCGAAATTGGTGGGCGTGAGCTTGGAGAGGGTTGCGGCGAGGGCACGGTCGAAGGCGGATTGGAGGGCAGCGGCGCGGGGGCCTGGGGTGGAGGGGAGCGGGGGAGCGGCGGGGGGTGAAGGGGAGCGGGATTGAGGCGGGGGAGCGGAGGGTTGGTCCATATTGAGGATTGGCTGGTTTGTTGATAGCGAGAAGCGGGAATTGAACAGTTGTGGTGGGAAGAAGGAATTGGAGAATTGATAATAAGTGTAGATTAGTGTAAACAGTCATAAAAGCGGGGGGGCACGTGCGGATCATCATTTATTCATGATTCATCGCTTCAACGTCACTTTTGTTTAAACTAAGTACCCTTTATTTGTCTATTACATCCAATCAACTTTTGATAGAATCGGTTGTATTGAGAGAGAGGCCAGTCCTCAAAAAGAGCTTGGAAATGTTGTCACGCTCGAAACCGCTCCCCTACATCTGCGCCCGCTGTTCCCGCCAGATCCGCCATGTCCGCACCTATACCTCCTCGACCGCCTCCCTCGAACCGCCTCGCGAGTATCTCCCCTTCGGCCGCTCTCCTCTCCCCCATCGACGTCTCCTCTACATCGCCGGCCGCGACGCCCCCGTCTTCCTCCACAACCTCGTCACCAGCAACGTCATCGCCTCCTCACCGCACGGCACCTACACCGCATTCCTCAATGCTCCCGGCCGCATCCTCTACGACGCCTTCATCTATCCCGTCGCTTGGTCACACACCTTCCACGCCTGGCGCGACGAGAAGCTCGGAACTACGAGCGGGGTCACGAAGGGTGGCGACCGGCTCGACTGGGCCGCCTTCATCGAGGTGGACGCCCAGGTCCTGCCAGGGCTGATGCAGCACATCAAGCGCTACAAGCTCCGCAGCAAGTTCGCCTACCGCGAAGTTGACCCCGGTGACTGGGAGATCTGGTCCAGCTGGGACGCCGCGGAGCCTGGCGTCGACATTCCCGCCACGTCGCCCGGCATCGAAGCATCCGCCGTCGCCAACGAAGGCGGCGGCGCGGCACACACGCATATCCCATCCACCCCACCCCCGAATCTAGCCCCTGACGCCCCGATCACCCTCCACGACCCCCGCCCCACACTCACCACCCGCCTCCTCCACCGCACCACCACCGCGCTTCCCCCCCCGCTCACCGCGCTTCCCGCCGCCACCCCTGCGCACTACGCGCTCCACCGGTACCTGCACGGCCTCCCCGAAGGCGCGGGGGAGATTGCGGCGGGCTCGGCGCTACCGCACGAGCATAACCTGGATCTCCTAGGCGCGGTGGATTTTCGGAAGGGGTGCTATGTGGGCCAGGAGCTGACGATCCGCACGCAGCATACAGGGGTGATAAGGAAGCGGATTTTGCCGTGTGCGTTGTACGAGGGATCGTCGGTGCCGGAGACGCTGAGATATGAGCCGTCAGTAAAGATCCCGGTGCCGCCGGGCGGGGCGGATATCAAGCCGGTGGAAGGGCGGGGGCGGAGCGGGGGGAAATGGGCGGTGGGAATGGGGAATGTGGGGTTGGGACTGTGTCGGTTGGAGTTGATGACGGATGTGCGGGTGACGGTAGAGGGGCCGGCGGGTTGGAAGGAGGGGAAGGAGTTTGGGATGATTTGGGAGGGGGATGGGGGGATGGAGCGGGTGAAGATTAAGGGGTTCGTGCCGGCGTGGATGAGGGAGAGATTGACGGTGCGGAAGACGCAGAAGAGGGTAGAGTGAGGAGGGGTTGAATAAATGGGAAAAGCCAGCGATGGACGGTTGCGAGCCACTAGAAGCGGATCAAGCCATCACATTTAATGATACATTCTTCCACACTCAATACCTATTCCACAAATCTGTCCATGGCTTATTTACAAGCCTCCACATGTCGCCGAGTGAAACACATGCTAGTCCCTCGCTAGAACCCCGCTGCATCGTTCGCAAAGCACCACTGGGTATGATAAAGCAGTCGTGACCCATATCGCCGTCCCTATCCACCATCTCTCATACCCCTCCAGGAGCGCTCAAATTGCATATCGGAACCCCCACCTATGCCATGATATGACAGCCTTAGAATGCGCCGTAAGCTCCGTTCATCATCGCTTCACTCTCACCCCGGAAACCCCTGCCCATCCCCTTCCCCCCCGCGCAACAACACATCCAGCATGTCATACCCGCCAATATCCGGCCCATACGTTGTCTGCGTGACATCCGCCCCATAACTACTCAAGATCGGATCCAGCGGCAGCGCCAGCCAATCCTGGCCCCCGAGCCCGAAGTCGCCCATGACGTTATTTTCATCGTTCGCGGTCCCCCCCGTCCCGCTCGCGCTGTCGCCGCTGCCCGCGCTGTTCATCCCCGCGCCGCCGAACCCGTTCCCCGTGCCGATGTCCGGCATGCCGGAGCCGAGGTCGAGGCCGAACGCGCCGCCGAAGCTGGGCGGCGGCATGATGTTGATGCCGCTATGCTCGAAATCCGTAGATTCGGTCGTGATGCCCCATAGGGTCTGGCTGTTTTGATTTCGACCACTGAGACTGAGTGCTGGCGAGCTGGGTGATAACCCCATGCCACTCCACTGTGGCGTCGTGCCGGCCGTGATCCTGCCGCCGAGGCCGGTGGAGCCGTGGGAGAGGTTTGGCGGGGGCATATTCGAAGGGTGCGGGCTCGCGGTCCCCGCATTGGGGCCGACGCCGGGTGGAAAGCCCGATGGAACGCCGTTGCCGGAATGGGTGGAGGAGCCGCCGGCGGCGCCGGAACCCGACATGCGGACGATGCGACCGCGGATGCGGTGGGTGAGGAGGTCGGCGAGGTCGGCAAAGCGGTTGGAGACGTGGACGTCGTCGACGATACAGGTTCGTAGCGCTTGGACGGCCTGGTCGAGGAGAGATAGGGAAAGGGCAACGTCATCCTCGGTTGCACCGAGTGCGAAGGTCTGGAGCGTGGGAATTAATACAGGGTGTGGGATTGAGATGGGGGAGTTACCTTGAGAAGAATGATGGCGACGGAAATGATTCGGAAATAGGTACGGACTGGAGCGTGCTTTAGATATTCGCCAGGGTACAGTCCACTGACTACGATCTTCAGGACATTGCGGCACGCTTCGATGACCTCCCGAATATACTGTCGATCATTCCCGTACCACCTCATCAACGTCGTCAGGGGAATCGCGTTGCCTTCTGCATTGGTTGAGCCATTAATTGGCTTCTTATCTCCGTTTCCCTGTGGCGTCTGCGCTGGCTGGGCATATTGCTGGATCGGCGTGTTATGGGTACACCTCTCCACCACCGCCTGCAGTCCAAGGCTATTGAGGTAGACACGAGTATACTCGTACTCGATGTTCATGATATGCCGCATATGCTCCGGAATCCGCTTGCACTGGTCGAATTCCTTCTTCCAATCGAGCAAGAGGGGATGAAAGGATTTCAGTAGCTCCTCATACTCGCCCGACTTGATGAGATCGCGAGTCATGCGGCGATTCGCGAACATCTTATGATTCCCCAGCTCCATGATGCCAGCAAGGGATATCCAGAAATGGAGAATTAATTCATTCACCCCGATACTAGGGTTAGATGGATCAGGTAACCCCGGTCGTGTGGGTGCTGGAGAAGTTCCCAATGTACCTAATAGATCGTGGACACGGCGCAAGGACGCCTTGCGCTCTTGGAGGCGTTGCTCGGAGGGTTGCTGAAGGGATGAGTCGGCATACAATTGCGGAAGCATGGAAGTGAGACCAAAACGACCCGATGTTTGGCTGATGTAGATTTGAAGGAGCTCCTTGATGTGTCGTTTACGATTAAAGAATACTTGGATGGTTTCCGGAGGGACGGTCGGATTATCCTGAATTGTATAGAGGTCGCTCGACGGGTTTGGGTCAAAAACGCCAAGCTCGTATGCGAGAGACATAGCAATCCCGATCAGCATCCAGCAAAGGCGATCGGATCGCCAGCATGGTTCGAGCCAGCTGTCCATTTTCTGTCCTCCGGTACCATTGAGGAAGACCGGCGGAGGGGCTTCATCCACCACCACTTCCGGTTCTGCGGCACATTCGGGGATCATCAACTCGTCGCCTTCCGTACCAGGGGGGAAGTGTAGAGACCGTGGATGCCATTCGGTGAGAAGCAGCAATGCTTCGACGGTTCCAAGGGTACGGAGGCCGGTTCTGACCAGTGGGTTGATGTCTGATGCCGGTTGGCTCCCGGTGATCGGAACACTGGAGGAGCCAATAATTCCGCTACCGAAATGCTCTTGACCCCAGATCAGACGATCAATCATGCCTTGCAGGTAACCCCACAACTTCTCATGAATAGCATAGGGACGGCTGCTCGCCCCTGGACCCATAAGACGCATGTAGCGGGATGATATGGTCAGCAGTGTGACCGTGAGCATCGGCTCCATCTCCAGCATACGACTATGGGTTGCCGGGTTGTTATAATCCGGGACCGTCACGGGGCTCAGCGGAGCGAGGGACGAATAGAAGTATTGGATGTAGAGAATGCCTTCCTTCGCAGTGAACCAGCCAGCTCGCACGAAACGGAAACGTGACCATGCCCTAAGCGCAGACTGCATGGCAGCCTCCTCAGTAGGAAGGGCACCCACTAAGCCGGGGATCGGGCGAGGGGCGGTGGGAAAGGGAGGAAAGGTGGGATTGCGCAATGGGACTTGCGGTACAGGATCGTGAGGGCTTGCAACAGCCTCTTGGGTTCTCGGGGTGTTATTGACAGCCGCGCCAGGCCGTTGGAGGCTCGCGTTGCTCGCAGTGCGCCGATGGTCCGGCCGCTGCTCCCCGTTCTGCGCCGCCTGATAAAGCAGGTTGAGGGCATCGTGTCCGCTGTATACCTCCGTAGTCTGAAGTATGGCCGTGGCTTCGTCGTTGCCTTGAACGTCTTCATCGTCCCGGCCCACGAGTGAGTCATTGTTACCTGACGTACCCGGCCGTCGAAGCGGCTGAAGGCGAGCGGTTGACCCGCCTGGAGTCAGCGGCTGCTGAGCAAGAGAACCGAAGCTGTTGGGTTGATATGGACTCGGGGTGAATTCGTCCGTCACTGCTCGCACTCGTTTCCTAGCATTTCGGATCTCGTAGTCGGAGAGGTCGCCTTCATCCATTGCCTCGTCATCCTCTTGAGTCTTGCGCTTCCGCCGTGTTGCGCTGAAGAAGCATTCTTTGGACTCGCGACGACAGCGGACGCATGGTGGATCATGAGGGTTATCGACGGGTCCGAGGTCGCAGCGGACTTTACGACGGCGGCAGGGAATACTATTAAGCGCAAAGTAAGCATGAGTCCGAAGGATAGGAGTTCGAGTTCAGGATCATGTTTCTGACAGAAAGGAGGGAAACAAGAGAGTGATGAAGCAGGCAATTTGACGATGCGATTCGGTTATCCTCGGCGTAAAGCATGCGCTTTGACCGTAGATTCTTCTCACTGTCGCGTCGTGCTATGACGTCGAAGGGGGATTATGGACAATTACCATGCTTGATAGGTGCGCGTATGCTGCTGGCCTAGTGGTCGTGTGCCGGAGGTGGTGTCGGCCGCTTGACTCTGATCCATTGGTGGATCTGGTGAGATCGGATATCAGAGTGAGACCGAAGTGTATGTTGCAATAGAGATGGAGTCTTAGAGGGTTAAGACCGGTCTATTGATGGCAGCAATGTGCGATGGAGAGTGGCGGATGGTGCCGCAGAGCTGAGGGGATGGAATGTCGGTCTGGTTGGAGTGTGTATGTGCTGGGGAAGGAGTCTAGTAGCATTGGTCATAGACATGGTCTTGTGGCAATTATCTTCTGGCGATTGTAGATTGTCGGGGGAGGAAAGGAAGGCAAGGAAGCTGTTCAATACTAGGGAATATTAAATGTATATACCGGGCGTCATAATTGCCTGGCAATCCAACTCACATGTGGAGGAAATTGAGGCTTATCATGGGGGGAATCACGGGTTCACGATGATGAATGGAAAAGTGAGGAAGCCACGCGACGCAGCCTGCTATCGTGGGGAAGTCACGATGGGCCAGGGGATTGGATGGCGCCTGCCCCATTATCCATAAAGATTTCAAGCTGGACTGCTGGAGCTGCAGTCACGGGGCTATACTACACAGTCCACACCTGTATCAAACTATCAGCGTCATCAGCTGTGCAATTGGAAAGCGCGCCTGAGTTACACCTTCGATTTTCTCCAAGTAATTTCTAGTTATACTAACTTAGTTAACACAATCATTAACTTAAGTTAGTTAACTAACTAAGTTAGTTACACAGTAGTTAATATGAATGATAATTAATCATATACGCCAGGTACAGATGCCTTAAGATATCAAACAGAAAGTTCAAGGTAATTTAACCAGCGAATTGGGACTCCAACGTCCATCAGATGGACTTAATAGATGTCATTGAACAGGGAATAAGGTGTTAATAGCGAATTATATCCATTGTTTCACATCATTTCTCGACTCCAAGATATCCTTTATGATTGACTCCGTCATACCGCGAGTAGGCGACTCCCCTGTATCCGCCATGCCTTGTGGACTGTGGTGACTGGCGAGTCTGATTGCTGAGGAGTGAAGAAAGGCTAGACCCTGAGGAGTGAGGAGTGAGGAGGGAGTAGATCAGTTGAGCCGCACGGTGGGGATACTTCAGTTTAGTTCAGTCAGGTGCTGTAGGGCTGGCGCTTAATGGCCGATGCTCTTTAAATATAGCAGAGCTATTTGCCGGTAGCTATGCAATGTCCCAATAGGCCAATACTATACACAATAAGGAATGAATGGTTTACTAGCAATGGAGAACATGTTGGCAACCGATCAAACTCCACCTTGACATTGCTCAAATCAACTGATTGCAGCCTTGCAGCCTTGACACTTTTCCAGTTCGATGCACCCTGCCCTTCTGCCTTGTCGTCATATCCTGATGGTCTTCAATTGTTATTCAACTTTCAGGAGACAAGAACTGAAGTTCCATATTTTGCTTGTTAGTCTATCCACTCGAGCTTCGACCACCACTATGTCTCCATAGCGCTTCTTTAAACCCAAAACCCTTCCGAAGCGACCGAACTTCTCCTCTCCATATTCCAGATTCCAAACCAAACTCCACCCACCACCCCATCACCATGGCGCCCACCGACGACCTTCTCCACCTCGCCTCCTCCACCCCCCACGACTTCTACACCCTCCTCTCCGTCGATCCCACCACCCCTCCTGACCAACTCCGCCGCGCCTATCGCCGCACCGCCCTCCTCTACCACCCCGACAAAAACCCCGACAACCCCGCTGCCCTCGCCACCTTCCACCTCCTCGAGCTCGCCTACTCCATCCTCTCCGACGCCCCCGCCAAGGCTGCCTACGATGCCGCGCGACAGGCCCGTGAGGGGCAGCGGCTGCGCGAAGAGGCGATGGATCGGGGGAGACGGGATATGTTGAGCGAGCTGGTGCGCGCGGAGCGTGAGGCGTTGGGGGTGAAGCGGAAGGTGGATGAGGCGGAGGCGGCGGAGGAGAGGGAGTTGAGGCGTTTTAAGGAGGATGCGAAGAGGAGGAGGGGGGAGATGGTTGAGGCGAGGGAGAGAGAGAGGGAGAGAGAGAGGGAGGAGGGGAGGAGGGAAGGGGAGGTGGGGGCGAGGGTGGAGGAGTGGCGGAGGGGGAACTTGGGGGGTTTGAATGTGCCGGTTGGGGAGCGGACGGTCAAGGTGCGGTGGGTGAGGGCTGGGAGCGGACTTCAAATGGACACGGAGCAGCTAGTTCAAAGGTTTGCGCGGTTTGAGAAGACGGCAAAGATGGAGCATGCGTTCGTCGCCGGCGACAAGAAGCAGCGGATCGGCGAGGAGAAACAGAAGAAATTGATGGGCCAAGGGTTCATTGTGTTTCAGTCCGTTCTCGACGCCGACCTGGCCGTCAATGAAGGCCAGGACGATCTGTTTATCTCCGTGACATGGCTCTCTGGGCCGCCAGACGCCGACGCCCCCGAACCGAGTCCTCCCTCCGCAACATCTACAACGACACCGTCGACAACCACGCCACCCTCATATCTCAGCAACGAGGAAAAGCTACGCCTCCGAATGCGGCGCTCACAACGCGCTCGAGGAGCAGCCATGCCAACCGAGCCGACCGAGCCGAAGAAGACTTTTATATTCAACAAGCCCTCATCCGATACCCTCCCCTCCAAAGAAGCTCACCCCACACCCCACGGCCGCGCAACGAACGGCGACAGCAACCCCCCAAGCACCGCGAAACCCGTCCCGAAGTTCTCGTTCGGAGGGAAGAAGCCGGCCGAGGCGCGGAAAAATGGCAGCGCGCCCGTCCCGAAGTTTTCGTTCGGGGTGACGGAAACAGATGAGGAACGGACACGACGGTTACGGAGGGAGGAACGGCGACGGGAGGAGGAACGGATACGTCGAGAAGATGAGGTGGAGGACACCCGGACGGAGGAAGGGGTGGGGAGTTGACGAGGTACGAAATAAGAAATAACGAATACGACGATCATGTGTCAAATTTCATTTTGATGTGATGGTGTATCTGGCGTTGCTACATGTGAGGCTCTAGGTATCGCTCATGAATTGTACACCCAAGCCATCAATCCGGCATCCTATGCGCCGGCCAGCTATGCAGACCCCCCCCCCCCCCCCCCCCCCCCAAATCCTACCGAAAACATCGGAAACATGATGGGATGCCGAAGCATCGTGTACGCCATCCCAGTACTTTCGCCCGATCGAACACCGCAGCACGAGTATGCGTGCCCGAAGAAGAGAAGAAACCAAAGGAGCGTGGAAGACCACCCTTTTTTTCCTTTAGGTCGCCTTTCTCACAACGCGGATACCTTCACGTCCAGCATCTCACTCGGTACCAAGCTCCCCCGCGGAATCACCACCTCCGTCCCCGGGTGCTGCCGAAACACCGTTGCCTCACTAACCGTCGTGTCCGGCCGCCTCGCCCCAGTCCGCCGATACCGATCCGGCACATCCGGCACCTGCGGCTCCCCCGTCCGCTTTCTTGGCGATTTCGGCACCGGCGGCGGAAACGGCAGCGCATGCGCGTCCGTGAACGGGTTGGGGTTATCGGGAGTGGCGCTCGTGGGCGTCGTCGGCGTCGTCGGCATGCCCGCGCGGATCTGGCTGGCCACCCGGGTAGTCTGGTTCCCGACCCAGCTGTCGACGGTGCGATACCGCGGGGCCGAGCTGAGGGACGACGTCTCACTGAATTTGGATTCCCGGGACTTCCGGTCGCGGGCGCGCTCGGAGGCGGTGGATTTGCGGAGCTCGGCGTGCGTGCGGTGGTCGGCGGTCGGGCTGGGTATCAGGTGCAGGCGGGGCGTGGTGGGGGCTTGGGAGTTGGTCCAGCTGAAGCGGCTGGCTTTGAAGGGGGGTGGGGGGGGGATGGTGGAGGTGGAGAGGGTGGAGGAGTAGCGGGTTTCGTGGCCGGCGTCGGTGGTGCTGGAGTCAGGAAGGGCTGAGGGAAGGACGGGCGAGCTGGATCGGTTGGGGGGGGGAGCTTTGGTAGAGTTCTCGTCGGTATGGATCGCTGCCAAAACGGCGGAAGGGTCGAGGGCGTGCCCGATCGTGGAGCGGTCGTCGAAGAAAGTACTGGAGTCCGGGGTCGGGAGAAGCGGACGCGCGGTTGTGCGCCCTGGTATTTTGGCAGCCGGGTATGGTCGAGGTAGCTCCCCGAGCCTGTCAAAGCTTCCCTCCGGCGTTTGCCTTCCTTGACTCCTCTCCCACGCGCCCCTGCGATCCCACGCATATGCGGGCACGCTCCAGTTGCGTGTGGTGCGCCGCAGACTATGCCAGGAACTTCTTGCCCGGGGAATAAGTCTCCACGGTGCGAGCGCATCGGAGGGTGGGCGGCTGGGAGCCTGCTTCTCCGGGCACTCCTTTTGGAACACGGTCCTCAGGGTCGCCCCATGGCGGAAGCGCCAGATTATGAAACAAAGGAAAAAGATGGCGAGGATCGCGCCTGGGGTCGTCAGCTCTCAAGTCAACAATCACCTGAGTCCTCAACTTACTAACTACGCCGGCAATGATCGCCGCCTGTTTGACGCTCGGACTCAACCCTCCCGGCATCTCCGATGGAGGTTGGTTGACGGCGCTGGACGGCATCGATACGGGGTCTATTACGCTGGTCTGCAGCGACGTCGTAGGTAATATAGGATTGGTTGGAGCGCTAGAAAGCGATGTCGAGTCGGATAAAGGGTCTAATTTGACAATACTTGAAGATATGGCTTGCGGAAACGCTGTTGGGCTGGAGGAAGGGGACGCTGGAGGGGTGGTATCAGGCTGAGGTGGAGCAGAAGTCTATATCGCAAATGAGCACATGCTATTCAGATCGGTGTCCCAATGACCGTGGTTTGCAAGCGCATTGGCAATATCTTGGAGGAATTAGAGGACTCACCGAACTTGGGGCAGCGACGGCCGGCTTTTCAGCAAACGCTGGTGCAGCAGTGACTGCTGGCTTATCATCCGAATCAACATCCGAATCACTCGGAAGGGACGGAGCCTCTGTAGCGTCCGGAGCTGGCGCCTCTGGGGCGGCCGACGATGTTCGATGATCGATCGCCGCCCTCACCTCGCTGACTCTCGCTTCATACCTGGACTCCCAGTATCCGTCCGCCTTGCTCCGATATTGGATGTATCCATCCAGCAAAACTCCCCGCGCCAGCGGGGCATGGAGGTTTGAAAGCGCCATGAGACCCGAGTAAACTCTAGTGCTGTCCGAGCAGACTTGAGCGGCTCACAGTGTTGATTAATGAAGCTCCTCGGACGTCGTTCCTCGAGCTTCTTCCCTCGACACGTACTCGACGGTCACCTAAGTAAACATGGACCCATGGAGGGGATGATCTGTACCCGGCAATCCGAGCTCCTGAAACTTCGAGTGCAATGCGAAATAAGCTGAGTAGCAGTCCCGAACCAGCAGGGCCGCCGCGGAGGTTGGCGAAAGAAACGAGGGGCTTGGTATGAAACCCTTTGCTTGATGACAGCGGGGTCTCCTAGGATTTGTAGCGAATGGCTTTTCGCAAGAAGCGAGGGACAAGTTGGCAATGGACAATAGAGAATAGAGAATAGAGAATAGAGAATGAAGAGACAAAAGTTCTAGGACTGGAACACAAGACGCCGCTCAAGCTGCAGCAGATGTATTAGGGCTAACGGATGGTCATAGACCTTGAAAACACGTTCAGAAAAGACAGCCGCTCGGACAGAGTCTTGCTTTCGGAACGGATGAAGTGAGTGAATCGAGCGAAGCAGGATTCTGTGAGGTAAAGATGTTCAGGAATCCGATTCTCCCTCGATCACTTCGAAATCTTGTGATACGTGCGCGCTGCTCGCCATATTCAGGAGTTGACCCAAGGTCGGGGGAAGTTCATCAAGCAATATCCTGGGAGGGAGACATGATCCCCCCCGAGACCCTGACACTGTTACCTGATCGAAACTCCCAATAGTTGGGATGCCAGTCTATACCACGCTCGGGGTATAGTGAAGGATGAGCCTATGGAAGAGGGTCGAGAACTGCTCTCCCGAGGCATACCAAGGACCGCAAACGTCTGGTTTGTCCCCGTGGTGTTTCATATTCAGCATGGGGATGGAAGATGAATGTTAAAAGACGCGCGATGCGGGGGAACTCCCAGTCTCAGTGTGACAGAACTGCATCAAAGTAGGTACTTCGCTTATGGTCCGTCGCATCATCGCATGCGAAGACTTCCCGGAAACAAAGTTGACAACTAACACGTGGAAGCGGTTAGAAGTAATCGGGTTAATTGGTGGAAAACTGTAAATGGAAAAGAAGTGGATGTGAGCAGTTGGCGATCGTGAGTGTCTAGTCCGTACATTGATAGTTACAGCTTGTGGTATCCAACGTCCGTCGACGATCCCATCTGACACGCGATGTGCTCTGTCGCATCCGAATTTACTTGTCACCGTACGTTTCGACCAATGTCGGCAGATCTTGAACCGACTTTGAAGTACAGCAAGCGAGGAACGGATTCGACTTGCAGCAACGAGGTTAGTACGGACGGGAAGTACTCTATTCCAGTCAGCCAGCTGTGTCTGGTGCGTGGTCTGTGGAGATCCAGGGGCAACACTCATGGAAATTGCTCTCTCCCCGTCTCACGGATCCAGCTCCTGGAAATCTTTGGGAAATATTAATGAACTGAACGATCCACTGAGCTGCTCCAATCTCCATGGACTCGTGCAAAATTAATTTTCCAACCGGGAAATTCACGAGAGCGGTTCTCTCCAGCGTCTCCTATTCCCGCGGTCAGGAGCTTGCCCTAAGACCCTGACCCTCCGCCCACCCCAAAGAGAATCGCTGATCCTTCGATTCGCTGGGCATTGAGGGGCCGAAAATGCAATCGCAGTCTCAAAACTCGGTTGGAGCTTTGTTATGGTGCAAACCAATCGAACAGTTCTAACGCCAACTGTAAGCCCCATCGAATGGCGTAGCTCTCTATTCTTAGGAGAGCCTATGACCGCCCGATCCAAACGGGTGCCAAGTCCGATCTTGTTCTACTAGAGCTATAGTAAGTTTTGTATCTTCGGAGCCACCGCCCCAAGCTGCTGATGGTGGGGGCAGAGTGTAATGCGCAACCAGAGAGGCGGGTGAGGCTGAGTAGCACTTCCTGCGTTGGAGGTTCTGCATCTATAGCACCGAAGAAGGGTCAATATAAAATCTCGCCCGTTGCACAGCCTCATCGCAGTGCTGTCCAGCCAGAAACACCTCGCACTTCCAGTCTCCGACGGAGTTTTGTATGCCTGGATACGTACGTACGGCCAGGGAGGGAGCGTCGTAAGGTCAGCCGCCCGAGGGAAAGTCGTCACCAGCCTCCGCCAGCCGCCACTCCACTGTTCCGTAGAATTAGTCAAAGGCGCAGCGGATTGTGCGGATGATGTGCGGATGCACGGCAAAAGGGAGTATAACTTGACGGCGTCTGCGCTACATCTCACTCTTTTTCATCCACCTAAATACTTTCCCATATATCCGAAGTCCGAAGTCGCTTTCCATCCAAGTCCTATCTGCCATTTTATCCGCAGCCAAGCCAGCAATCTCGTCGACGTCCGCCTTTGCTTACTCCTTGGTGATACACCCCTCCTGTTACCCCGCCCACCGTTCAGTTCAAGTTATCCATCACTCCATCCACAATGTCTGGCCCATACGATCAATACGGTCAGCAGCAATACGGCGCTCCGCCTGCGCCGCAATACGGTGGTCAACCGCAAGGCTATGCGCCCTCGCAATCCCCATATCCTCCTCAACAGTCTCCCTACCCGCCCCAGCAATCACCCTACCCTCCCCAGCAGTCACCATATTCTCCCCCGCAGGGCGGCGCCTACGCCCCTCCCGCTGCACCCAGCTACGGACCTCCCGCCCAGGGTGGCTTCCAACACGGCCAAAACCCCACCTACGGCGGCTACGACCAGAGCCAGCAACAAGGCGCCGCGTCGACCGGATAGTGAGTTACTCCCGCAATATCCGCACCTGAACATCATCGCTAACGTCCACCAGTTACGGTGGCCAATCCCCTCAACAATACCCCGGTCAAGACCCCTCCCACCAGTTCCCGCAGCAGGGTGCCTACAACCAGAACCCGTACCCTTCCGATCCCAACGCCCCGCATCCGCAGGCGCAGCACGGAAACCCCTCGGATCCCGCTATGGCGCAGGAGGGCGACCGCGGCTTGCTCGGCGCGATCGGTGGCGGTGCGGCCGGGTACTTCGGGGGAAAGAAGGCTGGCGGACATACAATCCTCGGGTCGTTGGCGGGCGCCGTGGCAGGGCATAAGCTGGAGGATCATTTCAAGAAGCCGAAAAAGCATGGGAATGGTCAGGGTGGGTGGCACTGAGAGGTTGATCATGTTGGAAGGGAATTGGATGGAATGATTCCATAATCGTCATACCTATTGTTCATACCTATTTGTTCTCTCAAGGTGTTTTTATAGGGATTGGACGGCCTACTGAATTTGTATCATGTCTCCCGACACGAATTCTAAGAGTGTATTTATGATCATCATGATAATATTATTAGTACGCCAACCAAGCTCGACGATTGATATCACATTGCATTTTCCTGATAATCGGTAGGTCCCCCTTCTGTAGCGCTCTGAATCCTTTAATTCCCCGGTCGCTCGTCCAGGTCGAATCCATTTTCCGAGTGGTGGGCCGGATCTCATATATATTACCTTGTCGGCCCCTTTTCCAATTCCAACTGCGCTTCCAACCACAACCCTGCCCTCAGCCCGGGTGCTTATCATCGTTTCATGCATTTTTTGTTTCGTTCGAAATAACGAACCGGTTCATCAACATCGGACTTGAAGATTCGGTATAGACAGTATAGCGTATACAAGAGGTGCCAGCTCGGGTGATCCGGATCCCACTGGACCTGCAGTCTGCCTAGCCCGTCTGCACTACTCAGTAGTAAATCTAATGTGAATCATCCGGATACTCGCCCGAGCCTGTTTCAGCGATCACTGTTTGATGAACATTGCAAGTTCATGCTAGCCCCTGCTCGATCCACGGTTGTCGGTGTGGTTCACGATGCCTAGTTCGGTGTTTATTATGTGTCATGGGGATCTGAAGGCAAAAGTGGCATTGGCAGCGAGGATATCGTTGTACGTTGAGGGCACTGTACTGGTAAATCCATTACGTGAAGCCGTGGACCCAGCAACATTCCAGACGGAGGGATCTATTCCGTCAAATCGATTCAACTAAACGAGAATCGCCTTCAAAGGTCGTCACTCTCGAAACCACGTAAGCCCAACGAGACGGTCGCGTGTGCTTTTAGATGACTTTGTATCCGAACTTTTCATAGAGCCTAGCATTTGCACCGTTGCATAGCATGCGTCTCGCTCCGACACCCATTCAGTCGTGACTCGTCCCAAGCTCTTCATTCCATAGGCAAAGCAGTCCGCCCTCCATGGACGCGTTCCGCTTACAATTTTGCTTGAGCATCGACTGTAAGCTTCGCCAGTCCTTCCCGCAGCGCTGTCCCCATTCCATTGACTCCAGGCCTCCGGTTCTCTCGGCCCACGAAGACGTGAACGAACTCGCCGACCGCCCTGGCTTCCTCGCTGCCCTGCTCGAACACCCCAATCTCATACGTGACGCTGCTCTTCCCCAGCTTGTTCACCCGCAAGCAGAGGTCAGCGACGGCGGGGAACCCCAGGGGCCCGAAATAGTCGCAGTGTGAATGGACGACCAGACCGATCTCGGGCGATGTCGGGGGGTGGAGGCCGCAGTGCTGGATGAGGTAGGTGTTCACGACCGAGTCGAAAAGGTAGTAGTAAACTGAGTTGTTCATGTGGTCGTACATGTCATTGTCGATCCTACGGGGGTGAAACGACGTCTTCAGCGATGCCGCTCGGAGAGTGGATAATATTGCCGTACCATCTGGTTCTATAATCGAGCATATACTTGTAGTCTCTCCTCGTCCGCTTCTTGAGCTCCGCAACGGCAGCCATGGTTACGGTTATGGTGGCAAACTATTCTGTTATTTTAGGCGCTGGAACCGATGGGAATGAGGTCTAGGAGAATATGTTTGTACCGAAGCAAGAGCATCCGACATTTTCCTCACCCATAACATCTAATAAAGCCCTCCAAATGCTCAATATCAGATCGCCCTCCCTCCCCATGACAGTTCTGGACCGAGGTTAAGCTCTGATTGGTTTAAAATCGGACTGCGCCCCATGAGCCCCATTTGGTGTCAGATTCCGACGTTCTCCCGCCTATTGGTTCCGACGGACTCCCGAAAGAGTCGAAACCTTCCATCGGAATAGAATTCTGTGATATTATATTGCTGCGTTCATGAACCAGTGATTTAATCCTCAAATTCCCGATATCTTTATTATCCCGCCTTACCGTAGCATCGCATCAAAGACGGTGTCTTTGCAGTTGCCCCGCTGGCTTTAACATCGCGACTCCGGGAGTTCGCAGTCCGCAGAGCGCGTTTGCTCAACCCAACAATGGCGATGACAACAGTCGAAAGTCCAACGGCTTCGAAGCCTAAAGGTTCTCCTCAGACTTCTCCTCAAGTTTCTCCGCAGGTCGAAGACCCGACTGTGCCGATTTCGACTCCCTGTGACCCGTGGCCACGGCCGTATTTCTTTGAGAATGGCCTCAGAAAGGTGGCCCCGTATCATTTCACTTACAACACCTGGTGCAAGGAGCGTTGGCGGAACCGAGGGCTATTGGAGATCTTCTCAAGCGAGTTTAGAGATCGACCCCTAGAGTATTACGTGAGTTCGTGCGTTGCATATTTCACCGAGGGTGTACCGACCGGGGCTGACCTGCGGCCAGAGATATGCTCTTGAAACCGGTCACGTAACCGTGAATAACAAGGTTGTTTCGACTCCCAACGACACAGTGAAGAATGGCGACGTTATTTCGCACACACTCCACCGCCATGAGCCACCAGTGTCTGCCCAGGCGATCGGTATCATACACGAAGACGACGATATCATCGTCATCAACAAGCCGGGAGGCATCCCGGTGCACCCGGCCGGCCGGTACAATTATAACTGTGTGGTCGAGATCATCCGGGCCGAGCGGAGCTACGATTTCAAAGCATTGCCGTGCAATCGCTTGGATCGCCTAACCAGTGGACTCATGTTCATCGGGAAGCACCCGAAAGCTGCGGACAAAATGAGTAAGTCACTGAAGGATCGAACGGTGCTGAAGGAATACGTCGCATGCGTGGCGGGCGAGTTCCCCGAAGGGGAGGTGGTCTGCGAGAAGCCTATTCTCCAGATCAGTCCGAAGCTGGGGTTGAATCGAGTGCGAGCGGATGGAAAGTCGGCGAAGACGGTGTTTCGACGATTGGCATACTACCCTCCATCTCCATCCGAGACAGAGGAGAACAGCGATGATTCGTCGACAAGTCCCTCCGTCCACGACGATGGTATGCCTTGGAAACGGCATAAAGGGTACTCGATTGTTCGTTGTCTTCCATTGACTGGAAGGACCCACCAACTGCGGGTACATCTCCAGTTCCTCGGCCATCCCATCGCAAATGACCCGATCTACGCGAACCAACGAGTTTTCGGCCCGTCGCTCGGAGCGGACGACGATAGCGCTTCCAACGACGACGACATCATTTCACGACTGGACAGGATGGGCAAGCAGGAGGTCGCGGAAGCCGTCGCGTACCATGATGAGGTGGTGGACCGGTATCAAAAGCAAAAGGCGGAGCGGTTGACGGGCGAAATGTGTGACGTCTGCCACGCTCCGCTGTACAGTGACCCGGGGTCACATGAGCTTGGTATCTGGCTGCATGCGAGGAAATATGCTTGCTCGAACGGGAAGTGGAGCTACGAATCACCTCTGCCGGACTGGGCCCTCCCGCCGGCGGGCGTTGAGGGGCCGAAAGATGCGACGGATGATACCGATCCATTGACGAGCGAAGTGGCCAAGTTGACGTTGGAGAAAGAGGCGCAGAAGGAGAATGCCAAAGCTTAGGCCAAGCTGCCCCACGAGAATACCCTTTCGAAGAGATCAATTCCAAAATTTCCGGAAAACTACACAGCCCAATCCACCGTTTGAATCCTCTTACTGCAGGCCGAGGTCGATAGGAACCCCGTCCTGTTCGCCGCTTTTCAACAACGCTTCCAGCTAGAACCATGTCAGTGAAATCTTCCGCGTGCGCTTCTTCGTAGAGCATAAAACCTACCACCTCGAGGTCTCTCAGGGCTTCCTCGGGCCTCTGCTCGTCGTCCAAGGAACCCCTCTCAATACCTTTGGCGAACGCCAGCACTTCTTCCTTCACCCCGGTCCCCTGGCCCGGAAACTCCCTCACCTCCACCTCCCCGTCCCTGTCCACCGTGACCTTGTCAAAGCCCACCTCGACCGTCCCGTTTTCGCATGCGATGGCATACTCCCGCCCCTTGAACGTCGTTCCAAAGCTAATCGCGATTGTCCCCGTTACCCCAGAGGCACAACGAACCGTGGCATCCAACGTGTCGAGCGGAGCCAGATGTTCCTGCAGCTGCGACGAAAAGCTGGATACCCGAGCGATCTTGTTGTCCGGCTGCAAGAGAAGTCGAGTCCCCGCAATGAAATGAACTCCGCCGTCCAAAAGGAACCCGCCCATATACGTGGGTGTTTTACGCCATGCCGTTTCTGCGTGTTTATATCAGCATCACTGTCCGCAGCTCACCCGAATAGCCGCACAGCGCCTTACTGTAGTACTTCCCATCCGTCGGGACCATGGCGGAGACCCGCGTTCGAAAGCCGGTCACCCGACCGAGCTTCGGCACCTGCTCCGCGCCATACACGAAGCTGGGCTGGTAGCGGAAATTCTCCGCGATCCCGAAGAAGACCTTGGACGGGTCGATGTTCGCGTGATACCATCCGAGGAGTTCTTTCGCCGTCGCGATGTTCTCGCTGATAGGTTTCTCGGCCAGAACGTGCTTCCCCGCCGCCAGGGCTTTCTTGATGTACGGGGGCTGGTTCGGGATGGGCAGGCTGGGAAGCGTTAGTCCTCGGGATGTGCGCCGCATTGACGATCGAGACATACGCGATTATGACGGCCTGGATATCGTCCCGCTGGAGGAGGGCATCGTATCCTTTGCCATCGGTCTCGTCGGAATACACATCCACCCCGCCTGCCGCCTCCGCGAGATCACTAGCGGATTTATGCGAGCGGGAGTACGTTGCTTTGAGACTATATGCGTTTGCCGCTTGCACCGCAGGCTTCACGAATGGGACTTGGTCAGCGAATAACCTCACCCGTCAAAATGGGGATTCGTAAACATGTCCTACCAAGTGCTGCTCCTTTGCGAAGATCCCTGGATATAATCAGAATTTGAAATGAGCGTCCAGGTGGATTTCAATGCTCACCGCTTCCTACGATTGCTAATCCGATCATTTTGCGACTTATCTGATGAGAGGTTTGTGTTGTTTAGCTACCGGGTTTGGCAATTGCACCACTGGAGATTTTTATCAAGTTTGGGGAATGATGCAATATACGAAGCAAGTCTCCACCATTTCTAACTAGAAGCTCTCACCAGCACTAAAATATCCACCATTTTTCTCGGGCTTTTTATTGGTGCACAACCAAGGAAATGCAGTCATTCGATCTTACATTGCAGTTTACAGGCTGCAGGAATCGATGTAACACGAATGCTACAGTAACACTGGAGGTGGAGCTGTCTTCGTGGTTCTGTTAATGACCAGGGACCGAATCTAGTATCGTATATACTGCATTCATTCCTTACATGATAGCACATGGAAACTCCGTTGATCATAGGTATACGTCTACTTACGAAGGACGTACCCGCTTCATATCTGTAGGCTTCATCCTTTATATTAGGTATCACTTTAGTTCTTTACAAGATATGAACGAACATCACCCTTGACAAGCCGATCATCCAGTCGCAAATCTTCCTGGAATCTTGGTCTCCTACATTGGATCTCTGTCTATCTCCGAAAACTGAAGGCGTTGGTGGCAGAGGATATACACTAATCAGATCTTGCTCTTGATCCCCTCATCTCCCTTCCTAGCCGTCGCCTTCCCCTTCCAGTCGGCGAACGTCGGCGGACTTGGATCGAGCGGCCGTTGCAGCCAATTCACCATCCGATCCGCGCCCTTCAAAGGCTCCAAACCATCGGCTAAACGACCAAAGTTATCAGTCGCTCTTTCCATACCGAAACATCGCACTGGATGACTTACCGTAGCCGATGAATGGCTTGTGGATCGCATACCCCATCATCTCCACGATACGCTCCGGAATCTCCGGAAGCCGCCGTGGGTCGACGGAAAGCACCATGTTCTCGATTGGACGGATATACGGTTGGCAATATTGCACCGTCATGCTCTTTCGGGGCAGGTCGGTTTGGTTGGCGCCGCCGCCGTGCCAGAGCAAGCTCGTGAAATACACCACGCTGCCGGCGGGACACACCGCGGGCTGGGTTTCCTCTTCGCGGGGACGTCGGCCTTGTGGCCAGGTATGGCTCTTGGGGATGATCCTCGTTGCGCCGTTCGTAGGGGTAAAGTCGTCGAACGCTCCCATTGTCAGATTGGGGTGTTATGATCCAGTTAATGGGATACTTACCGACGATTATAGCAGTCCCAAACGGGGGCCGCGGTCGAGGCACGTTTATGAATGCATCGTCTAGATGATACATGAGTCGGATCTCTTCAAATCCATTTGGTCCGTCACTGACCATGGTGCAAGGCCTGAGCCTCTTCCCGGGGGTTGATTTGGATGGTATGAAGGACGTGAAGTTGGGATTGGGGCTCCAGAAAGTAGTCATTCAGCGCCAGAACGTCCGGGAGCGTGCAGAACTTGTCGAAGACGCGTGTCCTAGACATCCGTCAGACGGTATCACCTGCATGGATCTGGGGGCGCGGTAACTTGTTCAGCAGGGAGTATATCCGGTTGGTATTGAGGCCCTCGAAAGCCGTACGTCCGACTTTCGGCGCGTTGCCGCCCAAGCGACTGATCTCGGCCTTTGCTTCCTCTGCTTGGGATTTGGTGAAGACGTTTTCTAAAATCACGTAGCCATGCTCCAGGACGTGCTCGATGTTCGCGCGGAGTCGTGGATTAGCCGGGAGAGTTTTTTCTTGCGAGGGGAAAAGGAGGGCTGGCGGAGGAGGTTGCGACATGATTGTTTTCTTTCGGTAATGCACTAGAATAAATCGATGATTATTCTAGACGATGTCACTCTATCCAAAGGAGCATAAGAGCCGTCGAATATAAGTGATCAACCAAGGAGATCTCGATGTGGAGCTGGACATCCAGTCAAGTCAGTGCCAATCGGTAAGCCTCGGCTGGATAGAGCCACTGAAATCCCCTGTAACTCTCCAAAATGTCAAACAAAAACAAACCGTCAGTATCGAGATCCCCTAGAATTCGCCTGTAATGTCCAATTGAATTCGGGGTTTGGCGGTTGGCACTCCATCCTTCAACCCCGCAAAACTCCACGGCCCCCGCTCCCCAGTTGCAATTCACGAGTTACGACCAAACCGGGTTGGGGACGGACCCGAACGTGACCAGGATGTTCCAGGGTGTTGCTCCTTGGTGCAACATCTCAGGCAGCCTTGGGCGACAGATGAAGCTGACGCGAGAATTACGATTCGCAGTTCAAGTTGATATTCTTTCGTATGAAAGAACTGGTCTGAACTGGAGATAAATTCTGAGAAATGGATTCTGAAACGATGCATCCAACCGTCGGTGGTCCCAAGCAAATTCCTGTTTAGAAACATATAAACGTCATCTAATGAACGCTCGAATTGGATGTTGGGCAAATTCCAGCAATTCTCGAGAGCTCAAATATGCATTCCACTTGTATTGGTACGGAACGATTCGGTTGCCCATGGTATCCAGCTCACTGGGTATATATATTAATCTAAGATATAAAGTCATGTCAAGGCTCGAAAATTCGGAAAACACCGCTTCGCGCGACATGTGTTAAAAAACTAATATCGTACATCAACCGCATAATAGGCGAGCATGCCGGCCAAGACTGAGTGTCTAGGCGTAGCCCGAATGCATGCACGCAAATCAGAAGAATCGGTGTGAGACAATCGCCATTGAACTCCCGCTTCCAAGGTATCCGTTCACAGAAAAGAAATACGCTAACCCGTGGGTGAATGAATCGCGACCGTCCGCCACCCTATCGTGCTGGACGAGTCCCAGTCTCTTGCATCTCGGTATTTGACGGCCGGGTCCGATCGCCGCCGCCCATCCACCGACTCGTCCCACTTCTCTGCGGCTCGCCACGCGCGGGCTTCGACACGCGGGCTGGGTCCGGCCGCCGCGGTTCCTGGCGGGCGGGACTTTCCTCCCGGTTGCCGGCGGTCATGGCAGCGCGCCGCTCTTCCTCCTCGTCCTCGAAGTCCTCGAATTCCGTGGCCGGAGGATACTCCACCAAGCCCGACAGGCGCGCCTGCTCCTTATGCCGCTTGCGCACGGTGTCCGGCTTGTATTTCTTGTCGAGGTGCTCTTCCAAGAGGCGCACGTTCTTGGAGTTGCACTTGTACGCGGCGTCGGCGAGGTCACCGACGAAAGGGATAAGGCCGACGCCGAAGTCCACGATGATGTTGAAGAGCATGTGCGCTTTCGTGGCGTTGGTCAGACCGCCTTTGACACCGAGACAGGCTTTGAACAGCATCAGGGCGAGGATGACCTCGAAGGCGTCGCCGATCGCCGGGATGATGCCGATGACGGAGCTCCATCCGAAGCGGATGCCAAAGATGTTGAACAGGCAGCAATCGAGGAGATATGCGCGGCGACGGGTTTTGGCGAGGATCCTGGCATCGTTTTCTGGAATATAGTCGGGGATTTGCTTCTTGACTTTCTTGAAGCGCCCCGGTCGCTTTCGGTTTTCGATGCGAGCGTAGTATGGGTCCTACGAGAGACAGTCAGCTTGGATTCGCGATTGTAGGATCGATATTACCTACATATGGACCTGCGGCATCTTTCTTCTTATGTTTCTCGAGCTGCCCAGCCATGAGCTTTTTGGCAGCAAACTTCCCGACCATGGACGCCATGTTGCTGAGGAATAAAGAGGATTAAGTCGATTTAGGGAGGAGGAGATATTGTTGGACTCCTTGAAAAGGGAATGGAGGAGAGTATTTATGTGTTTGTTCCGTCCTCGTGGAGGAACTGGTTGGTCTTGAGACGCAGGTGTTGGTTGGTAAGGATTGGATAATAGAGCTCCGACAGATGAAACAAAGAAGCGCTGTCTATGTATAGGCAGACCACAGACCGACCATTGAGGGTCTCTCTGATTGTTCGAAGAAAAGTAGCAGATATTATAGAAGAAGTGTGTTGGCTGAGGAAACCGTGAATAAAAGTAAAGATGCGACTCCTGAGGGTCAACTCCTGACGTTGCTCTCAACGCGTTGAACTTTCACTCACACAGATTTCCGGTTCACCAACGCACCCCAACGTCATCGCATGCAGCAGGGGTGGCACCAGCCTCATATGTGGCTGAATGTGGCTGTGAAGTACAGGGGTATGCAGCTGCACCGCCACAGACCCAGTCCGATCCACCTCTCCCGGGCCACTGCATCTGAATGTGAAGTAGTTGGAGAATCATCATTAGAACTCCGATACCTTCCTTAGTTCATTGTTGTAGTACACACACTTCCTTCACCATAGAGTTCAACCCTTCCAACCACTTCCTTGGCCTGAGCACAAGCAAAACGAAGTTCCTCGCATCGCCGCCTATCCGCCAAATTGCCACCCATCAGGATTGCTGGTGATTTCCACACCACACATCTGTCCTGATAGAACACCACCTGACTCTACCAAAGCTTGCATCACACGCCTCGATATTTCCCTGGTCGAGATGCAAAATGAATCTACCCATCATGGACAACCAAAAGATGTCCATTTACGATTGTAAGGAGCTTCATGTCCACGCGAAGAGACCCGTTCTTCTGCTGGATGAGAGCTGTGAATTGTGACAATCGCTAACATGAGCAAGGGTTTGACGATCTCTGTGTCCGCTTCATCCTCAACCTTCCTCATGAAGAGCTGTCCTCCGTCGAACGAATATGCTTCCAAGTCGAAGAGGCGCAATGGTTCTACGAGGACTTTGTCCGACCTCTGGACCCCTCGCTTCCCTCCATGAGCTTGAGGACCTTCTGCCTCAAGTTCTTCCAGCACTGCCCGATCTTCCCGGACTTCAGCGAAAGCCACTATCTTGCGGCGTTTACCGAGTTCATGGCATACAAGAGTAGAGTCCCCGTTCGTGGTGCGATTCTCTTGAACGAGGCTATGGACCACGTCGTTCTGGTGAAAGGATGGAAAAAAGGCGCCAAATGGAGCTTCCCACGCGGCAAGATCAACCTAGGAGAGAAAGATCTGGACTGTGCGATTCGTGAAGTGTATGAAGAAACGGGTTTCGACGTTCACAAGGCAGGCCTCGCAAAGCCCGAGTCGCAGATGAAGTTCATCGAGGTTTCGATGAGAGAGCAGCACATGCGTTTGTATGTGTTTAGAGGCGTCAAGATGGACACTCATTTCGAGCCGAGAACACGGAAAGAAATTAGTAAGATCGATTGGTACAAGATATCCGAGCTCCCGACCATAAAAAGGCAGAAGCACATGCCTCCACCGAATACCCAGGCCGCTCAAGTCGCGCAGCAGATCGTAGCACAGGAAGACATGGTGAAGAGCAACATGTTTTACATGGTCGCGCCATTCCTGAGCCCGTTGAAATCTTGGATTCGGCAACAGAAGAAGCTGAATGCGAACCGAACCGCAATGGCAAATACCCACGAGTCGGAGCCTGCGGACGAAGTGGACGAACACATGCCCTCCGACCACCCGGCAGCCGTCGAAAGTGAAACATTACCACAAGTGGTCGAACAACAATCTTTCACTATCAAAGCCGCCAGTGACATGGATCGGATCCTCACACAACTTCGACAATCGCACCCAAATTCCCAACCTCCTGCAGCCCCAATCCCTCCATCAGATCCGGCCGCCGATCTGAGGAGAATGCTCAACATGGGGCAACCTCGTGATTCTGGACCGCCACTGCCTTCCAATTCGCAAGCATCGGATCTTCTCGCCTTGTTCAACCGCCAGAAGTTAGCTGGCAATACAGGCCCCGCTTCGTTACTTCCGATTACTCCCATGGAGCAAATCTCACGCACACCTGATGCTCAAACACCACATCACCATCACTCTCAACAACACGTCCTCCCTACCGATCCGCCTCCACCTCATTTTCACCAACCCGTCACATCTGTCCAAGAACTTGTGCCTAATATGGATCCAACTCAACGGCCTATGCCATTTCCGCAACCGACTGGCCCACGTCATCCATTCATTCCTGATCAAGTCCAACGGCAGATGGGAGCGGTGCCGACTCTTGGGCCTTCACTTCCGATACAGTCAAGCAGCGAGTTGCAGGAAGCTTACAGTTCATATCGACCGTATCGACAGACCGGAGACCCGCAGTTTAACCAATCCCCTGATGTGCATTCTCCAGCCATTCCGTCCGCATCCAAATTGCCGCAGCCAAAACTCAACAGCCATACATTGGCTCTCTTGAATGCCTTTAAAGGATCCTCGCAGCCACAGGCAGAGACGGAGAGATATGTCCGATCCCAGGAGGCTCATCCGAGTGGGTCGACCTATCCACCGCAGAATGCACCGGCTCCGGAACCCTCGGCTTCAGGCCAACAACAAGCCCTTCTAAACTTGTTCAAAGCTGGACCCGGTGCCGGACGGCCACCTCAACGGAGTCAGCTCCAAGGACAATCGGCGACTCTTGCGCCGGAGCCGGTGGAGCTGTCTGCTCAACCCACACCGCTTGTTCACCAGCAGAGGTACGCTGCGCCACAGGGTGCACCCGAGAGAGAAGTCTTGCAGCAAGGCAACAAGAAAAGCCAAAGCATCACGTCAGCCACGGTTTCCGGACCGTTGAATGCACCCGACTTTGACACCGTCCGTCGGTCCTCATCGAGAAGACGGCCTTCACACCACGCCAAGCCTGCAGAGCTCGCAACCGTACCATCTCCCGTGAACGAACAGCACGGTCAGGTTCCCGCTCCTGGGCCCATCAAGATCCTTGCAAGACCATCCTCAAGATCCGTGAGACCGGACGCGGGCATTACTCCGCTGCATTCCGCTTCTCCATCGCCCTTACAAACTTTCCCTTCTCAGCAAATCCCGATCGCGGCGCCACAACCGAAAGCGGTGCATCAACACTTGCAGATCCTTCGACCTCCCCGAGCACAGCCGTCGGTGACATCGTCTCCACAAGATGCGGCCAGTCCCCCATCGACCACGCCCGCGGTTGGGGCCTCTATCACGGACAATCGTACCCCGGGGGCGTCTGATCAACGGAATGCGCTTCTGAGCCTCTTCACGAAACACCACGCCCAAGCCCCTCCACCAGGCGTCGCCGGCGCACCGATCCCCGGCCATTCGCGCACTCTCTCTCCCGCATCTATCAAACGCGAACCCACCGCGTCGTCCTTAATCAGCCCGATCAGCCCCCACTTGGCCTCCATGCAACCGAACCTTGATTCCATGTCCGCCAGCCGCAGCCGTATCAGTAGCCTGGCGTCCGCCCCGGGCGAGTCATTCCTCTCCACCGGGCCCGTAAATGCGCCGGGAGCGGGACTCTATGGGAACCCCGTTCAGGGCATGAAGCTGCCTCCGACCAACGCCGCATTTGGCATGGGTCCGGCGGATCGAGTAACATCGCGGAAGAGCAGCATCATGGCCGGATCGCGCAAGGGCAGCGCGGTGGAAGGGCCACCAAGGCAGCAGAGCCCCGTGACGCCCATCGATCGGAACTTTCTCCTCGGATACCTGGAAGACGTTGTCAAAGGCGCGGGTGTTTAGGGATAGGTTTGGCGGGATAGGCTTCGTACTCTCTGGCGTTGTGACAGCACTCGCTGATTACAGGACGAGGGAGTCGGTGAGGATCCGGGTCATCCTCTGGCACATACGGCCATGAAAATGGGAGGCGATTACTGGATTCAGCAAGCGATGAGGATCACGAAGGTTTCAATGAAGTACAAAGTTTACATCGGCGCATTTTCATCGCCCCAGGCTGTGTTAGTAGTACCATTAGCGTAGCCCTTCCAAATAGAGTGGGCATCCGCTGTCTGATCCAAGACAATTATCCCGTGATGTACGTGCCATGTCGTCCACCGCCACGCTGCACACATGAACGCCGACAAGCCGGTTGGTTCGGAAGCACATGCTTGATTTCGAGTGTACGCGTGAAATATAAATTGACCAATTCCCTCTTCCCACAAAGAGCGGTCGTTAAGGGCTTAATCTGAGCATATCATGTATCTGTAGACCCTCATGAGGGCACCGCAGGAACTGGTGGACCCCGTCGTTCGTAGGGTTAGCTAGCATGCTGACACCCATGCCCACGATATCCAGGCACGCCGGCCATTAGCGTTTGTTTCTCTACCGGTAATTCTTCACAACCTGCAGTCAATCATTCTTGATGGCAATGATCCAAGGCTGTTGTGGAGACCAAGGCTCGTCGTGATGGAGCGATGGTTCAACCGAGCTAGCGAGGCAGGACACGATGCATTCCCACCAGACACAGGGGGCGGAATACCTAGCCCAGGTTAAGTTTGGGATACGAACTGTCAGTAAATTATACTAATCGGCATCCAGGATCTGGAGATGATCGCCATATTGCGGGGAACCAGGGATACCTTGCTTCCAATTATCCGAAATCAGTGGCACGGTCCCTCAATATCAGAAACCACTTCGCATATAATTGAATTTAGGGTTACCGGCCGCAAACCGCCCTCCATTCGTGCTATGGCACAATTGAAATCTGATATTCCGATTCCGATAACTGGAATTTCCGGGTTGACTAACCTACAATTCTCACATTCTCACATGTCGTGAAGGTTGAGCCTACCACAGCTCGCGGAGCCTCGGCGGGCAATTTCTCTCATCCGGGTATTATAGTCGACTGTTCCCAGAACGACGGGTTCCAGCTGACCTAAGATGACGTGACAGACCGTTCGACCGACATCAGAATAAACAGCAACGCGGTCCGGATAGCGCAGGCATCTCCGGATCCACTCCACACCTCAACATGAAACCGATGAATATCCAAGCCGTCGGACAGCACCAATGAAGCTTGATGCATCCAAGCGATGCCCTCATAACAAACCTATACCGCGCAGTTGACCGCTGCGCGTGTATATTGTTCGAATTGCAAAAGGCCTCATCCCAACAGAAAACGAATCTCACATGCGTCCGAATATGAGTTAACTGCTCGATCCGTGGACTTCAACGCGCGAGGCCGAAATTGAAATTACGCAAGCAAGCATTCGCAATTCAAGGAGATTCAATGGCAGCGATGAATGTCGATGGATATTTGCACTTAGCGTAGCGGAAGAATGAATACGAACGCAAAATACAACATGAACGAGATGATTGATGACAGGCAACATGAAAATGACAACAAGTGATGGCCCCTGGATGGTCGAGCCCGCGCACACGGGCAAGAACTATAAAGAGGGGGGAAATCCATAGGAAATATATCTGTCCGACCGAATTCTATTCTCCTCCAAACCACGATCCTTTACCAGCTTCCTACAGACGTGTCATTCAGCAACACCTATTCCACTCCCTTTCCAAGCCAACCACCAGCAACAATGCTCGCCCAATCCATCTTTTCCGCGGCACTCTTCGCCAGCGCCGTCGTCGCGCACCCAGCGGGCATTCTCGGCGCCCGTGACCTCGCGACCATCACCGGTGTGCTCAACGGCATCGCCGCTGACCTGACCGCCGTTCAAACGGCCGTCGATGCCTTCACCGGCGCCGAAGCCGAGGCGGAAGGCGTCCAAACGGCCTCCGAAAAGCTCATCGCCGACCTCACTGCCGGCGCCGCCACCGTTGCCGCCACCGGGGAGATCTCCCTCACGGACGCCCTGGGCCTGGTCCCGACTTCGAACAGCCTGAACGCGGCGGCCAACGCCACAGTGACGGCACTGATCGGCAAGAAGCCGCAGTTCGACGCGCTCGGGCAGACTGAAACTGTTGCGGCCAGCTTGGTGGCGCAGAAGGAGGGGAGCACTGCGCTGTTGGAGGCCGTGGCGGACAAGGGCCCGGAATCGATTCGCAACGTCGCGGCTCAGCAAGGGGCCCCTCTTTACGCAGCCCTTGATGCTGGTATCGCCGCATTTGGCGGCGCCCCGGAGGCCCCGGCGAAGTTGAGGGCTATGTTTTGAAGCATAGTCCAGGATGCCACTCCTGAGGAATGAAGATGGAGTAGAAAAGAGGGAAGGAAAGGAGGAGGAGACGCCGTTGGAGTGGATCTAGCAAAAGAACCTATATACAGATACGCATTGTCCAGAGATAAAAAAAAATGATTCGAGTTATCTGGCCGAACTTGTCGCTCTCCTTTTCGAAAGACATGGATGGCCGCGATATATCAGAAAATTGACTATTGACGCGCAGAATCGCCAACTTACCAAGTAATTCGCAAGATTGTCCGTGATGAAGAACGTTCTCGGTCTCCAGACGAGAGCAAAAATACGCGTTGTCCATTTTATGCATAGAAGAACCTTGAGTGAGAGTAGCAGACGAGCGGAGGCGCTTCAAAGGGGTTCTTCATGGTCAACGAACGCTGGTACGTACACAACACGCATTTAGGCTAGTCCAGGGTCTGAAATGTCGATACCGGTACCAGTGGGCAGTGATTGACTGTGGGTTGTTCTCCGCCCGAATGATCGTCGACGTTCAAAGGCTAGTGGATGGGAGTACCCGGTGATCGGTGCCATACGGAATGAAACTGCTCTGATGTCAATGGGATGGACGGTATGGAGATACTACTGCGTAGGAAAGGGGTCTCTAATAGGCGAATCGAATCATCCGATGGGACTGGTACCCTGTCGAGGTGAAAATATCAATCGGTACCTCGAGACATGTGACATCTGATGAAGTTAAAGTGTTTGAACATTAAAGACTCTTTGAAAAGAGAGAGATTCATACACCCGTCAGGCCTCTCTGCGAGGCCTATGTGGGAACGATGTGAGATGGTCAACTGGAAATCTGGAATCACGTCTTCCTGTCACGTGCAGGAGTTGCACAAGAGATCAAAAAGCCCCAATTCCAACCACACTTCATCCAACGTTCAATGCTCTCGCTCTGGGGGAACTGAACTTTGGCATTTCCACTTCACTTTCATGTCGGTAACGTGTGTACATAGTATGTATGGAGTTGGAAGCATTGAGAGAGCTGGCAACACTCACGGAGGTCTGCGGAACAGGGTTCTTTCGGCGAACACGGCGATTACAAAATATACCAAACCTCATGCTCGTCCAGCCTGGCTGCATTCACATGAGGGAAACTGGCAGCGCGAGATGCAATCAGATGGGTTACGCTGCTCCAATCGACTGCAAAATTGGTCACTCCCGCCACAAGTTGGCCACTTACCTTGCTGGATGGTGAAGCACTGCGGGCACCCGCAGCTTGGCCATCGTCAAACAACCATCTGGTCTCAAGCATGCTCTGGATCTAAAGGTCCAATATCCAGACGGTCCAATCAAGGTTTGAACTACCTATGAATCTTGCCAATCCAATTGGACACGAAACCACGCGGGTCCACATCCTATCCGGATGCGCCAGGACAAGAAAGGTTGGAGTCATCAAAACACTCTTTCCGATCTGACTTACGGCTCCGAGCATTGAATCGTACAGCAATTTATAGAGGCCGAATTTCAGGGAGCATCCTGCCGCCCTAGCGCTGGAGAGCTACATATGCTCTGCTCTGAATAGTGCCCTCTCCGACCCAATTTCCATGCATGGTATTGACCAGCCGTGGTGGTTGTGTCTCAAAAACATCGTTCCTTGCTCCAACCACTGGTAGGACTTGTTCGCTACATCCTAGGCCCAAAGCAAGAAAAGTGAGGTGTTATGGAAATGCTCCTAGGGCTGCGGCATTTATGTAAGTGAGTGATACAGTTCGACGCCAAGTTGAGGTATGGTCCGCTATATGGAGAACATTCATTGCTCGCAAATGTCGATGTCCCGATTTGGCTAGGTAGAGGTGACCAAACGGCATGTTAAATGAGATTCTACAGACCAAACAGTCAACGCATTTCGTCTGCTCTGCGTCATGTGGACAGAAACGTGGATCGACCCGCGATACCTGGACCCTGATGGGATGGATGCTTGCGGGAATGCCGGTCCGTTGCATTGGTATCGGTATGCTACACCAGGAATGCTTTATACAGTATTTCCTGGTTTGCTTGTGTTATGATGATGCTGCGCTGACAGAACTTGATTCGTTTGACCCTTCATCACCAGCATCCGGAGATCCCATTGCGTAAGATATCCGTCACTGTCACCCGTTCCTTCACCCATCATATATCACCTTAAGTAGCCTGCCTGCTTCCACTTCGACACACTGGTTCTTCTCCTCTTCACCAGAATTCAAATCCCGTCCTGTAGATCTCGCTTACTTCCAAGCTTTTCACACTCAGTCTATCACATCATTCAAGATGATGATCACACGTATAATCTCCCCGATCCTTCGCTTCGGCGAATTTGTCTGTGCAACGGTATGTCTACCTGCCCGGGGCGCCGTTTTAAACCATTAGAGAGATCACTAATGGCACTAGATCGTCCTGGGACTCATCGGCTACTTCCTCCATGAAAGGAACGAAACCGGGTTTGGTCCAAAGGGCCGTGAGATCTACACGATAGTCATTGCTGCCCTCTCCACACTCCTCTCAATCCTCTGGATGGTCCCACTCACCACTCGCCTGTTGCTCTACCCGATAGACTTCATTCTTTCTTTCGCCTGGTTCTCCTCGTTCGGTGCCTTGAACAACTACACCAGCGACCTTGGCTGCGGAGGGTGGATGGACTGGACTGGGATCACTCGGGGTGACCAGTGCGGAAAGTGGAAGGCAACCCAGGCCTTCAGCTTCATTGGGGCATGCTTCTGGCTTGCGAGTGCGATCTTGGTACGTTTCCTTGCTCGGTCGATCGCCAAATTCTCGGTATCCTTGTACCACTGCCGATTTCAATTGCTGACATACTGGGTTTGCTGCAGGGCATCTTTATGTTCCACAAGCGCCGCTCTGGTACTGATGCCACAAACGGCACTACCAAGACTGGGTAAGTGAATATCGCGCATGGCAGCCATAAATCAGTGTTGACAGATCACCTTCACAGCGGTCGCCGCGGCCTCTTCGGTCGTAGGTCTCAGGTCTAAGTCGTACAGGCGATCTGAATAAGCCTGGAACTAGCCAAGGCAGCAAGGCTATCAGGATCAGAGCGCGTCGGATAGTTCGGTGACCTGGGCGGTGGCCATCCTTCTTCACTAATGTACAAAACCATGAGGCGGAGGCAGAGGGGCGTAATACTTGCAATACCTCGAAGCAGATTCCTTTTTCATCCTGCTGGTCTACTACGAGCGAGAAATACCCGACGATCGTTTATGGGGTGAGGGATAGGAGGCGAGAAGGAAACTTCGTGGCGATCATACCACTAATACTTAATTGAATTTCGCTTGCTTCCCCGTTCCCAAGTTCGTGTCGTCGCGCCATTGGTAGGAGTAAATCGATCTCCCAAGTTATACCCGGATTTGACGGTCGACATTTTTAGAATCTGTAGTCAAGGAGGACAGGTATGGTATTGAGATTGGGATGTTGTAAAATTTTGGGAGCGAGAGACTCTTGGGTTACTGGGAAGTTTGGACTTTGAGGTGGTTCGGTTCATTCCCCCCTTGCTCCAAAGCTGGCCGGACCAACTGACGCATCCATCCTTCAACTTCAGAAGTCCAAACCACTCGCAAAGATATGGGCAATGGTAATCTAGAACGGATGTGGCCTCTACACCCTTTCGACGTCTGTCGTTTTTACTCGGAGATGCGCCTCATCGAGAGGGTTTGGCCGTGGCATAAAGTGGCTACCTGTTTCGAACAAACATTGCCCTGCTGCTGGATATATACCATTTTATAGGGGGAGAACTTTTATTCGACTGTCGAGCTAGCTCTGTTCGCCCGATACTTCATCTTTTGAGTTTTGGATGTTGGTCAAGGTCTCCGAGTGTCATCCTTTGCTTCACACCTCTCACACTGATATCATGGCTTCAGTGATCAATCACCTGCCCCGCTAACCGAATCACCGCCCTAGGAACAAACGTGAAGAATGAATCTCAACAATCCCGAATGCTTTGCAAGAATGTATCATTGCGGTTGAACCGATGATCATCCAGCGCCCACGTAAACCAAAACTTCTCCTCCATCCTTTCGAGTTCCGCCTTCTCACACGCGGAAGGTGCCACATCCGAGTCCCTAATCGATAGTTTAGCAACAACTGTCAAAACCCTGCGCCGAAAAATCGGCCTCCATCACTGATACAGGCTCCTGTGAGGAGCGATACAGATGTCTTCCATAGTATATACTACGGCGTTCATCCGATTACTCACCGATCCCTATCACCTCGCTCATCCTCCACCGCCTTCAGGACACTACCCCAGTGCCTGCGCACCCAGGCCCAATATGCTCTCCAGCCACCTTCGTCGGGACCTTTGTACAAGGCCACTGGATCCTCATCGCGCCCGCCACCCAATCCATCCTTCCCTTCCCTTCCGATGACAACGGACATGCCGGCCACTTCCGCCGGCCAGAGCCGTGATATTTCGTACCCCAATCGTGCCGTGGCACGGCGTTCCTCCTCGACTCGTTCGACCTCTTGTTTGACTGGGTTCTCCTTGAGTTTTTGTGACATGATCAAGGTAGACGCCGCGGCGAGGTCATTGAGATGAGCGTGGACGGTGTCCGGAGAAAGAGTGAGGAGCTTGCTTAACATAAGGAAGCAAAGCAGACGGATGTCATGCGCATCCTTGAGGCCATCAAGTAGCGTCGGAAGCAATATGCTAGTGTACTTGAGGAGCAGTGACGTTTGGGTCGACGGTAGAGTATTACTGCCGGAACTGTTTTCGGTAACCCCCGCAGTTGACACCCGTGAGCTATAAAGAAGTTCATAAAGCGTTTCGTACGCCGACTATGGGAAGTGAAGTTGTCAGCATCATCTCACATAACTTGTGGTTTTGCATACCTTCCGAATCTCCATGCCGTCATCCACCTTGTGCGTAAAGGGACCCATCTTTACTTCGCGGATCAGTTTAGGGTTGACCTTAGTTTCCCGCATGACTAAGGGGAGAATTTGCTCTAGACATTGCATGACCAGATCAGGCTTGTTCTTCACGGCCGATGTAAGTGTCGTGAACGCAAGTCGGCGATTCTCCAGGTTCTCCTCGTTAAGCATCGTAATGAGCATATCAATTACCATCTGGCGAAGAGTGTCATCATAGGTTTCGTCACTGTCAGCAAAGGTGAATCGAAGTGCCGAGATGACCATGCCTCGAATGTTAGCAACGGGGTTTTCGAGGAATGCCTGCCCATCATTAGCTTGAACTGAACATCCGCCTCATTGTTTCACAAACCTGGAGCTGCGGGAGATAAGTCTTGGAGTCAAGTACTGCCAGACGGCCAATGCACTCGGCGCCAACGGCACGGTTGTCCTCCACCGCGGAGGCAGTTGTCAATTTCTCCCAAAGCGTATCCGCATAAGGAAGAATATCGGATTCGGTGCCAGGATGGGAGAGGATTTCCCGGATCGAATGGAGGGCCAGGTATGACGAACCCTCCTTCATGCCATCGAGAATGACTGGAAGGAATTCTGAAACGTGCTTCGCGCCCGCTCGTCCCATGGCGATAGCAGCCGTGAGTGGAACTTTCTCTCCTCGCACGGAAAAGTAAGGAGTGAACGATGACGGCTTCAGAGGAGATTTTGCTCCTAGCAAGAATCCCGATTCCCCAAGTATGACCAGCGCTAGACGTCGAGAACCATCCGCTTGAGATGTCTCTAATTCCGAAATGAACGGCCTCAATCCTTCATCGGGATTCGTTCCGCTGAACACGATCAAATTCGCCAGCACCTTCCCAACCACGAGGGTTTCGCCGTGTGTGCCAACTTGTTGAAGGATGGTTTGAAACAAGCTGTCTCCGACACGGGCCTCCGCAATGCTCTTACTAAGGTCGAGAAGGGCAGAGAGAGCGGGCCCGACCATATGCTGTTGAGAGTAGAGGAGCGAGCAGAATTCAGGGATGAAGCTCTTCGTGCCCACAACAGTTTCCCCATCAACTCGAACAAAACGGGCCAGGATATGAAGGGCGAGAGTGAGAACGTGGAGATCAGTGGGTTTTAGTAGTGGGATGAGAGCCTCACTGAGCTGTCCCACCACGGCGGGATTGTTGCCATATAAGGTGCGAATTGCCGGGTTACTGACGAGAGCCTGAAGCGCACTCAAGCTGCTTGCTCGGAGAGCTCGGCTAGCCTTGCGGAACTGTGCTCCGAGTTCAAGGGATACGGTGTCCAACCACTGCGGCGGGAAAGCTTCACTGGAAGCCGCAAGTTTTGCAAGCTCCTCGATAGCATCCACTGCTGAAAGGCGCATAACTTCGTTCTTCAATCGGTCTGATAGCAGTACCAATCCTTGTGAATGCTTCTGCGGGCTCAATGGCGCGCTGGTTGCTGACGCATGGCCAAGAACCATACCCAAGCAATGCAATGCCTGTCGCTTAACATCGGTGTCGACGCCAGTAGCATTGATCTGCGTGAAAACGACATCGTACAATTTGTCCAACTGCTCTGAAGTCACCAAAGCGGACGCGGAGTCGAGAGGTAGCAAGGCTTTGACGAATTGCTCCAGCGTACGAAGGGCTTGAATGGCAACCTTCGTGTTTCGGTCGGTGACAGCCGACTCAATGGCGGGAAGCGTTTGGTTAGAATACGGCTGGAGTGCTTTTCCTGAGTGGGTTTCGGCAATGACTTTCAGGAGCAGCAGCGCGGTGGCTTGCAGACTGGAGCCTTTCTCGATTCCCGATGTGTTGACTGCGGCGGTGGCAATGTCGAGGACATGTTTGAATTCCGAACCAAGACCTCCACGCTGCACGGAAATCAAATCTTTCAGCAGTAGCAGCGATGCTTCCTTGGTGGCCATAGAACCACGTTTGGTGAGGTCGCAAGATTTCTGGACCAGTTCCGGGCCAATTTTCGTCAGGCCGACCAAGGGAGCGGTGTGGGTTGATCCAGGCTCCGGAGATGCTCCTCCTTTGGAAGAAGGCATTGGAGAGTCTGCCATGGTGGTGTCACTCCCACCTCGACGGCGCTTGCGACTGACTGGAATCTTTGTGATGTCCCCACCCGCAAGTGAAGTGGCGAATGATGGCCCAGCGGCGAGCTGCCCAGTTTTCCGTACAAGCAACGACAGCGCATCCAGGACCTCTAGCAACACGCTCTGATCCTTCTCTTTGAAGCGATTGAGAAGCTCCGGAGCGATCCGATCGTACAAAGCGCCGGCCTCGAGTAGGTCTTGGCTCCGCATCTGAACCATGGCATGGAGAAGCTTGGCCGCGCATCGTCTAAGTTTCCAGGCATTGTCATCTTCATCATCGAATTCGTCGTCGCTTTCGAACTCGTCATCATCGTCTGCATTGAAGTCCTCTGCGTCGTCATTCCCGTCGTCATAGTCGACCAGGTTAGGATCAAACTTGAGAAACCGGAGCCCTGCTTCCAAGGACTCGTCCATATATTCGGTCATGTCTTCGCTACAGCACGCCACAAAGCTTTCAATGGCAACCAACGCAGCTTCACGCACTTCGTCCTCTTCGGGGTCCCGCTCTTCAAAGTCCTGAGAGTCATCGATGCCGGCCTGGGGGTTGAAATCACCGATAGTAGAGAATACAAACTGCGCCAATGCATGTAGATGCGGGCCGAACTTGCGCGGTATGGAACGCGCAAGGGAGCCGAGGATTGTGATATAGGCCTTCCTCCTCGGATTGTCTAAATGCACATCACCTAGTCTCTCCATGACCTTGGACATGAGGTCGCTAAGGAGAGCATCGGAAAAATAGACGGATACTGCTGAAATGGCGGTGACGGCTTTCTTTCGGAAAATCGAATTGGCTCGCGGATGCTCGATGATCGCTAGCGAAGTGTCCGACAGCGCCTTGAGTTCCTCCGGTTGAAGCAAAGGTCCAAAACACCTTGCAACCTCTACGAGAACGTCTAGGATATTGCTGTCAATGATTGTGCGAGGCTCCATGGAGAGAAGGCCGGGGCCCAGTTTAGGGAGTTGGGCGGTCGGTTTGAAGTGACGTGTCACAACATATGCGCCCACTAATCGTGGGATGAGCGCTTTGCTGATTGCTGCGTATGCCATTGCTCCGTGGGTCGAAACAGAGACGCCCGAAGTCGGTCGTGGAAGGGAAACGACAATGGCGCGCAGTGCAAGACCCGGAATTGCGTTGTCCATCTCGTCCTTCATTTGGAGTGCCGATAGCTTCTCCAGGAGCGGGGAGAGGACAGATTCTCCGACCTTCTTAACATATGGCTCCAGGCACTTGATGGCCATGTTTTGGACATCCCCTCGAGTGTCATTGAGGGCTTTGATGATCGCATCATTGATCTTGAGGCATGCGTTTGGCTCTACTGCGAAGAACTGCGTGGGTGCGGTTTGGAAGATTTGGTAGACATCGTTTAGGGCCATGAATCGGAGATCTGGATCATCTTGGTTCAGTTTGGATAGCAGACTCAAGACGCTTGAGTAGAAGTTAGCGGCGCCCAAGGGATATCAGAGCGTTAGTTCTACTTACCCCATAGGTGTTCCGACCACAGGAGTGGATGAAGACGCCATGGTGCATGTCACACAAGGAATATATCACAGTTTTCGAATGCTGAGTGTTCCGGGGAATTGTAAACTACAGAGCATATGCTCTGGATCTTCTCTGGATAGCTGGTGGAGGGGTATCTCCACGGATGAGGATTGGGATATCAGGCGCGATTTGGCAGATAATGAGTGTATGGGTGTGTATCGATCGAACGAGAAGCAGACATCAAGTCGAGACCCATACAGCCATAGGATAGAGAAGTGAGAGGACCATCAACATGAATATGAAATTGGATGATTGTGTATCTGTCTGGAGTGCTACGGGATTCTGACGCTGCATGTTGTGGTGACCATGATGTGTGGGGTGAGTTTCGGCGGACGATTAAAGCCAGAGACGTCAGTATTATCGATAACAACAATGCCTGGAGCTCACACGTGACACGACTCAGGGATGGAATCATGGAAGTTGGAAACTTGGAATCATGCTGTGCTGACGACTGACAGCTGTAGTGGACAGTGGAATGACTGGAAGCACGAGATCCTGCGCCCAGCCATGACATACAACGTTTCATAGTACATACGAAATGGAAGCTGATGAAGTTGTGCAAAGAGAAGCATCTGGAGCTCCTTGAGTTAGATACTTTACAAAGCCAGATTCGGGGAGAAGCTCGTTGTGGATGAAACTGTTTAAGTTCCAATTCAGGGAGGAATCACGTCATCTGAAATGGCAAACACGACTGGTTTCACATATGCAAAAGGTCAAGAGAATAGGTTGTAAAGAGGGCACGCTTTAGGTATCGAGAGATGTTCGCAAGAGCATGCAACTGATTAGATACAGAGTGATAGAATTATTAATCCCTTCCATTCCTTGACGACCAAATCGGTCGTCCCATCCTTTCCGGGTCGCTGCAAAAGGTATGTATTTGGCATTATAACTTTCGCTTCCTCCACTGAATGTCGGTCCTCTGGAGGTCGGTCCGTTCCACCTGGGCTGTGGTATTGGTTGAGGAAGCCCAGGTTATTTCCACGATCGAATTTCCGTTCCGAATGCGTTCAGGTCGCTCACAAGACAGCAACGACAGCGGCAGCAACGACGGCGAAGTCGATGAGGGGGAGGGCGGCGGCACCGGTTGACGTGGGAGGCTTAGTCGGGTTGGGAGGAGTGGGAGTCGGAGCGGTGCCGTTGCCACCAGCGCCGCCCGATGGGGAGGTGCCGTTGCCCGCAGCCATGGCCGGGGACAGAAGGGCGAGAAGGAAAGTAACTTGAGCGAGTGACGTGAACTGCATTTTGGCGATGTATATGAATCTATCAAAGATTGTGATGGATTGTTGGATTATGAAGTGCGTTGGAAAAGATCACAAAAAGATGGCCGTGGGGAATGCGGAGACTGAGGATATTTAAACCTCCTGTCGCAAGTCGCCCCCCGAGGACCCATCAACAAATACGACCAACCATTGAAATGATCCTGCAACCGCGGAGCGCAGGCTGCCCCAAGGGAACGCAAGGGCCAAGGCGTACCCATCCTTGACCAAAGATAAGCAGTGTTTGCAGCGGTGGTGGGCAAAAATGTTGGCACACATGCAAATGCCCCCTGGCTGGGGAACGGGGGCGAGGCAAAAGCGGTACAGCCCCCGGACGAGGCAACCTGAATTATTGGTGGGTATCAGGGGCTACCAATATGCAAACGTGCAAGGTCGTATTCGAATCCTGACTGCGCTAACCCCCAGACCGAATCCAATAAAAGCGGCAGTGCCTTTGTTGTCGAGTAATATTGCATCATTTCGTACGCTTGTCATGGGAGAGACATACTGCTCAGCACCCTACTGTCCCTACCTCAACACCCTACCGAACTGGTAGCGGGACGAGTCACTGTCGTGATTTGTGACTCGGAAATCCCATCAATTTTCCCGGATGTTTCTTCGGATTTGGCAGACAATCCACGACACGACTCTAAGAAAAAGGAAAAGGAGGTGATTTCTCTCCTGATTTGCGATGAAATGAGGTTGTCTATCCGTGAATTAAAATGTTTGAAGCTTGTTGGGATGTCATGGGCATAAAGTACCAGAGTCGTCCGAGCCCCTAGGCGATTCCTTTTGACAAGGTCAGTTTATTACCCATCATTGATCATTGTTCTCCGACCTCTGGACTTCGCCGCCTCCGCCAGCCGGTAGAGTGGGGAACGATATTCGGCATATGCGGACAAGGGAGCCCCTGCTTGCACGGCCTTTGTTGATCTTTTGTTGAGCTGGTTGCCGCGTTCATAATATCCAGGAGGCAGGAGGAGCATCAAGGCGGTTGGTCGGTTGCAACGGGCTGCAAGGAATGGCGTCCAGAAAGCCATAAAGCGACATTCCTGTGTCTTGCTTGCCAATCAACGGAACCGAACAATTGGGTGTGTGTGCCGTGGCACGGTTGCTGTGGGAAGAATCCAGAAAGTGTTTATTTTCTTGGTACTTGGATTGCGGCGATTCGACCATATCAGGGGTGGTTGGGTAAGGTTGGTCGTTTGCGACCTCGGTTGGAATGATGATAGATGGCAGACGGCTTGAGCCCCTTGAGGCAGCACAGATGCACACAGAATCATCCCATCCAACAACCATGAGTGCTTTCGGCCGTGAGTGTCTTTGACTCTTGACAACTTGGGTTCCTTGACATCTAACACCGCAACACGAAACCGAGTGGAGCTTCTAAGGTTGGGGACAATGAAGAGACATGGAGTGAAACCCGAATATTCCCATAACGGAATTCAATGTCCGATGTCGTATTGAGCCCCCCGTTGAGGGCATGAGCCATCAAGAGTCGTGTTGCCAGTTGCCACAGCCTGTAGGAGGATTCAGGAACCCCTTTCACTCACAAGCTGTTACCGCCGACAGAAAATCCGAAAATCGGCATCGCCCTGGCCGACGCACAGCTCAAGCTGTCAACCCTCCAACTTCAGGTCCTTGTCTTGACGGACCGATAGGTGCTTCAGACTCCATAGAATGGGGCGATCCGCTTCCCCAACAAAGAGCACCGCGGGTTGATCGACTTTCTGGAAGGTCCTTCCTAATTCACGGAAATCGTGATGCTTCAATTTTATTAAGTCCAAGGAGCCGCTCAGATTGTCGGTTTCACGGGACCGTTCGGAGTAGGTTCTATTCAGCATTTACCCAGACAGGCCTCCCAGCTATTAGGTATCATGATATTAATAATATGACCCTTTGACTTGTCGATCGCATCTCAGTCGCCAGCAGGAGCTCGCATCTCGTGCTGGCTGCCTGGCTCAGGGTCTGCAACGCTGCACCGAAATACCATACCTGATACCTTCATTAGATAGTATCTATTCTTGTCTCGCTATGTTGGCGAGTTTAGCCAAAACTCCATGAAAACGTGGCTGTGACAGCAATTTCTGCGCTATGTCGTCATCACAATGGAGGATTACGCATATCGCGGGGTCGTGTGACTTCGAGACGATGAAGGATGTGAACAATCTCCCAAGGTCCTGAGCCTGCCCTGAGTATCTATTGTCCAACCTTTGGGGGGCCCAACGTACAGCCCTTAGAGGCGAGGTACGGAAAAGTTAAGACTCTCTCAACTGTCCAGCATTGGGGAGTAACACTTCAACCCTAAGAGGCGAGGTACGTAAGGGTAAGACTCAGCCTTCAGCCTTCACCCTTCTATGAAGAGAATCCAATCGAACACCTTGGGATTGAAGAACTATGACCTTAATCTCCATGATTCGGCGGAGGAATAGCGAGCAATTCGATTTTCAACTGGAAGCTCTCGCTCCTAACCCCCAAGATCACGATGTCTTGTCGACTCGGTATAGTAAGTAATCAATAAGCGATACACAACGGTACTCAACACTTCACTGCATCCCTCTGTCGCAACTTTCTTCATCAACAATCCAGACAGTATCCAAAGAAGCATATAAGATTGTCTGAGTATGCAGCGTATGTCCAAAGTAGATTTTGGCGGAAAAATGAAAACTTTCGAGATCACAGTCCCTCCTTAGTTCTCACTGACCCCACTGGTTTGAGCATATAGTACCAACCTTCTACAGAATGCTCGAAATAGCTACAGAACCTCCAATTGGCTAAGGTGTAAGCTTAGCTTTAGTAGAGTATTCGGAGAATAAATGCATATCTAGATCCGAACTCCCTGTTCCGAGCATAGCCACGACTCCGGATCTCCAGCCGCTTACTATTTTGCTCAGCTTCTACGATCAAGAATGGCCGATGAGCACACGTGAGGACTTCGGGAGGTTCTGGAAATAGCTCTTGCTGCTTTGCCTTATGATCCTCCACCAGCTCAACGTCACATAGTGTTCAATCGAAGTTATTTTTGTTGCCAAAGTCCAGGTGGACGTCTACGTTCGCCACGGTCAGGTCAGCGCAATGTCAGATTCACGATGCTGAAGATAGCCTTGATCAAAATAGCAACATCCTTTCCGGAGGTAGGAAAGGCTAGATGCCATCAATTCTTGCCTATAAAGATGCGGAATCTCTGTCTCTAGAAGCATTTATCGGATCATCATCAGCACTCAGTTCACTCGCCAGCACATCTCAATCAAGCAAAACGTCCATATCAACTTCCAAATCTTACCATATTCGGGTCATTTCAGAGTCCTCAGTCATCCACATATCAAAATGAAGACTTCCTTTGTTGCCTCTATCCTCGCTGCGGCCTCAACGGCCCTGGCAGCCCCCGCAACTCTCGTCCCTAAGGCCACTGGACAACTTTCCCCCTCCAGCACCGCCCAATTTGAAGTCTCTACCGGCGCTCGCACCGCTTCCGCCCTTGGCTTGGTCTTCAAGGACGGCCGCAGCTCCGACATCACCACCCTCTCTACCTTCAACTTCGACAGCTCCTTCCAGGGAAAGACCTGCGAGTTTGGCTTCAAAACCGACGAGTTCGGCATCGCCAACGACAGCAAGTTGTTCGATCTCTTCTCGTCCTTAGCCCCCGCGGGCCCCGACACCACCACGTGGCCGGACGGCAACCTGCGCGATCAGCAGCGAGGCCGCTTCTTCGTTCCGGGACCGGCGCAGGAGGCCCAGTTCCAGGAAGGCTTCGGCGCGGCGCGATCGTTCCCTTGCCCTGTGGACCAAAAGCTGGGTGTCGAGCAGGTCGGTGTTTTCGATGCTGACCGTATCGAATGGAACACCGCGACCGGCGGTCTTTTCGTCAGGTACTACTAGACTTCGAGGAAGGTGGCTTATGGGGTAAGGTCGCTCTTGAGCGATGGGGTAGAATGAAATTGCGGTGTTGTGGGGTTTACATTTAGAGAAGACATTGCATAGCGACGGATAGGACACTCCCTGAGCATCGGAATTGGTTTATTGAGGACTCTCTTACTTTTATAATAATCTCTATCGAGCAATCAATCCCTAAATTTCCAACATCTTTGTCTCCAGATCATGCCATGCGTCGTGTCATAGCCGCATTAATGCGCATGATCCTCTCTCGGGCCCCCGGGATGGGGTCAAGAAATGATTCCTCTGCAGTGGTCGGACGAGCAGGAGCTCTGTTCTCAAGGACTGTTCGAAGGTTCTCCTTCCAGCGACGTTCTCGTGTTTGTGTTATATTTCGCACATGCAACATCTCGTCGACGACTTCTCCCATCGTAGTTGCACCGGAGCAATAGAAGGATACTGATGCGCTTTCGGTAGGGGTGAATGATAGCCGAAAGCCTCGCTCGTCCTGAATAGGCAACATTCGCCGCCAGGTTGCGGTTGTTGGAGAAGAGTCCGACATCGCTTGAAGTCGTTGGAATTCAGCCGGGGTGATAGTGAGACTCGGGATTTTATACCAGGAAATGCTGACGCTGAAGAACCTCGGAGTCAATAAAGGATTGGGTATGGCGCTCTCATTGGTAAGGGTTGCTAAGACTCGGGACTTTGGCGTTCTCAAGCGTACGGAGGGTGAGCTGGTGTTTGGTACACTTGCCAACGTTCGAAGAAACAGATGAGATTGCAGATAAGGAGATGCATCGATTACAGCTTTCCATAGGGGAGAAACCAGCTGATAGCGGATGAGATCATGGGGAGGAAGATGAATGAGGATTAGCTCTACCAGCTCAAAAATCTGAGCGAGGTATTGCGAACGCGTAGTGATTGATGAAGACGCCATTGCGATTGCAATACTCTCACCCCTCTCGCAGGTTGGAGGAAGTCGAGTTCATATTGAAGTATTTGAGTGCTGCCTTGAGCAATACGGAGCATGAGGGTACGTAAGCTCAGAATTCCGTGTGACGCGACGATGTAGGCTGTTGATTCAGGATACGATACGAAAGGTAGCTAGAAACTCAGGCAGGACTGACTTCATTGTTGCTTATGGCAGAGATGATAGAATCACCGGAATATTGACATCCAGGGCGGACAGAAGTAGGTATCAGCTGCATCGTCGGGACCCTCACCCTGAACATACAACAAGACTGTCTGGGCCTTTTCCACCTACCATCCACCACGAATCAGGGGAGAGAATCCAACCCGAAATAGAAGACAATTCGTAATAAGGTGTACAGCAAAGATGTGCGAACTGTGAAGTCGACAGAGTGCGGAATACGGAATACGGAGATATTAATACTACCACAGCTTCATCCAGTGTTCCACTCTGATGATCAGTCATGGTGAGATGGACAGCTGAATGCTGATTGCGTGTGTATTGGAAGTGGGGAAACTTGGGCTCTCCAATTTTCCTAGTAGCAAGCTTATCCGCAACCGTCAACGACACATTTATGATTACTGATTTACATTCGAGTAATTAGCATGAAGACTGAAGGCACATTAGTGATTCGCTGCTCGGCCATCCGTTCGCCTTCACTCTGTCGTCCTCTTCACGGCTACTGGTCACACGTGCACTGATCACTGTGGGTGGGACAGAAAATGATGCCCCCTCAGTCCCTCGGCTGGGGTCGTTTCACAAGGACAATAGTCAAGCGAATGAACGGACAATTCCCGGCCCGGAAGCTGGAAGCTCGACCTGCCGACATAATGAGGAGACGAGCGCTCTCGGGTTCTGCATTTGAGAACTCCATGAGGCATGAATGCTTCACATGATTCTAGTTATCTGAACGCCTTATAATAGGTTGCTTGTCCCTCTCGTTACTACTAACAGGTGATTCTAGGATCCCGAATACCGCCAAGATGACCACTTACACCTCCTTGGAGGACTTCGACACGGCGTACAAGACCGTTAATGCGACCTTCAAGTCGGGCACGACCAAAGATCTCAAATGGAGGAAATGGCAGCTGAAGCAACTCTGGTGGCTGATGGAGGATAACGAGAAGCGAATCCTCGCCGCTCTGAAGAAGGATCTCAACCGAAATGACTTCGAGAGCATCTTCACCGACGTCGTTGGCGTGAAGACCGACATCCTCCACCACATCTCGAGCCTGGAGAAATGGACCGCCGACCAACCCATCGATGCCGGTTTCATCTTCGGCACGCTGGGCAAATCCAAGATCCGACGCGAACCTCTGGGCGTGACCCTCATTATCGGCGCTTGGAACTTCCCCATCATGCTCACTCTCCAACCGGTGATCGCTGCTATCGCCGCCGGCTGCGCCATCGTGATCAAACCCTCCGAACTAGCCGTGGCAACGCAAGACCTTCTCATGGAGCTCATCCCTCGCTACATGGACCCGTCCGCCATCGTGGCCGTTTCGGCTGGACCGGCGGAAATGGGGCCGATCCTCGACCGAAAGTATGATCACATCTTCTATACAGGAGGGTCCAAGGTGGCGCGGATCATCGCTGCGGCTGCCGCGAAGCACTTGACTCCCACCGTGTTGGAGCTCGGCGGTCAAGGCCCTGCAATCGTGACGAAGTCGGCGAATGTGGACCTTGCCGCGAAGAAAATCGCCTGGGCGAAGTATCTCAACGCCGGGCAGATCTGTCTTTCGGTGAACCATGTCTTCGCCGATCCCGCGATTGCGGACGAGCTGGTCGAGAGACTTTCACATTGGTTCGATGTCTGTCAGAACGGTGGATCGAAACCGACTGCCGCGGCGAGCAACATGGTCACCATCATCAACGAGCGCAACTTCGACCGTCTCGCTGGGTTGCTCTCCCAAACCGAGGGAAAGACCACCTACGGCGGAGATCTGGACCGAGCTACGAAAAAGTTTTCCCCGACTGTTGTCGCGAACGTTACCCTTGACGATTCACTGATGTCAGAGGAGCTCTTTGGTCCCATTTGCCCGATTATTAAAGCGGATTATAAGCAGGCCATCAAAAACATTGGAGAGTGAGTTGTTCATCTGGAGACCATATCGAATTTGTACTGACGGCGGCAGTCTGCCTCACCCGCTTGCCATTTATATCTTCAGCTCCAAGCAGTCGGAAATTGATGAGAGTCAGTCAGCCCCTCCGTGTAGCCATTTCAGCGATGCTAACCCGAACGTGCAGTCTTGGGCGGTACGAACTCCGGAGGCTGTAGCATCAATGACGTGATCATCCACGCTGGGACCCCCAATGCGCCATTCGGAGGTGTAGGCGAATCTGGGCATGGTTACTACCACGGAACCTACGGCATCGACGCCTTCTCCCACATCCGTACCGTGGTCGAACCGCCGAGCTTCCTCCACAAGATCACCGGGTTCCTTTACCCGCCGTTCGACGTAAAACACGCAAGCAAGATCGCAGTAAAGAATAAGTTGGGTTTCAAGCGTGGCGAGACGCTTCAGGATCAGAAGATCAAGGTTGGTTTCCTCTGGCGACTTCAACAGCTCATCCCTTTCGCGGGCTGACCCCTGTTTCTTTTGTTTCGTAAAGTCGGCTTCCTCGGCGGGAACCAAATCGCGGGCAGGTCAAACCTTGAAGTTGTTGGCTCTGTTGACTATTGTCGCTGCTGTTGATGCCAGAACGGGCGGTAGGCTTGCTGTTGCGGAGACTCTGCGGAAGGTTGCTGCGAGGGTCTTGCAACAGTGAGGTAAGTTCAGCCTGATCGCCCAGTGTACCATGTTGTCTCGCAACTCTTGTTTTTAGCTTGAGAAGGAAAGGGGGAAATGCTAATTTGCTATTTGGCTGCATCGGCTTGTATTTCGGCTTGTATATCTGCGCCATCCTATTGTATTTACGGCCATTGTGAACCCGATCACGTGATATCGCATTGGGTAACCCCTAAATTCATCACAGCGATGTGTCCTACACTTGGCGCTGTTGGCTGTTGGACATCGACATGTTTGATGTGGCGATTTCAAACAAACCTACCAGTACCCTGAAAGCACTCCACTCATATGATAATTACCGGCACCAGTGTTGTGATCATCCACAAACGCTGCCAACTCTGCCTCATACTGGTACATCGTCCTGCTATTTATAGGTTTCTCACCAATACTCCGTAGTCATGGCGAAGCTCAAGCTGGCCGAGGAAAGGGAGATCAACATCCTCGCATTCGGGAATTCGCTGACAGAAGGGTAAGCAAACCACAGCGAGTCTTAATACCCTTTTTCATATTTCAAACTAAGTATATAATTTAGGTACACTGATTGGGGCATGACTCTCCATCCCTATGCCATCGAACTTCGCAAGACCCTGTCGGCAGAATATCCCAATCGCAATGTCACGGTTGACGTGAATGGGCAAAGCGGCGACTTCGTCATTTCTTCCTTTGGTGGCAACTTCTTCACGCGACTCCAGAGCTCCTATGAGAAGCTGGCTGAGAAAGGCAAATCCTATGATCTCGTCATCGCGTTGGGCGGAACCAATGACCTGGCCATGGCGTCCTACGATGAGAAGGGACCGGAGAAAATATTCGCGGCCCTGAAGCTGTGCTATGACTATATTCTACAGGGAGGTTCATCATTGCTTGTCTTGACAGTCCCGGAACGATCCTTGGACACGGAGAAGGATGGGAAGTTCAAGCATATGATAAGTAGCCGGCTACGACTAAACGAACTGCTCAAAGAATATGTCACATCGCAAGCTTCTGCCTCTCCGTCCAAGGTGTTCATGATGGATCTTGCAGCAATGGTCCCTTTCCCTGTCGTTGCGAAAGACGATGATAACTTCACCTGGGACTACCAACTTTGGTCTCCTGACGGACTTCATATGTCGACTCTCGGCTACAACTTTGTGGGGGGAGAACTGGGATCCCTTATCCAGCAATTACTCAGTGAAGAGAAACCTGAAGAAGAGTAGAGTAGATAATTGGACCTGGAGTGTCGACGGCGTTGAATTCCATTGCGGACAAGAGCAACTGCCATTCTCATCGGCTTGGTGCTTCCCGGTACTGTCATCGTCGGACAAATGACATGTCGAAAGCACCTTCCTCCAATATCTCATCCTGGCTTATTATACTGGTAGAGTTGACGACTGTGTATGAATTTCCTTTCTCCCAGATGACGTTCCCAAACCAAAACTTTGTCCGGACAGGATGGTCTCTAGGGATTATCATTCGATCCTCGGTTTCTTCGCTCAAAATCCTTATCATGAAAATACATTTCCTACTTGCTCTTATTGCAGCCCTCGGATGTGATGGCCGAAGACCTGACACGGAGACACACATACGGCCAGATTTATTCGAAGCCGGAGACTCGTCAGATCGGAGGGTTGTCTTTCGCACTCGTGACACATCGGGTCAACGCAGTTCACATCTCATGCCGAAATCAAGCCCCGACAACAGTCTTGAAGGATCCCCTACGCTTGAAGAAATCACCGACCATCTCATTTTCGACACTAGCCTCATGGCGTTTCTCCGGGCACGCCGGCATCAAGAACCCGCAGAATTGGTCTGGACCTCCGATGGCTGCAGCGGTGTTCCTAACTGGATACAAAACAAACCAGGCTTCCCCTTCGTCCCGGCATGTCTGCGACATGACTTTGGGTATCGCAACTACATGGATCAAGACCGGTTGACGCTTGAATTGGTCCACGCGATCGCCGAGAAGTTCGAAGAGGATCTAATGGCGTTGTGCGGGTGGCAACACAGCATGGCCATTCGGACTTGCACGATGATTGTGAAGCGAATGGTTCCGATTGCGCGGCATCATTCCGAGTATGTGAGTGATCCGTTGCGGTTTTGCTCGGGACCTCTCGGATTCTAGCGTTTCTCACAGGATGTCCTCCCAGATGGCCGCCCCAGTTTCGGGCGTCGGATTAAGCAGGACATCGCTGACTTTCTGATTGGAGACGGGTGACGGACAAAATGGGGGATATTTGTGCGGAGTAGGGACGGGATAAGAGGCATTTGGGTTATTGGAATCGCTGAGTAACTGTAGCACAATTGGAATCGATGGGTACCCTTCTGTAGGATCAATAGTACCTATTCTTCCAATGAAACTTCACATACTTGGCCTGGACATTTCTCGAAGCCAAATCCGTCCATCCTATCCCATCGTTTGATGGGCTCTAGCCATTCCAACCGGCCAAGTTATCTTAGGACCTAGGTGCCATTGCTTCGTAGTAATAGACATAGCGGCGATGTTCCATGCCCAACCTTTTGCGTCTCATCTCTCTTGGCGGATGGTAATGCAAGTCGACAAAGGGAATTCTGATAGGTCAGCGTGAATGATGTTTGTTCAACGTTGAGATTTCTCTATAGAGAATAAATCCTTGTAATTATAACCATTTTATAGATGTCGATTACCCTCATTCTCAATGTAATTCACTTCAAGTTGTTGAAGAACAGAAACGTGGAGTGATAAACAAACATAAAGTCAAAGGCTGGTTTGTGCCTGAGGCAAAAACGTCCTTTCAATCTCACGCTGACGGAGCCAACATGAAGCTTGAGCAAGTTGAGCTCCAGTTCATTCAACGCAGTGAATGTTTAGCATTTTAATGTGCTTCACTCCAAGATCTTAGCAGAGCATTATGACCTGACCTTGCTAGAGATATATATCTGGACCTCTGCGGTCACATCAGCGATAACCTCCTTTCGTTTCATTCTGAGCCACTGTCCCATCAGCCATGGCGACTGAGTATAAGCAATTTGGTGCGTCGCCCGTATGATTCTCCCGTTATCAAATGACTAACCCTTCTCTGCAGAGCTTTCCTCAACTGGGGACCTGTCAGACCCGAGTCGCGATGCTCTCTACGCCTATTCCCTCCCGAAACAAAAGGAAATCAACGAGGCCCGACCATGGAAAGGCTCCCCCAAGTACTTCCAGCATGTCCGAATCAGCTCCGTCGCACTCCTCAAAATGGTGACACACGCGCGATCAGGCGGTAACATCGAGGTTATGGGTTTGATGATCGGATACACTTCTGGGAACACCTTCATCGTGACGGATGCTTTTCGATTGCCCGTGGAGGGAACCGAGACGCGAGTCAACGCTGGCGATGCCGCGAACGAATACATGGTCAATTTCTTAGAAGGATATCGAAGTGCGGGGCAAGCTGAGAATGCCGTGGGGTGGTATCACTCGCATCCGGGATATGGGTGCTGGCTGAGCGGGATCGATGTGGGGACACAGCGACTGTATCAGTTCAGCGAACCGTGGGTGGCTGTCGTGATCGATCCGGATCGAACCGTGAGCTCGGGAAAGGTCGATATTGGGGCGTTTAGGACGTATCCGGAGGGTCACAAACCCGCCCAGCCGTCCAAAGAGTCGGAGAAGTCGGATAAGTCGGACGGGTCGACCGCGTCGAACCATCAATCCTGGAGCCAAGCCCCGGCCAACGTGCCCAAGGGAAAAGCCGAGGACTTTGGGGCGCATGCGGATCAGTACTATCCCCTCGAGGTCAGCCATTACAAGAGCAGCCTCGACAGCAAGTTGTTGGCAGGTTTATGGAACAAGTACTGGGTCGGGACACTGTCATCCAACCCGCTGCTCACGAATCGGGAGTACGGCACGAAACAAATCGAAGACTTGGGAATCAAGGTCGCCGATGCCGAGCAGCACGTCTTCAAAACCAGCGGCGCGGGATTGCAAGCGGCACTACGCGACCCTCCGGATCTGGACAAGCTCGTCAAAGCCAGCAACAAGATCGCAGCAGAGGAGAAGGCTGGATTGACGGCGGAGAAGATCAAAGAGGATATCTTCGGTGTGGATCACAGGGAACCCTGAAGTCGGTTGGAGCATGCTGGGCTGCGAAGCAAGTCGACGACATTGTCGGACGGATCGAGAGGAATGCGTGGATGGACGCGGAACGGAAAACGAGACGCTACGTTCGCAATGGTCTAATGCATAGATGCATGTGTATGATAGAACAAGCGAACCGTCCTCTCAAGCTTCGCTACATATGATGGTTCGCAATGAGACAACGAATGCCACGATATACATCAACCCACCCGTTTCCTTTCGCCATCGTCATGGTTTTAGCCTAACTTCGCCTCCGCCATATTGTCCATCTTCATCTCGCCCTGAAGTATCTTCCAACCCAGTCGTTGCCACACTTCCGACTCTAACCTCACCAGCGGAGCATGGCTTTCTTCACCTTCCTGTACAGGCGTGTATGAGACCAATGATTGCTTTTGAACCTGTAACGGCACCGCTTGCGCATTCCTTGCCCCCGGAGCCCCAAAGATCCCGTAGATCAGAGTTTGCTGGAGTCTTTCCTCGAAATCGACGCCGAGGCCCGCTGCAGGTCTTCCAGCACAGGATTCGGCGTCCTCCCCTGAATCGTCTGCGTTGAGGAACCGGGCAGACAAGTCCATGACCACGTGGAAAGTCTGGAGAAGATAGTGAGAGTAGATATCGAGGGCTAAAGGATCAAGGCGACGTTCGAGATTCCTCGTCTCCTTCGTAATGGTGGTCGCACGAGTAGCTGCAAACGTGGACGTGTATAGCTCATTACCCACTGCATTCAATACGCAGGCTGCCATACTTTCGAACAGTTTGCGATGGGCAGCGCTTGAATCTGATAACATCCGTAACCAAGCTATGAGCAAGTACGTTGTGAATTCCGCCGATATAGTGTTTGGCCTAGTCTTCTGCTTCTTCACTGGTGGATTAGAATTTGGTTTGGCGCCGCCTATCACCATTGTCTCGTTGTTATGCATTCGTACTGCTGCGTCCGAGCATGTCTGCTTGAGATACTTGAGAAGATCGGTAAAACATGAGACAGAACAGTATATAGTCGAGCCGAATGTACCCGATCTATCGGGGACATCTAGTTTCGTGAGCGCGCTGGTTAGAACTGAGAGGATGCGCTCGAATCCGAGGCATAGACTAGATATCCTTGATCGCACCGAAGATTCAGTGGTAGTCGCGCCTGTATGAACGTCGTCGAAAGAATTTGACACAAGGGATGAAAGTGCGGAGATGGCGAACGAGCAGTGAAACGCGAGCAGTCCAGGCTGAACTGGTTGAGACTTGATGATAGAAAGAATCTTATGCACGTGTTGGAGGATATCAGAACCTAGAACTTGTAAGATAGGTCTGCGGAGCGACGAAGCGTATTCATGAAAGATTTCAAACCTTGAGACATTGATTCGAGGACCAAGCCTCCATTTGGGGACCTACGACTCGTGGATTTGGATTGTCTCGATTTCGAACGATATGTGTTTCCATAGACTTTCACGAGATTGGCCATTCCAAGAGTGTCTTTCTTTGCCAATTCGTCATTTAGAACGCTGCCATTGGCTTCCGGTTCAGTTTCAAGCTGCCGGAGGATCAATTCTGCCTTGCTCAGACGGGCTTGTAGCCTCTCAGAATCTCTCTGAGACCGAAGAAAACGGGACTTCCAGTAAGAGGCGTTGTCAAAACCGCCCGCGGACCCCTCGCTTTGGGCCTCTCTACAGCGAATGCAGTGCCTTAAGGAGTGTATAAAGTCTGAAGACATGATGATTAGATGATGCTCTAAAGGATTGCTGTGAACGGTTTAGATACTTACCTTCGACAGTTTCACTTGGGGGCTTCGCTTTCAATAGGACAATGCCACACAATAGGGAACTTGCCAGTCCAAATGGCGATGCTGTAATCATTTCAGTCATAATTATTTCATTCTGTCCGAGTCATCCTTATGCTGTGACCGGCAGTCGAGTGACTACGTGGAGAACAATCCGAGGGAATACGGATATCTACATTTTTCGATGGGTACAGTTCAAACATGGACCGGACAGGACAGTAGGACATGCAATAATAGAAGGGGAAGGAAGTCTTATCATCATGCCTTCCCTCAGTAATTACTGTCAGTAGACAGTCGGGTGGTGTCGTAGTACAGCAGACATGGAGAGCGGTCTGGTCCTGTGGGTCGCCGCTTCTCTATGTGGCCCTGGCGCCCCGCCACCCCGGTGGTCCCGGGTCCGTGGTCGGGTGGTGGGTGGTCGCCTGGTCGGCCCAACTGCAACGTCCACCAGGCACCAAAGTCCATCCCCAGCTTTCTTCTCATTTCTGCTGGACGTGGAACAGAAGCAAATCACCGCACGGAGTATCAATACTGAGAGAAAGATATCGTATCACTCAATAATAGCAACGATACGCGTCTATTGTGAGATCTGGAGCCAAGGGTAACCGGTATAGCTCCCGTCTATTGCTGCCGAAACCGGATCGTGACAACCGCTAACACGCAGACATCCCTCTTATCAATGCATTCCTATTATCGGATACCGCCGATGCATGGTCTATCTATGATATTAGGTAAGGCATAATACTTTGAGGACACTGCAAGTTGGAATCTCTATATAATTCCCCGTTTCTCTTGAATCGCCAATCCCGTTTCGGTAAGACAGCAGGCGGCATTCTTTCAACATTCATGCAATTTGAAATAGTACAACCATGTCTGAGTTCATTATTCCTACCGTTGATATCGGCCCTTATCTCCAATATCCAACGTCCAAAGAGGCCGAAGTTGTGATGGGTAAGATCTATCAAGCATGTATCACGAGTGGGTTCTTTCAATTGGTTGGTCATCCTATCCCCTCGAGTCTACAAGAGAAGGTCTTTGAAGGAGCGCAAGCACTCTTTGCTCTGCCGATGCATGAGAAAGAGACTCTTGTCTCAAAAGCCGGTGGACTAGGAAACCAGGGGTATGAAATCATTGGTGCCCAAGCTCTGCAGAAAAACACCCTTCCGGATCTAAAGGAGGTACGTTTCCCAGAGCGGTTCGACAGCAGTTCTTGAAAATGTTAATACTTGAATAGGGATTCTTTGTAGGAGAGGAATTCACTCCTTCTGTCATCGCTTCGAACCCGTCTATCTTCGCGCCTAATGTCTGGCCAACTGCCCTCCCCTCCACTTCAATCACACCTGCATCGTTCAAATCCACGATGCTTGAGTATCAATCACGTTGCGTGGATTTGACCAAAGTCCTTCTGTCGCTTTTGGCCCGCGTGCTCCCTTATGGCCCTCATATTTTTGAGACCTTTAGCGCTGACCCTTCGCTCGCGGTGATCAGGCTCTTACATTACCCTCCTCAGGATTGCACAGACCCGCGCCAACTAGGTGCAGGTGCTCACACTGACTTCGGAGCCCTAACTCTATTGCTTCAGGATGGTGAGAATGCAGGGCTGGAGGTTCTGGACTCCGACGGAGAGTGGCAGGCAGTGCCGCCTGTGAAGCACGCTCTCGTGGTTAACGTCGGGGATATGCTGCATCGATGGACAAACGGGAGATTCAAAAGCTCGGTACATAGAGTCATCAACAGGAGCGGGAGGGATAGATACTCTGTGCCCTTCTTCTACGATGGGAACCCGGATTGTAGGCTGGTTCCATTCGAGGTTGCAGCTAAAACAGGGGACGGGAACCCCCTATACCAAGACTACATCACCGTGGCTGATCATATGAAGGAAAGATATGCGGCAACTGTATTAAAGAAGTCAGAAGCTACTGCATCGTAGCGAATCGAAGCATTGTATAGCTTCCCGAAGATGCTTTCTCGTGATGCTGGAGTTGAAGATTGCCGAGATATCTATTCCGGGGAATAAGGACCGATTCGACTCAAGCTAAGGCACCTACTACTACTGACTACTGTACCATCAGGTGGGGGCTAATGTTCAGTGGATTTTTTGATAGGCCAAAAGACATAAATACCATAGATTTAATGCCTCTTGCCTAAATTCGATCGCGCTGAGCTATTATGCCCCGACGGCCGACATGTCTATGATACGAAACTAGGGATCTGCATCGCCACTTGCTCCGCAGATAAGACGTCGCTGCATCACCAGCGACTTCGCCAATACCAGCGAGCTATCTTAAGCATGAATCTCGCGAGTTTAGAAACTTTATAGGCATTGATTTACATGTTATACCAGTTTTATTAGATCTCCCTTGTTTCATCCTTTGACGATCAAGTTTTCACTATGTCGGTCGTTGATATCCATACGCATATGTACCCTCCGTCATACATTTCTCTTCTCCAGTCAAGATATGATGGCGCAGGTTCCGCCGTCCCGTACATCAGAACCTTCGAAGATGCTCCTGACGATCCTCGACTTATAATCTTACCCGATGAAGACGCCAAAGGCGGCCGTGGTCGCCCCGTGGGACCGGAGTACTGGTCAGTGGAGCAGAAGATCGCATTCATGGATACCCACAACATCGAGACCTCTGTGGTTTCTCTCGCGAATCCATGGCTCGACTTCCTCTCGGGGTTTGAGTCCCCGACCTGGGCGGCCAAAATCAACGATGATTTCGAGGCCATTTGCGCTTCGCATAGTCCCCGCCTCTTCTTCTTCGGCGTGCTTCCGCTGTCCGGCCCCCCGTTGACCATCATTGCGGAGATCAAACGGCTTCAAACGCTAAAATATGCTCGCGGGGTAGTCATCGGCACCACCGGGCTGGGGCGAGGCCTGGATGATCCGGAGATGGGCAAGATCTGGGAGGCGCTCGAAGAGACGAATACGTTTGTCTTCCTGCACCCGCACTATGGCCTACCGAGCAGTGTCTACGGATCGCGGGCCAGCGAATATGGACATGTGCTTCCGCTTGCCTTGGGATTCCCGATGGAGACTACGATCGCAGTGGCACGAATGTGGATCAGCTGCGTGTGGGATCGGTACCCGGGACTCCAGATCCTGCTTGCGCATGCCGGGGGCGCCATCCCGTCATTAGCAGGCCGATTGCAGAGTTGTTTGGAGCATGATGGGCATCTGAGAGGCAATGGCAAAGAGGAAGGTCCGAAGAGAACGATTCAGGAGGTCTTGAAGCAGAATATTTACCTCGATGCGGTTGTGTATGGAGAAGTAGGTATAAGTGCTGCGGTGGGGCTAGTAGGAAAAGACAGAGTCATGTTCGGTACGTCATCCAGGCACAGTTGGATTTGCTCCGTTCCATACATGTCATTGTCTCGATGCTAACAGACATAGGGACCGACCATCCGTTCTTCCCACCACTTGGAGCAGACGAGAAAGAATGGCTGAGCGTTCGAACCAATTATGATGCGATCCAGGAGGCATTCACAGACGAGCAAGACCAAGACGCTAAAGGGGTATTGGGTGGCAATGCCATCAAAGTCCTGCGACTTCAAGTTGACTGAACTCGCTTTATGAGATTTCTCCTTTTATACAATGTCGGCCCATAGATGTTAACACGGGGCTGGTATATGGTACAAACGCCATCAAAGCAATATATAAGGGTACTATTCTGCAGCAATCCCACGAACACCCAGATATGCAGTAGAATGAATGTCGCAGTGAATGTCGCGTAAGTGATAGCCAAATCTGTCTCATGCGGTTTCCCCTTCTACACTCTCCCCCTTTGGCTCAAACAAGAACCCACCGTATGGGTTGATGTCCGATTGGTGATTTCGGAGAAGATAGTTCAGAGCGCTCTGCTCCATCACCACCCTCTTCATCTTCAAAAGGTCCCGGATTTCGACATCCTCGGCCGTGATTAGCTGTCCAGCGGTTTTCAGCTCCTTAATTCCGAGCGCCAAATTCTTTCTTTCACCTCTTGTAACAAACGTGGACCCTCCGTCATTTCTACCCCAGCCCAATTCTTGGAGAATCTCCCTGGTCACATCGGTGATATGACCTATCCTCCTGTCGTCTAACTCTCGGAACAGCTGAGCTTCCTTTGAACCGTCTTCACCGAAAGCAAATTCCACGGGGATGTCCAAGTGGTCTTGCACCACCACTAATTGGCCCCGTCTAAATCGATAGCTGAGTGCCGTCCGCATGGCAAGATCGTAGATTTTCCTCGGCAGATCGGTGCTGAAATCTCTCGGCTTCGGGCCGAACGCCACTCCACCACCCCTGAGCATGGGGGATTTCTTATCACCCAATCGTGCTGAGCCAGTTCCCTTCTGTGGACGGATTTTCCGACCCGATCCGTGGACTTCGGACCGCCATTTGGTCGAGGCCGTCCCTTGACGGTCGGCGTCGGCTTCGAATACCACGGCGCGGTGCAGAAGATCTTTTCGGAGGGGCAAATGGAGGTGAGAGCTAGGATATGACAGGAACTTTATCGGCTCGAGGGTTGGAAAGGCGTAGAGTGTGGTGAGGACATTCGGTGGGCGGAGATGTTCGGGGACGGGAAAGGCGTTACGCAGGGAGGTGGGAGGCGGAGCGAGGATAGGAGCGTCGTCTTTAAGGGGATTGGACTGTCGCGTCGGCCTTGGTTGTGATTTGGAAACACCATCGGTGGATTCTATGTTGGTTTGGGCTGCAACGGGTGCTTCCGTCGCAAAGCTTCGGATGGGTATCGTCGTTGCGGTTCGCTGTTGTTCGTCAGTGGTGGTCGAATACTCAACATCAAGGGCCGTAACAACATACCGGACGACGGATGCAATTACAAGCATCGCGAAGATGTCTTAATCGAGGTTTCGATGCCATGGTTTGTATTGGAAAACTCCTTACGTTTTGAAGGCTGTTGCGAGTTGTGATGGATGTATCGTGAAGTTGAAATTATTCCTTGGTCCGAGCGTCTCCTCCAGTTCCCCCAAAAATCTTCCCCAACTTCAGCTATCACTGGGAATAGAGTGTACTCCGGTTACTTTCCTTCTCTATTCCTTTCTTTTGAAACAAGCGGGTTTCCTTATCTGTTACGGCATTATGTCGATTGCCAGTAGCGCCCAATGCCTTCGTTGTATTGGCCGTACTTCGCTTTCTTCATCACGTAGTTCCACATGGAGGGCTTTCTCTAAAGCATCACGACAGGAGGCGTCCCTTAACACAACATCCTCTTCTAGCCCTCCAATCGAGCCTACACTTACACGACAAACTTCCACGCCTGTTACATCGACTCCTCTCCAGACCGACCCCTCCGAGTCCACCCGGAGACAAGCTGTTCGAAAAGAACTGAAGGATCCCATACCTTTCGAACAATTACCGTACGAGTGCTTCCAAGAGGCGCGTAAGATATTGCAAGCAGATCGGGAAGAGAAACTCGGGCAAATTGAAATTCAGCGTGGTCGAATTGCGCGCCTTGTTGAGCAGGATGCCTCTGTTAGCGGAGGGAACGTCGCGAAACGGAAACGGTTGGAAAGCATGCGCCAACGCCTCGAAGAGTTGAAGATACTGGCCGATATCAATGATCCCCTGGTCAAGAAGCGTTTTGAGGATGGTTTAGGTGAGTAGAACTCAGGTTTCAAAGAGAGATCCTAGCGTTGCTGACATGATTCACTTGGAAAAGGTGACATGGACAAGCCGATATACCGACATCTGGCCTACAAGAAATGGATAGCATATAAGCGCAAGGTTGCTATGCAACGCATCACGCAGATGAGCGTCATCCCCGACGTCCTACCTTCCATTGAACCCATCCTAGATGTAGACATGAACTTCGACCGTGTACGAGTTCAACCAGGAAACTTCATCATGTCGACCACCAGCGAACGAACACCCACTTTCAATGTACAGAGTTTCGCTGCGGGAGAGCGGTTATATACCGTTGCAGTCATCGATCCCGACATACCCAACATCGACACGGACAACTTCGATCACAAATGTCTTTTCCTTGCGACAAACGTACCGATTTCACCAACGTCTCCGAAGGTCGACGTCGCAAGCCTCCCCGACGCCTCCGTCGCGCATAGCTGGCTACCGCCTGTGGCGCAGATGGGCGCCCCCTACCATCGCATATCAGCCTTCATCCTTCGCCAACCCCACGGAACCACCATCGACGTGGAGGCTCTCAAGGGTCAATATCCTCGGGATAATCTCTGGCTGAGAGATATGGTGAAAAAGCATAGTTTGCGGCCAATGGGCGTGACTATGTTCCGCAGTATGTGGGATGAGGGGACTGATGGTGTGATGGAGAGAGCCGGAATTGAAGGAGTGGATATGGAATTCCAAAGGCCGCCGCCAGAGAAGTTGCCTTATAAGAAGAAGCCTGGTTGGAAGTTCAGGTGAACGTGCCTTGACATAGTTGCGATTGTGATGCAATGTTCGGATACTGTACCATAGTGTAAGAAAGAACCTGTTACGCAGTCCACGTCCACTTTTCTGCGTTCCTGCACACACCTGGCTATCATGGGACAGCATGGGGGGTTGAGTGTATGACTGCGCCTGAGCTCTGTCCTGATACTGAACAACTTTGCAAGCCTATTTGTTGATTTACCCTTTAAATTCTCTCGCAATCTATTGTATTTTGAGGTGTCTACCTTCCCGATATCGTTTAATACTACGGTACCAAGATCTTGGTATGGTTGGATCTCACACGGATTCGAATAACTATCCGGATAGGAATTCTATATCCGTGAATTTCGCGGATCGGATATTATCCGGATATGGCTGGTGTATCCACGAACTCGATCCGTGCCGAGCTCTAGTTGAGATGCTCGCTTTGGAAGTTGTAATATTGTGTCGACAATGTGTTTTGGCGTTAGTTCTGCTCTACTTTGCAGCGGGCTACTCTCCAGCAGTGGACAGCCTCAAGGCAGGGTGTTGATCGGCAAGCCTTGCGGATGCATTCGCCAGTTGAGGATGAACCTCGTCTGGGTACAGACATGAACTCACTCTTAACTGTTCGCATGCGTACATACTGTACACGATAACATGCGCAACGAGAGCGCAACAATAGCGCAATAGCTGGCAGCAGGAAGACTAATGTCGCTCTCTTTGATACCATGTCAGGCAACAATCAACACATCAGCGGCTTATCTGCAAGCGATCATTCTCAGCTCTTCGCTGGTCAGGCCCACGATGTATATGTTGGCAAAAATGAAGGCGAGTCGTGTTTATCTGGCCATGGTCGCAGAACAACAAGAAGCTAACTGGCAGCCTAGCTCTGAACGTTGTGCTCGACTCGCTGCCTACCGCTGCGGACGCGTCGTTCAACGCATATCAGCGACAACGCGACCGGACCTGCCTTCCCAATACCCGCGTCGAACTCCTCCGAGATATATACAACTGGGCTGATGGACAAGACGGGCCATATATCTTCTGGCTGAATGGTCTAGCTGGTACAGGAAAGTCGACGATTGCGCGCACCGTCGCCCGTCGATACTTCGACCTGAAGCGCCTTGGGGCCAGCTTTTTCTTTTCGCGCGGCGGTGGAGATGTCGGCCATGCAGGCAAGTTCATCACGAGCATTGCGTTACAGCTGGCGAGCAGCATTCCTTCTCTCGGTCAACTTATATGCGAAGCTCTCACGAAGCGCCGCGATATTGCAAGCCAGTCTCTTCGCGACCAGTGGCAGCAACTCATCGTAAGCCCGCTGTCGAAGTTGGACGAGAGCAGTAGTCTATCCTCGTATGTTCTTGTCGTCGATGCTCTGGATGAGTGTGACAATGACTACGATATTCGGACCATTATGGACCTTTTGACTGAAGCCCGATCGTCAACGTCAGTTCGATTGCGAGTTTTCCTGACGAGCCGACCGGAGGTTCCGATGCGATATGGAATTCACCAGATACCGGAAGATGAACACGAGGATTTAATGCTTCACAACATATCATCCTCTATTGTAGATTACGACGTCTCTATTTTCTTCGAGCACAATTTCAAGCTCATTCGGCAGGAACAATCTCTGGACGTAGGCTGGCCGGGCGAAGATGTTATCCGATGCTTGATTCAGATTGTAGGTGGATTATTTATTTGGGCCGCAACTGCTTGTCACTACATTCAAGAAGGCCTATTCGCGGACGAAAGAGTACAGACTCTGCTGGAAAGCAGCACGTCTACCACTACCCCCGAAGAGCATCTCAATGAGCTCTATACTACCGTCCTGAAGGAATCCATTCGGCCGGGATACTCAGTGAAAGAAAAGGAAGTTTTGTGTGGCATATTACGACATATTCTAGGAAGCATAGTGGTTCTCTTCTCCCCGCTCTCAGCAAATTCCCTTCAGACGCTGCTCGGTGTCACAAAGCAAAAGATTGATCAGGTGCTAAGGGATCTTCATGCTATTCTGGACATTCCGAAAGTGGATGTCCACCCGATCCATCTGCATCACCCTTCGTTTCGTGACTTTCTCCTCAACAACAAAAGATGCGAAGATCCGATTTTCTGGGTGGACGAGAAGCAGGCACATCAAGTTTTGGCTGACAGATGTATACAGCTCATGTCGACATCACTCAAACAAGACATTTGTGGGGTGGATGCTCCGGGCATGCTTGTAGCCAATATCGAGAGAACTCGGCTTAAGCAGAGCCTTCTTCCCGAAGCCCAATACGCTTGTCGATACTGGATCGATCATATTCGGAGGAGTGGCATCCAGCTCCGCGATAACGGTCAAGTACATCTTTTCTTACAGGAGCATCTTCTTCATTGGCTCGAGGCTCTTGGGTGGATGGGAAAGGTGTCGGAAGGTATTCATGCTCTCGCGGCTTTAGAATCATTGGTTTCTGTGAGTATACCACTCTAGCAAAAGTTCTCGCTAACAGCTCGGCTAGTCTAATGGTTGCCCAGATCTTTGGAGCTTTATCCACGACGCGAAGCGCTTCGTCCTCTATAGTCGGCGTGCTATAGAGCAGGCTCCACTCCAGACGTACTGCAGTGCTCTCGCATTTGCACCGATAAGGAGCATAATAAGAAAACAATTTGCGAGTTGTACATCTAGATGGATACGAAGGTTGCCAAAGGCCGAGGAGAAATGGAATACATTGCTACAGTTGCTCGAGGGCCATTCGGGCGGGGTCACCGCTGTGGCCTTCTCGCCGGACGGTAAGACGCTGGCGTCGGCTTCGGACGACCGCACGGTCAGGCTATGGGACGCTTGGTCGGGCGCCGCACTACAGGTGCTCAAGGGCCATTCGCGACCGGTCACCGCCGTGGCCTTCTCGCCGGGCGGTAAGACGCTGGCGTCGGCTTCGTGGGACGGCACAGTCAGGCTGTGGGACGCCGGGTTGGGCACCGCATTGCAGACGCTCAGGGGCGATTCGCTTTGGGTCCGTGCCGTAGCCTTCTCGCCGGACGGCAAGACGCTGGCGTCGGCTTCGGACGAGGTCAAGCTGTGGGACGCCGGGTCGGGCGCCGCCCTACAGACGCTCAAGGTCCATTCGCGCTGGGTCCGCGCCGTGGCCTTCTCGCCGGACTGTAAGACGCTGGCGTCGGCTTCGGGGAACCGCACGGTCAAGCTCTGGGACGCCGGGTCGGGCGCCGCCCTGCTAACGCTTAAGGGCCATTCGCGTTCGGTCCGCGCCGTGGCCTTCTCGCCGGACGGCAAGACGCTGGCGTCAGCTTCGGGAGACCGTACGGTCAAGCTGTGGGACGCCGGGTCGGGCGCCGCCCTACTGACGCTTAAGGGCCATTCGCACTGGGTCCGTACCGTGGCATTCTCGCCGGACGGTAAGACGCTGGCGTCGGCTTCGGACGACCGTACGGTTAGGCTATGGGACGCTTGGTCGGGCGCTGCACTGCAGACGCTTAAGAGTTATTCGCATTTGGTTAGCGCCGTAGCCTTCTCGCCGGACGGCAAGACGCTGGCGTCGGCTTCAGGGGACCGTACGGTCGGGCTATGGGACACCGGGCCGGGCGCCACGCTACAGACACTTAAGGGCTATTCGAGTTCGGTCCGCGCCGTGGCCTTCTCGCCGGACGGTATGACGCTGGCGTCGGCTTCGGGCGACGGCACGGTCAAGCTATGTGACGCTGAGTCGGGTACCACGCTGAAGACGCTCAAGGGCCATTCGCGTTCGGTCGTCGCCGTGGCCTTCTCGCCGGACGGCAAGACACTAGCGTCGGCTTCAGGGGACCGTACGGTCAAGCTGTGGGGTGCCGGGTCGGGTGCCGCCCTGCAGACGCTCAAGGGCCATTCGCGTTCGGTCAGCGCCGTGGCCTTCTCGCCGGACGGCAAGACGCTGGCGTCGGCTTCGTGGGACCGCACGGTCAGGCTATGGGACGCCGGGTCGGGCGCCGCATTGCAGACTCTTAAGGGCCATTCGCGTTCGGTCCGTGCCGTAGCCTTCTCGCCGGACGGTAAGACGCTAACGTCGGCTTCGTGGGACCGCGCGGTCAAGCTGTGGGACGCCGGGTCGGGCGTCGCGTTACAGACGCTTAAGGGCTATTCGCGTTTGGTCAGCGCCGTGGCCTTCTCGCCGGACGGCAAGACGCTAGCGTCGGCTTCGGACGACCGTACTGTTAGGCTGTGGGACGCCGGGTCGGGCGCCGCGCTACATACGCTCGAGGGCCATTCGGGCGGGGTCGATGCCGTTGCCTTCTCGCTGGACGGTAAGACGCTGGCGTCGGCTTCGGGCGACCGCACGGTTAAGCTATGGGACGCCGGGTCGGGCGCCGCACTGCAGACGCTCGAGGCCCATTCGGGCGGGGTCGCCGCTGTGGCCTTCTCGCCGGACGGTAAGACGCTGGCGTCGGCTTCGTGGGACCGCACGGTCAGGCTATGGGACGCCGAGTCGGGCGCCGCGCTCAAGGGCCATTCGCGTTCGGTCAGGGCCGTGGCCTTCTCGCCGGACGGCAAGACACTAGCGTCGGCTTCAGAGGACCGTACGGTCAAGCTGTGGGATACCGGGTCGGGCGCCGCGCTGCAGACGCTTAAGGGCCATTTAGACTGGGTCCACGCCGTGGCCTTCTCGCCGAACGATAAGACGCTGGCGTCGGCATCCGGGGACGGCACGGTTAAGCTATGGGGCGTCGGGTCGGGCGCCGCACTACAGACACTCGACGGCCATTCGCGTTCGGTCAACGCTGTGGCCTTCTCGCCGGACGGTAAGATGCTGGTGTCGGCTTCAGAGGACCATACGGTCAAGCTGTGGGATGCCGGGTCGGGGGCCGCGTTGCAGACACTTAAGGGCTATTCGAGTTCGGTCCGCGCCGTGGCCTTCTCGCCGGACGGTATGACGCTGGCGTCGGCTTCGGGCGACGGCACGGTCAAGCTATGTGACGCTGGGTCGGGTACCACGCTGCAGACGCTCAAGGGCCATTCGCGTTGGGTCAGCGCCGTGGCCTTCTCGCCGGACAATAAGACGCTGGTGTCGGCTTCGGGGGACGGCACGGTCAGGCTGTGGGACGCCGGGTCGGGCGCCGCGCTGCAGACGCTCGAGGTTGGCGCCGTCGTTAATACTCTGGCTGTCTCTAATGATGGTTCCTTTCTCCAGACTGACCGGGGATCCGTACCAATTCCACCTTTCTCTTTGCCTTCAGATGCTAGAGCTATAGCTAGTTCACAGCTCCCGCCTTCCATTTTTGTCGATGACCAATGGGTAAGTCGCGGTACCGAGCGGGTCCTTCGGCTCCCCCCGAAGCATCGGCCAAGCCATATTGCTGTTCATAGGGACACTGTTGCCTTCGGGTTCCAATCTGGAAGAGTTGCGATGATGAAATTTGCTTTGTGATATGCTCTGAAGCTTTTCTTCAATCTCCTTCACGCCCACCTCTTTTGCAAATGCTGTCTTTTCATACCGCGTGGAGAGCTCAGGTGGCGAGAACAATATTTAAATTAGGAACATAAAGGCTTTGAAATCAAATTGTGCCTTAAGGCGATAGCAACTCATGTTAGCAAAGCTGTCAGGACACACGAGGGGTGGAACTAGGAAAGTAGCACACGAGTAGCATGCGAGTAGCTGGAGGGTATATTGTCCTTCAGACTTAGACTGATCCTTGGGGAATTAGGAATAGTGGGGAGCGGTGAGTGCTATCCGTCGGACGATTCGAGGCTGCAATGGCCGGAAGAGGAAAGCCGGCCATTCTGGCGGTCGACCTACCATCGCAACATTTACCTTTCGAATCCTCAGAGTTCCATTTCCTCGCATCTGCCTCCGTTTGGTCAACCCTTGCCATCATCAATGAAAATATTATGTAGCTGAGGGTCGCCATGAGAAAGACCAGCTTTGGACAACTCATTGTAAGCATCCTTAATTGCATCCAGAGCTAGAGCTCGTTCTGCAGGGGAGAGCTCGTTTAGTGTTTTGCCCCTTGCTTTTGACATAACGATGCAAAGCAGATTGTGGAGGGGATCGAGCCATGGTAGCAGATACAGTAACAGAGACAGGTGAAGACAAATGAGATGGAGTGGCGGAAGATACAGGAGCAGGTGTAGGGATCGCCATAGATACAGGAATTGATACGGTAACTGAGGTGTGTGCTTGTCGTAGGACATCAGCAAGTGTTTGAACCGGGGGTTGAGGAGGAGGCTGGAATTGAGGGATAGAAGGCGGTACACACCGTTCAAAAGCTGATAGATCTCGACGAGTTAATGCCTCGTTCCTCCTCGATGCACCTCTTGTTTAAGTACGAAGCGGCTCTAGGATATACTAATATGGCCTGGGAGATAGGCGTATTGACCGTCCTTGCACATGTTAATAGCGCCAATGATGTCGTAAAGGTGATCCAGTCGTAACGTCGATCTAGATTTCATTACATATCGCAGTGTATGACATTATAGAAGACCGTTCATCTTCTCAAAGAGGCCAGAATAAGGATACCCGCTACGAAGTTGACTCTGCTCCTTCTGGCGTAGCGGATCCTGTTGTCTAATTACAGCATTCAATTACCGGTGGCGAGAGGACATTATGAATGCCGGGAGGTAGGAATGGCATTGACTCCAATCCGTGCTCGAATTTAACGCCGTGTTTAGAAGAAGCAATCTGCCTCCTGTACTTGTTATATTGGTTTGATCTGTGAGAGAAGGAATAGATTAAAACGTTGAAGTTGTCCGAAGAAGATGATATAGGAAACTGGGCTAGGCCCAGTTGAGCGATTAATTTCCATCATTATTAGCGCGGGAGGATAATCTCACGCCGCAGTCATCGATATGGTTCCGTACACGTGACTGAGAATGTAGGAAGAATGCAAAACCAGATACGATCTCTCCCTTTCATTTGTCTCGTTCCCCACATGGGCCTCGCTGAGAGGCCTGACGGGCGTATGAATCTCTCTCTCTCTTCATTTGTCTCGTCTGTAAGTCACCAGGCAAGTTTCAGAACAGCGTCAACATGTCTGTACCATTACCTGAATAGAGACCTCGTTAAGGCGATTCCATCAATATCCTGCCCATGCACACTTCGCTTGAGGACGCATTGTTTTGGACTTTGAACGTCTCCCTGTTGATCACGCCGTTCGGTCTCCCAAATCCTGCCCGCTCGCCCCCAAAAGGATTGAAAAATCCCAGGACATTAATAGACGACGGGTACCAGCGTATCCAACAGTCTTCAAACTTGGACCAAACGCACCCGGATGCTATTCGGCTGCTTGCAGAACCCATTACGAAGGCTCTCCGCTTTGCGAGACTAGCAATCACCAGAATACGATGTTACACAACGGTGCCATCCAGTCTTGTGGGTTCAGGCGAGCAGTCTCTCCGCTCAGTCCAGTGTCTTCTGCCAGCGATGAGGCAGAACCGCAGAATGTGGTTCATCCTATATTGTCAATGCAGAATCGACTGGCGAGGTGAGCCCCAAGATGATGTCCGGACCTCGAACGGGCCAACGAAGCGGCGAAGCATTCCATCAAAGGAGATTGCGGTAATGTACCACCATGGTGGTAAGACGGACAGTCCTCGGCTTGGTAATTATCCTTGCTGGCTGCCCTCCTTCTCAATAGGATCATGGCGGTGCTATGTTGTGCTATGCGATGTAGTAACCCGCGATATTTGATGCCGCTTAATTTTAGGTTAGTTCAAAGGCATTTCTCTTTTTTTTTCTATGCACAAAGATTCTTTTTCTGTGGTCGGGTTTGAGCCAGCCTGCAGGGCTTGGTCACTCCAAAGATTCCATTGCATGATTAAAAAGATCAAACGTCTCAGAACCAGGGTTTCAGAATTCAGATTTGTTATTTGAGCACAGAGCATCTCATTTTCGTCTGAAGAGCACGTCTTGCGAAAGGTGGTATTCGATATTGTTCTATCCTTGTCAAATCTCAGCATATGAATGGTGATTTGAGAACCTGGTTTTCTAAGTCTCAGTTCCGAAGTACCTCAACAGCTTGCCTATATGCTGTACTACATTATTGCTTCTGCAGCTAGCGATTGGAGTGCATATCCTAGGCGCCACTCGCTCCTTCGACAGGCCTGTCTAGTTTTGATGACTTCACATGGATTCGAACATCATCACTTCGTCTAGACATACGACATCGTTTAATGGGGTCCAACAAATTCCTTTGCACTGGATTCGCTACGGTAGCGCTGGAGCAAATGTTGACAGACGGTCACTCAAGATGTGCTCGAGCCACCGCCCGAGATGAGTTTTATTCACAACTGCTACCGTTTCCAGGATCCTCGCTGCAATGGCCTGTAGTGTATGCTCTGTGTGTCGTTCATATGGACCGGAATTCCAATTATTGAAGTGCAGATGGTACGAGTCCCCAGCATTATCTTTTTTACAGCCTTGTCATCGATCCCATGTTCAAGTCAAGTGAACCGCTATTGGTTGACGTTTCATCTCAAGTTCTTCCTCGAGCACGGGCTGCCTCCTCAATGCGCTGCCTGGTGAACGAGGAACGGGCAGTTAGCTTGACCATTCTTGTTGACAGTTGATTGCGTCTTTAAAAGAGTCTCTGCATCATTATGGTGCTTGTCGCCCGGTTACACAGATACCACCCTTTATAAAGGTAAATGTGCTCGTGCTGAGATATAGACCAATCGTGCCAGACTCCCGGACGAAGGTCCTATAAACGAGCTGTTTGATATTCATGGCCAGGCTTCTTCCTCGTCCTTGAAGTCAGACCCCGCCTCATCTGTTCTTTTTCTATTGATGTTTGGCGTTTCTTCGAGACATAGGAGGTCTCTAGCATGTCCGAAGCAGTCGTTTATATCAATCATTCGCTGTCCATTTCTTGTTTATTGTCGATATTTGAGCCAGTGGAGGTAACGAGAGTTCTCACATAAATCAAGTCTGGATACTCGCCGATCATACCCGTCTCAGGTCGATTTACACCAGCATCCTACTACGAACTATCGAACGAACATTGGAGAAAAAGGTGGACACTTCACATTGAACGAGCGCCTTTTCGTATCCGAGTCTGAGACGTGTGCCATTCACCATTCGGTGAAGAAGCGCTCCAGCTTCACTTCGCCGCTTCAATGTCTATCCCAAACATGGACCCGCCGATGGCGGGAATTCACATTGAAAGAAATGGCTCCCGCACATCACTCACCCCACCTTCATCACTACAACACCCATATTTGAAAACCCAACAACCAACTTCGACCTCAGTTTCAGACCTGGGTGGCTTCGCCGAAAAATATCGATACGAATTGGACCGCGCGTTCAGTTTAGAATCCTCACCGCAGCCAACCCTCCGGAACGGATCTAAATCCACCATCACTGCCCCAGTGAAAAATCATCGGAAGGGTCGCTTTATGTCGAAGCTACCGTCTCTTCAAATCAAGATACAGAATGAGTCCACGAGATTACATATTATATTCCTCGCCCTTTCCCTAGCCCTCTTCCTCGCTGCGCTCGACACAGTCCTCATCACGACAGCACTGCCGACCATTTCTCGAGAGTTCCAGGTCCCCGATGCTGGCTTTGCCTGGGTGGGAAGTGTTTACCTCCTCGCCAATGCTGCAACCGTGCCGTTTTGGGGTAAGGTGAGTGACATATTCGGTCGCAAGCCGATTCTTCTCGTCGCGAACGCTGTTTTCCTGCTGGGAAGTATTATCAGTGGCGCCAGCAACGGGATCGGTATGCTTATAGCCGGGAGGGCCATACAAGGCATGGGTGGCGGTGGCGTGGTAGTACTGGTAAATGTGTGTGTGAGCGATCTCTGGAGCGTACGGTAAGTTCCCTGCGTACTTCACAGGCGTGCCCCTAATGAACGGCGTTGCTCATTTCGCACATGTCACCATTCTAACATTTGGGATTAGGGATCGCGGACTATACCTGGGAATTGTCGGCGCGATTTGGGCGGTAGCCTCCGCTCTCGGGCCTGTTTTTGGGGGGATCTTTGCAGAACGTGTCAACTGGCGTTGGTGTTTCTGGATCAACTGTAAGTATTTCCCAAGACTGGAGTTGAAACATAAACCTGATTTATATGGCTAGTGCCTATCGATGGAGTTGCAATCATTTTGCTTCTGCTTTTCCTTGATGTTCATAACCCTCACACGCCGCTCATTCAGGGCCTCCTGTCAATCGACTATGCGGGCACCTTTACTGTTGCGACAGCCACGGTTTGCGTCATGCTGGGCCTACAATTCGGCGGTGTGACTTACCCGTGGTCATCTGTCCCGGTCATACTTCTTCTTGTCTTTGGGATTCTCACATTCGGATTGTTTATCTTCACCCAGTGGAAAATCTCCCCTTCTCCCACTATCCCATTACGGATATTCTCCAACCGCTCGAACTTCTCCGCCCTTGGCGTTTGCTTTTTCGATGCCATCGTCTTTAACTCGGTGGCGTACTTCCTCCCCTTATACTTCCAACTCGTTCTCCGCCAAGGTCCTCTTGCGTCTGGGCTCCTCATGCTTTCTCTTGCGATCCCGCTATCAGTCATATCCGCCGCATCTGGCTTCCTAATGCAGCGTACTGGTCGATACCTAGAACTTCTCCGTTCTGGAATGGCGCTGATGACTTTGGGCGTTGGACTATTCATATCCTTCCCTGGACACTTCGATTGGGCGAAAGTGATCGTCTTCCTGATTGTTGTTGGCATTGGGTTCGGTCCTAACTTTCACGCGCCATTGATTGCCTTGCATTCAAGATTGGAGGAGAGAGATATTGCGGCAGGGACAAGCACATTTGGGTTTGTCCGCATGTTAGCGGGAGCGATGGGCATCGTCCTCGGTCAAGTGCTCTTCGCTGGCCAAATGGGTAGACGGGCAATAACGCTGCTGATGTCTGAGGTGGGATTGAATCCCCTCGTTGTTAGCGATTTAACAAAAGGCTCTGCTATCACCCAGATCGAGGCAATCAAGAAGCTCGAGAGGCCTCAGCAAGACTTCGTGGCGAAACAGCTTGCTGGAAGCATGAGCATGATGTGGGTTCTTTACTGCGTTTTCAGTGCGGTCGGCTTGATCATTAGCTTCGGTATTGGTAAATACACGATGCAGAAAGAAAAGGACACGATCAGGTTGGGCGAGGGATCCAGTGCTGAAACAGTTGGCAAGACTGAGGGCAATGATGAAGAGAGTCGGTAAAAAAGTGGACGTGCCCTAGGCTCAGAGGCATGGTTTTGTTGCTGTTCGGTTCTGGAAGGCATTTCCCCTGATGTATAAAATTATGGCTGATGAACTTGGAATGAGGAACCTCTGGACTTGGGACGGACAGAAACTAAGGGAACAGGTTGGAGTTGGAAGAATCACAAAACGGGGGCCTTGTTTCTTTGGTATGGGAAGCAAACACAAGGGCTGCAACCGTGCAATGTATATCGTAGTATACATATCCTACCTGTATTTATGATAAGAGTGTCGTCTTTAGATGAAGCAAACCACAATTAACTTCGAAGAGCGATGGATATCTTACAACTCTCCCTTCCCTTGAATGCGCCTCGTTGATTGGCCACGTCCGAGTCTGGGGTACCAAGTATTAATAGGGTTCTGAGCTTGGAGCTGCATCACCAACGTCATCGTCCAACAACAAGAACCTGAAAAACATAGCGATCACTGGAATGCGACACACCCATCATGGTGCTCTGCTGTAGCAACAATCTCATTATTACGTAGCGTCCAACTCCCAGCCAGGAGCAAAGGATATTAACAAGGACCTCCCGTGAAAGTTCACACATTACTCGTAGCTCGAACCACACCTTCTACTCTTACACCAATACTCTATTGAGGAAAACAGCACTCATATTCGACCACTAACTCTCAAGCACCATGGCATCCATTCTCACGTCCATCAGTGACCTCATTGCTTCCATCTTTAAGGTTGTTGGCTCGATCTTCAGCCAGGCACTCCACGCCGTCGAAGGCGTCTCCAGCATGGTGGTGCACTTCTTCACCGGGCTCCTTTCCATGGTCCAAGACGTGTTCGTCGGCTTGGCCAAAGCCGTGGGGGGCGTTGGAAACTTCGTCATTGGTATGACCCCTCTAGAACTCTTGTGTCGGAAACTGACAAGGATCGAACCAGGAAATGTCGTCGTTCTTAGTATCATCGCGGCAGGTGGATATCTGTTTTTGCAGTATCAGCAAGGGCAAGGGCAAGGCAGGGAGCCTATTGCGGCAAAGAAGAGACAGTGAGCGATGGACAGTCAGCTAGTTGTTTACCAGTCAGTTGCAGCGTGGTAGTTGGCACACGGATATCGGATATCGGATGAGAAGGAAAGGCGTAATCACTTCGGACTGGAGATTCAATCTCGATACCCGGTTTTCTCGGACGTAATGAAATGAATGATACCTTGTTGGAGCCATGCTGGTGCAGAACGATATACTTTCAATAAATATTCAGCCACTACCGCTTGCAAAGTCGCCAGGGAGTGACCGCAGCCGGAGGTGAATTCGCGGCTCTCTACAGTTTGACGTAGAAACGGTTCTGTTCAAAAGAGAATCAAATAGTATATACCCACACGAGGCTCGGATGTTCGACCTGATGGTTATGGTAAGGATAATTGTATCGCATGTTCGCCAAGGCTCCGCGTCTGTTCCCTTGAAGATGAGTTGCATTGAATCAGTAGAGGCCATACTGGGTTGGAAGAGTTTCCAGAACGCAAGTCACCATCTCCTGTCGCCCGGCCCCCTGCTCCGTCAGATGCGACATCTTCTCAATGATGAAAGGTGCCTGTATTGACTACATACAATTTTATAACTTGAAATGCCTTCCGTTGCTGAGCCTGGCACCTCCGTCCAAGGCAATGTCCTCGCCATTGATGTACGAGCCCGCCGGCGAGCACAAGAACACCGCCAAACCCGCAACGTCCTCCGGAACGCCCAATCGTCCGCGGGGGTTCTGTCGGTCCAACTCCTCCTGGCCGCCCAAAATATCAATCAGTCCGTTCGCAAGTTTGGACGGGAAGAATCCCGGCGCGATGGTGTTAGTCGTCACATGTCGGCGGCCCAACTCCATGGCCAGATTTCTCGCCAGATGATGCGCGGCGGCCTTGGAGGCGCTGTACATGATCGTTCCGTTGTCGCCAACGTGCGGGACGTTGGACCCTGCCACGCTTGACATGACAATGATCCGGCTCGGGTCTTCCTGCGTCGCGTACTTGGTCAGGAGCGGCGTGTACAACCGCGCCAAGTTGAAAACGCCCCGCACATTCAGATCCAGCACTTTCTTGCTGCTCCAGTCCGGAGTAGGCTCGAAGGGACCACCCCATGTCGCGCCGGCGTTGGCGACAAGGATGTCGAGTCCTTTATTCGGTCCGCAAACTTTCGCGATGATATCCTGGGTCGACTGGACAAGACGTTCGATGTCTTCCGTTTCGGCTACGTTGGCGGGGATACCCACGGCTTTTCCGACAATGTTCGGAAGGGCATTGAGCTTCTCGACGGCCTGATCGATGCCTTGTGGGCCGCCGGCCTTGCGGGCGGTGACGATGACAAGTTTCGCGCCGGCGAGGAGGAAGCCGGTTGCGCAGTGCAAGCCTAGGCCGCGGGAGCCTGTCATACCTTGGTCAGCTTCTGTCGGTCTTCAATTGTGTGCAGTAGATCCACATACCTCCAGTGACGATGGCGACCTTTCCATCGAGTCTGAAGAACTGGTTGAAACCCTTGAGTTCCGACATGGTGGTATGTGTCTGGTAGTTAAATGGGTTGTTTGTATCTACAACAACCAATGACGGGGCTCGTAGTCTGAAAAGCGTATGTTCTGCGAATGGGCTAAGGGGGGTGAAAGAAATACACCCCTCGATCCTCTATATACTAAGGATAATGTTGGACTGGAGACCAGACCAAGCATCCTACCGGAGTTCATGTTTGGAGTTATTGAGCCTCTCCCTCGGAAGTCGGATGTTGAAAGCCAAAGCGGGGAGAAGTGGTTGTTGGGCGGAGGAGAAGTCTATCCAATGCTAGCTCGGCGGTTTTACCTAACAAACCCCGCCTCCTCAACCTCCAACCCAGATATTCTGAATCAGCCGGCGGAGCGGAGCGGAAAGTTGGGGTAGTTTTGACTTTTGAGGAGTATGGAGTCTTGGCAGAAAAGTTCTCGATGCCGATTGGTTGTTACGAGAATCCACCGAAACCCAAAATGGGTTTCTTGTACGTAAATTCTGGAGCGGGCGGACCAAACATTGGACCAGCATCACCACTTCACCAGAAATCTTGAATTGACGACATTCATTCCAATTGTTCTTTTTGTTTTCTTCCTATCTGCGCCGTTTGTCAATCGAATCTTGTGGTTCGGCGTCAAGAGCCGTCTGCTTCGTGCTCAACCTGAACGAAACCCATTTTGGGCCTCAGCTGCATCCCCGGCCAGGTTGTGGCTGGTCCCAAAGCCCAGCTCCTTAGCTTCATCAGGAGACACAGCTGAATGCCTTCAATGCTATATTGCTATACCTACGGAGGTCCATTTCCAAAGTTATTGCTCGCCAAGAAAGGGGCTTGATTATATAAGCCGTTCGAAAGCCGATAGCACGGGCAGTAGGGTGCCTAGCCAACGGGCGGGTACTACGCGCGGTAAATCGAATGCCCGGCGCCCTTGCCTCGAATTAGGCTCTATAAGACCTGAATTAAATGCCCAGTTGATAGGCAGTCCAGTGCCCGTGGCATAGGCTCTCGAAACTGCTTATATAATCACGCCACTTCCTTGGCGAGCAATAACTTTGGAAATGGACCTCCGTATACCTTCAGGAATATTCCTCATGGTTTCTAGATATCCTAACTCCTGGAGAGGATGACTCAAGGCCCGTCGATGGAGTTGGTTTATCATCCTTCCATATGAGATGTCGAGAAATGCTCCCCTGAGTTCGGTCACCCATTTCTGGGTCCTCCCTCTTAGTGAAGTATTCTGTACTATTACATGTTTGTATCCTATACGTTATCGATTTCATTTCATTTTTAAACCAGTCTGGGTTCTCTCTCTGTCACTGTCATACATCTTTTTGGAGCACCAGCGTGGACAATGCGTGCGGTCTATGGAAACGAAACGCATATGCGACATGAGATTTGGACATGTTTATTCCTGTCAATGATTTGTGGGACACATTTAATCGAGTTCTCCGAAGGTCTGGCAGGTATTTCCAATTAAATATTGCCAAGTCAACCATGGGTGCTCAGAGAACAGGCGCAGCACTACTCCAAGGGCCAAGCCGAACTCGGAGAGCCCTGGTGCTTCCTGGTGCTTCAGCAGAGGCCAATCCTAAGGCGTCACCCTCTGCTCCAGCAGACCAGCACCTTTGCATGAGAAATTCTCTGTTTCAAGGTTTCCGCGGCCGTTGGTTTGATCTTCGCGAACCAATCATCAAGCGAACGGTTTGTGCGGATGAAATTTTGCAGCTGATTGAACTCAGGGGGGTTGGAATGGCTCCTACCTTCCATGGACCTAGCGTACAAGTCCGCATATCCTATTCTCCGCTGTCGAATCTAGATCCTCGGTGGGCATTGTTGCAGGAGCGCCGTTGATCGAGGAAGCAGGCAGGCCGAGCCCGTGGTGGACTGCAATCGATCCATGAAGGTTGGAGATGCGGTCATGCCTAGTTTGAACACCAAAAGAGCTGCCGGAGAAACTCTCCGCGACTTCATACCCACCACGCCGATCTTCAACTTTCTCCAAAGTACTGGGTCGATGATGGTCATGATCAATGCAGACATATATCTTCGGCCAGGGATACACGAAAGAGAGGGCACCGCGAGCCTGACGCAATCCCTCTACTTTCATAGAGGTGGATTATACACTAACCCACTAGGCGAGAAGGAGCACACTGGTTACAGAGGCTCATATCCCGAAGGGGTTCAGGGTAGGTCATGTCGGGAACAGTTGGGGGATTTGAGTTCTGGAGAATTGCTTCAGGACTGTCAATTAAGTTCACTCTAGAATCTGGATGATCTAGCTGGCAACCCGGTGTTTACCGTTCAGCCAGGAGCCGGTTCATTCTCGTATTGTTGAATCATGAATGGCATCGGATTTCCTTAGTGTGGTCACAAGTTGGAGATCAATATCCTGCGAATCCCATCACTTATCAACCCTTACGCAGGCCAATCAGATACCAACCGCGGAAACGTCGATCTAGAGGTGGATACGTGGGCGTGGTCGTCGGCTTGCTCATCGCCTGCAAGATAAGGAATGCTTGGCAAATCTCATATCAACGTCGCCCGTTTAGGCTTAGCGTCGATCTCACTACTATCAGTCCAACCTTAACACCCAACGAGAAATCGGGAATCAATGGTCTCCGCGGTTCTAACGATTGCATCCCTCCGACCCGCGATAATCTCACTCCCATGCAGATCATCTTCAACCCCACGACTCTTTCCGGACCCGTTGGGCATTTTGGCAAGGCTCAAGTATGGCTAACGCACGGGTGATTGGTCGAGCAGATCGCGACCAGGGGACATATCTGATAGGGCGATGCGAGCACCCGCATGGCGTATTTGGACATCTCCTTGGGATTAGACCCATGGATCGGTATATAGCTCCAGAGGTTTTCGTTCAGATGAGCACGATATTCGACACAAGACAATCATCGCAAAGCCAGCCACGTCCTTACCTATTCTTGAGCCCGTCTTTGTAACTATAGGAGAAAGATCCGGTTCATGATGTTCGACATTACCGTCCTGTGGAAGGCCCCCCGGGTCAACCCTTTCAACAAGAAGGCTCGATCAATACCAGTATTGAACCCCCTTAACCAGTATGGCAGAGTGTTCACATTCTCATGGGTCAGTCATTCTACAACGTGCAGCGACGATGATCCTAACAATCCAATAGCTGGGTTTCATGATCGCCTTCTGGTCATGGTACGCCTTCTCGCCGCTTCTGACCAAGACCATCAAGAAGGACCTCAATCTCTCCCAGGCTGAGATTGCCAACTCCAACATCTTGGCGCTCACGGCCACTCTCGTCGTTCGGTTTCTGTCCGGTCCCCTCTGCGACCGTTTCGGACCCCGGAAGGTCTTCGCCGGTCTGCTGCTTACCGGTGCGATTCCTACCGCTTTGGCCGGCACGGTGAAGAACGCCACGGGCCTTACCATCATCCGATTCTTCGTGGGCATTCTCGGCGGGACGTTCGTCCCATGCCAGGTCTGGTCCACTGGCTTCTTTGACAAGAATGTTGTGGGCACCGCTAACGCCCTCATTGGCGGCTGGGGCAATGCTGGTGGTGGCATCACATATTTCGTTATGCCTGCCATCTTCGATAGCCTTGTCGAGCACTTCGACCTAACCCCTCACGTTGCGTGGCGAGTCTCGTTCATCGTCCCTTTTATCCTCATCACCGCTACCGCGCTGGGTATGCTCTTCTTCTGCGACGACTGCCCGACTGGGAAGTGGGAAGAGCGTTTCGAGAAGCTCAGTGAATGTATCTCCGAGTCCCACAATGCTGGCGTGATCGTATACAACGACGGCGGCCATTTGGACAAGGGCCCGGCAACTCGCAGTGACAGCCCCCCGGAGAAAGACGTAAAAGATAAGAATTCGGGCTTCAACTCCGACTCAGAGGCCGAAGCGCAAACTGGCGAAGCCATTGTCGTCGACCAGTATCAACACGAGGCCATCGTCAATCCTTCGCTCAAAGAGTTCGGGCAGGTTCTCATCAGCCCCCAGTCCATTACTCTCATCTGCCTCTACTTCAACTCCTTTGGTGGTGAACTGGCGATCAACGCAATTCTCGGCGCCTACTACCTTCAGAACTTCCCGTCCCTTGGCCAGACGTCCTCCGGTCAGTGGGCCGCCATGTTCGGTTTAGTCAACGTTGTTTTCAGGCCGGCCGGCGGCGTCGTGTCTGATCTCGTCTACAAGTGGACCGACGGTAATCTGTGGGCGAAGAAACTCTGGATCCACTTCGTCTGTATCATGGCCGGTACCTTTTGCCTGATCTTAGGACTTGTGGATCCTCATCATCTTCCAACAATGGTCGGATTGATCGTCGGCCTGGCCTTCTTCATGGATGCTGGGAACGGTGCCAACTTCGGTCTAGTTCCGCATGTCCATCCTCATGCAAACGGTAAGTAAAGCATCGGAAGTAAACTCCCAACCCGAATCCCAAGCTAATCAATACATAGGCATCTTGTCTGGCGCTGTCGGTGCAGCTGGAAACTTGGGCGGCATTGTATTTGCCATCATCTTCCGCTATACCAACATGAATTACCATAAAGGCATCTGGATCATTGGCGTCTTCTATATTTCCATGAGCCTGATGACGATCTGGATCCCTCCGATCCCCAAGGGACAGATCGGCGGTCGCTGACTGTCACGATCTTGTCATATTTTCGGTTCGAATCGGTGTTTGGGGTTTTTGAGAAATAGGTCGCTCTTGGAGAGCTGGTGCTTGGAATGTCAAGTTTCTGAAGGGCTCAGGCTTGAGGGTACATGAATAGATGACGATGGATCTCGTCGGCGTTTTGGAGGTGTTTCATTGCCTGAAAATCGAAACATTTAGGAAAAGTTCTTTCCGTTCACCATCTATAGTCAACTGATAGAGGCCATTGTCCGTAAATGTTAGATGTCAATTGTCTTTCGTCCGCCAAGGTGCAACGTGTTTTGTGATAGACGATAGGAATCGCAATTCACATCGCTTTCAAGTTTCAACCGTCCAGTGTTATCAAAAGTGCCACGCACGTGACCTATATCGGCATCTGACCCGCCGGCAAGTTCGGTATTGGGCGAGTCGCAGCCAGAACTCCAGCTTCGGAAAATCATACGTGGACATTTAACAAGTGGCGACTCCCCACACGTCCACAACTGGCAAATACGAGTTCACCGCTCACATACATCACATTCTAACGATACCGAGACAATAAGCCCCCATCAGCCGCGGCATCCATCATGTCCGACGTCAATATCCCGCAGCTTGTTTTCCTCGCCGTGGTCGGCTTCCTCGTCGTCCGATGGTACCTCAAACCGGGATCTCTCGCCGACCCTTCCAGCTCGTCATCTTCCGGCTCGCGGACAGCCAGCTCACGGACGGGGCTTCGGGGTGAGGTGCCACCGCAGACGATGGTGCGGGTCGAGCGGGTAGCGCAGATGTTCCCGCAGTTGGAGCGGCGGGATATCTTGTGGGATTTGCAACGCCATGGAGGGGATGTGCAGGGGACGATTGAGCGGGTGTTGAGTTTGGGGAGGTTGGGGACGGTAAGTGGTTCAGTCATCTCCTGTTTCAAAAGCATATGTCCGAAGACTTCGAGATCATCCCAGTAGCTTCGTACGCCCTTAGATAGATCTTGAGGTAGCAGTGTTGGGAAGCTGAACTGTATCACTGACAATATGCGTACTATAGCCACCTCAATCATTCCAACCAATCTTCCCTACCCCGGCGAACGCTTCTCCGGCCGCCCGACCGAATGCCTCACAACCTTCAAAATCCGCCCATCCAGACCTCATTACCCGATACAACCTCTCTTCCAAGTTATCCGCATCATCACCTAGCAGTGGCGCAGACTCACCTGCCATTGCGGCTACTAGCGAACGGCCCTTGTCAGAAATACCGACAAGCAGTGCGGCGAAGGAGGGGTGGTCCTCGAATAAGGTAGAGCGGGCACAGCTGTTGCAACGGAGAAGAGAGGAGATGATATTGGCGGCGAGGAGAAAGATGGAAGAGGAGGGGAAAGGGGCTTAAGCAAGTGAGTTCGCGGATTTTCCAATTAGTTCTGGGACGACGCTGGATTCTAATGGTGCCCTCAGAGCATATATGGGATGCCTCTATTGGCGGCGCATTTTGTTTATTCTGGTCATATACCTGCGGATGCATTGGCGTGGCGTTTACGAAGCGTTGGAGCTTCTTGAATGGCGTCATATAAATCAAGACTCGGACTGTTGGCTTAAATCCTTTCGTACTGAGGAATAATATTGATTGGAATGATCCATCTCCAACACTATTTTGGAATCACGTCTCGGTATCTATTCCATTCGTGATTATCCCATTAAGCGGCCACAGGGGCGCTGTTATCCATATCTGTTCATGTCCTTGAACAACGCCTGAAGTGGTATCGATCTGGCCCAATTTCCCAACGCTCGCAAATATAACGTCGAAGACAAAGCAGTTGTTCTTTCCCCCTCATTATCTTCTTCGCTCCGCCAACTGCGCTCTCAACATCTGGTTCTCCTCCTGCAACCCCTTGATCTGACCCTCGACCTCCTGCAGGTAGTCGACCGCCGATGCCAGCACTACCAGCTTGCTGACCTTGGCCGCATCGAACGAAAACCGATCGTTCGACTGCGGGAGGTTGGGAAGCACGCGACGTAACCGCTCCATGCCTTGGTTCAAGCCTTCCCGATACTTGCGCTCCACTTCATTGTGGGGGATGCGTTCGCGGGGGGTGGGTTTGTTCGCCGGCTTGCTGGCGTTGCGAGGGGTTGGGGAGGCGGTTTTTCTTCGCTTCGGCGTTGGCGATTGAACTGGCGGGTACGCCTCGGGCAGCACTGGAGACTCTGCCTTAAGGATTGGACTTTGAAATGGGCTCGCTGTTGATTGTGATAATGGCGGAGAGAGTGGAGAGCCGTATGTGTTTAGGAAAGTGGTGTCGGCAGGTGGGTTGACTGATGCATCCCATGACTGCTTGGATGGCTCGTCTGAGAGGGAGTAGGGATCGAGCCAGGTGTCTATGGGATTGACACTGTCGAAGTTTATGTAATCCCATGAGTCGACGGGGTATTGTTTGGCCATGTCCCACTTCGGGTCATCATATTGTGGGAAGGCATCAAATAACTGGTAGTCCGCCATGAGGGTGGTCGGTTGGTATGATGATTCAAAGCCAAGTATATATCGGACCTCACCAAGCGTAACAGCAATGACTTGACGAGTGTAGACTGTAGAGTATATGGTTGGATAGAGACTTGGAGAGTTAAATAACGTCACCTTTTGCGTTGACTAGGTATGCTTAAGTACAACTATTCACAAGGACACTCGCGCGTATGAAGCAGAGACTACAGAGCTTTCTTCGCCGAGCATGGGCATCTCCGCACCGTCGGTGAACCTTGGCAATATGTGGCCTGGCGGATTTGGATGCCATGTTAAGGATGAGATTCGCACATTCAGACAAAAATTATGGAAAATATGCAGGGTTGGCTGTTCATGGCATGCTAATCCTGAGCAACCGGATTCTCGGACGGATGAAGCGGAACTGTTGAAGCGCAAGAAATGTGTCGCCGTAGCGGTCTGGACCGCCTCGGGGGCTTGCCGAAGGGGACACCCGAATCTAATCCAATTGTCAGACCACGGTCTCCTGCTTGAGGCTGCTTCCATCCTGCTTCCATCCCTGGATTCACCCCCCATTCTAGACCTTAGCTGCGCCATCCACATTCCACGAACGGAGCCACGAGGGTGCAAGGGGTCAACCAGGGGGGTAGAGGCTCCAGGACACGCAAAGCGAAGGAAGAATCAGTCGACGATCCTCCAAAGAGACCAAGTCGCCGAGGAGCATCAGGAGAGTCTAGAACCATCTGTGTACATCTGCGATCGATGCCTCCATGATACACTTACTCCCCGAGTCGCTCGGCGCATACCGGAGTCCGGAGAAAGGCCTTGTCTTCTCCCCGAACGTTTCGTCGCCTCCATCAATCAGCACCCGCGATGGATAGCCGCGATGGATAGCCGATTCGCTTGATGTTCAGGTTCTTGCCTGTCACACGCGAAGAAATGGCCAGTTTTTTTCGAATCTGCCAGGTTCGACTCGCTGATTCAGTATTACAAGCGGACTCACAGTTTCCAATTACTCTATCACAGAGAGCAGACTAGCACCACTCCCGTATCCGCGCCTGTATTCACGTGAAACACATACGCGGAACCACCCGCGGAGGTCGACGTCCGACAACTTCCCTCATTTCCAGCATGAAGAATAAAATTAATCCACTTACTTCTGATGACCTCTGAACGGTGAAGTCGCGCGAATTTTCGCTTCCCCAAGTTCCCTTTCAGTCTGTTCCACGAAAGCTGTGGTGGTGACTGTTGAGTCCGATTCAGATACTTTGGTTCCTTGTTCGTTGTATTCGTGGAGCACAACAATCAAAGCATCCTCGAGGCAATCAATATAAGCATTCCGTCATCAGAGATTGTGTTCCCCAGTTGATCCTCCCTAAATGTGGTAAAGATGGTTCAAGGACATTCGATCGAGTTGCTCAGGTTGCCAACTGATCCTCCGCCGTCACGATTACCATGATGGTGGTGTTTCCCCTCGCTCGCCCTCTAGGTTCGACTATAAGCAACTGTTCGAGGGCCGAGTATAGGTACTGTATTCTACGGTAAGACATCCAAGCAGATCTTCATGGCCTCGAAATCCTATATTCACGGAATGTTCTGTTTTTAAAGTTTGGTTCTCCCATATCAACCCCTTCGCTTGTGTCTTCCAAGTTCCAGGTCAAATCGAAGCGCCCCATCGGCCCAGTCTCCTGCCTTAATATAGCCTTCTCGCGTCTGCAATGGCATCCGATATCACGCTATATACCTACTTCCTATCCTCTTGCAGCAGCGGCGTTCCGGTCCTCGTCTTCTCGTCCGATTCCTCCGCGGGACCGTTCGCAATCGGCCAGTCCGTCGCCACCATGGAATATATAGTGGAAGCCTACTCGTCCATTCCGGCGCCGCTGCCGCCCCGAGGCGTTCTGCGATCTCGCGCTCTTGTCCGCCAGCTCGTTTGCATCGTTGCTAGAGATATGCAGCCAAATCGAATATGAGGGTGCTCCGCCGCGTGGAAGAGTTGCCAGGAGGGTCGGGAGGGTGAGCAGGACAATTCATGGCGATAGGATTAGAGGCTTACGAGGCGGTGATCACAAAGACGGCTGGATTGTATAGCGTAGGCGACGAGGTCACCATGGCGGATGTTCGCCTGGCCATGGCGATGTGGAATGCCGAAATATACCATGTGGATTTGGAGCCAATGCCACGGTGAACAAGGCGTACGAATCTGAGTAAGTTGAACACGGTGACGATGGCATATTAGAAGGTCTAGCCAGATTGTCCGCCCGACCTCAAGGGTCAATGAAGGGAGACTTCGTGGACCGGTTAATTATGTGCTATTAGATACACCCGATAGCACCAGATCCTCGCGCTAAAGTCCATCAACATGGCTGGCTTTGTCCCAGGATATCAAAAAATTAGGGCTGGTACATAGTGCTCAAAAACGGAGGTGCCAGGCCTAAAGGTTCCCTCGCAATTCCTGCTCGCGCTCGATAGCTTCGAACAGGCTCTTGAAGTTCCCCGCCCCAAACCCGTCGAAGTTCCGTCTCTGGATGATCTCAATGAACACGGTGGGCCGATCCATTAGATGTTTTGTGAATAGTTGCAGCAGATATCCTCCCTCGTCGAAGTCGATCAAGATATCCAACTTTTTCAGCTCCTCGAAATCCTCCTGGAGCTCCCAATTTCGACCCGACCCTTTCAACCGTTGCGACATGGCCTCATAATATGTCTTCGGGACCTTGATGAACTCAACTCCACGAGCTTTTAGGTTTGTGATGGCTTCAACAATGTTTTGCGTTCGCAGGGCGATATGCTGCACGCCAACGCCGCCGTAATAATCAACGTACTCCTCGATCTGGGACGTTTTCTTGCCGTGAGCTGGTTCGTTGATGGGCATCTTGACGACATCGTTCGCCGACGACATGACGATGGACTTAAGAGCGGAGAACTCGGTACAGATGTCCTTGTCGTCGACGGACCAGAAGCGATGGAAGCCAAGCACTCGCTCGTAGCTAGAATCTGTGTCAGCAAGATTTGAAGATACAACACGAAGGAAAACATGACGCACTATTCACAGGCGGTCTCCATCCCGTCCCAATCTTGGTTACCGACGCAGTGGTCAATCCCTTCAAGAGTCACCGTGGGAATATATTTTGCGATAGGGTCATCGTGTGTCTCCGATCGATACCCTGGCAGGAATGCTCCTGTGTAATTGCTTCTCTCTATGAGGGTGTGTGTTGTGTCTCCATATGTCCGGATGGTTGCGAGTCGCACGGAGCCGTGTTGATCCTTTATCGTCCTTGGCGGAGAGATGACTTCAGCACCATTCGCAACCGCCTTTTCGAATACCGCTACAACATCGTCGACGTCGAACGCAACGTCTATGTTTGTGTGAGCGGCAAGGTTGTCTATGATACGGGTTCTTGACCTACCCTTGACCCCATCACCATGTTGTTCGTGATGCATCAACATATCCCGGATCTCCTCGGTTTCCTCTTTGGTCATCCCGTACTTGTGTCCCTCTGAGGCCTGTTTCGCTCCACGCAGCGGGCTGCTCAAGACAAAGGTAACGGCGCCATTTTGGAGGACATGGCTGGCGATGCCTCTGTTCCCCGTCTCCAGGCCGCGATAGGCAATCCGCCTGAATCCGAAGCGGGTAATGTAGTATGAGGCGGCTTGCTTGGCGTTTCCGACGTACCAATGTACGAAAGCGTATCCACGATAGGAGAGGGGGTCCGAAGTTATTGTTTCGTCGGTCTTGGATGGAGTGGATGGTGGACTGATGGCGATGGGTGCCATGATATTAGGAATAATAGGAATGTGTAGGATCAATAGGTTAAGAGGTATTCAAGGGAGAAGACCCGGTCGGACAAGGAAAGCAAGAAACGCTAATATAGGACAGATGCGAACAATCTGATTATTGAGAGACTCGAGAAGTCGTGAGGGGAAGAGAGTTTATATCAAGGAGATAAAAGGGACATGTCTCAACAGGACTAGGAACCCAAGAATCCACGCTTCCGCAAATGCCGTTGGATTTTGATCAAACTTACATCGGCAATGCAACATTGCAGCTGATAGAAGGATCAATGTTACTACCTGAGTGGCAGCGATTGGATGCGACACCACTTGGAGGAGGCAGATAATCTTACCCCGGGATCGATGTGCGGTTATCACGAATCTCGGAGCGATGAAGTTTTGCAGCATTACGGCATCTGGGGTTGAATTGGGTCATAAGCCCGGATATCCTAGGAAACATCCGCATTGTCGGCATTGATACGTCAAGACATTCAAGGAGCTGAATGAAGGAGGTGAGTAAAATGGTGGGGCGGCGGTTGGTGCCTTTGGTGAGGTGGTGTCGCATTTGGTGGTAGATGACTCGTGGTGGTACAGTTTGGTATGCTTTGCCCGCTAATACGTATTCGGTTCCACTCGGCTTAATGCGGACTCTATTCACACCTCATCTTTTCTATGGTGGGATTCAGGTACTCTTCGACCTCCTCCCTCCAGATGCCTTCATACTGCACTTCTCCCTCCTCCCTCTACCCTAGTACCTATCCAAACTGCAGTCATTATATATATGTGTGTACTTTAACTTAGATGCTGCTTATTACTATTGGTGTAAGTTAGGTATTAAATTGTTCTTAATTCCTTGCAGCTTCTTATCAACGAGGTCCTATTCATCGTCGTCATTGCTCGAGTATATCTTCTATCAATGAGGCACTATTCAAAGTCGTCCTACCATCTCTCAACCCTTTCGATTCATCTATCCAAAAAGTTGCAATGACAAACCCACCGTCAAGTCTCTCCAAGAACGATGCCCGCGTCCTGAATGCATTGTTTGATGCCGAGTCGTCACTATCATCCGGTGTAGCCATCTCGAATGAGTCCATCCCAGCCTTTGCGACCGATATTGAGATCAAGCAGCGCGAGTCTGCCGCCATAATACCTCTAAATTCGCCGCAACCCTCCAGACCAAGTGTCGAGAAGGCTATCGCAGAGTTAGACGGCATCATTAACGAGAGACCCCAATATGCATCCGCTTACGCGAATCGAGCGCAAGCGAATCGACTACTCCTTTCTGCGAAATCGGACGACCTCGCTGCCATGGATTTATTCTCGGCCAAGGGTGTCCAACTGTCACAGTCCATCCTCAAGGATCTGACCAGTGCGATCAACATGGCGACGCCGTCTCCCTCCGCGGCAGTACCTACGACCGATGCACGGTTGCTATCCGCAGCTCATACGCACCGGGGTTATTTGCTGCTGCAAGCGGCGAAATCAATCTCCACATCGTCTGCCGACAGCGCGTCGGTGAAGCTCCCGGAGTCGCTGAGGGGTCTGAGCTCGGATACCTTGGAGGAAATGGCCAGCATGGATTTCTTCTGGGGCGGACGATATGGAAACGAGGTTGCGAAGGTCTTGGCGGTGAAGACCAATCCGTACGCGAAAATGTGCGGGGCGATTGTCAAGGAGGCTCTACAAGAAGAGATGAAGCAATACCAACCAACGCAATGATGTATCGGACGGTGACAGACATTGCCACCAAGTCTATCGAATCGCATTCTACTCGTAGGGAGTTCGTTCGATACCACTAGGGCCCTATTTTACTCCGCGTTCTCCTCCATATCCTCATCACTATCCTTCCCAGAGTTGAAATCTTCCTCATCCTCCTCATCCTCCTCATCCTCATCATCCAAGTCGTCGCCTTTCAAGCCATAGTCATCTTCGAAGAATTTGAGCGGTTGAACCTCCGGAGCGAACCCCTCGGCTTCGAATCGGGTCTTGAGAGACTGCAATCACGGTTAGCGGACGGTCGGCGTCCCATCCGAAGTCATCGGAATTACCTCAGCATTGATGCTCGCACAAGTCACCACCAGATTCGCCGATTTCGGATTAAACAGCGGCGCCAACCACGCGCCCATAACCCGCTGCACATCCTCCTTCCCCACCGTTCTCACCTTCCCGAGCATTTTTTGGCTCCACTCCTTCCCAACCCCTCGAATGACCTCGTTCACAAATGCCAGCATCGCCGCCGATCCCATCGTCGGCTGCTCGTCCGCCATGCCGAGAACAATGGTGCTGACGCAGGCCTCCAAGGCATGCTGTTCCAGCGGCGTCTTCCCGGACACAAAGTCATCCACGACCTTCTTCCCCGCCGCGTACGCATTGAACGCATCCGGCGATCGGTAGATGCTGAATTCCATCAGGCCGTTCTCGACGGATCGGGAGAAATTGGCACCGTAGACGAGCCCCGTGCCGCGGAGGTTGGCCCAGATGGGTCCTTCTGTGGTGTCGAGGTACGCCATGGCCACCATGAGAGCGGGGAGGTCGGGGTGGGCATAGGAGTCGGGTCCGGGGCCAGTGAGCATAGCGAAGGAGGAATCGATCGGGGGCATGGGGACGATGAAGGCCTTGCCTCCAGGGGTCTTGCCAGCGTCGGAAAGCCGTTCTTGTTTCCGGTCGATGGCGTTCAGTGGCTTGCTGGTGTCGAGGCCAGCGGTCAATGTCTCCCAAGACGAGACGGGGCCCTTCAGCTTGTGGACATCTGCAATCACGGCAACTCTCATGTTGCAGAATTGCGTAATGGCTGAGTTGAATTGCTTCATGCGGCTCACCACGGCGTCGGGATCCGTATTCAACAGATGCTTGATCCGCTTGAGGTAGAGCCCTTTGGCAAGAGTGCTTCGTGCACGTGGAAGGGATTGGGCATTGAAATGGATCATAATGTCGGCATCCTTTAACATACCCCAGCCGCTTCGCTTTTCGTCCGGAATGTCGGCGAGAATCTTCGCGATGTTGGTTTTGAGGCGCTACATCTTGTCAGTGGGTTAGACTTCATAGCTTTCTCAGAACATACCTCAACATCTAGAATGGAATCAAACAAAAGTGTCTTCAACCATTCGATGGCGACAACATATTTCTCCGGCTCGACCACTAGCTCAATCCTCAACATGTCACCATTCCCAAACCCGCTACCTGCATGGTACGATGCCGTATCCTCTTCCAACATCGTGATGACTTGTTCAAACTCGACCCTCTTTCCATCTTTCATCACTGGCGTAGTGAAGAGATTCGCGAGGTACAATGACACCAGGGGCTTCAAATCCGCTGACAGGTCGGTGGTGCCCATTTGCACGACGATTTGCACGAAATTGCTAGGGATATGCTCGAAATGAATGAACAGCGGGTTTTCCTTGTCGGCATCGATGGTCTTCTGGATCTCATTGTCCAGCGTCCCCAGCTTCTTGGCCAAACCCGACCTGGCCATCGTGGTGGGGATGAATTTGATCGATTCCGTTCCTGGGATTTTGAAGTCATCCATGATCTCGTCGGGGATCTTTCGATCGTTTTCAGCTTTGGCTTCGTCGAGCTTTTTCGTGAGCTCCTTCAGTCCTTCCTCCCCAAGCCGCTGTTGCTGCTCCTCAACGCGAGCCTGCTCATCCTTCTTGAGTTTCTCGGAAAGTGTCGCCGAAGGGACGCCGAGAATTGAAACATGGTGCGCTTCGGCAAGATACTTGGTCAGGAAGTCTCTCCATTGTTGGTCGGACCACGAGTCCAGATCATCAAGGGTCTTCAGTGAACTGAGTTGCAGCTTGAGGTATTCGCCTTGTCGATCCCCGAAGAGGTGATCGGAGATAACTGCGTCCGAAAATGCCGAAGGATTGGTCTCGCATTCTCGCTTGTCATGGCGCTTCAACCGTACCAAGCAATCCTTCATGTATTTCATATCAAATGGTTTCGCCGCCGTCTCTTTCAGAAGTTCGAAGAAGCGCTTCTCAACATCGCCGAGTTTCTCCGTCTCGACGCTCGTCAGGGTGAACCAAACAACGCCTTTAGTCTGAACTTCGGATTCATAGTAAACCCCACTCGCCAATTGTTCTTTCTCCACAATGACATTCTCGAGCACCGTAGCCGGGGAACCCGCAATGTACAAGAGAAGGGCATTCATTGCAGTTAGATCGACATCGTCCAAGTAACCCGGCCCAAAGAACGCGATCACGATTTCGCCCATGCTCTCGTCCTCTTCGGGAAATTCGACCTTCACCACGGACGTTTGGCTGAGTGGCGGCGGCGCAGCTGACTCAACCCAAGGTCGCTTGAACGGATCGCCCGGTTTTGGAACTTCGTCTACGACGCTATCCTCGAACTTCTCCAGGATGCCCAAGAGCTCGTCGTGGTTCACGTCGCCGACCAGGATGACCCGTAGGTTTTTCGGCTGATACATCTCCTTGTGAAAGTCTCGAATGCGTTGCGCAGTCAGGACTCGAAGCTGCTCCATCATTCCGCCTGTCTCGTAGCGGAAGCCGTTTCCTTCCGGATACAGCAGGCGCTTGGCCTCGAGCGACATGAGGTTCGACTGTTTGTTCTGGACGTCTTGCATCTCGCAGTAGACGACGCCGGCATCTTGGCCAGTGCCGTCAATATGGTGGACTTCGGTGTAGCACCCAGCGTCTGTTAACGTGGGTAGAAGCACATGCTCTAGGTAGACTGGGAGGATCAAGGCTGTGCCATCCCACCCCGCTGACTCAAGAGTATATACTGTCTGATCGGTGCCGGTCCACGCATTGGTCATGGAGTACGCTCGGGTTGCGAGCTTATCTAGCAGACCTTTATACCTGTAGCTTTTTGAGCCCATGAAAATGAGATGTTCCAGCGTGTGGGGCGCGCCGGAATCATCGTGGATCTCGGTGGCTACTGCGAAGTATCCGTACACCTTTGGACCCTTCTGGTCCACCACGAACACTCGCATTCCCGTCCTTTCGGATTCATATTGAGTGAACTTGACTGACACCGCATAATCGGATTTGAAGTCTTGGGTTTTCTTGAAGTGAGTCTTCCCTGGCCCGTTTGCTTGAGCCATTTTACAACGGAGTCGATCCAGCGGGTCAGCTGGAGGAGAATGGAGCCTGCGTATGCGAGGGCTGTATTTGATGGCAGGAGAAAGAGGATCAATTCTCCTGAGTGTGGACTTGATTCCTTGTAGCAGGCGATGAGTTGCGATGTTTCGTATTTCCTGCAGCCTAGGACACAGCTCGTCCTCGTCGTGGAGGTCGTGTGTCTAACGCGTTCCGAAGGGATTTATTATCTGTGACAGATCTACACAGACATGTAAACGGAAGACAAAAGAAGAAAACGAACTGGCAAAGAGAAGACTCGCTTCAGCCCTCGATGAATATTTACTTTTAGTGATCTGACCCTGATGTTTGGGAACCTGCAGCGATCGCTGTCGTCAAACCACAGAACCAGCTGGATGGATCCGCCCCGCCTTGCAGCCTCAGGCCCCCCAGCCTCGCGGATCTCCAGTCATTTGGGCAATAAATCAGGGACTCAAATGGTTACTTGCACAAGCTGTAATAGTGCGGATTTATAACTATGACTTTGTAAGTTTGGTACGGAATAGAAGATCCGTCTTTAATTTGGGTGCGAAAGGGGTTTCCGTCGACCGAACGCTATGCCCAAGTAGTATCTACGCCGAATTCGTGAATACTCGGATTGTATATTTCCTGTAGGCCAGAGGGCTAGTTTAAACTGTAGAACTTACCGTAAGTATCGAGGCGGTGCGAGCATTGGGAGTACGAGTCGCCTTTAGCAATTTACTTTATTTAGGTCCCTTTATGGTAGTATTAGCCTTAGGGATGTCAATCAACCTAAGAAAGTGAGGATGCAACTGCTTTCGGAGGAGGCTGGGACTGGAGATCATACCTTGAATTTCACGCGCTCTCATTGGTCGGGAGCATCTCCAAGCTTCAACCCTTCAACCACCAACGTCCAACGCGACTCTTCCTCTCTCGCGTCTTGAATCCCATCTCAGCTTCTCTCCTTCACACCATTCCCTCGATATTCTCGTGTAGCAGAGTTCTTAGATGCATGGAGTCATCGGTCTATTTAAATATCCTGTCGTTACCCCAAACCTTTTCTTTTACCGTGATTCCTCCACCAACGTTGTTTCTATAACAACCACCATCGCGTCCTCCTCGCTCCGACCACCACTCGGCTGTCACTTCTTCGCAGGACTCCAGCATGTCTTTTCGTCCTTTATGATGCTCATCAGACATCTTCATTCTCGACGTCCGACCCTCCCAAATCTATAATTGCGCGTCATGTCTTCCCCATCCCTCCCCTCCGATGGGGCTACTCCACGATCCGATCTCACCGCCCACGGTGGAAATGACATGGACTCTGCTGGACTCGACATTCCACGGCGGTTGATGAAAGGTAATGCATGAAGTTCTGAAGGTGCTGGACCCTCTCTAATTACTTTTCGTCTTTTAGTGAAAGTTCTTTATACTTTCGACGATCAGAACAAGACCAACTGCCTCGCCCGACTGCCGAACGCCGTGAATGTCCCCGTGGTCGATCTCGATGACTCAACTCAGATTGGGGTGATTGAACTGAGGACCTGCATCCAAGCAATCATCACAGCAAGGTAAATTCCGTCAGCCCCGCAATCTTCGTAGGGTCCGCTTACCCAGCCTCTAGTCCGGAACTGATCTCCAAACTCGAACACGATTATACCGTCTATGCGTACGACTTCTCCGAATATGACACTCCTCTGGTCGGACAGGGCCTGTTATCCGCCGTCCTTACTTCTGGTTCCACTCCAAATGCTCCTCTGAGCGATTCACAACCCATGATCACGGGCCGAGTATGCAGGAATATATTGGGTATATTCTCAGGTGGTGCTTCCGAGACTCTAGAGGTGAAATTGAGGCTGGTTCCGGTACCATCATCCTCACAAACGGAGTATATGGCGAACATGGAGCGTTATCGCAGCATGAATCGACCGATGCCGGATGGATATGAAAATGCTGCTTGGACGAATTATCCCCGCGAATACCAGGACGACGGTCGGCTGACCGGTCACTCGGGGTCGCCACCAGCCCAACCCCAGATGCAACGCGGCAGCCTTCAGAGATCGTATTCCATGGCCTCGGATTCGCTACACGATATACTAGCCCCGAGGGCCCGGGCGGCAGATTTCTCCGATGCGGGTATGACTCCTGCGTACAGCATTGAAGGTAGCCGAGTTGGGAGCCCCACTCCAAGTGTCCGGTCCGCGAATGGTCTATCCCAAGGACCGCAACAATACCCCCAACCGACCAGACCTCCCTCGAGAGCATCCGTCCGTGGTGACATGACAAATCAGCAAATGTCTGACTGGGGCGAAGGAGATATTGAGGAAGGCCCGGCAAAGAAGCGTGCACGTCTCGAACAGGTGGAATGGCGTGGTAAGACAGCTTTCGGAGCCAAGCAAGATTCTTTGCGGGTTGCGGCGAGTACCCAGGCCTCTATTCGCGGTCATCGTCCACTTCCCGGTCATCTTATGGCTCAAGGCCATGATGGTCCAGGGCGAGCTCCAACTCCTCGACCACAAAGGTTCGCTCAACCAGATCGCCGCCCGTCTCAAGCTGGGATGAGTACACTGCGTCAGGAATCTGCCTACGACTTGGTGGATTATATGTCGCCTGATCCAACAATGCCCCCAACTGCCCCTCAAGTTGACTCAGGGCTCTACTCTGCGGAGGACGAACAATCAGGCAGTCACTATGCGTCTCCCACTTCGGATATCCCTTCATCGCCGCCCGAACTTCCTACACGCCGAGACATTATCCAGCCCGCGCTAAATAGCCCTGCACCGGCGACGCAGATTAATCCCAACGACTCCGGGTTCGGAAGTGATACTGTCGATATACAAGATCAACGAGTCCGAAACAAGGAGCAGGGAAAGAAAAAGCAGCTAGAGGCAATCCATAAGAGAAATTCCACGACCGACTGGATATCTCACTGCTATGGACCCCAGGAACTCCTCCCATCCAAGATGCACTTGACGGAAAATTTTGAGCGGGCCCAGAAGAATTTGACATCCTACCAAGCACGGCTTCAAAGTGCGGCGGCTGACCTACCACCACCAGCCAGTCAGTCACACAGAACACAAGCTCCAGGAGTCAATCAGTCCGATCTACCCGATGAGAGACCTATGAATCCTCTTCCCTCCGAAAACCCGATTCCTAGCACACCTTGTCCTGCAAGCAAGGCCCCAGACCGGCCCATTCTCGCGACCAGTGCCCCCGAATCGAACATAAACGTGCTTCCACCTTTTATGTTAGAGACTAGCACAGTGGAAGTCCGGCGTCCAGGCAAAGGGAACACGAAACCCGCCAAAAAATCATCTAAATCGAATTCACAACCACGATCACGCGCAAACTCCAAAGCGCCACTCGCCGCTGAGCAGAATGGAGAGGCACCTGGTTCTACGCCTGCACCGGAGGGGCCTCAAGAACCTCCAAAACCTCGGAGTGGCTCCGGTGCTCGTCGTAAGAAGATGATCCAGGACAACCTCGAAAGTGCCATTCGATCGGGTGAGATGCCACGGTTTTGCATCAATTGTGGTGACATCAAACCCTCCACATGGCGAAAGGCTTTTACACGCGTCGTAGACGGCGATCCTGCAGACGTGGTGCTCCGCAATGAGGCTGGTGGCATTCTGTGCACTGAAGTCCTGGAGAGGGACGAAGATGACCGTGTGACCAAATATCGGATCTATAAGAAGTCGCCGGGACCCGAAGACAAGGTCGGCGACAACATTGAGGAGGTCACACTTTGCAACTGTGAGTATTGGTTAAATTTTAGTCAATGGGTCATGCTGACTTTGAATTCCAGCTTGTGGTATTTATTTCGTCTCCAAAGGCGCCATGCGACCCTCATTCCTCTGGGGCAAGCGACAAAAGCCCGGAGAATCAAAGATGAGCCGCCAAAGGAAGAAGAAAATCGAGTATACCGGCCTTCCTCAACCCTCATCAGACTTCTTCGCTCCGCCTCAATCGGATGCTGGCATGAGTGTCGATGGTACGGGCGAAAACGGCTCTCCTGACGATGCCTTGAACACAAATGCGGCGCCAGCCGATCAAGCGGAGCGTCAGCCTTCAACATCAAAGGATGATTCAGCAGCTGCGGCTCCGCAGGATGCTCTTCAAGCGACTCCAGAAAACGCGAGGCCCGAGGTGCAACAGAACTCTGCGGAAATTGGGGTTGACCCGACACCTAAACCGACTCGTCGGTTGCTCTTCCCTTCGCCGCGAAAGGATGGGGAAATGAAGCTGCTTGGTGAAGATCCCGCGTCTTCAAAAGCGTCTCTAGCTGGATCGCCGCCTCACTCCGAGTCCGGGAATGGAAATTCTATGGGGCCCTCGCAAACGGATGCACAAGGCGATGGAGCTCAATTCACAAATGAAGACGCATCTGAAACCCCAGCGGACCAGACCAACGAATCTACCGAGGCAGACAAGGAGAACCATCCGCCTCCAATTTCAGACTATGAGCTCGCGCACCTGTTCGACGACCTTCCCGAAATCGCCTCGCCATCCGCTCCCAAGACCCCACGGAAAACCCCTCAATCCAACAAATCGAATTCGACATTCAGCTTCGCATCTCTTCTCAAAACCCCCACCCCTGCCACTCGACGGTCCATCCGAATCGCGGAGAAGAGCGGCGGGAAAGATCGATCGTCACGCTCGAGACGACAACGCGATGGTGATCAGGACAACGAGTTCAGCGCCACCCCTTCCCGATCCTCGAAGCGGAGGCGCAGACGTTCCCTCGTTGAAGCCGATGACAACGCGCTGGATGGCAACGATGGTCTCCCACCCACCAACCTCGGCGTGCACATGACGCCCTTTACCGCGCAACTCAACCAAATGCTGAGCGACGGACTGTTCACCAGTCCTCATCGCACGTTCGGCCTCCTCAGCTCTCCCGGACGCGTATGGGGCGCGGGCCAGATGGACGGCGGCATGCAGCTTGACGGGGCCGATTGGACGAGCGACGGGTTCTTCGAGGACGCGGGGCTGATGCAGTTGCAGATCCCCGGCGACGCGGCGGGGCTCGGGATGGCGGGGTTCGTTGGCCAGGGAAACGGAAAGGGAATCGATCAGGCGGGTGTAATGACAGACGCCACGGTGCCGTCGAGTCCGCCGGCGCTCAACGAGTCGGCGCTGGGGTTCGAGTTCTACGTCGATCCGGACGCGGATGAGGATTGGAGCGTGCCGAGGGAGATGGGCGGGCTGGGGCTCCAGGATGCGGTGAAGCCGATGCAGGAGGTGGGTGTAGGAGGAATGCAGGGCAGCGCTGTCGACGTGATGGAGAAGACTGCGGGTTGATGGGCGATATGTAGCGAATTCAGCGATGCGCTGGAACTGGTGTTCAATTGGTTTTTTTGGGTGTATCAATCACGGACGGGGGACTGTGGTTCTCGACGTCAACGGCGATTCACCATTCATGTACTGATGCCGATCACGACCATCACCATTCATAGGAGCGAGCGAATTGAAGTTGCGGGATTGCATGAGCATCACTTCATCATCCATGTACCTACATGCTGGGAAGAAATCAACGCAATAAGGCTAGAAGAAATGGGACGAACAATCAGCCCGGACGCCGAACAATGAAGAAAACATGGACTTCCTCTCCTTCCTAACAATCCCAACGCCGTTACGCACGAACGACATGACTTCCTTCCCGTGACGCGCCTTTGCTCGTTTGTCGAGCGAAGTGGAATGCAAGCCGTAACACATCAGAGCTCATCTACACTCCATCGAACACGTTCTCGACACCCCAGAGTACTCACTTCCTCCCCCCGACAGCGATGCTCCCCATGCTCCCCACCCGCCCACTCACCTTCCTCACCCCATCCGCACTCTTCCTCGCACTCTGCGGCGCCCGATTGTCCATCTTCGCGTAACCCCCGCTCACCTTCCGCGCCTTCGTCTCTTGCCCGATCGGCCGGTTCTCGATCCCCACCTCCCCATCCCCCATGCCCAGCTCCTCCAGCAACGCCGCCGCGTTCCCCCCAATGCCGCTCGAATGACTCACCGCCCGCCGCGCGGCCGCCGCTGCCGATTTGCGCGTTGAGGATGTCGGTGACCGGCTCGCGTGGCGGCGCGCTAGCATGCGGAGTTGGATTTCTTCCTCGGTCTCCCCGGAAGGGGCGTCGCGGTAGGAGGACATCATGACGACGTCGACGTCGACGTCGTCGGCGCCCTCGGTGTCGGAGACGGCAGGGAGGGCGTGGGGATCATCTTCGTGGATGTAGTCGACGGTGTGGGGAGAGCTGAGGCGGCTGGAGAGGTTGCGGAGGGGAGAGGAGACGCCGGGACCGTAGCGTTTGGAGGTCTTGCGGGGTTGGCCGGGGGTGGGGGCAGGGAGGTTCTCAGTAGAGACGCCGCAGGTGGTGGGGTTTGTTGGAGGGACGGTGGTGGTATGCGTGGATCGTTCGATGGTGGAGGTGGAAGTGGATGTATGGAAGGATCCGGAAGAAACGCGGGAGTCGGGTCGCTCTCCGTTGGAGGTGATCTCGCCAAGGGCTTCTCGTTTGTTGTGAGGGGGAGTATAGCTCTGACTGGTGCTGACTAGACGTCGTGGGGAGGATTTTGAAGGTGTAGCAGGAGCGGAAAGGGTAGAAATGGCAGCAAGCTTCGGTTTCAAGACCGTATCTTCGAACCACCATTCGCGGAATGTGCCTTGGTTGAGGTGAAGCCAATGTTGTTGAGGACCGACCACCATACCCGGTCGCATAAACCGCATGAATGCAATGATCTCGTTGGCTGTGAAGCCATGTCGATAGATGAGATAGGCTCCAATGAGGCAGCCGGTCCGTCCCAATCCAGCTTTACAGTGAACTGCAATTCCGCGTTTCCGCACCGTGATGACCTCATGCGCCAAGTTGATGAATTGACGAACCATCTTAAGTCCCGGGCATGTCCCATCATCGAAGATCATATCGAGGTGTTGGATGCCAAGCTTGGTGAAGTATGTTGGGCAATAAAGCTCCGAGTTCAAGCGGACGACGAGGCCAATGTTCCGCTCGCTGAAATGCATGAGCACGTTCTTGAATGGAAGCGGTATATCTCTCGCTGCAGCCACGCCCGACCTTGTTGATGGGATCTTGGCCCACCGAGGGTCCGACTGGGCGACCGGTGCCACTGGTGTGCATTGAGGAGATGCAAAGGCAAGAAAATCGGGTGTAACCCAATTGAAATCCCCCATATCGACTCTCTCAAATCGTTCATATCTGTTTATCATCAACGGCTTTCCCTTAATGTCGATGCGATCTGCTTACTCTTCCAAGTTAAATTCCCGTAGGCCCACCAAATTTTCCTCTTTTGCTTTCCACACACCATAAACAATGTCTTGAACATTCAAAACATAGTCCGCCTGGCTGTATCCAGCATCCCGGAACGGCATGCATGGTGGATCCATTTGTGATATCGGTGCAAGCGCGAGATGTGGTGGCCATGACTGGATCATCACCATATAACATGCCAGAATGCACGCAGCATTGGCTCGACCTTAGAAATATCAGCATTAGGTTCCAATGTCTGAGATGTTAACTCACTTCTTGAGTCGTCGTTACTCCAGAAAACCACTGGGCGATCAACATTGGCAGGATCTGCCAGAACTTCATGAAGTAAAACTGCGAAGCGATAGAGATGACCGACGTGCAATGGACCAAAATCGGCGTGGAATGCATTGTACAGGAGGGTGTTGTCAATGGTGAAGTATGCCGGGACTTTTGGCCTGGTTGTTGATGCTGCTGTCGGACCATTTTGCGCTCTTGACGATCGCTTCGTCGGTGACTTCGAAGGTTTGGTCGGATATGGGAAGGGAGTATGTTCCGATGGTGGGTGGGTGTATGAAGCTAGGTAGACTCGATCTAAGAGCGCTGTTAGAATATCACTTTGACTTGTTTGCGACCTGGCGATGATGTTTACCTTGGATATACTCGATGACCTGTCCGTAACTGACGGACGTGTTTGAAGGCATGACTGTGGAATAAGGGCTATCAATGGACAGTAGTCAGCTCCGTCACTCTTTCAGTAGTTGCAATTGACTACCACTCACTGTTTTCGTCCTCTAGATAAGAATGGTGGTGATGACGACGGGTAAACGCATAGACCGAGGAGAGATGAGAGATGGAGCTGTTCCGAATATGTCACTGGCGCAGGAATTCCGACTCTTGCGAAGGTCACCTCCAAGCGAAACCGAAAGATACAAACAATAATGTTGAGAATTGGAGAGGATGAGAGTAAAAGGTGGAGAGGAAGCGCATAAGTACAATTCTCGGCATGTTTTTAGTTTCAGCAACACACACAAGATGTTGGGGGTAAATGGTAGGGGGAGTGCCGTTGCCGGGTAACGGGATTACGGGATAGCATATCACGTGTACGGTCACGTGGTTGTTTCATTCCCCTGAAGATCACGTGCTTATATTTGCGCCACATGTAATCTCTCCAGCCACTCCACCCCTCCACCGTCCACTACCTCCTGTTTGATGTCCATACATTCATTCCATCGTCATCGAAAGTCGAAATCGCCTTCAAAGTTCTTTGGTAGGTAAGTATCCAGTATCAACCATCAGACTGCCAACGTATTTCCTGGGATTAATTTGAGAACGCCCTCGTTTCAGCTCTTCTCACTCGCTCTATCTTTCCCATCGACATGGAACACCACGATCATCCGTTCATCGCGGCTTTGCCGCCTGAGATGGATTACATCACTTATCTGACACTCGTTGAACACAACTTGACCAAAGACAATCTCCCAATCCTTCACATAGCTCTTCAAGACTCAAAATTAACGGTTAACATTGGTTGGGATCTCGTCGCACTACTGATTCCACTTCTACCGGAATCACGAGAATGTCTACAAGATGTTGCCCAGCTCGGGAATCCTCGAGAAGTGGTTTTGAAGGTCACCGAAGCCTTGCGTTTCCTAGACTTTGATCTTGACATTTCTGAACATGAGGATGATGATCAGCCAAATACTGGCCCATCGAGCGTCGAAGTCCCACCAAGTTCGTCGGCGACACAAGGAATCCAGGAAACCGAATCAGAGACTTCCGTTCCACTTCCAATTCTACAGTTCGAAACTCTCTTATCCATGCTTTCTATTCTGCATCCTCGTCTCAAAACCAAGTTCCCTAGCAGGTTCCTTTCAGGGACGCTGCAAGCCATTTTGGCGGCATATTCAAAAACCACCCCCAGACTAGACGATACCACTGAATCCGTCGTGAAGTTTGTCAAGACCTTGACTGGAACCAAAAGACCTCATCTACCCCCAAGACGAAGTACCAGTGGGCTTCTGATGGAGGTTACTGCAGCGGCTCCAGACCCCGAAGCCCAGGAGGAGTCTGTGGGAGAAAAAGAAATTCAGAACCGTTTGATTCAATCCTTCATGACCCACATCTTGGAAGAATACATGCTAGCTCTTCACTTTGGGGACGTGGCTGGGATGGCCTGGAGCAGTCGAGTACAGGAGAAACTCCTTCCGGAAACGAAAGTCAAAGGTCGGACCACCATGATCGAGCAATTTGCCACCCAAGAGAAATATAAAGAAAAGGGTGCTGTTCTCGGTCAATTGGTGGCCATCTGCCAGGATCTTGACATCGACTTACCCGAACTCTGGCGGATAGTAAATAGCACGGATCCCGAACCAACTGGCAAACCTGAAGAAGACGATCCTCCAGAGTCGGCTGCAGACATCCCCCTTTCCAAGAACGGCGCCCTGTTCCTTCTTACGGCCAAGAAAGTGGCGGAGATTTTGTATGATATCCGGAGCCCGTCCATCCCCAAGTTTTCCATCTTCCCGGATCATGCGAAAATTTGCTCCAACTTCATCGGAGTTGCGGGCAGGAATACTGGCCTCGAGTCGGAGGCGTTGTTGGATACGATCCTCGCGCTTGCGATAATCGCCATCGGAACAGGAAACGTCGGGGAACCGACCTCGGACGACGAGTTTTTGAACTATCTCCAAGCCACGTCGTTGATATCGGCCAATTCACCAATTCCCCAACTCCGAGGCGTCGCACACTTCGTCACCTCGACGATCCTCCGATGTCACCCGCACGATCTATTGCGGTTAACATTCATTCAAGATACCCTCCAGCATTGCCCATACGAGAATCTCAAAGAAACTGCCGTCGGTTGGCTCAAAGGCGAAACCATCGAGGCCAATCTCGGTCTCGGCATCCTAAACATCAAACCGGGGCCAACAGATACAGAGGATGATAACACCACCTCCATATTCGCGACTCCCGTCGCCCTTTCGTCAGTCGCCCCCTTCCTCTGGCCGAAAACCGATCCCGCCGTCGACCGAACCCAACCCAAGGAAGCGTGGCTCCGTTTCCGCATCAACCTGGGCTTCTACCTCGCCGCCCTCAACTTCTGGTACCTTATCGTCACCGCACAACCCTTGCACGAGCCTCTCGGCATCCGTGGACTCCATGCCACCGTCCAAAACGGCTACCTCGAGCCGTTGGCCGCATTGGTGGCATCGTTCAAGAAAGGATTGGACACCGGTGAATTGTTGGAGATGGATGCCGAGCAGGCAAAGGCGGAGATCTGTGACTTGTTGATCGTGGAGGATGCGCTTGAGAGGATCAGGACGTCGACTAAGAAAGCTGGATTCTAAGACGGGTCGTTCGGCCTATTGATGGCGCCTCTGCTAAGGCTGATGTGTGGGTCGTTCGTATCGGCAAAATTGCTCGTAGCAGGTGGACAATCGGTTGCCACTTATGAGACATGAAGGCGAATGCTTCAATCATGACGTAGAGGTCATCAAAATACAAATCCATCTGTTTCCTAGCAGTACGGCGCAAAATTTCTGGGACCCTGATTCCAATCACCGGGGTGTCCAGGATTGAACCAATCGTTGTTGATAACAATAGAGATATGATGTCTCAAAGGATCTCAGAATAGTAGCCGATGAGAGTCAGCGAGTGATTCTACCTATCGTCATAACCTTGACGACATACGGGGTCGCCGCTCATAACCATTGTCATCCCACCAACCCTCACTGGACATCGAAGTGCCTGTGGTTGTAAGGAGCTCATGCACAAAGTCTTCAGGCAAGAGCTGATGATGTTTTGCTTAAGCGGACTTGGTTCTTCATGGTGTCGGCTGGGGAGAATAGGCAGAGTCATTTCCCATTGTTGAGGAGCAGCGGGAGGTGGAGGTTGTTCATGCGCCGACTGGGGAGAATAGGCAGAGTCCTTTCCCATTGCTGAGGTACGGGAGGGGTAAGCTCAGCACCATAAGTCCAGGTATCCGTATCTGGCAGGCTATCCTCCAAAGCTCCAAGATTGAAGGTTTTTCGAGCCTCTTTATGGGTCTTCTTCGCCTTGATGCAACTGGTGACCCCCATCTTCACCAGTTCTTGGAAGACTCGCTCGAACACCTTGCGGCGCCACGCGGGTTCGATAGGCCGCTGTTTGCCATCAGGTGTATCGTAGTGGATACCGATGACGGGCTTCATATGGGTGGCGAAATCAACGAAGTTCACGTAAGACTCCTTCAGTCGAACGTAGCGAAGGATTCCTTTGAGGAGATCTTCTTCGAGATGCTCGGGACTGGCACAATCCACTAGTACAGTCGTAAGTCCTGAGGTTGATATCAAGAACAGACACTTACCCCTATGCTCAGAAGCGGCTTTCTCCGGGATGAAGTAACTCTGGGCACTCATGGCTGAGAATGGAGATAGGTGCAGGAGTGCTTGAGATGATTGTTGAAGTAATTAAATGGAGATGTGCTGTCTATGGTTCAGTTGATGAGGCAAGAATAGGCTGACGATGCCGAAAAGATCTCCGTATCTTGAATCCAAAAGATCTGAAGGAAGAGCGAGGTGAAGGTAGGAAGATGTTTACATTGAAAGAAGAGAGAAGTGGTCCTCGAGTCCAATAAATAGTAGGTAACAATGCTCCACTAACACTGTTCGCTGAGGAAGGGTTGAAAAGGCGCACGTGAATGTCCGCTATTGAGGCCACTTCCAGATATAACACACAGTTTGTTGTTGGGAAGACGCGTCTGACTGGGTCTTACGCATCTTGCTGGAGTCCTACGCGTCACGTCGGGGCAGTGGACGTCTACCCATTTGCTTGCCCCGAGTAGAACAATGGTGCAGTTCGAAGGTATCGCTTCATAGATAACATGTGGTGCCGGCATGGTTTCGCGGAAGGCATTGCTGATCAAGCGAAGCGGGATTCCAGGGGCTGATTGTGGGAAGTATGCCGTGGAAGATCATCGCTAAGGAGGTTCCTTGCCATGAATGAGATCCGAAGAGGAAGAGATTGATGCTCCAGAAGCATATCCCCAGGAGCCGAAACACCGAATCGTCATCTTCGTTTCGCCTCACATTTCCTCTTTTGTAGTATACCTTACACTCCTGTTAGTCAAGTCGATAATTATATACGACTCTCCGCTACCTGAGGTTGGAGGACATGATATGTCAGGGCCCATCAGTCTCTTCTGCCCCAGATAGACCTTGGACAGCTCTCCTTCACGGCACCTTCTTAGTTACAACTTCATCGGCATTCACCACCACGCGAGTCAGCTATCACTACCCCAGGTAATCCAAACGATACCGCCCCTTTAGGACAGAAGTGAACACATTACGTCTTTCCAAGCTCTTTACGGTTCCATGTTGTGACTCGCAGGAATAGCGGCCATAAACATGTCGATATGCCAAAGGTTCCAATCCACAGGGCGGAGCGTTTGTTCTGTCGATGATACATCATGTCAGCAGGTCTCATACTATTAACTTCTCGAGGACGGAGTGTTGATGGTTTTAATTACAGGGAATTTAACATACTACTATTTTATGACATGAAACGAGGCTTGATCAAGCTCATCCAAGACAACCGCAGAGCGGTGCTTCTTGCAATGTCGATACTCCGAATCGAGACCAAACGAGACGGGGACCACTCACTACAGTCAACCACCGCTATAACGATTACCGCGACAGCGATATTCGCGTTATAGCGATAAGATTCCCTGCACGGATTCTCAATCAATGCTGCCAAGAAAATTCGTTTTAGCGATATCCGTGTTATAACGATTGGATTCGCCTGTACGGATTCAATCGTTATAGCGAAGGTTGACTGTACATCAATTCATGCGTACGGCACGCTAATTGTGTATGGGATGTCATCTACGGGCGGAGCCTCGTGAATATACTACCTAGAATCTCCGAGCATCTATACATTCGAGACTCCGTCCGTTGTCATTTCTAACCTCAGGTCGATCGTAATTTATGCTTACCTTCGTAAAGGAGGCAACCAGGCACCAAGCTTCTCCCGTTTCCCTGCACTCGTGTCACTTGGGACAGGTAGGTTGAAACTTGAAAGGCGTCCTTCTGCTCTGGAATCCTGCACTAGGATTCTAATTCATCTAACGACCTTTCATATTGGCAGGCAATTCAATGATTTGTTGATACGGAGTCTCATGCGGCTGAGAATGGACTGGACCGTTGGGTTGTAAGTCAATATACCGAGCGTTTGCCTGGTTTTGGTCAACATCCCATCCTGGGCCATCGACGGTTTGTGTTTTCGGGATACGGACAGCATAGATTTGCGATTCGTTATTTGACGTCAATGACACGGCCAAAGACACTTTACACTCATAGGACGAGTCTCCAAGGTTTGCCACAGATATTGAGATATGGGTATCAGTTTGTGATGAGCCGCCTACCAGCAAGAACTTGAGATTGGGCAAAATCATAACTAGTGATGAGGAATAGATTGGCGTTTTGTATCGAAGTTTCCTATTGAAGATTGACAATGTCCCCTTCAGTATACCAAAAGGTCACTAAATTTGGCTCGGTAAACCTTAGTAATATTCTTCGTGCTCTTCACCGGGGAGGAATTAACCACTACTGAGAGGAAAAAATGTTAACTAGGAGAAAAATAGTAAACAATGACAAACGCATGATACGCAACATCGGACCGAAGATACGATACTCTAGGAAAACAAAGTCACTAGAAATTCACACCAGACTCAACAAACATCGAAAGGTAGCCTTCAGGCAGTGGAAATCGGACAGGCATGCAGTTCAATGAGAGCTCAATGCCACAACCAAGATAAGTACTAACTACCCGGAGTAGCTACATGATAGATAATACTTTCTTCTCAATCATATTTGCATCTTATGGCGAGTTTGCGACAGACCGGAGATAACTTCTTTTGAATAGCAGCACCGAGGCCAGGAAGGTATCCGAGAAGCAATTCGAAAGCTACTGGTGTGGTTGGTATAGATTGGGTTGGGGGTCGGGTGGAATGCACTGAAATTTTCAGGGGAATTACTCTGTACCGATGATGGATTCGTCACATTTTCACATGAGAGTGGACATGGTCCAATAAGAAGCATTTAATTATACACTAGTGTATGTATTAAACGTCCTCGGCCGTATTAGGGAGGGAAATGGCCAATATACATCTTGCGCCTTGCATGGCTACCCGGCTTTATTGGAGATTCGGAGCCTTATGCTTAACTGGTTAACGAGTAGGACTGAGGAGGATACGATCACACCAAGTGGAATGGTGCATAACATTGCCTCTCGGCTCTCCGGCTACAGCATTGTGATCTCATACCCTAACGCTCAATAATACATAGTAGTATGGTCATACGGAGCCTGGCATTGGTCCACTAGTGTAAAATTGGCGTCACAAGCGTCCAGGAGCCCCGGACTTCCAAAACCTCCCTGGCTGTCCAGCACGAGGCGCCCTCCACCCTGGCTAAATGGCTTTTTGGTCGTTGGTACACGAACCTCCACGATCCCTTAAACTTCCCTTGTCTTTATGCTGATGTGCCATCCATTGAATGGCTCCTCCGACCATGTGGAGAGCAAAAGCTGAGCAGGCGAGCTCAATGTTGCCATCACGTCGAGGTCATTTCCCGGCTATACGAGTGTTGGGTGCTTTGGTTGCGTTTGTCTTCGTTTACACATCCCTTTCGAGGGTATTTCACGGGTCAAGATCGCGGAACGCTCCTGTCTCCTTAAGTCCGCTCAGGTTCGGGTCGAACGATACTGCCCATCGACCATGTCCCTATATACCTGGACTGGACGATGTCCTTGTCGTGATGAAGACCGGATCGAGCGAAGCCGACACCAAGTTGCCATGGCACTTCTCGACGACCTTCCGATGTGTCCCCCATCATTTCATCGTCTCCGACTTGGAAGAGTCCATCCAAGGGTATGATCTCCACGATGCCCTTCGCGACGTCAGCCCAGCGATCCGGAAAGACGTACCGGAGATGGAACTGTACAATAACTTGAGAGAGCATGGCCGGAAAGCATTGGACGATTACGACTTCACCAAGTACACCCAATCAAAACAGGCAAAAAAGGATGGCAGGGAGAATCCGGCACACAAGCTCGACAAGTGGAAATTCTTGCCTATGGCCCATCAGGCATACCAGCATCGGCCGGCCGCCAAATGGTACGTGTTCATGGAAGCGGACACGTACCTGTCGTGGTCGAACGTCATGAAGTGGCTCAATAATTTCGATGCCTCGAAGCCGCAGTACCTTGGCAGCCAGATGCAGATCGGAGAAACCATTTTCGCCTTTGGCGGCACCGGCTTTGCGATATCCAATCCGGCGATGAAAGAACTGGTCGACTACCGAAGCCGACACTTGGGCGACCTGGAGGAATATACCAAGAATGGATGGGCAGGTGACGAGATCCTTGGACATGTACTTGGGGATATGGGTGTCAAATTGGTATGGGGATATCCAAACTCGCAGATGTCTCTGCCGCAGGAGCTATCATATACCGAAGCCGAGTATGACAAGCGGTTATGGTGCTACGCGCCAATCGGATGGCACCGTGTGGACTCGGAGGACATCGACGCGTTGTACTCATTCGATCTGACCTTCAACCATAATGTAAGTGATCCCAAGCAAGCTCTTCCGACCATGGCTAAGCCGACGACAGAAATCCCTCCTCCTCCACTCCGACATGTTTAACCAGTACGTCCTCCCCCAAATCGAAGCCGCTCCTGAGAGAGACGACTGGGAAAACCTGGCGGAGGAGGTCCATGGAATCGGACCGGACAGTCCACACGTGAGGACCGCGGCGGCCTGCCGGTCGCTGTGCATGAAGGATAAGAATTGCAAGCAGTATACGTATGGACACGGCATCTGTCGAACCTCCTCCTCCGTCCGGCTCGGAGAACCGGTTGCTCGAAGCAGTCCGCAATTGTGGTTACCCACGCACTCTGGATGGATCGTTAACCGGGTGAGAGCGTTTTCCAAGAAGATGCCTGCATGCCGGGAGGGGCCGTGGGTTCTATCGTGAGAAATCCGCGGTCATGTTGCCCTTCCACACGGATAGCCTTCTCGGCCTGTCAATTCGTCTTGGATGGCATATGGAATCGTGGCCGTACGTCACTGGCTACGAGGGTTTGAACATATTATGGAAGGAAACGTGCTTACGAAGACTGCGATGCCGCGTCAACTTGGATCTCCCACTGCTCGCAGTATCCCCACGGACTCTTAAGATCTAGTTGACCGTCAGGCGAAGTGTTCAAATGGCACCGGATATGGAGGACATACAGGCAATTCACTTTCGGAAGAAGTGCAAGGCGTTCGGATATTGGGTTGCTTCTGCCTTTGGGAAGGCATTCATGTACTGTACAGTGTCCTCGGTATCCAGCTTGTCATTTCCGGGGGCTTATGACACTGGAAGGGGTTAAGCGATAAAGCGGAAGGTACATACCTGTAATGATCAATAGACCGCAATATAGCTGCACAGTATTTGAAGGGATCGTCATTCCAAACCATAATGGCATAGTCCAACCCATCAATAGTAGATCATACATGTAGCGGTGCAATAGACCAGATGGAGCGGGTCTGATATGGCAACGATATCACCACCTTCTGATTTTGTCGGCTGTTCAATAATTCCGTACTAAATCTGAAAAAAACAACTCTCAGAGCCTTCCACTTCACCCAGCGGGTTAAACGAAATGGGATCATGATTCACACTTTCAAATCAATGTTGAACTAGCGGCCCTCAAACCTCCCAAGTCCCAGCCGAGGAGCAGTTCGTCCATAAAATTGTGCAATTTTCATCAGATTTTATGACCGATACGCGAAATGCTCCAATCATGGATGGACATGAAGATGTTCAACAAATGTATGATTCTGTCTTTGGCAGTCTAACCTTATTTTCTTCATGCCCCTCTACGTTTTGCTGGGGGTAAACTTACCTCAAGCCTATCCGTCGCTATCGAGAGTATTCCGTCTGTATTCGAGGTCTATCCGCGCCACGTTTTGTGCTCGACGGAAAACAGTCTTGTGTAATGTGTTCTATCAAAAGAATTGAACAGTTTCAACCTTTTCATTTGCTCGTCGTTTCTCCATTCCTAGTCCTTCATCCGTTTCTCGTTTTCTGGTGGTTTGGTTTTCCCCACAGGATCAATAAGATTGACGCCTCGTGCTGTTTTGAAACACGCCCCAGCGCCGAGCCTGGGAAAGTGGTGCACGACTCAACGGTTTACGGTTTGATCGAACGCCATTGTTGTCCAAGCGCATTTCATTGATGGGATTGTGTTTGGCTACTTGCCTTCAGACCGGCGTGTCGCTACTTGCGATGATACGGAGATTGGAAAATCTAGGAGATGGTGAAGGAGTATCTGAAGTTTCCGATCCCTCAGCTTCCTTGCTGGCGGTCTTGCCTGCAGGTACTACCACAGAGCCCTGCAGCATCCTGAACGAAATTGGGTGCAACTCTTCAACATGATGATTGATGTCTTTTGGATTGACGCCAGACACCAGGTTAGCCCAAGCCACGATAGAAAAGTGTTTCTTCATGGTGGGGATCTAAGGACCTGTCATCTGGGGTCGTTGTAGCATGGTCCTCGAACGAGGTACTTATTTCTGAAGTCTTTCCTCTCATGCTGTCTCATCGCTCTCTCGCTCTCTTCATCCGTCTCAAAAGTCATCCACATTCGTTTCTTTCCTTCAGGGCCAGAGGCTCACTTCCATTGCGGTCTGAGATCGCGTCGTTCATTTGCTCGAGTATCACCAAGTCACTCATTTGATTGTCTTTCTCTTCGTCAGTCAGTCAGTTATACACTGCTGGTCTCTGCCTTCACAAGTCAACAAGGGCTTCCATTGTTCAATTCACAGCTTCAAAGCAAGGAACTCGACACCGACCAATATGCGAGTCTTTTCCAATCTCGCAACCATGGCGGGTCTTGCCACCCTGGCCCATGCATACATACGCTTCGATTGTCGTGGTGTGCTCGTCGAAGAACGGGCCGATCCGATTGTGAATCCAGGTCAAATCGCTGGCCACGTTCATAAGATTGTAGGGGGAGATGGCTTCGACTTGACCATGGACTACGATAAAGCCGTTGCTTCGAGTTGTTCAACTTGTCAAATTAAACAGGACAAGAGCAACTACTGGACTCCAAAGCTTTACTATCAAGCGCAGAACGGAAGTTTCATTAACGTTCCTGGACCCGGTGACCCAGAGGATAAGAATAGCGGCATGATTGTCTACTATCAACAGCGCGGACCCAACCCCAAAGCTCTCAAGGCCTTCCCCAAAGGCTTCCGGATGCTGGCTGGTAACCCCTCGAAACGATCCTTCGGCGGTGACTTTGCTTCCGATGCGGTTCGCTTCGCCTGCCTTGACGCTGGCAAGCCAGAAACAAATGATATGCCGAATTACAATTGCCCCAACGGCCTTCGTCTCCAGATCTACTTCCCGTCATGCTGGGATGGGGAGAATCTCGATTCTCCTGACCATCGCTCCCATATGGCGTATCCGAAATCCGGCAACTTCGACAACGGCCCATGCCCCGACTCTCACCCCGTCCAACTCGTCTCCCTCTTCTTTGAGGTCCTCTACGACACCAACCGCTTTAAGGACATGTGGTACGGTGACAAGCACCCCTTTGTTCTATCCAACGGCGACACGACCGGCTACTCCTTCCACGGCGACTTCGTCAACGGCTGGGACGTCGACGTGCTCCAGAACATCGTCGATAACTGCAAGGATGACTCCAAATTCGGTTCGATCAATAAGGATGCCTGCCCCATTATCGAGCAGTATAGCTTCGAAGAGATGCAAGCCTGCAAGGTCCCTACAAAGTTCAATGAGCTGGTCAAGGGCGCATTAGACCAGCTTCCAGGCTGCAACCCGGTTACATCCGGCCCGGACGCCGTCACACCTGGTTCGGGTGCAGACTGTGGCGCCCCTGCAGAAGGTGGTGGCTCCTTGCCCGTCCCTACGGCATCCTCATCTGCTCCAGTCCCTTCCTCAAGCTCGTCTGTCCCGTCCGTCCCATCTGTCCCAACCTCCGGCCCTTCTCCCCCTGCCGATGATGGCCCAACCGTGCAAGGATACGAGTACATCGGCTGCGCCAACGATTCCCACGACCGAACACTCAAGGGAGCAACTACGATCTACACCGCCGAAGCCGGGCCGCTGATGAGCCTCGAGTACTGCGCCGACTTTTGCCAGGGCACTACCTACTTCGGCGTGCAGTACGGCCAGGAATGCTTCTGTGGAGAGTCGATCTCGGCGGGCCGCGAACCTTCGGTTGACAACGGTGCGAAATGCATAATGAAATGCAAGGCGAATGGAAGCCAGACGTGTGGAGGCGACTGGTCGATCAGCTTGTACAAGCTTGCCGGAAATCTCGCCGTGAGCAAGCGACACTTGGCGGTCGAGAAGGGCATGGAAGCGAAGGCGAGGCATTTGCATCGCAGGAGTAAACATGGGAATATGTTTTCCTAGGAGGTGTACCTTTCGCTGTTTCTTTCCTGCCCTGGCGTGGCCTTATGAATCTAGAATTATCCAGACAGATATTCCCTAGTTTAGTTTGGGTATAGATAGACAGCATCCCCTGTTAACACTTCGATTTAAGTAAAAACTGAAAATTAAAGGTTGGTTGGCTATTAAACTGACTCTACTTCTCTTGAATCTTTGGATTTGTAGCTCTTTTGCCTTGTGCGAAGGTTATTTAAGGTCGAGATCACATCGTGGGGAGCCCGGAAGAGGCAGCAGCTCTTGAGTGGATGAGTAGATCAGATAGGCTTCATGTCATGGGAGAAAAGATATAGAACAATGATATGAATATCTGATGCAGTGTTTTAGACAAGCCATCCAGTCGATGTATGACTTGCTAAAGCTTCATGTACCCAGCCGCAAATCTTCTCAATTGCTCAAGTGCGCTGATAGTCTGCTGAGAATACCATATGCATTCAATCTATCTACCGTGACCGATGCCGATGAATTGATTACATGAGGAAAAGCAAATTTGAGACATCATACAGTACAAGCCCATAAAGCACGCTGTTTACTCCGCTGTGAAAAACTCAATCCGACTCAAGAGCGTACCTCCAGCCCTCAACTTCTGAGGCCACGAATATCTCCACCGTCACCGAGCCACCAATGTCGCCATTACGTTTTACACAACGTCCGATGAATGTGTCTTGGACACGAGTACCGAGGAAAGGTTGTTTGTCAAGTCCCGATGCTTTAATGGGGCACCTAGCAGTGAACATCCCCTGCTGTTCGGGAGTTCATAAGCAGGGCAACAATCAGACCGTAGAGACCTAACATCCAAATCAGCAAAATGATTCCGGACATTCGAAGTTGCATGCAACATACCCAAGACTTCGGCGAAAATGAGGATCAAAATCATGCCGACATAGAGACGTGGCTGTTGAGCGGTACCGCGAACACCAGCATCACCGACGATTCCAATGGCAAAACCCGCAGCCAGACCGGCCAAACCGACGGAAAGACCAGCTCCGAGCTGAATGAAGCCGGTGAACAGCGAGCTTTTTTGTTGAAGGTTGTTGGAGATCAGGACGGACACGACGAGACCGTAGATACCGATGATACCAGCCATGATGACGGGAATGATGTCTGCGTTCAATAGTTAGCATTCAATAAACATGAAATTCGGGTGATGGTCTCAATAGCCCCCGCTTTCGGGCACAGAAGGCATGCCTCATGGATATCTGATGGTGATATTAGGGATTACACATACTTTTCACGATCAGGTCTGGTCTCAAGACACCCATAGCGGAGATACCGACACCGGACTTAGCAGTACCATAGGCAGCACCAAAGCAGGTGAACACAATTGCGGAGGTGCACCCCATCGCACCGAAGAAGGGCTAGTAATGATGTTAATGTTTAGCTTCGAAGGGACACGGTAGGGGCGGTGCAGTTCGACCCGGTGCCTCCGGTCGTTGGCAATCGGGGCGGTTGAGTAGGGCAAATCGAAGTAGCGATCGGGGTTTCGGTGAACTTACGGCATACACAGGACTACATTAGACAACGGGTTAGCGGAGAGCTTAATGGAAGGGTGTTGCTCGTTGAGCTCTGCTCCGTGTCTCAGGAAGCACAGGCATAGGGGAAGAGAGCTTACCATAAATCGGTCGACATCTTGGCTGTTGGTGAAGCGTCGAAGCTTGTTTTGCAATGAAATGAGGTATGGAGAAGTAATAGAGCTTGCTACAGAGTAGAGTAGATGGATTGTGGTGGCAGCAAGCTTGGTCGGGTCGAGTCGATGAGGTTGAACAGAGCAACTTGAAGTCAAACAACTCGTCGCGCACGTGACATAGTAAGATGAGATGCACGTGCGCGTCATCACCGCACGTGACCTATAGTCTTGGCATTCGACTTCAAATTTTTTGTCAGGTCGCCATCAGTGTGAGGAAAAAGAGGAAAAAGAGGAAAAAGTTGCGTATCTTAGTCCACGATCTTCAAATTTCCACCTCACGGACCCAACCTCAAACCGAATTGAGCATTCGAATATCTTTGTCAAAATGGACAATCAATCTGCCGCCTGGCCTGTCGCTGATGCTGCCTTAACCCAAGTAAGCTCTTGAAGATTGGTTCAATCTCATGATAGAGCTATTGCTAACGATGTGATACAGGAAATTCGTATGTCCACCCAATACCAACCCGGAAACCGAATTCAAACGGACGAAGCTAACTGACGTTGCTAATAGTGGACCTGGTCCAGCAATCTTCCCACTACAGGCAGATCAAGAAGGTGAGGCTCTTGCGCATCGAGTTGCAGTATCGCTACTAACAAGAATATTAGGGTGCCAACGAAGTCACCAAAAGCCTCAACCGTGGTATCGCCGAAGTCGTAATCTTGGCCGCCGATACCACTCCTTTGGCGATTCTTCTCCATTTGCCCCTCCTTTGCGAAGACAAGGTACGATTTACACGATGTGAATCCTTTCGAGAGCGACGCTGACTTCCTCCTTCAGAACGTCCCTTACGTCTATGTCCCATCCAAAGTGGCTCTTGGCCGTGCCGCTGGTGTTAGCCGAAGCGTGATCAGCATATCAATAACCACGAACGAGGCTTCGGACCTCATGGGCCAGATCCGAGCCCTCAAGGACAAAGTAGAGAGGCTGATGATCTAAGGTGGAATGGCGGTGGCTCTTGATACCACGCACATCCGTTAGGATTCTTTCCGGGTTCGGCGTTGTATTGGGAGTTGATATGCCTCGACAATAACTTGTCAGCTTGAGGCATCCCTCGTTCAAGGGTCAAAGAGGAATCGGAGTTTCGTCGTTAGATACAGTTACACGGTCAAACTTGACCAAATCTAGGTTACGATCCAAATTCAAAGGGTATCAAACCTGCCAAAGAACTCCCTTTGAAGCCACTTCCGTGTCTAGTCCATTGCCCGCATGACGCCTTCAAAAGCAACCAACGCAATCGCATTCGCCGGGAACGCTCTCAGGAAACATGGCACAAATCCTCTCCAATATCCTCTCCATCCCTGCTCGCGGTACACGCCCAGCGCCGCATCCACGTACCTCTTATATTTTCTATCCGCGCCTAACTTGTCGGTCATGATTTTCTGCTTGACCACATCGCTCGGGTAGCTCGTAAGCCAAAAACATTGCGCGCTCAACCCCCCCGCCCAAAAATTGATGCTCGGTGCACCCATACTCGTGTGTTTTTCCATGCCCTTGGTGAAGACATCGTACATGCCCCACCAGACGAAGAACCAGCCTCGAAATATCAGCGTGGCGAGTAGCCCCTTGTAGAGTCCGCGTATTCCATGCGATCGAACGATCTGTTTTGTGCAATCGATCGGTCCGGAGTATTGTCGTCCAGCCTTCGTGGCTGAATATTGGATCTGGAGTCGAGCTTTGACGTGCTCTACAGGAGCGGCGATGAAAGAGACGGTAAAGCCGGCACCCATGCCTGCTATCGCATGTCCAATGGTCGGCAGAGGTACGGAGGGCACTGACAACGAGCTTTTGTGCGGATTGAAGACATGTTGATGTAGCAAACGACGGTATGCATTAAGGGACCCAAGCATGCTAAATTCGTGTTAACAGAAGAGCATATATATGTCGGTAGAAATCCGAACCTACACCGAGTCCATGACCATCCATCCTAATAACGGAGGAGTGGCACCTTTGTAGAGCCCAGAGAGCCCTTCTTTTCGCACGGTCTGAAGCAAGCAGTCAAGTGGGCCGCGAAATTGCGTCTTTGACGAAGTTTGGAGGCGCACTTTGATGGTATCAAAAGGATGACCGACTATAAGCTATCTCGTTAGGATGATGGCGCAATCCATGGCAATCTCTCAAACATACCACTCAACTTCGCGATACCGGAGAAGACGCCCGCTACATATCCGGTATACATGCTCGAGGATGCCATCGACACAGCTCTCTTCCCTCCGTCGCTTTGAGTATCATGACTCATTGATGAATTGGTATGAGACATGATATTGTCCTACGGTCCTACCGGGCTGTATTTGACGGGAAAAACGTGCAGTATAAGCGTTCCTCATCACGCTAGGCAAGACATGCTCCGAGGCAATGGGAACGAGGAAATAGAACTTTGAGCTCAGGCTATAACGGCAATGGAATGTACATGGAAATCGTAACTGGTAACTAAGGATTGCAACCAGAACTCAATCGATCTAAATGTTGGTAGTGCAAGGTTGCTCCTAAGAAGAAATAGTAGTCTGTTCCGTCGTCTCACGCTTACCTCCGAAATCGCCGATCGCAAACATCGCCAGTCGCTGGCGTGCTTAGCAATATTAGAATCGGATAGACACAGCTATGAGATATCCAGTCCAACTTACTAATCCACCTAATCAACCTATTAAATAACGTAGTCTGCATGTCCTAAATGATAATTAATTCGATTTCATTTTCATCTCCCTTGTTGGCGTATACACCAAAGCAGAAGGAGATACTCAGTGTAGGCGACAATCAAGGGGGTCGAGATGACATCGCGTCATTTTGAAGAGGGGAAAACTGGGGAAAATACGAAAAGCGATGAAGCAATAACCTCGAAGAAAGGTGTGTATCAGTGTAAAACTCAAGTTTCAAATCACTAACACCCACCGAGTATGGGTCTCTCTCGTCACCAACCTCGACTACCTCCCGGGATTCCTCACCCTCGAGCATTCCCTCCGCAGCGTAAACTCCGCCTACCCCCTCGTAGCCCTCTACACTGACGCCCTCCCCCCCGCCGGCCACGCCGCGCTCCGCTCCCGCGGCATCCCCACCCTCCGCGGCGACCACCTCGTCCCCTCCGTCCCCAAGTCCTACGAGCAGGACCCGCGCTTCCACGAGACCTGGAGCAAACTGAGCGCCTTCTCCCTGACGCAGTTCGACCGCATCGTGCAGCTCGACAGCGACATGCTCGTCCGTCGGAACATGGACGAGCTGATGGAGCTAGCGCTGGATCCGCCAGGGGAGGAGGGGGCGGGCGACCGCGTGTTTGCGGCGAGCTATGCATGCGTGTGTAATCCGTTGGGGAAACCGCATTATCCCAGCGATTGGATCAGGGAGAACTGTGCGTTCACTAGCCAGCATGACGCGCCGGATCGGGCGCAGACGGAGGGGGCACCGCTGGGTGCTGGGTTGGCGATGCCGAATTCGGGGTTGCTGGTCATCAATCCGAGCCGGGCGGCATATGAGCTGATCTTAAAGGAATTGGTAGAAGCGACCTCGACGGCGGCCTATGAATTCGGGGATCAGAGTCTGATCGGGTACACGTTCCGTGGCCGTTGGGCGCCACTGCCATACGTCTACAACGCGTTGAAGACGCTGCGGTGGAAGGGCGTCCATGATCAGATTTGGCGGGATGAGCGGGTGAAGAACGTGCATTATATAATGGTCCCCAAACCGTGGGATGAACCGGACGGCGAGAGGGGCCAAGCGGACGAAACACACAAGTGGTGGTGGGACGCGAATGATGAACGGAAGAGACTGGAGAAAACAAGAGGGATTGAGGATGAATTTTGATTGGCATTATTGCATAGTTACTGTTAGACTGTCTGATGTTGCTACAAGCCTACCCCGTTTTGGATGCTAATCCCAATATACCCAGGCCTGTACTCCTCGCCAATGCCAATTCCAAACGCTACAGTTCAATCGTCCCGTCTCTCAGACTCGTGTCCCCAAACTTCCTCCGCTGACTTCTTTCCCTTCGTCTCAGGCACGAAGGTGAGGACCAGGAGGAAGAACCCGGCCGCAAACGCCGCGAAGATGAAATACACCCGTCCCTCACCCAGCGCTTTGTTCACCACGGGAAAAAACTGAGCGACGACAAAGGTGGCGATCCAATTGGACGCGAGCGCCCAGCTTTGGGTGGCGCCGACGGCTTCGTGGACGGCCAGCTCGCTGGCAAGGATGAACGGGACGGGACCGAGCCCGACCGCAAACGAGCAAACAAACAGGATGACGGCGACGGCGGAGAGGACTTTGATGTTATAGCCGATGGAGAAGGCTAGAGCAAGAGATGAAATGCCCATCCCGAAGATAGAGCCGAGCAGGCAGGGCTTACGACCGAGCTTGTCGACGAGCGGGGCACAGGCGGCTGTGACAATGATATTGAGGGCAGAAACGGCGAGGTTGAGGAGGGCAGAGGAGGAAGATAGGAGCGAGGATAAGAGGGAAACGCCGTACATGATAATCGAGTTGATACCTAAGTCCGTCAGTGAATGGATACTGTTGGTCAAGGGGTGCGGTCTTACCGCAAAGCTGTTGGGCAAGCATAACCATTATGACAGCAATCACTGCCTTCCTGGTCTGGGGGCTGGCCAAAGCTTGTAGCATCCCAAGATGCCCCTGGCCGGACTGGCTCTTGTTTGAGGGGAGGTGTTGCTGATCCGGCGAATTCAAGAGAGATTCTTGTTCCTCTAAACTTCGCGTTAGCATGTTCATATTATAGCCAAAGAACTGCTTACCATCGTCTTCACCAGCAGCAATGCCCCAGCTGTTAAATTCGCCGTCGATATCGAACCTCTCACCTCTCACTCTCCTCAAGATCTTTCGTGCTTTCGGCCCACCCCCTTCTACGTTGGCAGCAATCCATTTCGGGCTTTCGTCCGAGAACATCAGTCCGACCAGCTGCCCAACTCCAACCAGCCCAGCAGCAGCCAGTACAATCCTCCACATCTGACCAAAGGCCAGGAAATACCCAAGCAGCTGTGCAAGAAAGATGCCAACATTCACCATCACCTGGGTGAAGGCGCCGAAAAACCCCTTCTCAGCCGGCGGGGAGAGCTCGGAGATGTATATTGGCACGGAAACCATAGCAGCCCCTGAACCCAAGCCTGAAATGAAGCGTCCTATAGCCATAGTTGCGATATTCGGCGCGAGAGCCGCGAAGATGGGGCCAAGGATGGAGAAAGGGACCGCGAGTCGCATTGCATGCATCCGCCCATGGCTTGTAGAGACCGTACCGGCCACCAAAGCACCCAGAAATCCACCCAAGGTAAACATGGAGCTCACCACCCCGAGTTCCTCCGCTGTCATGGGGATACACTGGGGAAGGGTGGACGACGACACGGCATCAGGTCCGAGGAGGGACTTTCGCTTGCAGGTGATGACATCGAGAGGGGTGTTGAGCTCGGTGAGGTGGTAGCCGAAGAGGAACGGTCCGAGGGTGCTCACGAAGATGAGGAAGAGCAAGTAGGGCGTGAGGTCACGGAACCAGGTTCGTGGATCCATCGTGTGCGGTCGACGAAAGAGCGGCTTCGGAAAGGGCAGATTAGCCTTGTATTCATCATCGTCAGATGCAGCGGAAAAAAACGTCTGGTACGGGGGAGACATAAGCAAAGACATACAGAAGCGGACAATAATAGTGAGCTATCGTAGGGCAATAGTGAACGACATGCCGTGGAATGGATTGATATTGGGGCTATTAAGACATCCGGTAATACTCATACACAATCGATGCAGCCAAATCAGCCACTGAAACCCTATCTAATCGCACACGTTCATTCACGGATCTCAGCACCGTGCCGTCATATGCAGGATAGTATTGCGTGTCGGAAGCTCAGCGCTGTGGAAGTATCAGATGGTGCCGAGTTGAATGTTTGTCGGAGGTGCCGGCTAATATGACGTCGAGCGTATTCCAAATGCAGTCCGAACGTTCTAAAGCCAACCCAAAAACGAATGGCGAACTCGAAAACGTTAGATGGAAAGGAGTATCGGCGAGTGGCAGGTGAATATGATAAACTACAGAAGGCAATTAGTCGACGTTGAGGGGTGTTGCGGTCTGCAGATGTTCAGTCCATATGTGGCCGACGATGCAAGGGTCAGTTGCTCGTTGCCAGGGATAGATGCGCTCTGCGAACGTCGGCCTCTTAACGCTCAACCAAGTAAGATTCCGTACTGCGAAATGGCCTTAGACCTGACTGACAGGAGACGCCAAAGCCCAAATGTGTGATGCAAGGCTTGGGCTCATGCAGGCCCAAAACGATGAAGACATAAAGGCATGGACTGTGAGAAGGCCTCTCAGATACTCTGGCTCCAATCCTCTCTTCTATCTAAATGTATTTTGCAAAACCGTATTGCCGCGAACGTCTTTCCAGCCGAGCTATGACGCTGAACCTCGTTCGAATGACATGACCTGTATCTCCTCGGAATCCAGCATAGTTTGAGCCTATCTCCAATACGGGACGCATCATCACAGGACACAGGGACAGACGCGCATGCTAATTGCTGAACGACGCGCTCTCGCTCCCAGCTAGCTCCAACCCGATCACCACACTGTCCTGGTGTCGGATTGCTCGTTCAATTGGCTGGAGTCATCGGATTACCTTGGATTACCAACCCGATGAAGCGGAGAGATCGTGGAGATGGTTGCGGGTGAAATCAAGATCGGAATGAGCCAAACCGGAAAGATGATCTCCCCCAATGCGCCGCCCTCGGGCCCCAACCCCACCACCAACACTACCACCAAGACATCCACCTCCACAACATCCGCAAAGCGATCCGTTCAGCAGGCCTTCGATGGTGCGTGCATCAGTTACAATTCTTTGATTATCGTGAATTTATGGAATACATGAATACATCTCTTCTCTGGTTCTCTCAAGGACTTTTCTTAGATATGCCTAATAGAGTGCGCTTCATTTAATGTTTCAATCAGGACGGACCGGTTCCGCTTTCCATTAATTCGCTTGATATTGTGCGAAATTCCTTCGTCACTACTTCATCGTATCTGACTCTGGGACACACGACGGTAGAAAGAGGTGATCCGTTGACTCATCTGGATTATCTCATGCGGTATCTACTGTATTGCTTATTCTTATGTACCGGACACTTCTAGTCCTTGCATGCAACAGCGCTTGAAAATCTTCGTTAGTTGTTTCCTGGAACCGTGCTTGGGCGACTTCAACTAATCAACAACCCCTCATTGCAGAACCGGGTGCCGCCATAAGTATGTTAGCAGGCTCCTATTTGAACCAAAAACGAGTGCGTGAAAGATATGATATCATCGGATTCATCAGCAGTGGCACATATGGCCGGGTATTCAAGGCAAGAGGTCGAACCGGCCAGGTGGGAGAGTTCGCCATCAAAAAGTATCACGAGTCCTCCCTACCTCAAGCGCATGGCTAAACTGTCCAGATTCAAACCGGACAAAGAAGGGGAGCTGCAGTACACGGGCATCTCACAGTCCGCCATCCGGGAAATGGCTCTATGCACCGAGCTGTCGAACCCGAACGTAGTTCACACGGTCGAGATCATCCTCGAGGACAAATGTATATACATTATCTTTGAGTATGCCGAGCACGATCTGCTGCAGATCATCCATTATCATACCCAGACGTCGCGACCGGCCATCCCTCCCATGGTCATCAAGTCGATTCTATACCAGCTCCTGAACGGCGTCCTCTACCTCAATCGTAACTGGGTGATGCACCGTGATCTTAAACCCGCCAACATCATGGTCACCTCCGCCGGGGCGGTCAAGATCGGCGATCTGGGACTCGCTCGTCTTTTCTATAAGCCTCAGGCGACGCTTTTCGCCGGCGATAAAGTCGTCGTGACCATCTGGTACCGCGCACCGGAGCTTCTCCTAGGGTCACGGCATTATACCACCGCCATCGATCTGTGGGCCGTCGGCTGCATCTTCGCCGAGCTCCTGTCCCTTCGACCGATCTTCAAAGGCGAAGAAGCGAAGATGGACGGCAAGAAATCGGTTCCCTTCCAGCGCAACCAGATGCAGAAGATCGTCGAGATCCTGGGGTTGCCGACGGTGGACCGGTGGCCCCTTCTGAAGCACATGCCGGAATATGGACAGCTATCCAACCTCGCGCAGGGAAATAGTCGCGTCTTGAACCCGGTCGGCTTGGAGAAATGGTATACCTCGACGGTGGCTCATAACAGATACGTCGTCCCGAACAGTTCCCCTCCAGGGACCAAGCCCGACGTGCCAGGCCGCGATGGCCTTGCCCTTCTGCAAGGGTTGCTCGAATATGACCCGATGAAACGCCTTACCGCGGAGCAGGCGCTGCAACATCCGTATTTCCCAACGAACCAGGCCGAGCGGGACGTGTTAGGGAAGAATTGCTTCGCGTGGAGCTTTACAGACTATCCGAATCGCCGAGTGAGTAGCGATGATAATGATATCCGTACCAGCAGTTTGCCTGGCACCAAGAGAGGTGGACTACCGGACGACAGCTTGAGACCGGGCAAGAGATTGAAAGAGTGAAGAGATGGAGCATCGAAGATATCCAACCCATTTCGTCATGCGCCTACACCAAACAAGATATCATTAACATCCATCGCCTTGCTATCCCCCAGCTCTACACCCGTTCGCACAAGACGGAGATTTCTGAAGAATTGGCTTTCCTAGTCTAACACGGCAGATCTCTAGCTCACCCTCGTCGACGACCCCCTTGAGGACGTGAGGGAGTCCGAAGACAGCTTCACCAATGTTTTCAGCGACGGCTTTTTCAAGGCCGATTTTCTCCTGTCCGAGTCGTCGGGAGAAACCATGGAAATAGACGAGCCCGATTACCAACAACTAGTTACCGATCTGGACCCATCGTCCTCGCGTCAGGATACGGAATACCAACTCAAAAACTGAAACGGGGTGTTGCTTGGAGTGCTGGGGTAATTAGAATGCGGTTCGGATTCCCGGCGTGCACCGCAAGTATAAGAGGGAATTACTATAGTGTCAACAGCTTAAATTTTTGTTGATCCATCATTACTTACGGAGGTTTGAATTGATCCTCTAGGATACCTACCGAATCATTACATGGCTTGTGTGTTTCTATACATACATGCCTCATCTGAAATGACTCAATTGCTGCTGTTCTTGTCCCCTGATACCGTAGCATCACTACCTGGAATCCTGCAACGCCCTCTATTTATGTTAGCCGTTTGTATGAGACCGCCATCAAAATGATCCAGACTATCGGTTTCCTTCTAGATGCATCGCTCCCCTGCTTGCAGAATGATTCAAGATAGTTCACAATTACTCTCCTGAGCAAAGCATCACCGTAGCCCACAACCGAGCAACCCCTTGAACTTTGCCTTGATGCTCGCCCTTCTAGAATTTCCGTTTGCACGAGACCTTCCACCGTGACCCCCAGGAACCCCCAATATATTTACCGCTCTACAGCCCATGAACTCGTCCACGTCCGTCGTCACTCTACCCACAAACCCCCCCATATCAGGCCCATCCGACGTAAAACTGACCCTCTGCGCCCTTGCCTTCCGACCCTCCCATCCACTATCCGGCCGATCCGTGGCGTGAAACACGCAAAGCATCCCCCCGTCAGAGTCTTCGTCCGCAGTCCCCGACATCCCATGCGGCATCCGAATGAACGACCCGTGCCCCGGGCCGAACGGCCCGACATCTCGCCTGCCGCCCTCTCCGATGGACCCCAGCTTCGGCGACCACGCCTGGAGGAGCGGGCGGCGGCTCTTGACCCATGCGCGAGGGTTGAGCGGTTCGCCGCCGACGTATTGCAGCGTGGCCATCTTGTAATCGCGGGTCCAGCTTCCGGCGCAGGAAAACACGATGCCTTTCCACGAACCGTCAGATGCCTTGAGGTACTGCGGGCCTTCGTTGATCCCTGAGGACCCGGAGAATTCCCAGCGGTGTTCTGGCGCCGATATCCGCACGGCGAAACTGTCCACGAGCTCCGGACTCGCCATATGAGCGATATATAGTTCCTGAATGGATTCGTCCTGGCTGCGGCCTCTTTCAACCATGCTCTTGATGCTTTCGCCAGGATATCCCGCCAGAAGCGGCCAGCCGGAATACACACAATACAGCTGGTCATCCAGCTCGAATACCGTCCCATCGATGGACCACTGGTGAGGCGGAAGTCCCGGTAGCGGACCGAGGAATTCCCAAGGCGCCTCGCAGGGAGATACGTCGGTCGGCGGGCCGCGAAGCACGCAGAGCCGATGACTGGCGTTACCGATGAGAGGATGATCGCACGATACATATATGTACCAGCGGCCGCAGAGGGCGTGCAGCTCGGGGGCCCAGATGTTTCCGGAGAAGGGGTACCCGTGCTCCGGTTGCCTGTGTCGTGTCAGAATCTGAGAACGCTGGGGTCTGTTTAGGATTGGGCATTGTACGAGGCTGCGACCTACCATACTACAGTCTTTCTCGGATACGTATAAAAACCGAGGAGAGTCGGGGATGACCATATTTCAACTCTGTTTCCGGAAGTGAAAGTCTATATTACAAGCACATTTTAGTTGATCGCTCGCTCAGATGCCTCTCTTCATCTGAAGCACGTACAAGGAAGAAGGTGTCGCGCAAGAAGACAACATATGGATCAGGCGTCGGCACCGCAGTTATGGTCATACAACATGATCGAGCGGATTCCATTTCGCTTTCATTATACCGTCAATCGCAGACATCGCTAAGATATCATTGTTCTCAAGCACAATTGCTTGCGACATTCGGACATCATGATGCAACCTCCCTTGGAAATTGCGCGAGTCAGTTTTGAGCTGATGCGGACATACCATGACTCACGACATCACGATGATCTCGTGGACAGACCGCGTGAACACCGTCTACCGTCTACGATTCTCTCGACAAATGATATCAGATTATCGTTCGCACATGAGACGCCATGAAAGCTTTGGATAAGCTGGTGAAAGATGTTGGGTAAAAATACCTGAACCAAGACCTTTCCGCCTTGTGTTAGACTTATCCTCAGTATCACCAGTCAGCCTCCTATGTAGAGCTATGGCACACACTGTACAATCATCAGTTGTTTTGGAACTTCCTTGCTGGAGTCATTTCGTCCCATCCTTTCGTGATTTCGTCCGATGTTTCCCCATTTATGATGTTCAAGGGATTTGTTTTTCCGTGGTTTCGAATCGTATTTGTGTGTCCACGTAATTATGTCATCCTTAATTTAAGATTTTGGATCATCTATGATCTATCTCCAACCTTCGTCCTGGGATCACTAATCGTGATACGGCCCCATGGTCTTTTGGGAAACGCCACGAGATCGTTTCCATCATTTATATTAGGTTGCCACCAATGGGATTTCAAGAGTATCGAATAAGCAAAAAACGAACCTGTTATGCAACGATGTCCTTGCGATGAATGGGCACGCAATACTTGCTGTCATGGTCCGTCTTGGCACCGGTCCGAATATGTCCAACGGGCGTGAACTGCCCTATCCATGGCCGGTCATTTATCTGTCATCGTACTGTGTTGAATAGATTCGGCGAGATGAATAGGTACCAATGTTATAGATCAATCATGGCAGGAGGATTCGTGCGTTCTTTAAAGAGAGGTTACCTTCACACGACCCGGGATTCCAGTGCTTACCAGTGACACTCTTTTTGTTCTACGAAACATTCTCTTGCTAGCAATATGAAGTTCCTCACTGTCGCCGCTTTTGCCACCATCGCGCAGCTGGCGTCTGCCCACACCACGGTCGGGTGGGTCTTTGTTAATGGCAAGGAGCAGGGTCGAGGCGATGTTGTGCCGGGCGGCTACATCAGGAAGCCCAACAATAACGACCCTGTGAAAGATGTGAAGTCAGGAGACATCACTTGCAACACGAGTAAAGGGCCGAACACCAAGAATGTGAACGTCAAGGCCGGAGACGAGGTATGGCGAGAACCCCGTCGTCCCTGGACAGTCATTAACAGCACCCAGGTCACCGTGGAATGGTTCCACGACAACCGAGGAGATGACATCATCGCGGATAGCCACAAAGGTCCCGTCCAGGTCTACATTGCCCCCGCGCAAACGAACGGCAAGGGCAATGTCTGGGTCAAGATCGCATCCGACGCCTATTCCAACGGCGTGTGGGCAACCGACAAACTCATCAAGAACAAGGGCAAGCACTCGTTCAAGGTGCCCAATGTTGCTGGTGGTGACTATATCGTCCGCGCCGAGATTATCGCCCTCCACGAGGGCAATCGCGTCGGTGGCGCGCAGTTCTATCCGAGCTGCATCCAGTTTAAGGTTGCTGGAGGGAGTGGCAAGCTTCCGGCGGGAATAGCACTGCCTGGTGCATACTCGCAGAATGACCCTGGTATGGCGCCCTTGCTGCTTTTGAGTGATATTGTTATACTCACGAGGAATCATAGGTATCTTGTACGATGTTTATCAGCAGCCGCTGAAGCCCTATACTGCACCTGGAGGCCCAGTTCTCATCAAGGGTTGATTGAGATTGGTAAGGACAGGCAAGATTGTTAGTCGTCCAAGATAGACGGCTCGGATGTTGCATCTACGTATTGAGGAGTATTCCGTACAGATCATGGTGTGATTGCCTTTATATATAAATCTTACGGGGCAGCTCGTTTACTCCATCCTAGAACTTTGACATTGCAATCTTACGGCTGGTGCTCGTTTCAGGATTACCTCAAACTGTTGCACTACCATCTGATAAAATGAACACTTTTACCACTACTTGGTTTTTAGATAATACATGGCTTCTTTCGATTGACTATCACCCGTATATATCCATGGTCTAACACCGACACACAACCCGATTGGCTGGCACAAGACAGGAAATCCTTTCGAACCGCCACAGCTGAAATAGAATAGCTAATTACAAATATGTGAGGTGAAAAAAGGAATGGAGAAGAAGATAATGTCGAGCTAAAATAGAGTAACAAAAAAACCCGGACCATAATCGCTCGTGTCTAAACTGCATTACTCGGAAGCATAACTTAAATCCTAGGGGTATAAAGAAAACGTAGCGAATGATCTACCGCACCCATTCGGGATTTTGGTTGCGTTTCAAAGCATGAGTACTTCTTCCTTGCGCCGGTAAAATTAAATAGCAAATGGTATGCCACCCGGGCCACGCTATCGACACCTGCGTAGCGAAACAAAGGAAACCGAAGGAGACAGCAGGGAGGGAGCCCGGGAAAGCGTTTAGAAAAACATCCCCGCTGGCAACACAACGAAGACAACCGTGATGACGATGGTCAGCAATAGCGCCCAGATTTGACTCTGTAGAACAATCCGATCCTGAATGATCCGAATCGCCTGCTCCTGCACCGCGGTTTTCGGCCCGAAAATCTTCTGCATCAGGCTTCGCTTCCGGAAATTCTCGATCCATGCCTCGTCCGTGTATGTGTTCGTGGTCCCGAAGGTCTCCATGCTCTTCGGCCGCTTCATGCTCCTCCCGATCGAGCCCGCCAGGGTCGCCTCTTCATCGTCCGGCGGGAGAATCCTGCCGCTCCTCCGCTTGTTCGTATTGGTCGATGAGACGAGGGAGACGGTCTCTGCATCTTCCCAGGGCTTGAGCTCCCGGCCATGGCCGCCGCTGTACATGATGACGCAGAGCCCTTTGTAGGCGGCGACGAGGGTTCCGATGCCGATGAACGTGACGAGGGCGGGGAGGATGCGCCACCAGCGGGGCGCGGCGGAGAGGGTGAGGATGGCGGTGATGAGGATGCCGGCCAGGGTGTGTGACACGCCCATGGCGCGCACGAAGAAGACGCGCGGCTTGTTGCCGTTGCAGATGGACCAGCGGACGAAGTTGGGGTGGGCTTGGCCGCGGAGGACGGACTCGACGAGGGCGAGGGCGGGGGCGAGGGCGGAGGGGTGGGTGGTGTGCTGGAGGGCATGAAGAACCGCGGTACGTTCACGGTGAGATAGGTTCAGCTCTCGTGGAGCGGACGGAGCAAGGTACGTGGCGATGACCTTGGTGATCTCAGAGCGGAAGGGTTGGATGGAGACTGATATATGGTTAGCCCGCAATTTCGGATATAGAAAACGCTCAATTGAAACTTACAAGACTGCCACTTCAGGCCAACTTGATTGTTAGCCTCCTCGGCGATTTCCTGGAGGGATTTCTGAGACTTGATCGACCTTGAAACGAAAGACTCGTAGTCCGTTGCGCCCGAGAGGGATGGTCCGTAGGAACCGCCAAATTCGGACCGGGTCGGCGTTGGCAGGTCATCAAGCGGGATTTCTAGCTGATCCTTCTTGTCGAAGTTGATCTCGACGGTGGTGCCATTTGGCACTTTGCTTCGACGTCCATGATCATCTTGGACGTGAGGCACAGGTTCCCATTCGGGTGAAAGTGACTGGTCCTGCAGCTTCAGTCTCTCGAATTTCTTCGTGTAGTCCCTCAACCAGAGGTAAAACTGGAGATTCTCGGCATCATGGGCAACATAGATCAGATAGTCCATGAAGTCATTCAATTGGCAGGGCTGGGACGGTGTTAGCCTAACGGACTGCTGCAGGTTGCCATGTCGAGCTGTGTTACCGGTAGGGTCTCGTTGTTCACCACCCTCTCAAACGATAGTTCTGGTGGTACGGGATTTTTGCAGCTCTTCATTCGGTCGACATATCTCTGACAATCCTTGGGGTTCAGTGGACCCGATGTCCGTTCGACATAAGCCGGACGGCGGTAAAACAGAACAGACATTATCAGCGATAATGAGTGCGTGACAGAAAAAAGAGAGGATCAATGACAGTGAGAAAGTATTAGAACCTTAATTAAAGAGCAATATTTCGAAGAAATCTTCAGAAGAATGAGAGGCACCACAACGTATCGGTGGTGGGGAGCATCCGTTTGTACAACACGGGCGGGACTGGAGCACTGCAACGCGGGAATTGGGGGAGATGCGCATACTCGCATATAAGTACTTCATAGCATCTGCAGGGCTGCAACTAGGGAGACCCGATGGGCGATGATGCTATCTCACCATGTCCCTTAAAGCCTGTGGCAGCAATTGAACGCGCTACGATGCTGCAGAAAGGAAAGATGGGCACGGCTAATACTACTAACATTCCATGTATTGGCCTCCAAGTTCTGAAGCGATTACCGGGTACGGTATCACCGTACCTGACCTGGTCCTGGCATTGCCATCTGCACTGTGCTCCGTGCGATGCGAGGGATGGGATGTGCCAGTCCGCCTTTGGTCTATCCCACGCGATACTAAAAGCTAGGGAGGCCGGAAGATATTAGGTAGATCATAGGTAGATCACAGAGCAGAAGGCGAATAGAAGTGAACAATGAGAAAATGACTGAGTCTGATGTTGTGTGTGTTGTGGAGCTGGGACCTGAAGCTAACGTGGACATCGCGACGTTTAGAGGATTTTGGATGGCAAAAGGATCGTCGCAGTTTGCAGTGGTGAAGGACTGGCCTGCGTTTCTCTTATGCAGGGGAAGCCTGGGATATGCCTTTCTCCAACCTCAGTTCGAAAGTTCGAACCTCCCAAGTCCCAACTCATCACCTTTCACTAACTAGTTAATTAGTTAACTTAGTTATTTCCATGAAAGATCAAATGGGCTGGCTGCCCTTTGTCTTTCTCATCCTCACCACCCATCCTGGTATGGTCAGCCCACGCCCGGGGTGTGAAACTCCCCTATGACCGTCCCACCTTCTCCTCCACCTCAACGACAGGCTGATAGGAAGATATGGGATACCCTGTATCGATCCGAGTTCCGACACTGACACTCCGGGTGTATCGTGGGCCGTAGCCCTCTCTTTTCCTGGGTGCTGGGATATCAATGGGCACTTAGGGCAGCAACTAGCAAGCCAGCAACCATGATTATCGCGACATCACCCAATTTTTTAGACAAGCCGGAAGCGGGTGGCTGGTCGAGTCTAACGCACCCGGTACAGGACGGATCGGGAACGATCATCTTCAAAGTTCAAACGACCTCAGTCTGATCGGTGAGATCGGCCTGGAACTCTTGATGATTGGGCCACAAAATGACAAATACCAATGTGGAGTCGGCATCACTCAATCTGCATTCTGCTCGTCCCTATCTGGCAGAGCCTAACCGTACTGGGAATTATGCCAAAAATTCACTTATGCAGGCACCAGGTCCCTGTTTTCCACTTGCATGCGGATTGTGGATGGTTAACTTTGGCTCAAAATTGTTGGATTCAATTCCTTGACTTCCATGGAACAGTCGAGAAACTCCAGAAACTAGACGTCGCAAACGGACAACCCATATCGCGATGCACCCAGACTTCAGAGTTCAGACACCTCCTAACCCTGTACTAACGGGACAGTTTGGCGGGTTGACCTGTCTCTGCCTCTACCTACTCAACGTCGATTACTGGTACATAATAATCAAATGCACTATTAAACCGGGCAATTGGGGGAGAGGATCGACACAGGAAGTGCGACATCGACAAAGAAACATGAACCACCTTATATCCGCCGTTCGTATTAGCCGGAGTTTTCTTTTGATCGATCGCCCATCGTCATTTGCTTAAGCCACCAAGTTTCCACAGACCACAACTCCACCTCAGAGCAGATCTTGTCATGGAACTGCTACGACCATTCTCACAGCCCGCAAAGGATGGCAGACGGCAGTTCCTATCGGTCGACCACGTGGATTCCCCGCCCTTCTCACCGCTCCCAGAATGCCGGAGCCATAAATCGTCCAGCATCTGCATGTTTCCAAGGGCTGACTGGCGGGCGGCATATCCAAGTCCACGGGATCGATCGAATTCGAGCCTAGATATTGGACTCCGAACCAGCAATCCGACTATGTACATAGTACTGTTGGGCAGATGGCGCATTATTGGGGAACGGGGCCCCATAATCGTATCAGCGGGAGCGGGAGAGGTAAGAAAAGATCCCTATTGCGAACGACGCCGAGAGATTCATGGAACTGCCTCCCTAGTCAACGACAACCATTCATGCTGCTTCACCTAACTTTTTTTCCATTTTCTTGCTTCTTCTTTAGGTCTCCATTCAGTACAAGCAGTTCCAAGTTTCCAGAATTGTTCTTCTCATTTCCGGTTTCTGTCGAGCAGAGAACCCTCTAGGCTCTAGTCAGTCACATCGACCCATATGGAGCCCCTCTGCCATGGATAAGTCGAGGACTGGACCACCGTCCATCGCATTTTAACTGAATTATCTCGTTCGGACCATGGCCATCATTCCTTGGGAATTCATTCACACGTTTTGCGGCTGCAAGGGTTAGCCAAACTCGTAGCTCAAATTCTCCCATATTGCGAATAGTGCTGTACACCCACTGATAATGAAGGTATGATGCTCCTAGCCGTGTCTGGATGTCGTATGCTATCCGATATTCAATGATATGGCTTGCTTGCTACGATTCTACTTGTCATGTTTGTACTGTGAACTCTACTCGTTTCGTGTTATATCAAGTTCATTGCTCCCTATAATTAGTCCACGACCACAGTGTCGCAGTTCCCCCACTTGCTTCGGCAAGACCTCTCCCAAGCATTTTCCTTGCTCATTCCTCATTATCATTACCAAACAAATTCCTGCATCTCACCATGGAGCTAGCCATCGTCTCCAAAGTTTCCATACGATCCAACCGACGATCCCCATCAAGACAACCATCCCAACCACCAGCGCGACCATTACCTCTCCTCTCATTTCGAACGCCTCCGTGACCTCCATCCGCATGACCTTCCGGTGCATCTCGCGAACGTACCATCTTCCAGTTTGAATCTTGCCAAGGCGCCTGTGCTCATGATCACGACCGGATACCTTCCCGCCTGGGCCGATATTTGGCCTGGAATGCGACGATTGCCAGGTGGAATCGCCGGGCTGCTGGTATGGCTCCGGATCCCACCGTGAATGCCATGCGTGCGGAGTTGACGGCGTAGAGTGCTCGGAGACGCGGTACTCCCGGTCACGGCGGTCGACGAGGAGAAGGGAGAGGAGGAAGGAGGTGAAGTAGAGAGGGGTTAGGATTAACTGCACATTGTTAGGATTGCAATGGGACTTGGCCGGTACTGGAGAGACGTTGGCCCATGTTTGAGATTGAACATGACGATACATTGTAGGTTTTGAGGGGAGGACTAAGCGGAGGAGTTTGGCGGTTTGGCGCGTGGGCTTAGGGAGAGAGTCATGGGCGTTTGATTGGGATACTTACATGAGTCAGGCATGAATCGGAATCGTCGTCCGGGGACGACACGCTGGGGTCTATCTGGCCCATCGACCGACCCGATTGACGGGTTGAGGGCGATACATCGGTGCCGCTCGAGGTGGTATCAACTAGTGGATTGTCGAAGAAAGGATCAGAATTCTTCTTGCGTCTAGTGCCCCGCGCCGGTGTCATGGTGGGGATATCGCATGGAGCATTCGGGAGAAGGGGAAATTGATGCAACTGAGTAAACTAGATTCATTTATTAAGCACTAAGTAGTATCACTCCAAGTAGTATCAGAGAGGATAAGATCTGTTCAAGTGTTAGTATCATTAGTTGTTGGACAATAGTCGGAGACGGGTGGGTGTTCTGTGAGGTCATCCCGTCATTGACTGTGAACACTGACTGCATGGTGAACAGTGAACACCCGGTGAACAGGGTCCCCCGCCCATTTCTGCCCTCTGCGGGCGCTTCCGCTCTCTACTATGTAACTACTTCCATGTTCCATAATGTACATTAGACTCTAAGAGTTGTGCCTTGCGAGCCGTGGACCGCAGCTTCATATTGAATTGGAAACAGTATTTTTGCGTTGGTTGCCGTATGGAGTGAGAAGTCGCTTGCGGGGCATATACACCTCATCTGAAAGTCAACAGTTTGACTCGACTCTTTGACGCCGCATCAACGACTGATCGCTCCTCTGCAGTCGTATATCACCACTTTCCATTGCCATCACCTTGGTGGACTACTATGGACTTGAACTAACCGTCCTCATCCATCATGGGCTTCTCTCTTGCTAACAAGCTCTTGAAGCGAGAGATCGCCGCGGAGAAGAATCGAGCTTCGACAGTTCGGGGTCTCTATGGCGATTCTTCTTGGGTGGACGATCTAGGTATGCCCGTCCCATCATGACGAATGCCAACAGGACTGATTTTATCATAGACATCGTCAATGAGCTAAATGGACATAGTGGCTGCATCAATGCACTAAGGTGAGTGCCATCGTGGCTACATATCTCTAACATATTCGTCTTGGAGCACACCAAACTGAACATATCTGCAGCTGGTCGAAGTCCGGGAGACTGCTTGCCTCTGGCTCAGACGACACCTATGTGAACATCCATACCTACCTCCCACACGCCTCCGACTCTCAGTTCTCATACACCACCGCAATCCTTACTGGACATGAACAGAACATCTTCTCGGTCAAGTTCATGCCGTACACCAACGATCGCGTCATCGTCACAGCAGCTGGAGACCACGAGGTTCGTATCTTCGATGTGGAATATAACAGCACGTCGAGATCATCCACTACATTGCCCTTCGGCCCCTCGAACCCTCGGAGACGGGGTAGACCACATGTGCTTCAAAATGGGGTGTCATATCTGAGCGCTGGAGATACCAGCGCCAAGGTCTTCAGATCACATTACGATCGTGTCAAGCGGATCGTGACCGAATCCTCGCCATATTTCTTCCTTACGTGCTCCGAAGATGGAGAGGTGCGCCAGTGGGATATCCGATCCCCTGAATCCGCTTATCCAAAACGCGACTATCGGAACGTGAACGACCCATCCATCCCGCCTCCGCTCATTTCCTATGGACGGTACCAAATCGATCTCAATACCATCTCCTGCTCGCCTTCGCAGCCTCACTACATTGCTCTCGGCGGCACGCATCCCCACTGCTTTATCCACGACCGACGAATGCTCGGACGCAACAAGTTCGATGAGCGAGGCTCCCCAGCCCCTTCGTCCAGCACCACGGGAGACAAAGACGATGAGGATATGGCCGAAGCAACTCAGTGCGTGCGAAGACTAGCTCGGAATAGAAAGACGTCGGTCGGGCCTCGTAACTCGGACCATATCACCGCTTGTAAAATCAGCGACGCGCATCCCAACGAGGTCATCGCGAGTTGGTCGAATGATAACATTTACTCGTTTGACATCGTCCGCACGCCTGATGCCCGAGATGTTAAGGAGGACTCGCAGGAGGCAGAGGGTAGTCAGAGAAGCCAAGGCCGAGTCAAATCCTCACCGAGCCTGAAACGCAAGCGACCGGGAGGTGAAAACGCGTCCCAGAGTGGTAGCGATGGACGGTCTGGGTCACATCCGAGGACCGATGACGGCTCCAGCACGGATAATCAGGGACCCGCCAGCGTTGCGATCCGGCCTGACCACGGGTCTGCCTCGGCATCGGAGGGCCAGGACCACGAGCAGCAAGAGAACGGCGATTCAACTCCACAGGCACCGACTTCGGCATCTCGCAGAACACAAGGACCATCTCAGAATGTTCAAACTTCCGGCGTATCGGACTTGCTGAACGCGATCACTTCGACGAGCGTGGCAGAAGACAGCGAAGAGGAGGAGATTGAACGGTTCTTGGAGCAAAGTGTTTTGGGCGTTCATCGGTCACATCAGGGGGGGCATGGGACTGGAGGTGGTGGCGAGGATGAGGCTCAAAATGAGGAAGATGAAGACGAGGAGGAGGAGGACGAAGAAGACCATAACGATTACGAAGAGGGCGATGAGGACGACGAGGATAACAGTGGATCAGAAGAAGACTCAGAGGACACCTCGTCCGACGAATATGGCCCGCAGATGTTGGGATTCCCCGCTCGAGTCCTGCACATGAAATCGAAGCGAAAGGTCAACCAGAACGTACCATGTTTGCCGCACATGCGAACGTATAAAGGGCATTGCAACACCCAAACCGTGAAAGATGTCAATTTCTACGGCCTCAACGACGAGTACGTGGTGAGCGGAAGCGATGACGGCAACTTCTTCATCTGGGACCGCCAGACAGCGCGGCTCGTCAACATCCTCGAAGGCGATGGCGAGGTCGTCAACGTCGTCCAAGGTAAGTCCCGGCCCGCTTCGGCCCTGTGGAGCGCATGATTGACTCGGATCGCAGGCCACCCTTACGAGCCGATGATCGCCACCTCGGGGATCGATAACACCATTAAGATCTTCAGCGCGGACGCTCGCGCACGACATGCGGCGAGAATGGCACTGGGTGTCTCGGCGTCGGATCCCGAGGAGCATAGTTCCATCCGTCTTGGGGGACGAGCCGCAGTTCGTCTGCGAGAATCGAGCCCAGAGGAATCAACCTACGGAGGACCAAGCAGCACAGGAGCGACCGGACCTTCCAATAGGTCCCGTTCTCCCTCGACGGCCTCATTGTCAGGGAGTGACCGAGGTCCCAATTTGGAGCCGGCGGTGCTCGTGGACGACGAGCCGGAGGATATGGAGTTCACGGCGCTAGATGGGTTGTCGTCGATGCAGCGCATGGCCGAGGAGTATCAGATCATCGCGGCGAACGAGAGCGATGGGGCTGCGCATCGGGTCTACACAGGGCATGCGGTGGCGGCGCTCCTGGCGCAGCATCTTCAGGGTGGAGATGAGCAGTGTAGGCCGATGTGAGGGGTGAGGCAGCCATTACCCAACTACCTAGCCCGTCGTCTATCCAATGAAATAAACTCATATCCAATTTATCTACAGGCCAGATGTTGACCAGATGTTTCCTCGATGTCGCTGTGAATTGAGAGGCGATTCACGTGATCTGATTGTTGTCGAGGCTACAGCTGAGGGTCCACGTGACCCCAAGTGCACAGACGATTCTATGCTTTTCCACGGCAGCGACAGGGGTCCAGCCTCCACCAGCGGCGCCGCAAGCAACGCAGCGGGTGAACTGGAAGCTTCTAAAACTTCATCCTCTCGACCTTTTTCTATCCTCCCCGTTTCCACACAAACATTTATCTTCAACTCCCTCAACTCTCTCATTCTCACTCTCTGCTCCTTACACATCTTTGTGACGAGATACCCCATCCTGCTTCTTCCTCTACATATTCAATAGAATCCTTCATTACCAGGTCAGTAATCATCCCTATCCCTCTTCACTTCTTGCGATCAGCCTTTCCAGCGCCGCACAAGGTTGCTAGGCAACGATCTCTCTCACTCACAAAGTCAACTCGGACTCACACTGACACCCATCAAGGCCACCTAGTCCCTCAAACACTCCACCGCCAACATGTCATCCGGCGAGTCGTTCGAGTTCCAGGCTGAGATCTCTCAGCTCTTGGGCCTCATCATCAACACCGTCTACTCCAACAAGGAAATCTTTTTGCGAGAACTGATCTCCAATTGCTCCGATGCCTTGGACAAGATTCGCTACCAGTCCCTCTCCGACCCTAGCCAACTCGACTCCGGTAAAGACCTCCGCATCGATATCATTCCAAATGCGGAGGCAAAGACCCTCACCATCCGTGATACCGGTATTGGTATGACCAAGGCTGTAAGTTTTGCCCCATCCCTATTTTCACTTTTGGTGTCCCACCTACTAACTCACTTCAGGATCTCGTCAACAACCTGGGTACCATCGCCCGCTCTGGCACCAAGCAATTCATGGAAGCCTTGAGCGCCGGTGCTGATGTGTCCATGATCGGTCAATTCGGTGTCGGTTTCTACTCCGCCTACCTTGTTGCCGATAAGGTCACCGTCGTCTCCAAGCACAACGATGACGAGCAGTACGTCTGGGAGTCCAGCGCTGGTGGCACCTTCACCATCACCCCCGACACTGAGGGCGAGCAGATCGGCCGTGGTACTTCCATCATCCTTCACCTGAAGGATGAGCAAATGGACTACCTTGGCGAGAGCCGCATCAAGGAGGTTGTCAAGAAGCACTCCGAGTTCATCTCATACCCTATCTACCTGCACGTCCTGAAGGAGACCGAGAAGGAGGTTCCTGATGAGGATGCTGAGGAGAAAGAGGTTGAGGAAGATGAGGAGAAGAAGCCCAAGGTCGAGGAGGTTGATGAGGAGGAAGAGGGCAAGGAGAAGGCCCCGAAGACTAAGAAGATCAAGGAGTCCAAGATCGAGGAAGAGGAGCTCAACAAGACCAAGCCCATCTGGACCCGAAACCCGCAGGACATCTCTCAGGAGGAGTACGCGAGCTTCTACAAGTCGCTCTCCAACGACTGGGAGGACCACCTCGGTGTCAAGCATTTCTCCGTTGAGGGCCAGCTTGAGTTCCGCGCCATCCTGTTCGTCCCGAAGCGCGCTCCCTTCGATCTCTTCGAGGCCAAGAAGACGAAGACCAACATCAAGCTCTACGTTCGCCGTGTCTTCATTACCGATGATGCCACCGACCTCATCCCTGAGTGGCTCAGCTTCGTCAAGGGTGTCGTTGACTCCGAGGATCTTCCCCTCAACCTGTCTCGTGAGACCCTTCAGCAGAACAAGATCATGAAGGTCATCCGCAAGAACATCGTCAAGAAGACCCTCGAGCTCTTCAACGAGATCGCTGAGGATCGTGAGCAGTTCGACAAGTTCTACACTGCCTTCGGCAAGAACATCAAGCTCGGAATTCACGAGGACTCTCAGAACCGCCAGGCTCTTGCTAAGCTCCTCCGATTCAACTCCACCAAGTCCGGCGAGGAGACCACATCGCTCACCGACTACGTCACCCGCATGCCGGAGCACCAGAAGCAGATGTACTACATCACCGGCGAGTCGCTCAAGGCGGTCCAGAAATCCCCCTTCCTTGACAGCCTGAGGGAGAAGGGCTTCGAAGTCCTCTTCCTTGTCGACCCTATCGATGAGTATGCCTTCACCCAGCTCAAGGAGTTCGACGGCAAGAAGCTGGTCGACATCACCAAGGACTTCGAGCTCGAGGAGACCGAGGAGGAGAAGAAGGCCCGTGAGGAGGAAATCAAGGAGTACGAGGACACCACCAAGGCCATCAAGAACATCCTTGGTGACAAGGTCGAGAAGGTCATCGTCTCCCACAGCCTGGCCGCTTCCTCGCCGTGCGCCATCCGTACTGGCCAGTTCGGTTGGTCTGCCAACATGGAGCGTATCATGAAGGCGCAAGCTCTCCGCGACACCTCCATGAGCTCCTACATGAGCTCTAAGAAGACCTTCGAGATCTCCCCCAAGTCCCCGATCATCAAGGAGCTCAAGAACAAGATCACTTCCGATGGCGAGGATGATCGCACCGTCAAGAGCATCACCCAGCTGCTGTTCGAGACTTCCCTCCTCGTCTCCGGATTCACCATCGAGGAGCCCGTCGGCTTCGCCCAGCGTGTCAACAAGCTGGTCAGCCTGGGCCTGAACGTCGACGAGGATGTCGAGACTGAGGAGGAGGCGGCCGCTGAGACCGCCGAGGGTGCCACCGCCGAGGGCGCCACCGAGAGCGCGATGGAGGAGGTTGACTAAGTTGGACGCGGTCCATGGCTACATACCCCCGCGCCCCTCGGATCGGACGCTTTCTGAGGATGTTCGCTTTTGCCCCTTTCACTTCTCGGTTCTGATGCCCGCGACACGACTAATCAATCCTACACACATGGCATGTTTTCTCATGGTGGATGGAACGGCAGGAGTCTAGGATTGGTGGTAGTCGCCCTTTTCATGCTTGATGGCCGGATGAACGTAAAAAGTTTCGAGTTTCCCGAATGGCGATACATTAGATAGCGTTTCAATGGAAGATGTCATTCAAAATTGAAACATCTTTGTTTAATTTGTGATCGTGACCATTGCCCTTTCCCCGGACTCTAGAAGGTGAGAATTGGATAGCCGCAGTCATCACGATGCGGCATCGATGCCCACGAGCTCAATAATCTTTAAAAGGGCATCCCTTCTCCCTACTCTCCCCCCTCGTCTTCTCCTCCACCACCTCCCTCGTCAACCTCATCAACCGCTCCGCTAACTGCAAATCATTCGCCTTCTCCCCCCCTTTCTCCACGATCGCCGGCGGACAAATATACTGCCCCGTCCCCTCCGTCACCGTCGCCGCGAACATCGTGCTCACGCACCCCTCGAACACGTCCTTCTTGAACGGCGCGATCCCCTCCTTCATCAGGTGGCCCGCGATCGGGTACGCCTCTAGGATATGCTCCGTCGACTGCCGCGTGTCCACGAACCCGGGGTGCGTCGCGTTCACAAGGATCCGCGGATGCGTCGCGGAAAGGTGCGTCGCGAGGTATTTCGCGTCCAGAAGCGTCGCGAGCTTTGAGCGCCCGTAGAGCTTGTTCGGGTTGTAGTCCTCGTTCAGCTCGGCGACCGACGCGAACTGCGTCTCCGGCGGCGCCGACTCGTGCACGTTGGACGATAGGTTAACGACGCGCACGACGTTCCCCGCTTCCGCGGTCTTCTTCAGCAGCGGGAGGAGATGCGACGTTAGCACGGCGTGGCCGACGTGGTTCGTCGCCATGGTCAGCTCGACGCCGTTGGTCGGCGCTAGCTGCCGCGACATGACCCCGCGCCCCGCGTTGTTAATGAGGATGTCCAGCCGGTCCGTCTCCCGCGCGATCTCCAGCGCCGTCGTCCCCGTCTGCGTCCAGTCCGCCAGGTCGCACTGCTTCCACACGATCTTCTGGATGGCGGCATCGCCGAGGTCGTCGCGCAGCGCGGCAATGCCGCGGTCCTTGACGTCGGAGCTCATCGAGAGGAGGAAGAGTTTGGAGATGTCGTGCGCGAGGAGCGTGTGCGCGCAGCCGTAGCCGATGCCTTCGGAGCCGCCGGTCACGACGGCGACCTTGCCGGTTAGGTTGGGGACTTGGTCGAGGGAGAATTGGTTGGCTTCGGGGACGAGGTGATTGCTTTCACCGCCGAAGTTTTCGGCAACTTTTCTGGCGATCGTGTCCATGGTGGATGATGACTTGGGAACGATGCGCTGGTGGAGCGGCAGGATGTGGACCTCGCAACGGCCATCTTATATCTCGCATGCCTTCCGGTGTGACGCTGGGAAATGGAAGTGGCCTATGACATTAGTATGACGGTGTGAGCACAGAACCGTTGGGGTGTTGATGTACAATCTTGATGACGCTCGTATTACGGGAGATCGTCATAGGGCAACTGGTAGGGCTGCTCAACTGATTGTATCATCAAAACTGCTATTTCCTACATCTGACTGGACAACAAGCTGTATCCGCTGTGAAGGTTCATGCAAGACCTTGGTGTTGTTGGTACTGACAGTATGGAGCGTCTGTAGAGGAAGAATCAATTGTGGTGTTTCAAACCGGCCTGTATGGCTCTAAGTCTCGAAATCCCCACAGAATTATCAGCCGCGACACTACCTAAATTGAAGTATTGGCCGTAGCAAGAGTATCTGCAACTCCTTTGAAGAGAGCGCCCAGAAAACATTGTTTTCTTGTCAAAACACCGAGCATGTTTCACGAGCAATAATCATCAACACTTGTCTCACGCCTGAGTCTATCAGACGCCTCCACCAAGATAAAAGGAGCATGATATGAGCGACTCGATATCGGAGGGAGGCCGGGCTGAAGAGGCTATCCATTAGGAGTTTCAGGTCGCTGGAGGAACATTTTAGGATTCTCAATTTCATCCACTCCTCAGAGGAGACTTAAGAAGCTGAGGAAGAAAAGTTGGGTCGTCACCCGGGGCGGAGGAATGGCTTGAAGATGAACTCGCGGCAGATCACCCGGTGCTGGCCGAATCCGATGGGGAATATGTGGTAGCTTCGGGGATGCGAGAGCAAGGTCGGCTGGCCAGGAAGATGATAATGTCAGGCAAAGGGGGAACCCTTAAGGTGGGATAATGTGGGAGAAGGGGAGAAGGTTTAGTCACAAGCAAATGCAGTTGATACGGCAGGCCGTGGCATGCTTCAACTGAAGAGGTTGAACCCAGGTTTCCGGAGGAATGATATGATGCTCGTATGGGATGGGAGCGCAACGGGGATAACGGATTACCCGGCCACAGGGTAATTGATGAAGATGGACTCAGGAGCAGCGGATGAGTAGCTGTATTGGTACAGTTGCTAGTTCAAAAACAACAGGGGGATGAAATCTATATACAGATTACTTGAGCGCAGCTTGAAGGCTCTCCAAGACCTGCAAGAGCTGTTAGCAAGTGGGCGGTTGGTGGATCATCGCATTCAACATACCTCAAGTTCGATTTTGGCCTCCGCGATATCCTGCTCGCTTCCACTGCCGCCGGCAACCTTCTGTGACTCGGCGATCTGGTTCCTCACAGCCTTTGCTTTCCATTAGCATGGTTAAGGAATCTTTGTTGATCACATAGGGCATACCTCGACACTGAAATCCTCGAGGGGGAACCCTTCGACAGCATTGATGCTCAACAGCGAGCCGGGTTGAACGACAGCAAATCCACCGGAGACTAGAGGAGGTAAGATGTTAATGTCCATTAACGCCCTCTAGGGACGGATCCTAGGCAATGCAAAGGGTCCAAAGCGCTTACCGAAGAACTGCTTGCTGCCACCTTGTTCCTCGATGACTTCGACAAGGCCAGGCTTCAGTTGCTCAATTGAAGGAACGTGGCTTGCGAGGATACCCATCTCTCCAGTCTCAGCCGGCAAGTTCACTTGCACACTAGAATATATTGTCAGGGAAAGGCTCGGGTAGGGATGGGTATGCGATCGTACACATCGGTGGATTTGTAAATGGACTACGGGAAGCATCACGTTAGTTTACAAGACCTTCACTGCAATCGCAAAATCGCATGCCCGGGAAATCGGATCGAGAGAGAGTCATACCTGATGCGGCAATGCCAGAGAGAGTTGGATCTTGTCCGACGCAACATCCGCATAGGTCCTTCGCTGGACCATCGGGCGGAAGGCCGACGGGCGCAGCCGCAGCGCCGTTCGAGCGACTCGGAAGGAACTCATTCTGATGAGCGAGAATGAGAGATGGAAAAGATTGGGATGGCAATTGGTAGCTGGGTAAAGAGGGAGTGACGGCTTCGACGATTTCGAAGAACTTCCGAAGCTTCACGATGAGAGGGCTTGGCAAGTCACGTGGATATTTTGAGACTACACAGCCACAGTAGCCACATCAACGACATATCCAAATGAACGAAACAGTTTGGATTTAGTCTGCTTTTATCATCTCGATGTACAAATTCCAGCTTCAATATAGTAACAGACATTGAAACCCGGTTGCCCTGCGTATGATATAAGACAATAAATTCGCATATTGCTACAAATGGCACATTTTTCGTTCTGTCTGCACAACTCCAAGTGAATCCCCGTTGCCCCCGAAAGTATCACCTCTACATATCATCCAGTTAGTCTACAGTCATGAGTTGAGACCTATCCCATCAACACCTCCGTGGTAATCTTGAACTTTTCATCGTGTGCTCATAATATGAAATCGCTGTCGCTGTTGACGGACGGAGCAATGTTCTTTTCCTGTGGCTGTTCTTCGTGTTGCATTTCTTCCCGCAAGTCCCCGTGATGCATTGTTTCGGGAAGTCCTTGCGCCTTTGTCTGTTCTTCACCCTCGCCATTGCCCCCCATTGATACAGGCGTCGGAATTTCGTGCGTGGCGATATACTCTTTCACGGCACACGGCTCCCAGTCCATCGTGGGCGTCTTTGCCGCGATCATATCCGTAAGCGACAACAACCCTCCCTGGAGCGCCATGGCAGCCGACTCGATGGACGCCACCTCCCGCAAAACCGACCCGGTCGCCTCCTTCACCGCTGACGCATGCGCCAGCAGATCGCCGAGCTCCCGCCTGACGTGGAAGGCGACCCGCGCGTCGTTCACGATGCGCGCCGCTTCGGGGTCGAAGCCGGGTCGCACGTGGCGAGGCGGGCGGTGCGGGTCGCTGGGGGTTCCGCTGAGTGAGGTGCGTTTTGGTTTCTTAAGGCTATGGAGGCTGCCGACGCCGTGGTCGGACTTTGTGTTTTTGAGGGGGGAACGGAGTGGAGCGTCTGGTCGATGATGTCCGTATGGCGAGTCGGACATATGGCTGTCGATATCTGCATTGCTAGTGTCGCTCGGCCACGTGTTTCTTTGCGTCCTGTTCGGTTTTCGGGACCGGCGATTGCGGGCTCGTCGCTTTGAATTGCAGTTTCGAGGCATGTTGTAGAAGGTATGGTGTGATGTGAAGTGTTGTTGGCGGTTACTGATTGAAGTATTTCCAATGGTGTATCCCTATCTAGAGTATATTTAGGTTGAGCTGTAACACAGTGGCAGTCTTATGGTGCGCTTTCTAGGCCGTTTCAGACCATTCTAAGATGGTTCGGACAAGAGGATCGAATCGAGTAAGCATTGTTTAGGAAACGCCTCATATCGTTCGGATATCACACTTTAGCTTGTACTTCAGACAAAGATCTGTGTTTAAACCAATACAATGCTTTCAGTCGGCCTTGTCTCGGTATCTATTAACTGGCATTATACTTACAATAAGAAGCCCTTTCGTAATAGCCAGCAAAAAGGTACTGGGCAGGACTAGAATCTTTTTACTGAATATCCACCATCAAATGTGTTGACGGAACCAGAATCGGAGCAGGCAATGCTACCGCCTGCCACCGACAGCACATCCTCAATCCATGGGAATGCAACTTAGCGAGTATGGCACGTAGTCTAGAGCATCTCAGATATATTGGCCCAACCCGCCAAATTGCATGCCATGAATGGGATCCGCACTGTGTACGCTTCCACCAAAACCTCAACGGCGAAACCCCAACCGCGGTACGCAGTTCCATCTTTCCATAAGCCTCCAACGCCAATTCAAGCAGCTGCACCATTGATATATCACTTCGTCTTCGACTTCTTCTTGGGCCTCTCCTCAGCATCTGACTCCGCACCGGCCGAGGCGTCGTCCATCTCCGCGTCACTCCCACTACTTTCATGCGCAGAGTCGTACTCCTCGGCCACGTCGGAGTCAGAATCGTCACGGAAGTCTTCGTCGATACTCTCATCGTCTTCATCGGCGCTTCCCCGGACGCCGTTCCCTGCATCATCGTCGCTGCTTTCTAGCTGATCCTTCAGTGCCGCAGCTAGGAGAGCGCCGGACTAGGTAGTGTTAGAACCGCAGGAGCCTGGGTGGTGAAAGGAACATACCTCTTCCGCCATCTCGTTGATGGTCTTCAACTTCTTCGCTCGGAAGAACTCTTCCAAGGGTCCTTGTTCCTCCCTATTGGAAGATATCAGCAGACGGGAATTTCCTATCACAGAATAGATAGCCCTTACCTATTGATGTTGCTGAACTGGTGCTCACCAGCCCCACCCTTCAATGTGACACTCATGTCAAACGTCCTACTAGCTGAGATCGCACCGCCAACTCTCGACATGGTGATGTTGGCAACATTATCGAAGGAGATGTAGGTGGCCGGCTTCGGAACAAACATGAAGCTCTTGTCGAGGCAGAAGAGGTGACCCTCGTTGGCTTTAATGGAGCACTTGACACCAGATTGCTGGTGATGGCTTAAAAAGTCCTTCGACGGCATGGCAATCTTCTTGCCAGCCAAGCCGCGGAAGAGTTGGGCTACAACCGAGGAGATGGGAGCTTCGTAGTTGGCCCTCAGCTTTCCGTCGTATTTCGCGAGCTGTTCCTCCGTCATGTTGAGATCCAACGTCACTTCTTCGTCCCGTTTGAACTGCATGACAAGGAAAGGATACCGTGTCTGGCCTTGGCGAATCGGGGGATCCAGACCAATTGTGATGAGGGTATGGACATCGTCGGGTTTCGGGAGCATGAGGAATTTCTTAACCGACTCGTACTGAATCTTGTAATCGTACGTCTTGCCGCGTAATCTAAAGTCTTTCTCGTACATGTCGATGTCGAACCGTCCTCTGGGCTCGGTTAGACCTGTATCGCAAACTTTTGAGTAGATAACTAACCTTGGCGTCAGATGCAAGACCTCCTTGAACGAGGCGTAATTGTCGCCCGAGATCTCCCCAATCTCCGCCTTCTCGATCAGGGTATTGTAGAAGACATTGGCAGCATTTTGCTCCTCCATCTCTTCGTCCTCGTCGCCTTTTTCTTCGTCTTCGTTCGTCTCCGCCTTCGGGGCGGTTCCAGGAATGTAAAAACGCATTTCCACCAGTTGATCTCTCGCCCCGCCAGCTTTCTGGCCTTTTGCGCGGGCCCCGGCGAGGTCACCATTCGTTTCGGCACCATCTCCAGGAAGCGAGAATTCGAGCGTGACCTCATTCTTGCCCGCGAGGTTGGTGTTCGATATTTCGGTGTATGGGATTTCGAAGGCGGGTCGACTTTGGACGTTGAACGCTAGCTCGGCCTTTCCAAATTCCGCTTTGCCCCAGTTCCAGCCTCGAACCGCGTGTTCTTTACTTTCGAGGTTGATACTGTACCATTGCTTGAATGGCCGGCTCAGGCGATCGAAGTCCTACACAATTAGTATTTGCCTCCATCCATGTGCTGGGCTCCATACCTCTTGCTGGAATCCATCGAGCTGAATGACGTCTCCATTCCTCGAGATCACTTTCACTTCGTGTCCGCGCGCCGCTTTGCTCCATTGAGCTTGGGTGATATCAGCGGCTTGCAATGTGAATGTATCGCCGCCGGCGGCGGGCTTCCAACCCAGACCGGAGTCAGCGAATCTGCATTTCCCTGGTTGTTTAGCGAGATCTAAGTAGATCCCGTCGAAGCTCTCCCTACATCACAAATGTGTCAGTGTCATTGTATCCGGATGGTTTCGCTTGGAAAGGTGGGATTTGATATAGAGCCATGCAAACTTACATGCCTGCGGAGATGGAAAGCAGTAGAGCTGCTTATCGGCTATGTTACGGTCTCGGAATAGTCTGAAAATCGAAGATTCAAATAGTTCCGACTCTCGTGCAAAGATGGAAGTGAAGGAGACACAATGGTGGGGGTTGGTAGGATTGATAGAGTGAGCTTATACGAACGCGTTCGATTCCACCATGGAGAGAAAACGCGCAGGGCGATGGAAGTGAACGTGACAAGAGCTGATCAGATAAGATTAGATCTGAATGCCTCGTTGCCTTGGTGCCTGGGAATTTTCATGCCCCAGGCAACAAGATATTTAGCGTTATCCCGGCTCCGATGAGCCAATAAGCGAATCATGCCGATAGCGGCAGACCCTGACGTTTACGACTCCATCCTTAATGCCCCGATTATTCAGTGAGGAGTGAATACTATTTCGGGGATTCTGTCGTCTCCCATAAGCTTGCTTGCCTTTTGATTAGTATGAATTTCGTGATATAATCTGCCCCTACACTCCTTTTTGATCTTTTACTTGGCAAATGCGCTGATCAATTGATATCTTGAGCTGCTCGCACCGCATTCGCCGCTACGGTCCTGCTCCAACCCGTTCGCGATCCTTATCATGTCTACGACTGCTGGGTATGGAATGCGTCGCAACATCTACGTCTTCATATGGTTAACCAGTGCATAGCGCTTTTGTAGCAGGCGGTATAGCTGCGTGCGGTGCGGTCACAGTCACCCATGGCTTCGAAACCGTGAAGATCCGGTACGGCCCTCCGCAACATGATTCGGCGCGATGACGCTGACGTCCTCCAGACTACAGCTCCAAGGAGAATTACAATCGAAACAAGAAGCGAAGCGATTATACAAAGGCGTGCTCCATGGCTATAGCGTTATCGTGAAGAATGAAGGCGTACGCGGACTATTGCGCGGACTCAGTTGTGCTGTGAGTACTTGACGGGGATGCGCGGAACATGAGTTGACTGGAACCAAATAGTATATTTATCAAATCGCCTTGAATGGCTGTCGTCTTGGTTTCTACGAGCCTATTCGGGCCTCGGTGGCCGGCGCCATCTACAAAGACCCGACCGTCCAGTCCATTGGAGTCAATATCTTCTCTGGCGCATCGTCTGGCATCCTCGGAGCTATGGCAGGCTCGCCGTTCTTCCTTGTCAAGACGCGCCTGCAATCCTATTCTCCCTTTCTCCCCGTCGGAACACAACATCAATACCGAAGTCCTTGGGACGGACTGGGAAAGATCTATTCCTCGGAGGGCTTTAAAGGATTGTACAGAGGCGTGGGTCCCGCGATGATCCGGACCGGCTTTGGTTCGTCGGTGCAGTTACCGACTTATTTTCTAGCGAAGCGAACGTTGATGAAGCATTTCGGCGTTCAAGACGGAACTCCCCTGCATCTGGCGTCGTCGACCGCAAGCGGCTTCGTGGTGTGTTGCGTCATGCATCCTCCCGACACCGTGATGAGCAGGATGTACAACCAGACCGGAAACCTGTATTCGAGTGCATTCGACTGCTTATACCGAACGGTCAAAACCGAGGGATTGCTTGCGGTGTACAAGGGATATTTCGCCCATTTGGCTCGGATTCTCCCACATACGGTGCGTTTCCTCACCCATTAGAAGTTGATGGACGGCAAAGATTGACGTGACATAGATCCTCACCCTCACTCTGGCCGAGCAGACGAACAAGTTGATGAGAAAATTCGAGGACCAAGTATTACCGAGCAGAAGGAAGGAGAACCTGTAAGCGACGATGTCTGGAGAATAGTGCGTTGAGTTTGATCGTGGCATTGGTTGGCCGTTTCTATTAGAAGCCTTGCTCAGCCGGAACAGCATTGCATGCGGCGAATGGTTCGGATTCTAGACCTGGGAGCATTTTGGGATCTGTTTGTATGTATCGGATGGAGAGTCACGTGAGTGGTAGATTGTTGGGTGTTGGACGATTGGGCTTCATCCGTTCAGGAGACATCCCAATTCCAATTATTCTCAACTAGGATCGCATGACCGATCCTTTCATGACTTCTGCAACAAATCTGCTTCATGGCGCAGCGGGCTGGAACGGACAGCGATTCCGATTTTCCCTGAGGCGGGCGGCTACAAACCACTGCGAGCCATTCCCAGGGAGACGTTCGTGTTCTGCTAACCGCCGAGCGATGCTGCGATCCAATTGTTTACAATCCACTGCTTCCCCCATCCAACATCCATCCCTCTCGCTAGATTTCGTTCTCGCATCCTTTTGGCTATTGCCCCTTTTGCCTGGCGCTAACCTGCAGGAACCCTTCTTGTAAGGCTGATTGGAATGGCCGTGAATGACGACAGCCAGGCTTGGTTGTCAGGTTACCTTTTGGATAACGGCGCGTGCTCTCCCCATCGCGGTACCTACCGGATTACCGCTGTGATATGGGTCTACATAACTGTGAAGGGCGCCTTCCGCGTCCATGGTGAGTCTCGATGAGTTGTATGGGCGTTAGATGTAACACTTTTCATTTCCTTCCTGTCTTGTTCTCCGAGTCCAATCGTTTTATGAGCGATCGACATTTGCGTTGTATCCATGATTGTTCACGGCCTTCAGTTCGATCTGTATAACAGTTGATGCATTCATGTAAGTCGGATATCTGCCTTACTACCCGCTGGCTTGTCCCTTCGGTACGGTCATCAAGGCGGAGCTTGCATACTAACATTGCGTAGCTACACAGGATGCATCTGTCCGGGTATGGACGCATCACCCTCCTAGCCGCCTCGATAGCATTCGCTTTGCCCCAAGAAGATCAAGAATCAACCGTTGTAGTTCCTCCGTCACTCGAGACGATTCTGCCCGACTGCGCGAGACCATGTCTGGTCGACTTTTTGCGGCGAGAATATCAAGGTGTTGGCTGCACGGGGACCGGAGACATCGATTGCTTCTGCGTACATTATAGCAATGGCGGCTACACTCTAGGAGAAGGGGGATATGCCTGCATGACAGCGGCTTGTCCAGAGGACATGTCCAATGCCACGTTGGTATATAATATATGTACAGGACGAGGGAACGCCGTCGTACCAGTTCACGGGACATTGACAATCACTACTCAGCCGACTCCAACACCTACCATGCCTCCACCATCGACCTCGTCGATCTCCTCACAGAATCCTTCATCGGACCCCTCAAGTACTTCCACCCTCACTCTATCGCAATCCACTCTATCCGCATCTCAAACCTCTGCTACTGAACCAGGAGCTCTGTCGACGGCCCAAATCATTGGGATCTCCTTAGCATGCGTTGGGGTCATAGTTGTGTCCATCACGATTGTTATCGCCGTTGCCTGTTGCCGCAGACGCAAAGCCGAATCCAAGGCACTCGATGAAAAATCCTCGCCGAGATATCACTCCGATGAGCGGCCAAAGCAACTAGCCGTGCAATATGTTCCTGTTGCAAGGTATGCTCGTGATCCTCGTGGAGGGCTAGGAGGAGTGGGTATCACGACGATGGCTCCCAACCAACCATCCAAGGGGGTGAGCAGCGAGAAACCCAATCAAGCTTGGCCAGCCTACTATGCGGTTCAACCCGAGGATATCGGCGTTGCCATCAGCCCGGAATCAGAAGCAGAGAAGAGGAAAATAGCAGAAAGCAAAGGCATGCATACTGAACCTCCCAGAGCTGCAGTCACTCCTCGAAAACCCGCAATACGTCCATCACAAGTCCCCGAAAGGAACGATAGCTTGCATTCGAGTTACCCGTATGAGACCCCACTCAACACAGACGGAGGAGTCGGGATTGGGATGTCCAGCAATAGCGAGGAGCCTATGCAAAGGCAGAGTGATGCCAATCTGATCAGGAGACCGTTCACGTACGAGCAGTCATATATGGCAGCGCCTACAGTTGCCAGTGCAGCTGTACCTGGTGCATTGAACGACATGGCTCAGCAACACGGTGCACGAAATATCAACGGTGTTCCGATTCTGCAAATGCCACAGCCTCCTAACCGAGCTGTGCTGTCTCAGCCGTCCTCCGAAAGTGGGCTTTATGGATTTCCACATCCTCCAGCTCTGACGCCAGTGTGCGACAATGGCCCCCAACAGCAAATTCCCCGAGAGACGGAATCTCAGAATACCTGGCCTACGCAAACTTACGTCTCATTAATGCCGTACAAGAGCGGACAGAATCGACCGGAGAGTACTCAGACCGTGTTTGAGGAGGACAGCCCATCGTGGCGTTTCTCCCGACAATCTAGGCAGCTCCGATCACCCAACCGATCAGTACACGGATTAGGATCGCAGCCAGAGGTAAACGAGGTGTCGCCAGTGTCATCAACTGTCTCTTCTCAATGGCGACGTCGCGACCTACGGCCTCCTCCACTTCGAATTCCACAGCAATACGAGCGGCACCCGCCACTCCGGATCCTTCTAAACCAAATCGATCCAGCGGGGGCCCGACCGGAAGAGTTCTCGGCTCCTTCAAGGTCGACACCCAAGAAGCCGACTTCAGGAGAAGTGACTCCGATCCTATTGGATGCACTGGATGCCATTCCTGAAGATGCACAGCACAGTTCCGCCAACTCGACGCTAAGCGGGCAGCCATCCATCGCATCCACCCCGAACCGGGACTTTCCAAAAACCGATCGGTACTCAACGGCCTCTGCGACATCCATCGACACCAACGAGTCGGACGATCCGACGCCTCCAGAGGACGCGACCAAAAAGCTGTCTCCCGTGGAGGAGTCGCCGCTCAGTGCCGAGTCCCCAATTCACGGACTACGGTATCCCCGCGTCCCACGGGCATCCAACCAAGCCGTGGCGCGATCACCGCGGAGCCCCAAGGGCCAGACGGAGGGCGTGACGGGCTCTCCGACCAGCTGGGGACGACCATCACCCAAGCACGAGCCCGACTTCCAGATCGTAAATCCAGGCACGTCAAGAACCCCGCCAATTACACTCGAAATCAGACAGGAATCTTCACCACCATATCATCACCGAGCCGGCACCCTGGGCTCCCCATACCGGACTCCCCCTCGGAATGCCGACGCCAGTAATAAAACCCAGAAGCCGCAACAGGCAGCGTCCGGCCGCCGATCCAGTCGATCAGAGCCCGAACAGCAGTGGGCGGCGCCGTCGGGTCGCTCCCCAGCGGGCCCGGCACGCCCATCGCCACGAACACCGCCCGGAATGGCGGGATTCCCAACGACTCCGATGCCTAAATTGACGCCGACGCGACGTGGGGACGAGCTCTACTTGAGCGTGACTTAGAGGTGGGGTACCGCTGCGATAGCCTTGTATAAGTACGTAGAACGCATTCATCCTTTTGCGCCTGGGCATTTTCTTTTGTTTCGCTGCCTTTCTCCGGCGGTCATTTTCTGGGGACAGGGATTGTATCACTAGCGACGCGACGGGCTTGGTCAACATTCGTTTTTAGGCGCGGAAGATACCCTAGGTCCCTAGCCTAGAGAGGATTGGATTGATTGCCGCATTATTTGGAGCATCGGGACGAAATGGAAGAATAGACAAGACAAACAACATGAAGCTCTTTTGGCATTCAGCCAGTTCCCATGACCCCAATGATCCGACTGATTTTCGATGCCGAATTGACAATTGGCGGTGGATTGACTGATTCAGAAGCTCCTAAGCAACTGCAGGTGCTTAGTGATGTGATGTAATATTCCGACTGGATCAAGATGATCGGGGTCCATGATCAGGACCAATATGGGATGATTATCTCACCCCACGTCAGGATGAAATTGGGCTCGCCTCACCCCTCCTCCCCCCAGTGCCACCATCTGCCCCCAAAAGTCCTGTAAATACTCAACACTCAACACTCGTGAGTTTTTTCCAGGACCCTGTCGCTTTTCTGAGATATTTGCGTCACCGCTTCCCTCCCCTCATATCCCCCCCCCTTCCCCCCCTCTACCTTCTCTCTGGACCTTTCCATTTACTTCCCACCATTATCATCCAAACCTCTTCCTCCTACTCACTCTTCCTTCACTTAAACGTACTCCATCACCACCGCAATCATGGGTTACGACAAGACTGACGAGCTCTGCATCAACACCATCCGGACCCTCGCCGTGAGTTACCCCCCATATCCCCCCACCTTCGTCACTGGTCGAAGTGATTTTTGCCCGATCTCGCTCTACACACACCGTCCACCTCGTTTGATCGTAGAGACGAACCTCAATTGCTAACCGCGATGCCTTTGTTCAGGTCGATGCCACCTTCCAGGCCAATTCAGGCCATCCGGGCGCCCCGATGGGCATGGCTCCGGTGGCCCACGTCCTGTTCAACAAATTCATGACCTTCAACCCCAAAAATCCCGACTGGGTGAACCGCGATCGTTTCGTTCTCTCGTACGTTGTGGCCCCATTTCCTTTTCCCCCATTTCCTATCCATCTCCGGTGCTGGGAGGACGGGTGGAGCGTGCGGGACCACCGCGGAGGAGCTGTCTCCGTCGCATTTTGAAGCTGCAGAATCTCCGCGGGCGTTCACAACGGCTCCACTTTCGCATGTCGGTTTTGCTTTTGCAATGGCGGCTTGATTGGTCGCATGCGAGCCTAGGCAGCTTCGCGACGATCATCGTGACCTCTTATCTTTGCATTTTTGGAGATGTGAGCCGCTTCGTTAACAGATATCGCACAGAAACGGTCACGGCTGCATGCTTCAGTATGCGCTGCTCCACCTGTTCGGCTATGGTGTCAGCATTAACGACTTGAAGAACTTCCGAGTAAGTTCTGGGCGCGATTAAGCGGAGAAACCTTCCACAGAAAAGGGTCTAATGAGATTATAGCAAGTCGACAGCATCACTCCCGGCCATCCAGAGGCACATGACACCCCGGGTGTTGAAGTGACCACTGGTCCCCTTGGTCAAGGCTTCGGGAACGCCGTTGGCCTCGCCATTGCCCAACAGCATACCGCGGCCGTGTTCAACAAGCCCGGTTTCGATCTCATCACCAACCACACCTATGTTTTCTTCGGCGATGGATGTGCTATGGAGGGTGTTTCCAGCGAGGCTGCCAGCATGGCGGGTCATTTGCAGCTGGGCAACTTGATTGCCATCTATGACGACAACCACATCTCCATCGGTTAGTAGTCTCGTTCACAAGGATTCCAGTATGCGTACTGACCACCCTTGACAGATGGCGACACTGCTTGCGCCTTCACGGAGGACGTCCTGAAGCGATTTGAAGCCTACGGCTGGCACACACTGACGGTCGAGAAGGGTGATACTGATTACCAGGGTATCGAGGAGGCAATCCGCCAGGCCAAGGCAGTCACGGACAAGCCTTCCGTCATCAAGCTGAGGACCACGATTGGGTTCGGCTCCAAGCTCGAGGGCACTGGTGGCGTGCACGGCAATCCCTTGAAGGCCGATGATGCTAAGCAGGTGAAGCAGAAGTTCGGGTTCAATCCGGACGAGATGTTCGTCGTTCCCCAGGAGGTCTACGACAGGTATAACAAGCACGCTGCTGAGGGTGCTGCCGCCGAAGAGGAGTGGAAGGCGTTGTTCGCGAAGTACGGACAGGAACACAAGGATCTCCACACCGATTTCGCACGCCGCTTGACCGGAGACCTCCCGGAGGGATGGCAAACCAAGCTCCCCGTCTACAAGCCCAGCGATGCCCCCGTTGCGTCCCGAAAGCTTTCCGAGGCGGTCCTGGAAGCCATCCACGACACCGTCCCTGAGCTGCTCTCCGGTTCAGCCGATTTGACTGGATCGAACAACACACGGTGGAAGAACGCCGTCGACTTCCAGCCTCCAAGCACCAAGCTGGGCGACTGGAGCGGTCGGTATCTGCGGTACGGTGTGCGCGAGCATGCCATGGCCGCGGCGATGAATGGACTGGCGGCATACGGCACCATCATCCCTGCTGCCGGTACTTTCCTGAACTTCGTTTCGTACGCCGCCGGTGCCGTCCGTCTGTCGGCTCTTTCCCACCGCCGCGTCATCTACATCGCCACCCACGACTCGATCGGTCTGGGAGAGGACGGCCCGACCCATCAACCCATCGAGACGCTCGCTCACTTCCGAGCCCTCCCCAACATGATGGTGTGGCGTCCGGCGGACGGCAACGAGACCAGCGCCGCATACTACATGGCGTTGACCAGCAAGGGCACCCCCAGCATCATCGCCCTGACCCGCCAAAACCTGCCGCATCTCGAGAACTCGACCATCGAAGGTGCCAGCAAGGGCGGTTACGTCCTCAAGGAGGACAAAGACGCCGCCATCACCCTGGTCTCCACTGGCTCGGAGGTGTCCATCTGCATGGAGACCGTCAAGTTCCTCGCCGAGAAGGGCGTCAAGTCCCGCGTCGTGTCCATGCCCTGCACGGAGATCTTCGACGCGCAGCCGAAGGAGTACAAGATCAGCGTCATCCGCGCCGGCATCCCGGCGTTGAGCGTCGAGGTCATGAGCACCCTGGGCTGGGAGAAGTACAGCCACGAGCAGTTCGGACTGAACCGGTTCGGCGCCAGTGGACCGTACAAGCAGGTTTACGAGGTATGTTCCAGAATAGACGACCTGAGGGACTCTTACCATGTACTGACTTGACTAGAAATTCGAGTTCACGCCCGCGGGTATCGCGAAGCGTGCGCTTGCGACTATTGAGTTCTACAAGGATGTCAAGCCGCTCCGCTCTCCGGTCGACCGGGCTTTCCAGCAGCTGATATAAGATAGACGTTAGCTGGGTGCTGTGACGAAATACAGGTACTGTGCGTAGCCGCCAAGGCGAGGGGGATGAATGATATTTGTTCATCGGAAAATGCTGCAGCAGGACGTAGGGTGAAATTCCCATGCCCTCGACTAATACGCCGGTCGTTCCGGGCGATCAACATACGTGAATAGAGTTGATATGTTACAATCAAAATGTTCGTTCTCGATCCCTCGCTCCTGTAGGCCCTCTATAAACCCGTGCACTTCGTCTCACACCCCCACCCAGCCCTTTATTTATCCGTCTCATCATCCCCCACCCCCAACGCCACCAAAAACCGACTCACGCAATTATATGCCGCCACCACCGCCGTCACTTCCACCACCTCCCGCTCCTCACACAGCCCCTGCAACCCCTCGAACACCTCCTGCGGCACCGCCACGCTCTTCGTCATCGCATCCGTATACCGAAACACCGCCCTCAGCTTCGCATCCGGCAGCTCGGCCTCCCCTGGCACGACGAACGCGTCTAGCCGCAGCACGGCCTCGAGCGTCTCCTTCGGGGTGTCCGGCAGCGCGTCGGTCAGGAGGGGGAAGTGGTGCCCGTATTCGTAGTCCGCGCCGTTGAGGATCGCGATGCGGCAGATGGCGAGCTCGCGGGGGGCGGCAGCGAGCGAGGTGGTTTGCGTGCGGATGGCGCCCATGAAGGAGTTCCTGTAGTCAGGAAAGGAGGCGTCGTTAGTTGGGATTCATGTGGGGGGTGGGGGGACGTACCAGCCATCGGCGACGGGGG